ATGGAGATATGAGGTTCATTGCCATACAAATTGTCAGCAATAGGCGCTATGTTTCTATAATTTACTCTTATACTTTGCAGTAAAGAGAGAAGGCACATAAAGCATATCTATATCTACACAGTGACCATCGTCTTCCCTTACAGCTCCGCCGGCGCTTCTACACCATCTTTCGCAGGTGTTCTTATTAATAAAAGTTCCTCCTGTCTCCCGTAGACCCATTGCCAGTTGTTAGTTGCATCATCCCAATACACATCCTCTTCCTGGGGGAAGACGATGGTCCGATTTCTTTCAGGGACGAAATGTTCCGCGAAAAGTTCGATGCTATAATATGTGTTCTTCAATAAGGGAAGATCCCCGAGAACCGGGACTGTATCCTGAAGATTCGTCATGCCTACGGAAAGTTAGTAAAACGACAGCAATGGAGCAGGGCGTATGAAAACACGATGCTTACCAATTACCGTCCCTGCCGAGTGGCCCCATTCCCCAGTAGCGTGACAGTAGATCTTGCCTTGTATACCCTCACTGCTCATCTGCTCTATTGATGCCTTTAGGATCTCGTTACCTGTCATCCCGATTTTCATGTTGCTCTTCACGATATCCTGCAAACGGTTAACCTTCTTCAACCCTTCAATCATACCCTTAGGCACATCGACCTCGGTCTCTCCGGGATATAGAACGTAGCCTATATGCTGAGTGTCGGTATTTAAACCGAGGGCTGATACGCCAAAATCTGTGTGGATTAAGTCTCCGTACTCAATAGGTCGGTCGGGCGCCCGAGGGTCGTCCATCGAGGCGGAAGGGCCGTCTGCGGCGGGGAATCCTTTTCCTGTCAAAATGAATACACTAGGCTGGAACCAGGTGGTGTAATTCAAAGATTGTATCTTTTCTCGCATCCACCATTCGATATCCTGGAGAGCGGATATTCTTAGCCTAATTCCACCGTGTTTACGCGGAAGCCAATGAGTATAAACCTACCCAGCTTGTAGACTTTCCAGGCACGATGGTCTTTTCACTAAAACCCTCCTCTATAATAGCCCAGGCTGTTTCCATCATCTTCTGATACCATGGAAGCCTACTCTTAACCATTGTCGCGACTAGTTCGACACCCAGCATAGGCTCCAATACAAAGCGGTCTTTCCACTCCTCTCCTACGCCTTTCACGACAGCATCGAGTTCACCAGCATGCAAGCCTCCTGAGAATGCGATTTCCGAATGTGTGTTAAGCGCAATGGAGCGTGGCTGTTGCGTTGCCAGAATCTGCCTCAGCTCCGTCCATACGGCTTCGGTATTCTCGATCCATGAATAGCTAGACGGCGCCCCGCCGACTGGATCTGCCAGGAAGAGATGCGTAGTCCGTCGCCTGGCAGAGAACTGCGTGGCTTCTTTGAGAGCCCAAAACACGGTGTCCTCAGCATATTCACGTTGGCTCATCTATCAAGTTCGTCAGGTGCGCAGCCAAAGAAGATATAACGGAAAACGCACCAGCCAAGCGTCAACACCGTATTTGCGTAGTAACCCTGGGATAAGAGCTTTACGCTCTTCAGTCCATCCATCTAGCAGTTTCGCTTGCTCCCGCAGAGAGGGTAGTACCTGGACCTTTGGTGTTTTCCCAGGGGCCGTCCCAACATGCGCTCGTACGGTGGCACAAACAGTCGAGCTGTTAAGCAGATAAGTGAACAGCACTATGGGACCCCGCATCGTTAGATTATATACCGGTCACTCAAGCTGAAGTTGTCCGTTCTGAATGATAATGGCTACTACTTATGTAGTATAAGATGGACGTTACTTCTAGTGATCTCCAAATTTGAGGATTTGGATTTGAGCTTAAGATTGGTTCTTGATGTCGTGTCTCGGGAGTGTATCATTCCGCATCGACGGGAGATTCCGATCAATTGATCCGTTGCCTGGCGAACCTCTATATATCTAAACACCTGCCCCTTTGGGTGTGTATATAAATAGCTTAGGTACCTAGTAAGGGAAAAAGGAGAGGTAAGTTCAAATTGGAAAGGGCCTCAAAAATAGAGAGAAATACATGTATTAAAGACCCCAAAAGGACATGGCAAGTATTAGGTAATACGTAGGTAGGTAGTTATTGGGAAAAAGCTAAAGTAATTTTTGTGCATTTCCAACAGTTCTCTACAAGTCCTACCTATGCCAAGACTACTTCCGGGTACCTACACGTGGTGTTCATCCGCCAGAGATCAAATCTACATATTGAAGGGGAGGTACAAACAGTGGGAAACGATGATAGCTCCTAATATTATTCTCAGTGCCTTCCGATTATTAGACTCTCAAGGTGTTCGGCTATGAGTTATTTCTTCTTCACAATACTGGTCCAGCCAGATATTGCAATGAAAAAAAAAAGTGTGTGACTCAGCAGAGCTGAAGATGTTCCAAAAATAAGTCAAGTAGAAAAAAGTTACTTTCACTATTGAGTGCCAATGCCACAAATGTATACCTGCGGATTAGTGATACCACAAGAGGGGGCTGAGATGTACATACCTGCCTCCACCTCAGGAAAAATACCCAGAGACTGCTTGACATAGGACACCTAACTCCCTTGGGCAAGTCCCCAATGCCTGACCTTTCTAACTGCACTATGGCTCGAAATCCTTCGCGGCGCTGGAAAACCTCTCCACTGGACGGATCAGCTCTCCATCGGGGCTTATCTCCCCGGCCCCAGCTACTTAAAAAACACCAGCCTCTAGCTGTATAAGAGAACGAAGTGCCGCCATCCCAATTCCGGGGATGTTCACCAGGGTACCGCAGCAATGGGGGTGAGGTGTGTAACGTGAGCAATGCCCCCTCCGTCCTCCCCGGAGACACTGCAAGAACCCCCTTGCACATCGAGGAACGCCGCCATCCCAGGGCACACCCCCCTAGGCAGGCGGACACAGCAAGGACACCGAAGCATCACATGCCGATAGCGCCAACGTTTGCGGCCAGCCCGATGCTGTAAAACAAAACCTACGTTGGCACCGTCCCAGCAAGTACTAGCTTGGCAACACGGAGCACGGTATAGAACTTCTCTGCCCTTATCTCTTCGCCTGACTCCTGCGAAGGTCCAGGGACCCGACTGACCCAAGGTGGCTTGTAATTTTGTTGTTGTAAATGATGATGTTGTCGTCTTTGTTGCTGAATCTGCAACCCATGATAGTTAGTGATATTTTTAGCGTCGACGATGCCACTGCTGTCAGTACACTTACAAAAAATAATTTAATGATTTGCTGGGCCAGCCAAGGGTTTGATTGGGGCTAGAGGGGTATGTCGATGATTTCCTGAGGTGAGGAAGCTCCCCTCCCCATAAATGGCAAAACCACTTAAGAGTAGATCCAGGCCAGCGGCACGTAGTTCACCCACATGGGCACAAGGCCGCCACCTGAAGGGAAGAAGAGCCTATACTTCCGTTGCTGTTGGAACTGATAGGTGGTATGTTGAACTGGATTGGTAAATTTTAGTTGCTTCCCAATATGTGTATTAGTTTAGAATGTTAAAGAGTAGAAGAAGGTAAAGTAATAGATGATGTAGTGCTGAGAATTTGTGGGTGGAATTGTGAGACAAGTGAAAAATTACCACAGTAAGAGTTAAAGCCAAGAGGAGGGTGATAAAAGAAGAGAGATGCTTAGGAAGGTGTAGTTGAATATTATGAATGAGGTTCCATGTTCAATATAGAATAGTGATGCAGGGGGGAAAGTAGATATAGGTAAATATGTGGGATAAATGTTGTAAGGGAAGGCAGGGCGAAGTTGCGAGGTGCATAGGGCTGGATGGAAGTTTGAATTTTCGTAGGGGAGGATGAGATGAAATAGATTAGTTACTTACTATTGTATGAAAAGGGTAGAAGTTGTTATTGTTGTTGTAATTGTTGTAGTAGTATTTGCTGTAGAAATGTGTTGTAGTTGTTGTTGTAGGTGTGAGAAAGGAAGACTGGAATGGGAAGATGGGGGGAGACTGGCTATGTTTATATAATAGAAAAATATTTTAGGCGGCTGATTCTGGAGTTCTGATTTGCAAGGCTGGGGTGATTCGTACCTTCCTCTGTACCTTCTTCTTACGTACCTTTAAGGCAAGTAGTGAGCTAGATAATTCCACTATTAGTCACTTAGGTTGCCGTAACTACATGAATCACTAGGTACCTGAGGTACGACGATCAAAGTTACGATGATTAAAGGTACCTAGGTAATATATTTAATTGTACGCAGGTACGTACCTAAAAGCATACATTCACCTTGATAGGTACCTATTTCATGTACCTACTTCATGTACGCCTAATTATTTCCATTTGATTAACAATATATGTTAGGTACTTGAAGACGTACTCAAGTTCCGTACTGGATTTAACACGTGTTAAGAGGTAGCTAATGAATCAGCACCAGATGCTCATTACATTTTCTAAATCAGATTATTTAATTCTAGATGTTTGAACCAATGGCACCCGCCATCTAGTTTCATATGTTCTAATCAACTCCTGATCAGCTTGATAAAAAGTAGGACAAATAAATATTTAAAAGGTAGATCATTTCAGTAATTTCTTTTAGTTTATTAAGATTCGTGATTTCGAATACATAGGTAGGTACCTACCTGCGTAAGGTACGGGAAATCAACCAATTAAGTAATTTCAAGTCTGATTCTCCCATGGTCCTTAGAAGCCTCAACTCTGCAGCCCTACAGCCTTGTCCATTAGGTATGTACCATCATTGAGTACTTAGGTACCTCTTAACTTAGGCATCACCGGGGCATGCTATCTTCAATACATAGGTACATAGGTACATGGGTTACCTAGGTACCTACTTTAATAATTTATATGGGCGAAGGCGAAGGCGTGTTTACTAGTTAGTATATGCAATACAGTATTGATATGATATATTATAAGATACTATTTACTGTATTACCTCAGCAATGAGGTAGTAGCTGGAGTTATATCTCCCCATGTAACGCCTAGAAGGCTGATAGAAATATCTAACTAGGGTAAAGTGGAACAATATGGTTTGGTCATGTCACGGTGGTATGTCACAACAATATAGTAATAAGTACGACCTAGTTAAGTACGACCATATAGAGTTATACGAGAGGTAGTATGCTATTTAATATATGCCATGCTTCTATGATACTCAGAAGCTCAAGTCCCATTAAAATCCCAGTTATCACCTTAACCAAACCTCTCCTGAAGCTGATTCAACCCAATTCCGCCATGTACCTTATTCATATGGTTGTAGCAATCAGTATGTGCAGTAAAAGTTTTTAAACAAACCCAGCAGATATGGGCACCACATGGGCAGGTCATGTGGTTACACCCATCGATCTTCTCCATAGGAGTCTTACACTTGGGACAGTCTTTGATACCAATAGCCTGCTTCAATCTTTTAAAAGCTTCAAGCCCGCCAGTTGAGATATCCTTATAATCTTCACACGTCATAGATCCATGCTGAGCTTGGCATGCTGTGCACACAAGTACATGGCAGCTGGGGCACATCTGCCTGTTGGGTATGGCGTTGATCCGATAGATATATCCACAATCCGGAGATGGGCAATAAGTAAACAAATGTGGATTGTGTTGCACATATGAATCGAGAGATTTTTCTAATAACTCTTCAAATGAGCTCGACGAGAGATGTTCTTGTAACTCTAAGAGCCCTATTGTTTTGGAGCATTTTCCGAGGCTTCCGACGCAGTAAATGCGGGTAGCTGTGATCTGGGTCATAGCTGAAAGGCATAGGTTCTCAAAACAATCGAGGCAGTAGACGTGACCGCACTCCGTGTAGACTGGGTCTTCGACTTCGTTCCAGCATACAGAGCAATCTTGACCATCCTGAATGCTTATCTCCCTTTTTGTTTCCTCTTTGTCCTTGATCAAGGAAGTTGCTGTATCGTAGTCTCCAGTAGTACCGATTATCGTAATACGCTTTGGCGTTGATGTGATATCAAATACGATCTTCTCGGAACCCAACCTTTTCTCTATCTTTTTCAACCCCCCTTGAAGCGCCCACGAGAGTTCATGGTCCTCGAGTTGAATATCGAAATGTTGGGATGTCTCATCTCGCAGCAGTCTAGTAATCTCAGATTGGCTAATCTGGCAGGCCTTTTCCGGCCCATATAGCTGAAGTTGTGATTTAACTTTGTTCCGAACAATGGCGATCCCGTTCCTCTTTTCTATCTGCCTAACCTGATCGTAAAGCGCCCCATTCTTGCGTAGGGCAGGATGCCACAGGGTGGAAGAGCTATCTCTTGCCACTTTACCAGATATGATTCTCTCGATGGTCTTTTGTGCTGAGGCCACCTCCTTTTCTGCCTCGCCCTCAAGTTTTAACACCAGATACCATTTAGGTGGATTGGAGTTTTCGTAAGCCACGTAAGTCAAATGCGAAGCCTTCCAAGTTCTAATGTTTGCTTTGAGTTGGGCTTGGACTGCTTCATAGATCTTTACATGCACCTTAAACTTTGCTGTATGAACCAACCGTACAGTAAGCTGGGCAGTTACGTGAAAGGGAAGCTCCTTTTTGTCGAGTGATTTTGCGGCTTCTCTGGCATCATCCTCACTTTGGAATCGCGCACTTGCTTTCATGCGCTTACCAGCAGTGTCAGGAGTAAGCTCCCACCAGTCTAATGGTCCGATGGAAGTAAATAGTGATTGAATCTTTGCTGAACATGTCTCATCATCAGCGGTATATGTGGGCCGTCCAAGCTGGATCCCTCGCGGCTTGTCGTTTTGATGGTAAATAGACTTCCTGACATCAGATTCGGTTGCAGAACCTGGCACTTCAGTTAGGCACACAGTCCATGCCAGAGGATTACGATGTCCTTCCCCACGGGTCAGATCATCACAATGCACGCATTGGTTCAAAACTTTGTATGTTCCATCCCGAAAGTTGTTGCGTACACGCTTAGCAATCTCCCCGTCGCCAAAGTTGAGCCACACTGTCCTGTATGGTTTGTGCCAAGATATATGGACCTTGCAGCAATCAACACGAAGAGTATTCGAATCTGACTGTATAGGGTTTGGTATTGGAGTAGCTGTGGGCTGCAGGTTTTGGTCCGAGTAGGAAGCCCTCTGTAGATTCAGTTTTCTCGCGGCGGTCTTAGCGAATTCGGGATCTTCGACTTTTACTAAGGCACTCCAAATATCCTGTTCGTGAGTGATGCGTACTTCTGTTTCGTTCGGCGTTTTGATATTGCGTGACTGAAGGAGATCTAATACGTAATTTCTTGTACTATCTTGTGGGAGTCGGCTTATTTGAACGATAGAGAAGTCTGAGGGCAATGATATCTTTTCGACAGTAGCGCCTTTCTCAAAGTGAACCAAGGCACCACGAATAGTACGAGTGAATCTGCCTTGTGTTGCAGTCGCATGGATCTATAATAGACATTAGCTAAGAAATATCCCCCATTTACTAGCCTTACCTCATTCGGCATTCTTTGAAGGGAATTAATATCAGATGCAGCATTATTCTCATGTAGGTACGGGCAAGAATCGCCGTTTCGACACCGGCCTTGCTGGAAAAATCGGCATTGTATCTGGGATCGTGAGTCGTTGGATATTGCGAGCCTTTGATTAGATTCTTGAAGCATAGGATCAGAACGACCCCAGTGGTGTTCTCCGCTTGGCTTGAAATTGAAGGCACTTGGGTTTGGTTTGAACTTCGTCATTTTAACTAGGTATGTATGGGAAGTATATATGGAATGAAACTAGACGAAAATGCGCTATTCTGTAAAGAACTCGAAGAGCAATAGAGGTTCAATAACGTCGTAATGATTTATCCATTAGGCATCAAAGACAAAGTGGCCAGTTAAATGGGACGTTATGGTCGCACAGCATAACTGTAGTAAAACTATGGCCAACGAAACTAAAAGGCTTGACCGAAATTGCAGCAGTCAATACTATTGGCCTGTCCCGTCTAGGATGTATATTGTTTCAATGAACAAGTGTAGTTCAAGATGTTCAGCAACACCCGTTATCATCTGTACTCTTTCTTCTTTTTACGCGAACTGAATATATACAACTTAGTTTGATCGAATCTCCGTGAAATATATTTTAATGCTTATTATCATGGAATCTTTGCGTACCTAGCAAATATTCTTGCTGGCGTTACCTTCGATCGTCCAGTTGGTATTCTCACCACAAGGAGACTCACGAACGGAGTTATTGTTTACTGTCAGGGTGATCCAAATGTCGCGGTTATTGGGAAACTCGTCGCGGGCCGCGAGACGTACTTCTCCACCTCCATTGACAATGCCCCCGCGGATCGATAGATTGTAACAATTCTCAATGAGAATGGCATTGTTTCCGTTGCTAGAGAGGTCAACGCTCTCGATGACAGTTGCTCCAGATTGTGAAACGCAGAAGATGCCACGACCGCCACCACGGGACACAACTTTGTCAACATGAACATTGGTGTTGTAATTGCCGTTAGCATTTTGGCCGTTATTGTTTGCCATGCGAAATGTTGCGTACCCGGTACCTTTGGCGACGTTGTCACCATCGACAAGTTTAACATTGGCGTTAATAGTCTTCTGAAGCAGTAATCCGCACTCGCCGACATCTTTCGCGATGACTTGATTGATTTCAAGGCCATCAATGTTCCAGGTCTCTACAGCATGACTACCAGCACCGGTAACCTTGATGACATCCATCTTCACATTCGAGTTTGCAGCTGCGTCTCTGTCGAAACGGATGCCCAACCCCCCGCTAAGATTCATCGTGATTTTCCCAAGAACCAGGTTCTTGGTGCCATAAAACCGCAATCCAAAATACGGATTCCCGGTCATGGTAAGGTACGGAATTTGAACACCAGAAGTGTCCAACGACTCAATTGCACCATGCCCAGCCCGGTTTCCAACGTCGATAGTACCGCAGCCTTCGAATATCTTGCCACTGCTAATGGTGATAGTATTGGCTCCAATGGATCCCGAGGCCATGACGGAGACTCGTTGACCGCTGCTTATTGAATCCACAGCTGCCTGAATCGCAGCGCGGTAGTCAGAGCCAGAATATACTGTACTTGAGCCTTTAGTGGCCTTGAAAGAGTTGGCAGAACCGGACACAGTAGCATCTGGAGTGCCAGAGCCGCACTGCGCCTGAACAACGGCGACAAGTGTGAGCGCCGCCGCGATAATAAAAGATCGAGCCATTATAAAGTTTCTTATATTTATAGAGATCAAGAAGCAGACTGGGATTATCGTCCCGTCGTGCTTCTAAGTGCGGTGAAGGCGCCATTTTTATAGACAGTGAATGGCCGAACTCATGAAATTACTGCGTATCCTTCCACCGGAGTGCCCAGGGGCAATTTATTTACCTACAAGCTTGGCGACATTGCACCGGAGTAATCGATTCCACGACATGTTGTCGGTGCCAATGTCTACATTTCTATTAACGCACCAATCCGAAAGTCGAGTTGCAGCCAGGATAAGTTAGGTAGGCATGAAATAGGTCTCTTGGCATAGAAAAGGGGCATCCTGCTCCGCAGCTGGCTTTGGTTGCAATGCAAAATAAGCCTAATTATATCAACGAAGAATATCAAGGATACTCACGACTACTTAGTTTAGCAGGGGTCCGAGTAATTATATGCGGAGGTATGGTCTTTGTATTAATATCATCTTTTATACCTACCTAACCTAGGTACCTAACCTAGGTGCTGAATTAAAATCTAGATTATACCCATTAAACTAAAGTATTATACGTAGACATAGAATGAGGCTCTTAAGGCTTGATGCTTTGGAGTAATTAATGTACCTTGAATTCCATAGTAAGAATTCCATAGTAACTTGAAGGTGGCTACCAGTTAATCAAGCTTATGGAATATTCAAAAGGGAGGACAGCGGGGGCGATATCACTGTCCTAGACTGATTTATTGCTTTCGTAGCGAACTACCCAACCGACATCGATGACTAGCTCTTTTAATTGATTATCGAGCTTTATGGTGGATCTAGCGAAGGATGATAATTATTAGGATACCGCGGATCCAAGATTGCCTACGGTTGCGCCAGAAGGTTCTCATTCAGGGGATGCAGTTATGAGACCTTCTGAGATTGGCCAAGTGGTCAGTTTCCGGTGCCAATTATTTAGGCACGACTGAATCCTTTAGTAATTTTACAATTGCGCGGAGAAGGGTAAAGAATGTGCGTCTTTACAATTCACACCAAGTCAATATCTACCAACCTAACGGTTATAGAAAGTCATCGTTGTGTCTAGTTCTACCTATCTGCGTAGTGTAAGCCTTCTAATCTTACCCAGCCTGATCATAGGTAGGTGCTTGCCCAATACGTTGGGAGACAGCATAATATGTACGCGAGCTAGAGGATCTAAAGGTATTGTATCTTGTGGATAAGTTACAAGTCTATTTACGCCAATGCCCTGGCCTCGCCATCCTTTAGCTTACCAGCAGCGACTAGTCTCTTGACCTCCTCGCTCCATACGCCCTTGATCTCGTCTGCGACCTTGAGACCGCCTAGCTTACTAGCTAGAGCTGCGATCTCATCGGGATCTATCTTGCCCTGCACGAGATCGACGTCGTTCAGCACGGTATCGATCTGGGCGGGGCTAGCGTCGCCAGCACCGGCAAAGTAGTTGGCGTCCTTGATAGAACCACGCAGCACACGTTTGTTCTTCTTGACAGCGTTCTTAGCGGCCTCTTTAGCCTTCTTGTTGGCTTCGCGCTCCGTCTTAGCTTTCTCCTCGGCCTCCTTAGCGGCCTTTTCTTCTGCTTCCTTCTTCAGGCGAGCGTCCTCCTTGGCCTTCTTCTCGGCGGCTTCCTTGTCGAGACGCTTCTTGTTCTTGGCGGCGTTGGCTTCTTGGCGGAACTTTTTAATACGCTCATCGCTGGCGGAGCAATCGTCGAGAAGCTTGCGTAGGCGCGCGTTATCCTCGGCCTTCTTCTTCTTGCGGGCGTTAGCGTTCTTACGCTCCATGTGGCGCTTCTGGTCGCGGTTCTCGTTGTCGTCCGGCACATCCTCGTCTAGGTATTCGAACGAGCGCCACGAGTCGAAGTTGTACCAGAAGTTGTAGAAGCTCTCGACTTCTTCTTTGGTCGAGTTCTCATCACCGAAGGTGGGCACGGGCTGCTGCTTGGAGAAGCGGGCCTCGGACTTAAAGACGCGGCTCCAGAGCTTGTAGTAATTACCCTTGGCCTGCTCCTTCTTGGTGGGCGGGTCGACATCGGCCTTCTCGTCAACAGAGTCGAACTGACGGCGCTTGACAGGATCAAGTAGGACCTCAGTAGCTTTCTGAATACACTTGAAGAAGTTATCGTCCTCAGTACTGCCCTGGGCCGCCTTCTTGTCCGGGTGGTGCTTTAGGACCTTCTTGCGGTGAGCACGCTTGATCTGTTCTTCCGTCGCCTTCCATCGGTACTTAGATAGACCGAGTACTTGGTAGTGATCTTGCGACTATATAAAGACGTTAGTAAACTGTGAATAGTAGTAAGTATTTAGCAAATGTTTTAAATATCCTTACCTTCCAGTCCTTAGCTTCCCGCTGAAGCATTAAAGGATCCTCAGGCTCGCTGACATCGCTCTCGTCGTCCTTCTCGATTTTCTTGGCGCTCTCCTGTGCTTGAATCCGGTCATCTTCGGAGAATGTACGCTTATGGCGGGCACGACGGGCATGGGCAAGGAAATGAGGGCCGACAGGTTCAATAGTACGTTGTGTTGATGCAGTAATAGAACCAATTGGTTTGAAGTCTTTCTCTGCAGACCAACCTTCCGGCAGGACCGGCAGAGGTCGTGCTACGATGGTTGTCGTAGCCATTGTTGCTCGTTGCTATACACGTCCGAGGGGTTGAAGGGACGAAAAGTTGTTAGGTACCTTCGTGGGGTTAAAAGAATTATTTTTTTAATCCTTATCTAGAACTTTTACAATTCCGACAGTGGAAAATTATTGCAGGGGTCTCTTGCATTAATACCGAGTTATGCACATGATACCTAATCGGCTAAGTGGATATTATAAGCCACAGCTTAATGCATAAAAGCCACAACCTTTCCTGTCGATTCCGCAAGCTCCAGAAACTTTCTTTGTAGGTACTTCCGGAATACCAATGAATGTTTTTGCATAACTGCTACACAATAAACTTGCCTACCCATTTAATATATGTCTTCTTGGTTAACGATTTCACCTCCAAATTAAGTATATTTATTAGTGGTCAGTGTCAAAATGGCTTTACAAGCCTATAGAGGTCTCCTCCGAGCAGCGAGGGCAGCTTTTCAAGGTAGGAATAACTAGCTAGATGAATTCAAACCTGGCTTGTATAATTGTTGACGCTGTATTTTTAGGCGATGAACGAGTCTTGACTGCAGCACGAGCCTCTATACGTGAAAGTTTCCGCGTCAATGCCTCGCTAGAGTCTACGGATCCCGAGTTACCAGGCGCCATCAAGCATGCTGAAGAAGTCGCCGCCATTTTACGACAGAATATAGTGCAGGGGAAGAAAGACGGCGAAATATATAGTACGTTTTCAACTTGATATGGACTTGGTCAAGGTAAGATATGTCCCTAACAAAACATCTAGAGCTACGGATACACGAGGATACGGAACGTGGCGACAACGATACAGTCAAGTTCCCGAATGGCCAGACAGCTAAAATCGACGGGAAGACATGTGCCGATAGGTGACACGGATAATGAGTTTAAATCCTCGAAGTCTTGTATTATAGCATGATACCCACAGTGTACCAATAAACATCATAGCCACTGTTAAGTGGTTGCGCATCCTTATGATAGATATCTCACTGAAACCCTGTTGTAATCGCAATTGTAATCGCAATGCTCAAACGCCGCCTATGCAATAAGTCATCTCTTCTTCTTTAGTCTCCAGCCAAGCTAGCATAGTTGACGTCTGCTGTCCCCGGCGGCGGTGCCACCATAGTCATGTTATCAATATCCTGTGCTGTTCCGGCCTGGCTTGCTCCTCCCTGAGACGGCGGTGCTCCGATCGCTTTGGGACCGCCATTTCCTCGTCGTTGGTCTGGAAATGCGGATCGACCATCGCGAGCCATAGAGGCCCTTTCCTCCTTATTCATTGTTCCGATCGCCTTAGGTAAACTCCAGCGCACTCGAAGAGGGCAACCTGCAATCACCGCCCGGCCCTGGCAAGCCTCGGCTGCTTTTTCAGCGGCCTCTCGCGTCTCGTAGTTGATAAATGCGCAGTGTGACATATGACTACAGATCAACGACTTGATCTTGCCGTGTTCCTTGAAAAAGTCTCGGATTTTGTACTCGGGTAAGTCATCTTCGACACCGGTAACGAATAGGCTCATGATAGATTTGTCGGAAGGAGGCATCCAGTCTTTAGGACCGGGTGGTAATTGCGATGCACTAGGGAACGGTCTCCCTCCTCTTCCCGGTCTCGGGCCTGTACCAGCACCTGCTGCCACCGCTGCTCTAGAGTCGCGAGTACGTATCGGACCCGGCCCACCGATGCCAGCTCCTACCGCTGGACTGCCTCCTCTTGAACTTCCAGTGGGCTTCGACTCTGTTGCGCTTCCATCCTCAATTGCCCGACCCTTTCTGAAATACGGCTTGCTGTTCGCTAGTCGTCGTAACAGCTCACGCGCCTTCTCGTCCGTCTTCTCATATTCTTCGGTACCCCTCCCCTCTTCGAGAGCCTTCTCGTTGTTCTGGGCGAAGTACTCGCGGTTGACTTCGCTCTGAGGTCCAGGCGCAACCATTTTAAGGGCAGCATCACGAAGTTGGATGGGTAGACCAAACTGTAAGTCTAGCATACAGCATTGACAGCAATTCTTCATACGTGCACATGTAAGGCAGACGTTTGTGCGTTTCTTGCGGCCGTGGGCGCGGTCGGCAGCCCAAGAGAAGATGGTATAAGGTCGCGTACAGATCTTGCATTCAGCGCCGTAGTCCTCTTTCAACATCTTAACATATGGATTTGGCGGCAGGCAATTCTCACATACGGATGGAAAGTCAGTTGACTCCCAGCCCGATCGATTCAGGTCTTGTTTTATTTGAGGCGGCATGTTGCGAGAAAAAGCGGTTAAAGTTTTAACATTAGTGAAGGTGTCGCGACGAATTGGAAATTTGAGGCGTCCGTAGCTTAAAGTTGAATCATAGTGGGTCCCGCTAAAGATCTAATCCTTATCTATGTATCAGGTGAGTTGGTGAGGCTGCATTCCATAGTTTAATTTTTACTTTGTGGCTGATGATGGCAACATGGATCCATCTGAGGTCACACGCTGAATTCTATTGGTTAAGGAAATCTTTCAAGGAATGTCCCTTTTAGAAGCATATATCATAACATTTGGTGCATAATGCAACTATACAGGGTCTCTCTCATCTCCCCCATGGGGTCCGCCGCCCAAGCCAGTGACCCGGGATCCATTTTAACTTCAAAGATGGAATTTGGGTTTAAGCCCGGCGGTTCAAACTCCCATTTCCTAAACAAAACATAGCGGACTCCCCTATTTGTCTATTATCCCAACAAGCCACAATGCCTAAGAGCTACAATGTCTAATAAAACCAGCAAATCCAGATTTCCATATAGAAGCCCCATGATCAGATTAGAAATTATTTGGTCTTAATAATATAACCATAATTTATAATAGACAATTCGCCCTCTCGTGAACCATGTTTACCCTTGCCACATTTACCTTCACCGCGGGCCGGTGAATACCCCCTCAACAGGTATCCAACTACTATTAAGAATCGAGATATAAACTCAGTTAAACCACCGAGCGCTTCTCCGCAACAAAGGTCCGTGTTGGGAAGTTGGGGGGAAAACACCATGTTGTTGTCGTACCATATCACCAGCTCTGCTAATTTTCATAAGACACATGTTAGATAAGTACTCCAAGTTCAATGTTTTACTGGAAACGTAAAGCAACCTGAAGTAACGGATATGTAAGTTATGCCCTGTCCACGAGACCATACTCAATTGACTAGTTCCGGTCCGGCTCCTTAAGTGGCGTTTCCTGTCTTCTTATGTTGAGATAGTATGGTGAATCCTAAACGAGATGAGACAACTCCCCATATGTGTTCATGTTTGGGCATGCCATGGGAAACCTATATCTATACCCTCATTCCCCATCTTTTTCCATAGGACCACCTAGCTATCTTCACCCTCCTACCTTATTTATTCCTAAGACTTCCTTCCCTTGTCAGAAAACATAATGGAAATTTCCCAGAATAGGATCGGGGAAGATCCTCAAATGGCCAACCAACCCGCTTCACCTGTCCAAGGTAGCGGTACTGGCGAAAGCGTCTCGGCACAATCTACAACATCGCGGGGAACTATACCCAAGCACACTATATCACACGACGAAGCCGCATTGATACACGCAAGCTCAGATCCCAGCATCCTTACGGAAAATGACTGTCCGGAAGCCCTAGCTTACGCATGGCCCAAGTGGAAAAAATGGGGGACACTTACCATCATCTTCCTCGTCCAAATCTCTAGTATGTTTCTCGTTATTTTTATATCACTATACAGCCTATATTCTCCCTGCTTCGAATTCCTATATACCTTATTGAAGCGCGGATCCTAATTTTCACTCCTTAGTGAATTTAAACGCTTCTTTATACGCAAACGGACAGAGCGGTATTGTTAAGGACCTCGGTGTTAGCAGCCAAGCCGCAGTTAGTGGCGCCGCCGTGTTTCTCGTCCTATATGCGTTTGGATGTGAGCTGTAAGCCTAATCAATATAATCTCAATCCCGGCCCTCATATATTAAACTCTTCCATAGATGGGCGCCTTGGTCTGAGGAATTCGGAAGAAAACCTGTTCTTCAATACTCGCTTCTTATGGTTAATTTATGTTGCATCCCTGTTGGTCTCGCCAATATCCATCGGTCATTCGTTGGTATTCTTATCGGGCGTGCGTTTGGAGGCCTTTTCTCCGCCGGCGGTAGTGTTACGCTGGGAGTTGTTGCGGACATGTTTACCGCTGATGAGCAAGAACTTCCGCTGGCATATATTGTCCTCTCGTCCGTAGGTGGCTCCATCATCGGACCCATCATCGGACCCATCATCGGCGGATTTATCGAACAAAATCTCTATTGGACGTGGACGATTTGGATCCAACTCATCTTCGGATTATTTGTCCAAATACTACATTTAGCATTCGTTCCAGAAACTCGTTCCGCCATTCTAGTTAATAGGTATGCCAAGAAAATGAGGGAGGCGAAATTCGAAGCGACTGGCGAAAACAGCAACGTCTTCGGACCCTTCGAGTTGAAACCGTTCACAGACTATCTAGTCCCAAAGGAAGTTTTTGCTATATGGACTCGTCCTTTCCAGATGCTCTACAAGGAGAAAATCGTTATGGTGCTATCTTTGCTGTCCGGGTTTAGCGATGCCCTAATATTCATGCAAATTCAGTCATTGCGTCGCGTATTCAAGCTGTGGAACTTTACTAACATCCAGATAGGGCTTGTAGGTCATACCAATAGTCCCGTTAGATCACGGTACATTTGCTAATACTATAACCAGGCTTTTATCCCATTTGGACTTGCTTATATCCTAGGGTATCTACTATTCATTCCATCCATATACCGTAACCGGGCGTTACGGGCGAAGAATCCTCTTAGTGAGCACGCTCAATACGAATCACGATTATGGTGGCTTCTCTTCACCGCACCACTTCTCCCCATCGGATTAGTGATATTTGCTTGGTCAAGCACGCCCGAGGTGCATTGGATTGCCCCGATGATTGGGTGTCTCTTCATCGGCATCGCTAATTATACCATCTACATGACCACTATCGACTATATGGTGAAAGCGTACGGTCCTTACTCCGCATCTGCAACGGGAGGCAACGGCTTTGCTCGTGACTTCTTGGCTGGAGTGTTGACATGGGCTGCAGCACCATATTACGACGCGTTTGATTTTCATTATGGTCTTCAGGTTGCGAATACCGTGCTTGCCGGTATCGGATTGATTCTCGTAGTCGCAACATTCGTCATCTACTACAAGGGGCCGTCGATGCGGAAACGTTCACCCTTCGCCGAGTCCATAAGCCATAGCAGAAGCGATGCTTCCGTGGAAGCTCCACCTTCGACAATCGTTTGAAGAAAAACGAGAAAAGAACCTGGAGACAGGTATTCGAATATCAACTAACTAGTTGGAACGGAACTCAGTAACAAAAAACCAAATCAAAATCAAAATGCCCTGTATATACGATATAACGTATATAGTTAGCAATCTTACGATATTTAATATAGGTATTTACTTAGCTATTTAATTCAAGGTCGTATCTAGTTTAACAATCGAGTGTTAATTCTCTAAAAAGACATTGGAGTAAGCTGGTACTCTACTAATATGTAACTAACATACCTAGGTACGCAAAGTATAGTATGATAATACACGGCCTCGTTCGAAAAGGACAATGAGAAAATGCAAGAAAGAGGGAATTTTTTATTTTAAGGATAATACGCTATTATTATACCTATCGTGACCTTTATGTTGCCATTTTTACTTGTTGGAGCTATCCGCCGGCCTCTGAGTCCCTGCCAAGCTCCGGAGTCCGAGATGTCGGTTCTTCGGGGCTCCGAGTCCTCTCTATGATAAACAGGTGGACGCCGAGAAATTTCACCCCACACTGTCAGAGTCAGACCAATTATTCCCATCGGCTAGCTATTTTCTAACAGGTTCTAGCTTCCATTCACTACCTAATTTAAAGAATAAGACACCCAAAAAGGAAAAGAAAATATACTTGGCTTTCTTGTCTTTATCGAGTTAATAAGGTCGGTAAAGAGGTCACAAAAATGCTGTTAGTACTAGAAAATGCAGTTACTTAGACGGATATACCGCTTGCTTGATACCTATAGTTGATAGTTGGAATACAATAGAGCTCTACATAGAAAGAGCATTTGAAATTTAGAAAAATTACAATATCCACTTTATGGCCAGTATAAACTTACTCAAGGTTAGACGCAAGTTTCGTCATTCTTTAATATATCTTTTTAATGTATAAACGCTACGACTAATTTATTTTACGCCCACTTAGGAGATAGGTACCTGTTAGGTAAGTATTATCGAACAGTACAGGTCGGCAAAAGTTATTACCATATACGTGATACCTGATTAACCGCAGCTCTGGGAATGGCAAGCTTCTTTTTACGGCGCGGGGTATTGATACTAGAAGCTTGATATCCTAAAATAAGTAAAGGGCGGCCGCTAGGCCTTTAGACGAACTGATTTAGGTTCAGGGCAAGACACCATTGAACAAGCCGAACGAAGTGACAAGATAATTACTTGAAACTATCTCATGTGAAAATAATCCACTCACACATACTACGAATAGTTAAACTGAAATATCAAGTAAGATACCATATTTTACACTAAGATGATAGACCATCTAGCCCGGTTGGTAGAGGTATGTGTGACAGGATTTATGGGAAAATGACTCGGGTAGAATTCTTGGCAACCAATCCAGAAGAAAAATGAAGTAAAACTATGGTCAATGTGATGGTAGATCAAGTGACGATGAACTGAAGTAAATTATTTGTAGTTATGAAACAATCAATGCCTGTCCTGCAAATGAATTCATATAAGTTTTATATAGTGCGGTGTGCTGATGGTATCAAATAGACTTCATCTTCCTTTGACGCCCACCACCCCCTTCATATGTCCTGTTATCTCCCGGTGTCAGTTCGTCCTATCTTTATTCTAACTTATACACAGAAGGGTTGAGATTGTTTTAATCTCGAAACATGAAGTCAACTCTATCACTTTTCCAGGTCCTCGTGACTCTGGCCATGGCCTCTCCGCATGAACCGAGACAAGCCATTGACACATCGCTCGTCGATTCTGCACCAAGCGTGACATCAGTTTCTATACCGATCGGGCCGACTGCCGATTCAACAACATATAACTTAAGCGAGGCTACAGAATCTGCCACCGAGAGTCCTCTGCCCGTAGGAACTGAACCCGCCACACAACTAGAGCTTGTCGCACGTCAAACGGCATGCCAGACCAACCCTGCTGGTGCAGGCCCTACACCAAATCGTGATACCGACAGTGCTTTTCTTGGGTTAAGGGCATTTGCTAGAATCGCGACCCAAGCACCTACACCATCTGGGTATAACGTAACCTTTGTTAATATACATGCCAGGAGTGTATCTTATGGATACCTAGGCTTTATAACCGTGGACTCCTATGACACGCAAACTTGCGCCGACCAATGTGATGATGTCTGGCGTGGCTGCCAGGGTTTTAATATCTTCTTTGAAAGAGATCCTTCTCTCGCGCCAGGCACTGGCTGCACGAATCCTCCCTCGACTACCAACATTAAATGCATTTTCTGGGGCGGTCTTGTCTCTGTCGAGACAGCTATCAATACTGGACAGTACGTGGCAGACTTCCACGTAGTTATCGCAGGGTCGAATGGATATATGAAGAATGCCGTCCCTACCGTCCCCGGGTACGATGGCGAGCCTACCGGAAACGACACTATGTACGTAAAATTGAGGGCTCTTTACTCCTCCCCAAACCTCTGAGGGACCAGAATTTCTTGGTTAAGGGGGTAGAATGCTTATAGCCTCCTAAACACCGTCTCAGCCCTCATTTTGAAGAGGTGATTATTAACCCGTGTCAGTGATGTACCGCCCGACGACATGGATCCCACTCCTACTACGACGACAACGACGACTGCAAGTACATCTACCACATCCAGTCCTACCAATACAGCGCAAGGAGGCACCTATATTGGTTCAAGGATCTTCACCAATACTTTCTTCGACCCAGGCCTTTGGTACGTACAATGTCTACACTTTTAATACACGAATCTCCTATTTCTCGAATAATAGTAACTAACTTTCAGAAGTGAGTGAAATAACTCTTACCTATAACGCTATGCTGTATTGCTACGTTGCTTCTACTACCACGTCAAATTAGCAACGGAACGCAAATTTTTAGTGTTCAAAACTGATACAATATGGTTTAATGAACAGGTGCCGCCGCGTGCGATGCTCAGAATCGAAACAACCTTGCCAATCCTCCCGAGACGGGCCAGCCGCAGATATGTCGTTTCTTCACGACCTATCTACTCCTTAGGAATGGCCGGCCTGCTGGCCAATATTGTGCCCTTTATACTCGATATTACTCCAGAAGATTCGCTACTAACGGCGTAAGTACTTTGCAGCTGTTTCCAGTAGAAGTTACACTAACAAGCCATTCCTAGGGTGCACGAATCGGTGGTGATACTTTGTCTGTGCGCCACGCCTTTTCATACAGGAATAGAAGGGCATTATGATTACCCTATCCAAGGTGTTGCCCACAAGGCATGATTAAGATAGGCATCGGTGCTGAATTCAAAAGTCGTCGTATAGGTAGAGGCTTTTGGCGAGAACGCTTGAACGCTACATTTACTAGGATGGCTCGTGATACTTTCGCTGTGGCTGGATGTAACAAATGTTTGATCTTTTATTTAGGTATCAATGGTCGCAAATTTACATGACTGCCAATAAATCCTGTCAAGTCTTTTTTTTAAAAAAAAGAAAAAAGAAAAAAAAGGGGCGCAGGCGAGCACCCCAGGTTCCTAACGCATCAGCACATCCCGTGACAATGCCGTAGACTACTTCGTAACATGGCATTTCTAAGCTATGCTCAAATGACCAGATATTATAACTAGGTACCTAGGTACCTATTATTGAATAAATTCCCAACATCGCCATTCTAGTATACACTCAATATTAGCTGGATAATAACAAGTGTCTCGGCCTCAGATGATCCTCACGACACGCCTTTTCAAAGCATGCTTAATCTCCGCAAGGATAGCCAGCGAATCAACTGCTTCCTTACTATCCCAAAGCACGGTTTCTCTAGCAGTAAGATAGAGGCGCTCTATCCGCCTCCAATCATTACCACCTTCAACGCTTTCGAGTATTAAGAAGCATGCGCGTTCGGTAGCCTGGAGGACACGCCGCCACTGGATCAGCTTTAAGATTGCAAACTTTTGCCCTATATAAGCTCTATGCTTTTGTCTGTATTCACTACTTACTGTAGCTTTCAACATGTCGGAAATTCTTGCTAATAACTTTGGATGTGGCGATGGTGGATGAGGAGCGCTGAGTAAGTCCTGAGACTCCAGCTCTAGAAAAGGAGCACGGATAGTGATACTTCCCCCCTTTACGGCACCAAAAGGATCATGAGTAGCAAGCTGTATACTGACATCTATAACTTCGGCGAAGCGTTTGACGCGATCGAATTGCAAGTCAGCCATGAACAAAACCTTTCGACCCAGTATACTTGCCCAACTCCATGATGGAGCAAGATATTGGTCAAGTGAAGTTGGCTCGTCTTCGACATGGCCACTGGGTATGAGTGAGGCTCTTGTCTATTGCATTCCAAGATTAGTCTTGTGCTAATTCCTACATGTCTAAACCGGGAGCAATATCCCAGATACTCAGGTATTTTCAATTTTATAACTTGCTTACCCAGGTGAGGCCTTGTATCAAATCCATCTTCCAAAGTCCAGCAACGTACGTATCACCCGTAGCTCGGTGGAACTCTCTTGCGAGTCCCGACAATGCAGGAAGAGTGTCAGTTGGCTTGGTGAGTTGCCTAGATGAATAATTCTCGATGATCGTCAGCCAGAAATCGAAATGTGACATCCCGAGAAAAAGACCAGGCGGCTTGAAGTATCCCTGCAATGTGAATGGTTTCCAGACAATGGCTCTATGACGTATAGTTTCTAGATCTCGTGCCTGGAGGATATTTGTTAGTGATAGCCATGGAACTGTAGCAGCCGGGGGGATATGCATCTCTCGAAGAAGAGCGATCAATTATCTCCTCCAACTAGGAATTATCTCTCGACGGAGTGACAGAATGAATTCTTTACTGCGATATACCTCCACTATCCTAGCGGTCCGCCCTGCTTCATCCACACTCCCTTTCGGACACTCAAAACACAGCTGCTGTTGACCGAACCATAATGTGCGGGGTGCCAAGAGGGTTTCCTGCAAAACCCAACCTCTAGTGTTCAGAATGCTCTGACGCATCCTTTCATCCCATAGTTCGGACCCTAGGCGCAAGAATACTTTAGGCGGATTCTTATCACCGTTCTTCCAGTCAAGCCAACATCTAAGGTGACTCGACGCTACTCTTTCTCGGAAGATCCCCTCGCTAGTTTTGGAAGCACATGCTGCCGCTATCGTGACAACTGCTCCTCTGTAAACTTCGCGCATCTGGCTAGCCTCCTGGGCCCAATCCTTATCAGAGTCTTGAATAATGCATAACGCATCGATCCAGATGTAACGGATACCGAGGGCTTTGGTGATGTTTATGGCATCACGAATAGTAGGAGGAAACTCGTTAATTGGCCGACCCTCGCGAAATAATCGTTCAGTTCCTGTTGTAAGTATGAAACCAGAATCGCCGCCCCAACAATATGACAGCGCCGCAAATGTTCCACATTGCCCGCCACCATCAACAAGCCTAAGATTCACTCCCTCCGTATCGATAATTCTCGTCGGAAGTTTAGAAGAAGTCGGATATTGAGAAGAACAGGACTTATGCTTATTAATGCAGTCGCCCAGCAATCTAGCTGCAAGTTGCAAACACTTTTGCGATCCCGAATAGCTATATATGGACCTAGCAAGAAGATTTTGGTGGTCCAATGGCTCATGACCTACAATTTTATTTACTCATTACTGTACCATCAGAACAAATCATGACTTACCTCTTAGGGCGCATACTTCAAACGAGGCCAAAGTGCGTACAGCTCCCCTTTCCCCGTTTTGAATGATAGCAACATGAGGCAACCCATTAAGAGTAGCGTCCCAGGCGGTCGTCCCTATGAATATCTGCCGCGCGTTCGTGCCCTTGAGTAACTCATCGTGAACAAGTTCGTTGGGGTGAGCATTACTAGCATACGACTGCCATATGCAAGCGCAGAGGTCACATTCATCGATCGAGGACTGCAACGAAAGCAAGTTGGGATGATGTTCGAAAAAGTGAGGGATTGCCGGCCGGAGACATTCTAACGTATCCGGCGCAGTGGGGTCATTAAAGCCTTTGGGTGGTTGAGCAGCGGCTCTCACCAATAATTCTCTCACATCAAAGTTGATGCATATAGCACAGAGCATGCTGTCACTCTTGGGGCTGTTCAGTGAGATCTGGGCAAGGGGGGGGAATGAAGGAGGTTAATGAGACGAGACTGGGACGAGAACAAGACGAAAATGGTCTAATTTCAGATGCAGCTAGCAACAGATCTTCATGTGGTAAAGCCTCGGCAGCTCGCTGTGGGAATGCTTAGAGGGCAGTGTTTTGAGAAGTCCCAGCGACGCGTCACTAAATATGGCTTGTAGGGCTGATTTCATACGGATTCTTTGAACCGGGGTTTTCGGAATATTCCGTGCCACATAAAGTCGTGATTATGGGACTATGGGACTTTATGCAACGTCCCCCTAGTCCCCTGAATCTAAGAATGCTCCGCCTCAACTCGTCGTATTGTTGACCTATACTCTTGAACCCCACGGCTATCAAGGCTACCAAAGACTATTCAGGACTGCTGGAAACGCACAGGGGCATCATTCTATTCCTCCCCTTCACTATGTTACTCTACCTAGGTAGTGTATATCTACATAAGCTAAAAGCCTGTGCCGTTTGGCAGGATGGGTTTAGGGATAGTATGTAGCGAATCAAATTCGATGTGAATCACGCTTGGCAAGATAGTCGACATCTTCTTTTTTCATATCTTATTGATATTCCCCCCTATCAATCTCCAATCGCCCAACTACCGTCGGCCATCTCTACATAACTACTTGCTTCTGCATGGGTACCTATTTTATCTAGCATATAATCCAGCATATAGGTGCGAATTTAGGCTTTTACAAGAGTGAATTTAGTCACAAAAAGGTATCAGGCGAGATCAAATGCCGATCCCAATGGCGTCGAGCGCACCAAGCTGGCCAGGCGTGCGTCCCGTCAAGACATGCACAGAATGCAAGCAATCAAAGGTGCGTAAACCCAACCTCGCATGTTAGGATAGACTCGACTAACGTTGAGACAGCTTCGATGCGACTCCAAGGATAGATTTCCAAATCCTTGTACAAGATGTCAGGCAAGAAACCTTACTTGTACGGTTGATCCGTCCTTTCGGAGGACGCCAGCTAGAAAGTATGTCTTCAGGCTCGTTGACGCCGAAATATCTGCGTCGGGCTTTGCCTTTAGCGGCTACTAATGACGGCGAATAGACGGCTTGAGGCCATGTCAAAAGAGCTACGAGAGCTTCGAGACCAGAGAATATCAGAAGCGCGCGCCGGTTCTACTACGAGCCCAGACCCGGATACTACACGATCGCAAGATTCATCCATAAATGCATCGCAGCCGTCCGTTACTATTATGATGGACGATTTCGAACTGATGGGCTTGGAATCTTTCGATCTTGGTGGTGTTATAATTGACAACCAAACAGTTATCACGGCATTCAAGCAGTGAGTGTTTTTATTATCAAATAAGTCAATCCAAATTAACAGATCTTGCAAGTTTTACTACCTACTTCCTCCCAAATCTCCCAATACTGGGACCGGTATCGCTCAAAACCATTCATCATTCTCACCCGTTCTTATTCTGGACGATAATTGTTGTCGTCTCACTACGTTTACCTGCAACCTCGGATGAGACCTTATTCGATCGACTCCATGAGCCGTACATGAGAATGCTCAGGGAGGAGATTCTGCGGGCTCCAATGCCGCTAAGCAAGATCCAAGCGCTTTTGATTCTTTGCATGTGGCCGTTGCCAGTACCTCACCAAAGGGATGATCCAAGCTGGCTATACTGTGGGATCGCAGTAAATGCTGCCCTTTATATGAGTCTCCATAGATCGAGCCCAAGATCGGGGGTTATACCTTCTCTGCATAGCGTTGGTCCAGTAGGTGGAAGCGCCCGCGAGAGAACAAACACATGGTTGGGTTGCTTCTATGTTAGCACATCGTAAGCCGTTCGATCTCATAAGATTTATCAGCTAGTTAGCTAATTATCTTTCAGTCTTAGTATGCATCTTGGCCTCCCCCCGATGATCAATACTCCTTCCGACCTTTCTGCTATCCGTGCAACTCTCGGTGAAAATACGCTTCCTCGCGAGTTCGCTGTTCAGCTTAGAGTGCTACTCACTTTGGCGGGGTTTACCAATGTCCTTGTACATAATGCAAACGACGGCGTAGTCGATTCTTCGGTCATTCAGCTTCTTGACGGTGAGCTAGATACACTAAAAATAACTTTTCCCGATGGATGGACAAGCATGACTGACCTTAGTGTCCTGGTCGTGAAAATGCACGTTTACACTCTGGTGATAACCCGGGCTCGATCAGGTACCGGCGCGAAGGAAATATTACTTAAATTGGGGCTAGCTACCGCTCTTCGCATCATTCACCTAGCAAACTCGCGGTTCCATGAGAGGCTTGATAAGAATCAGACGTTAACAGCGGCGCAACGCGAAAAAACGCTACCCAAAGATTACTATAGGGGCCTGGCTTTTGCGACTATATTTCTTCTCCGATACTTTAGTCTCAACAATAATGCCAACGCCGAAGAGCAACAGTTAGCAGCAAACCATGTCATCATGGCTCACACGATATTCAAAACACTAGCTACACGTCATCGAGATGAATATGATAGAGCTGCTAGTCTATTCGAAACCCTCTGCAAGCAAGCACCCGTTTCTGCCGATACTAGCAGGCCCAATCTTCCGGATCGAATGGGGGTATCTATAGTACTAGACGCAATCGATACAGCCCGCGAACTACGCGGCTTTCCTATAAATCCTTCGGTACCTGAGATCGCAGTTACTGCAGAACCTCTACCCAGCGACAACAATATCCCACAGACTGATGTCTTCGCTGCTAACACTCATGTGGAGGAGCCTTGGTCATCGGATCTCGCCTTCGCCAACATGTTTTGGGGTGATCCTTCGTGGGATATCTTCAATCTCTCTACTGACACATCGCAGTTCCATTCAGGACATGGGTTATAACTGAGGGTTATAGCGGGTTGCAGTGGTGTAGTAATTGTATATAAAGGCATGACATAAAGATTTAGACATAATAACCAGAACATAATAATCATAAACTACCTACATATAGATACAAATATAATACAGTACTATCAGCACCTCCTCTACACTAAACCTTAGAGAGGGAAGCAAGTAGTTCTTCCGGCAACTTCAAGTTTACAAGCGGAAGATGTTGCTGAGATCCATGAACGTCATTCTCCATGAATCCTCCACCCGGCATCCGCTTGCCAGCTCGAATACGGGGGATTGTGGCTTTGAACGCCTGGGCCGGATCGAAGAACCCACACCACAATATGTCGCTCTCTGGCAGCTTAAAGACGGTAGCTACCGTTTTAACAGATAGAAGGCCGGAGTCCTTGACCTTAAGATAAGTTTCCCGGGACTCAAATATGAGGTCGAAGGTGATCTCATACGGACCTGAGTTCTTGGACCTTACAACTTGCGCCAAGTCTCCAAGTTTAGTAGGCTTGACATATCCATTTGACTTTGAGCCATTAACAAGTTTAGTCGTTGCGAAGCCTTCCTGAGCGTTTCGCTCGACGCCATTTGCAAACCCGTTGGTAGTCGAGATAGGAGCTTTTGACGACGGTCTGTCTCCTTTGCCTATCAACGAAGCAGACTGGGTAAATAGAGGCTTTTGTTGCTTGTGAGTTCCGTTACCGTTTACACCATTGGTAGCAGAAGTTGAGATGCTATCCCCTAGTAATAAACCCTCCTCGCCTTCTTCAAGATCCATGAGGTGGTACATGGTAAATCGCGAGCATGGACCCAACTCGATAACAGACTTGCCGCCGATACCGAACGCAAAGTTCCCCGAAGTAGCCTTCTGTCCTGGATAACTTCCATGCTAGAAGAAGTTAACGAATGACCGCCTTAGACACAAATAGCAATTCAACTTACAATAACACCTATTCTAGCGGTGGCTGCGATACTGGTTGCTAATTCTTGCGTAGGGGCCAGTGCCTCACCAATGAGGAATACCTCAGGAGATGCATTATCTACACCTTCCTCTGGCTTCCCATAGATATGGAAATCAAAATCCCACTTCTCAGTTACATGGCTATGCTGTTCAGCAGCATAGAGTTTGACAAGCTTGAGTAATGCATCGAGTTGGCTAATTAGAATTGCTGCTTCAATATTAGCAAATGAGACTGCGGAACCATTTAGTGGACTTACGATCTCGGAAGCTACCCAAGAACAGTGATCGGTACCCAATGATACTGGCGGCCTCTAGTTTTACTTGATACGGACCGCTCTCTTTCGAGAAATGGAACTTGCTGCCACGGACTTTGATCGTCCTCTGATCGGGTAGCTGTTCGTAGGTCGCAGAGTTCAGATCGAAATATCCACCCGGGCCATGCAAAATATCAGGGCGCGATTTCTCGTACATCGTGTGTGCAGCCACTGATACCGGAGTACAATGGGCCGCCGGCGATAAAGGCGAGATGGTAAAACCTCCGTCCTTATATACTGTTGCAATAGCTCCGTGTGACTTTGGTACAGCACATGTCCCTCCACACTCAAGAATCTTGCCCATGTGCGTGAATCCACCCATCTGGCGTTGGACCACGGCCGAGTCCACATCGTTCGTATCTAATCCGGCCAAATAAGCGCAATAGGCGACGTACGGGGCTGGGTCATAAGCACGGCCGCCGACTATAACGTTAAAATCCGGATTTGCCTTCATCGCGTCGATAAACGGCTCGGGTCCCATCTGCGCGACAACCACTGACGATTCATCGATATCCTCTTCGGTTAAATCCGGAACACATGGCCCGCATCCACGTACGCCTCCTGCCCTGAGGCGTTCCCGGACTGTGTCCTTTTCGATATTGGAAAATATGGCCACGGTCTTCAAGGAATAGTCCTCATTTCCCTCCTCGGCAGCAATTTCTTCGATAACCTTTACAATCTCCCGAACGTGCTCATCGATTCCATCGCCTCCAGCCGAGCTGAATATCAGCGGAACCCGGAACTCATGGACTAACTTGAGCAGCTTCCTAAGATCCCGAAGGTAAGCTGTACGGGGGCAACCCATTACTTTTTGGGCAAGCCTGTCTGGACCACTATCGGTCGAGCCGGAGTCTAAGATTAGAGCGGTCGGAATACCCGTCGCGAGAAGATGTCTTAAGGCGATAGCGTTCTCCTCCTCATTAAGGCCATAGCCGAGCATGCCTACTGGGGTAATGATATTGCATAGAGGTGTCGATGCTGCCTCGGCATCATTGAACTGGTTATTGATTGCAGCTGACATTTTGGAAAGTTTCTGGCTGGGTTGGGCAGATTTCAGGGATAGAAATGAAGGGTATAGTGTATTGGATATTACTTGCGTAGTTGGATAAAACAGATATAAGATAGAGTTGGCAAATAAAGGGGTGATAAGGTATACGGCTCACTACTTATTCTTATAATACAGAGGCGTGTTACGCTTCGTCCAACCCAAATCTGGTCAGTTTCCCCATACATCACCAATAGCAGAGCAGCGATTTAGTCGTAACAACCCGAACCTCGCATTTCATACAGCACACAGCCACTCCCTATGGCACGCTTCGCTTCCATCGGCCGCCCGGCAATGTTCTATCCTTCCGCTGTCGCCGCCTACGCCATGTTGCAGGCCCACTAAGCGAGATTCGCGTCAAGGCCGATATTCGCTATATAAGCCGGAGTTCGGCGCTATGACAAACTACACCATCCCAACCACTAAGTGAAGCATTATCAATATACTGCCTTCATGTATAGCAACCATAAAGAACTTGGTCTGAACCCTGGTTTAATACACCCTCTTTAATATTGTCTCACATCTTATTCTATTCATGTAGAATTGATGCTCCCCATTGAATCTAATGGTAGTCAGTATGCGTAAAATCATGAAATCTATTAACTAGCACGAACATATTATGATAAGTTTAAGATAATGCACTAGGCCTTTTAATATTAAAGGCTAAGCAGGTAGATAAGTTAATACTTAACGTCTTGGCTATGGCTTTACTATTCAACTCGAAGTCGAAAGACTATATTTATTAACTAGGTACCTAATCGTAAAGGTTCAGCGATTGCGTACCTAATCACTTAACTAAGAGTCAACTCGAATTACTACGACTACTTCGCATAAGGTGTATGAAATAAAGTGTCATCTTCCGCTTTATTAAGCATCCGACAAAGGATTAGATCGTATCATATGTTTAAACACGGACATTAACACAAAAGCTATCTTCCGTAGTTTATGACGACGATCGGATCTTGTGATCTTCGTAACGGAATCGGAGTATATCTTTAAATGCCGATGGCATCTTAGCATTTCTCCGCGAATATCACTTGATACATCAAATGTCTAAAGCATAGCATTGTATCTTTAAAACGCCGTTACTGGAAGATTTCTGACCTTAATAGCCATTATATTAGCCCTGATAGATGTGATTAGTTATACGATAAAGTGCTAACATATAGGTTAAGTGTGTTCAACAGTTCTTCTGTCAGAGATACCCCTTGATTGATGTCATACGTAGAGTGAATGTTAAAAGCAGCAGCGAAGCTGCTGTATAGTAGCCGTATAGTAGCATGAATTTATTAACGCTTGATCTTCTATTCTCTTTCGAGGGCGCGCGGCGCCCCTTATATATCTGCTCTATGTAGATCTATAATTAATACTAGTTTCACTTGTCCCCTGACATCTTTAAGGTTGTGAGTTCGAGCTATACCACCTAGTACATATATTAAGAGATCACCTCATAGATACCTGGTTAATCACGTAGTTAATATAACTACCTAGTAAATCCATTTAGTATAGCTTTTGCAATTTAATGAGGGTCGAGTTCGGGTTCTTATTATATGTTTGTTAGGTACTGAAGTCATAATATTAGGTAGTGAAGGATGCCCGAGCGAGATGAAAAGAGCCCAGCTTCAAGTATATTATAGGTGTAATAGTAATTTATGACAGCTCAAAGATAGCGGAAAGTTACCCTCTTTGATAAACTAGTTACCCAGCAGCTGACTCCTCAGTCTTCTCCTAATTACTATAGCTATATCAGTGCATCAGCAGAGCATATGAGATGGACGCATCCTGAATATAATTACACAGGACTCTATGCTTTGATATTGGTATACCTTAATTATTATCAAACCTACCTATCATTGTCATTGTAACCCCGTTTTCTACATTGAAAATCATAATTTAACAATTGTGTTTTAATATTACCCGAGAACGCATTTTGAGAGCATCCAGTAGAGAAAGTATCTTATAACGCAACATCTACTTTCTACATCCCAGGTTACTCAAGGTACCTAGGTGGGTGACCATTTAATTTCTAAGTTGGCTGATACGAATATGTTATGATGATATTATTACGCGTGCTTGACTCTGAAGCTGCTTCTGCTGTTCTGACCCTGGATGCGGAAAAGATAACTACCTAAAAGTAAACCTTGCTGTAAGGTCTGCCTCGGGATTACTTGAGAGCTTAGATTAGTAGGCATATAGAAGGTTCGTAGCTCTCTAGACAATAGTAAAGGTATTTTCCCGCTGCTTGCTTGATCGTTTTGGCTTTCAGGTGAAGAGGCTCCGAAGAGCACATAAAATTGATGAACATCATAACGCGTTTTGCTCTTATACTCTAGGCTAGGTGATTACCTACCTATTTATATGCCTCGCGTAGTAAGTTGGCCTAGTACGAATACCCTACCCTGATATGCTCTAATTGTTAGATGCGAGCACAAAATAATACTTGAGTGTCATGGTCATTGAACGCACGCTCAAAGTATGCTTTACCTCGTACCCTGATCAGCAAAGTAGGAACATTTATATATGAATTAAGGTTTCAAGTACTTGACGTGGACTTTAACTTAATATCATCAATGTCGAGAAGCAAGGAATATCGTAGGCAAGATGTAAAAATAGCTAATGTCATATTTAATACTAACATTGGTGTTATTTGCATAGCAACGGGAACACGACAAGAGCTTGTCTCTAATTACGTCCTACGTTTTTAGTCATTTTAACTACATGTTAAATATGTTAAAACTAGGTAGCTTAATAAGAAGGATATGCCTATCAGGTACCTAATGGAACACCACTGAATATACGTTCTAAAAAGGGCATTTTAGATAAAATCTGGATTTCTATAAAAGCTGTTTTACTTGCTCGGGCATCGACTAAGTTCGAGGAGGTGTACCGATGTCCAACATATAGTGCCGAGCTGCGAAGTAAGGGATGAGCGGCACTTTAGGTACTGCTATAATATCCAGTTCTCAGCCGCTTGAACATTGAAGGTAGTATCTGTTACCGAAAGTAGCCTCGGGCCAGATATCTCGACTGTTTAGATATGTACTATAGCCTATGTAGCTTGCCAATATCTTAGCTTCGAGTAACTTCAAGGCTATCTTGTACTGATTTCGTCATGGAACTGTAACCAACTAATCACTTCCCCGGCACCTCTTCCTCGTCGGATACGTCTTCCCCTGCTTCAATCGCTTTCTGTCGCTTCTTCGCTTGTCGTTCCTTTTTCTTCTCTAATAATTTGGCCAGCGTCTTCGCAGTATTGAAAACACCTCCCGTACCCGCGCCGCAGGCAGCACAGCTCGGATCTTTTTTATACCTCTGTAATGCGCACGGCAAGCAGAAGTAGTGTTGACATCTAGTCACAATGGGCTCCTTATACGGCCCCTTGCAGATGATACAAGCGAACGGTATCTTCTCTAGTAAAGCTTCTTCGGCTGCGTCAACGTCAGCTTCGTCGGCATTCGCGCCGCGATTGGCGCTGGCCATTACTTTTCCGCCTAGGGTTTTCTTCCCCTTGTTTACGTTTTCCCAATCCTTATCTAGCTGCCAACCTTGTTTGTAGTCCTCACGAGCATGCAGGAACTTGCAGTTATCCCCGAACCCACAGAAGCCTGTCTGCTTGTAGTCTTTGCATACATCAGGCGCGAAGTCGGTGACTGTGATGGTCCTGATGTTGGTGGCAGCCTTAATAGGCCCAACCGTCCGATTGGGCGCATTCGGATTTTTCTGTATGAATTTGGTCTGGTTGGCGAGGCCTTTGTAGGTCCCATCGGGTTGTATGGAAGGGTCTGCCGTTGCATCTTTGGATTTGGGGAGAGGTCGCGTCTTTCCTAGTAGATTTGCGTCCTCATCAAACCAATTTGTCTGTTTTGTAGCATCGTTTGTACTTGTGATAGGTACATTACGATCGGCTTCGAAGACGGTGGCGCCGTGATTTCGGTCGGTTCGTGTTACATTATCCTTGGATGAAGCTGTCACTACCGCAGTATTCTTCTTGCGTCGCATGACCCGTTGTCCTGATTCGTCTTCGGATGATGTATAATCGTCACTGTCGCTGTCGGCAGGCGGTGGTGTCGCTGGGCGTTTTCGGATATTGGCTTTCCCCTTTGCGCCTCGTTTTTTGAATATGGCAACTGGAGCGATAGGAGTGTTGGTCGCTGTTGGAATACTCGGCGTACTGTCGTCGGCCATCGTATAATATTATTTCGGGAGTTTGTACTCAAAGGATTTTATAATGCAGCGAGGAGGGCTGGATGTTGATTTGGTTGATATTGAGGAAATAGGTAAATTTTGCGTCATGTAGCTTGTAATGTTTTCTAATCAAAAGCTTCTGGAAACACTGAGCCTTATCGTACAGGCTATGTATCAACAGCAATCGTCAGGATTTAGCGTATGTACGAATTGTTCCATGTACAATACATACAACGTATTACCTGAACTAGGCTTTATTGGTCGAAACACCCCTACAGTGCGACCGTAATGTACCCAGTTAATTGTCTTTTCAGGTCTCAGCCTTGTATTGTTTCGACTAGCGGGAGTTAAAATTAGCAGGGAACCCCTCTCCGGCGGTGGGGAGCTCTAAGATTGGGTTCTCTTCAATGCTTCATGCGTAACACACGTAACACGATAATTTCCTGTGATCCAATGGTTTCTTGCTTCGATGCCGCAGATAGGTTGCCAGCAAGTTGTATGACGTGTTATGAGATTGAGCTTTACCGGATTCTAGCTCCATATTTTACAGCCAGAAGATTATAAAAATATACGTACTTACCTTCTAAATTCACTGTTGTTAGGTGTAGATGTGGGGAGAGTATGTATAGGTACCTAACCTATGTAGCTCGTGTCATACATGTAATCTGAGTTGGAATAGGGATTATTTGTACGAAATATTGCATAGGTACATAGGTCGGTACCTGAAGTATTTAGTACCTAGGTACCTAGGTATATCATTAGAAGTCTCAGCCGTACAGTACTGTACTAGGCGCACTTTAAGCACTAACGGCCCGCCACGTGTTAGGAGCTAATACTTAATATTTTCACACTGTCTACGGGATATTGCATTGATCCCTACCGTAGCTCATCCACACTTTGTCGCAAATCCACAATGCCATTCAATTGCTTAGTACATACAGATTTTCCGTTCTTCCTATCTTCAACATCGGCATCTTTATTGACTCTTGTCCCCCCTTTCTCTCTCTTCCCTCTGTTGTTTCTCCCGGCCTCCCTTCTTTCCGTCCGGGTCCGTTCTTATTATTTGCGAGACAGCTCTTAGCCAATTTAGGAATCCGACTATTTCTTAGACGGATTTCCCAAGTCTCCAAATTCTCAGCCTCCGGATCCCGTTTGGAGCTCATTGTTTCTTCTTGAGCAGGACGCGTCGTCTTACACGGCACCGGTCAACCGCATGCTCGCGCCGTACCTGCATTCTACCTAACAAACTTACACACTCATTTAGTCACTTATCTCGTCATTCGCTCATCTGCTGTACACTCTTCTAATTGTATCACCCTGAACTTTTCCCATTTTCTTAACCCCAAACCAAATTACTCGCGACACCTTTTTGTTTCCTTCCCCCCCCTTCTCGTAGGGAACTTATTCTGTCTAATCAATTGTTAATACCTACCATCCTTACCTTACGTTACCTTACGTTACCTTACGTTACCTTTAATCCCGACTTTTTAACAAAACGACCGATTTCCTCTTGCTTTTTTCATTTTATTCCGACAATTACTTGCAGTCGACAACATCATCTCGATTATCCTAGACGGGTTAAGGACAGGCCAGGACAAATTTGAATAATACAACGTACCTTAGGTACCTGTCCTAAAACCTTGGGACGTGCAAAATTGTCTTCCTGGGCGGGCACCTGCGTCGCGTATTTCCTGTGCGACAATTTGTTTAGATTGTGCCTTCGCGTTGTACAGTCGCAATTGCACCTGCATGTTTTCAACCCGCGCACTGTACTTCGTACCTCATAACATTGGATTGGTGGAATCGACCTGTCAAAACTTCAAACTCGGACAGACACCGCGTCTTTGAGTTTATAATTCTACCAGTAACATTTGCGCTACCCCTGTTACTAAGAATTCCAGCGCATTCGAATTGACCTGAGACTTTGATCGAGGAACGTCATCCGAGGCATTCAATTCTGATTGACAGCAAATCAATAGAAAATTTTTTGGCCATTAGCTGTTCTGTTTGCCATATTTTTCTCCGTCATCAGGATCATCCAAGTCATCTCACGCCAAAGGTTGGGCGCTGTCAAAGTCCACGCCACACGGTTCGAATCTTATTGGACGTGTACTTTACTCGCTGGGCCTTCGGTTTACCACTCAATCCTTTTCAACTCATTAGGCTGCATCTCTTTGGCTCTTGGACCAGGGGCAGTATTCGTTAGCTCCCGCCACGTCAAAAACATCCTCTTACCAGATTTTTGCGATTCACGTGCGGCCTTCGCGTCTTTATCAGGCTGCATGCCACAATTTTAATCCAAGGGGAAATCGCCTTCTCCTTGGACACCTGCAATCGGCAGCGTGATGGCTTCCTTTGGTAATAGAGGCGGGGCTTCATCGCCCTCGCCTGCCATTGATTCTCGACATGATCCTTTCGTAGTAGCGGCATCACCTCCAAGTGCGGGTCGTCACCGATTATCCACCTTTGACTCTCAAATTTTTTCGCTAAGTCCCAATGCTTCGCCAACGCAGGCGAAGCGTGCATTAGAGGCTCATCTAGCCGAGACGGATCGAAGAATGGAAGAAGCTGGGAAACTAGGCACAGCTTTGCTACAACAGCGCAAGGAGCTAAGTCAAAGATTAATGGAAGTTGAGAAGCAGCAGGCTGAAGGAGAACTTTCTGATGATCTGCGACAAAGACTGGCTGAGATTGAAAAAGACTATAATGATGTCGCCAGGGAAAGCGCACGTGCATTTCTACCAAAGCAGAGGATCCCTAGTAATGAAGCTGCTGCTGGATCGCCATTTGCGCCAGAAAGCAAAGGAGGCAGAGTGAGATTTTCTAATATAAACTTCAGTGAGCATCAGTCAACTAATTGTTAACGCAGCGTTCCGTGAGCCCTTCCAAGTTCGAAGACCAGGCAACTGCATCTCCAACCAAATTCAGTGTCCCCAACCGAAAAGTCCGAAACCAACCTGCCAATCGAATCCACGACATCGAGTTTGCGGCGGAAATCAGCACATCTCTAATTGCCCAGGTGCGCAATTTACAAGGCCTGCTTGCCGAGAAGGAAGAAGAGTTGAAAGAGATCAGAGTTGAGAAGTCTAAGCTTGAATACGAAGCAGAAGGTTTCCAACAGCGAGTTAAGACACTGGATGAGAGTGAGCATCGTTACAAGGATGAGAACTGGAGTCTCGAGACTCAGGTTCATGATCTCCTTGCTAAGGAGAGAGAGGCCGAGGATCGGTACAAAAAATTGCAACAGACTCTAACTGTTCTTCAAGCCGAGAAGAATTCCACCCAAAAGGAATTGGACGAGGTCAAACTGAATCACTCAAAACTTAGCGAGGAGTATGCTGCGGTAGTCAAGCATCACGATATAGAACTTGGTTCTGCAAAACGTAATATAGTCATTGCCGACACCGAACGAGCGGCCCTGCGCAAGAGGATAGATGAATTGACCGGACAGAATCAAGAGCTCGCCAAAGCAGTATCCGCTTCGCAGAGAGCGAGAGTGGTCGAGCGCGAATCAATCCTTGGTATGAACCAAGAAGATTCCGAATCTGCGCAGGACAAGACAACGCCGGAACACTCACCTCCTCCTTCGCCCGTGAAAGGAACACCGCGACACTCTCTGTTAGAGTCAGAAACGCTCAAGACATCTTTAGGCCATGCTCATCGCACAATCCAGGGACTGAGGAGCAATGTGCATAGGGAGAAGACTGAAAAACTTGAACTCAGGCGCATGCTACAAGAAGCTCGCGATGAACTAGAGAAATTACGAAACGAGCCTCCGCCGCCACCTAAACGCACACGCAAAGCCGAGGTGAAAGAGCAAAGAAAGCCGTTGCGGGGACTACTGGGAGGCCTGCGTACTGTTCGAAGCGAAGTTTTTTCTGAAGACTCGAATTGGGAGGACCAGCCCGATTCTACAAGTCCAGCTCATTCGACACTAGCTTCGCGATCCAGTAAGTTTGAATCCGTAGCGGAAGAGCCATACGAGCAGTTTGAAACAGCCAACGAGACGAGCGACGCTGCGTTTGAAACCGCACATGAGCCGGCGACTGAGACGGACGACTTCCATACGGGTGCTGAGGAATTTTCGAGCGACGATGATGCCGAGACTGAAACCGAAACCCCTTCGAGGCGCCGTACGCCTAGAAATAGCATATCTGGCTTCCAGGGACGTCTACGGAGTGAGTCTATGCACAGTACAGCCTCAACCGAGGATGAAGATTTTCCCTTTGGCTATGATGCTGGAGCGCCTGTCACCTTGCCGCCCTTACAGGCCAAATTTCCTCTCCGAGTTAGTCGCGGTGCTTACCGTCGTTCGAGACAGCCTAGTGAGGAGCCCGCTTTCCTCAGCAGTCCCCCAAGTATTGCGAGCAGCAGTGTAGCAGGCACTCCTCATCAACCTGTCAAAAATCTGGCTGCTGAACTGGGCGAGTTCGACGGTAGTGACAATGAATCGTATCTATCTGCAACACCTAGTAGGAGATCCATTAGGGGCAGGACCGTATCGCCTCCACCACCGGTTCCTTTTCTGCCGAGGGCTATCATGGTGGATTGTAGTACAATGACAGATGAACTGCCAGATACGCACACTCATGCCGCCGATTTGGTAGCTCTTCAAGCCGAACATGAAAAGGCCCTCAAGGAAATCAGCGATGAAAAGGCATTGTCGTACGCAACGGCTCTGGATGAGCTGAAGAGCAAGCATGAAGAGCAACTGAGCAAGATGCAGCGTGAAGTCAGCCTCGCCCATACCCATGAGCTTGAAACTTTGAAATCAAGCCATACGGATGAGATCAATAAGTCAATTATGGAGGTTAAAGCTGTGCATGGACAGGAACTCGAGGCTTTAAGATTAAGTCATGCGGATGAGCTGGCGAAGACTCTTGCTAATGCCCAGAGTACTTACGCTAAAGAGCTTGAGGTGCTAAAGTCTAATCATGCCAAGGAGATCAACGAAGTTATTGCTGAGACGAATGCAGCCCACTCTCGAGAACTGGAAGCTCTCAAGTCCAGTCACGTTGACGAGATAAGTAAAGCTGTCTCCCACACTCAAGATACTCATTCTCGCGAATTGGAGATGCTTAAGTCTAGCCACGCCGACGAGATTGACATAGCTCTTGCCGATCTCCGTGGATCTCACATACAGCAACTTGAGGAGCTTCGATTAAGCTATGCCAATCAAGCCGCCAAGGAAGCAGCTGAAGGCCAAACTACCCATGCTCAAGAAATTGATGCCTTGAAGGCTTCTTTCGCAATCGAGGCATCCCAGAAAGACCTGGAAAGCAGGGCGGCCCATGACGCTAAATTGGAAGCTCTCAAATCTTCTCATTTGGAGCAGATGATGGCAAGAGAGGCCGAGATCATGGCCACACATGCTACTGAATTAGACAACCTGAAAGCTAAGCATGCTGATGAGTTGAAGAATATGAAGCTCGAGAACGACAACCGTCATGCAGCAGAAATCGCTGCTTTGGTTGCTGCACATTCAAGTCAGATCAATCAGCTGAAGAATGAACTATTTGACGCGCATTCAAAGCAAGTACAGACCCTCCAAATCGAATACGCCGAGCAACTTGAGAAAGCGAAACAGCATTCCGATGCGACCCATTCGGAAGAGCTTGCATCCTTGACGGCAGCCCATTTAGCACAACTAGAGGAAGTAAAGAACGCATTGGTTGCGGCTCACGGCAAAGAATTGGATCTCGTTGAGGCAGCACATATGAAGCACGTCGAAGACCTTAAGAACGCTGCCGATGCCCAACGCGGTGCAGAAATTGCCTCGCTTGTAGCATCTCATGAGAAACAAATTGATTCAATTAGGACTGAGAGTCAAGCGACATTGGTGAAAGAACTCTCAGCTCTAAAGGAAGTTCATGCACAGGAGATCGATAACCTAAACAGTCAACATGCTGCTACTCGTACTAGGGAGCTAGAAACCTTCAAGGCAGCTATCGACAAGCAAGTCGAGTCATCCAAGACCGAAGGCGACGCAGCGCACTCTCAACAGATTGAAGCCCTCAATGCTGCCCATGCGGAGGTCCTTGAAGCTCAAAGACGCGATAGCGAAAAGTCTCAGTCGCAAGCCTTGGAGTCTCTGAAGGCTTCGCACGAAAGGAATATCGAGACTCTGATGAGTGAAAATGCAACCGCAAGGTCGAAAGAGCTAGAAGATGTTACTTCGGGTCACCTGAGGGAGTTGAATGTATTGAGGCAAGAACTCGAGTCTTCTAAGACCAAAGCTCTTGAAGACCTTGCCGCTACTCATTCGCAGCAATTAGAGAACCTTCGCCAGGGCCACCTCGATCAATTGGCAGCGTTGAATACTCAGCACGAGTCCGCTAAGGCCAAGCTGGAAGAAGAACTGGCTGGCGCACATTCGGAGGAGCTTGTCGAGCTTCGTCGAAACCTTGAATCATCTAAGGCTTCCGAAATAGCCGCGCTAAGTGACAGTCACGCAAAGGCCTTAGGCATACTCAAGATAGAGCACGAAGCAGCGGAGTCTCAAAAACTGCAGGAGCTGACCGATGCCCATTCTCAATTGTTAGAAAATCTCAAGACTGAGCGTGATGGGACTGAGGCACGGAAGTTGCAAGAACTGACACACGCCCATTTGCATGAACTGGAAAATCTTCGCGAGACCAGTGATCATGCGAAGTCCGAAGCATTGTCAGCCTTGGCGGCAGCTCACGCAGATGAGATGGAAAGACTCAAGGAGGTTCACGGTGATACGCAATCCCTAAAGTTGCAAGAGTTGGCAGAAAATCATGCCCTCGAGTTGGAGAATCTTCGAAATGAAAGAGACAGTGAGAAATCCAAAGCATTAGCAGCCTTAGCGGCAACTCATGCGGCTGAGTTGGAGTCACTAAAATACGAGAACGAAGCAACACACGTGCAAGAATTAGAAGAGCTCAAGGTTGCACATATCAAAGCACTAGAGACCCAACATGCTGTGCATCAATCTACTCTTAGCAAAGCATTGGAAACTCTTAAGAACAACCATGTCAATGAGCTTGAGCATCTTAAGGAGCAACATGACATCGCCCAGGCCGAAGCTCTTGAAGCTCTTCGTGCAAGCCACTCCCTAGAGTTAACTCGGTTCAAGAACGATGCCGACGTCGCACTCACCAGAGAACTAGCCGCTCTCAAAGCCGATCATGCAAGCGCCCTTGAGTTGTACCAGAATGACAACGCTGCAGAGAAAGAGAAACTTTTGGCCGATCACGCCGCAGAACTCGAAGCTTTACAAATTTCTCTCCAAACCAAACCTCCTAGCCTGGGTTTCTCCACAATCAACTCAACAGAAACCGAACCGGTTGAAGTATCCGAACTCAGAAGCCCTAAACGCGATGCCTTTATCATTCCCCATGAAGATCGCTCGGCACATACATCATCTGATACCGGACTCGGACTTCTTGGGCGCAGAGGTGAGAGAGCTTCAACACCAGAGATTGCAGAAGATGATACTCGCCAATCTCCAAGTGCCACACCTGTTCCCGAGACGCCAGAATCAAAGACACCGTTTAAAGAGTTATCTGCCAACACAAACATTCGTCCTTCGCAGAAGCCAGGATTCTCTACTTCCAACCAAGGTTGTCAGACTACTCTGACTTCAGACGGGCTTGATCAATTACTGAAGCAGCAAGGCTACGTATCTCCTGACTCGTTCACAATTACCACGTCTCGTGGTGAGGTCATCGTAACACCCTTCGATGAAGCAGAGGCAAGACAGAGAGTTGGTGACTCTGGCTTTATTTCCGCCACAGGCCCAGTGGCCGCGCGACAAACAGACATTCTAGCCAGTGCTCAAGCTCCCGCTTCACCTAGGTTGCCTTTGCCTCCTAATCATCGAGAAGCAATTGAAGGCGCACGTACGCACTCATCCAGCGGCGGTAAAGGGCCAATGGGACCTCCAGCACTCCCTGCGTCCGCGTACAATAATTCAGGCTCGAGACCAGAAACACCAAGTAGCAGACGTCCATTGTCCCCAAGCTCCATTGTCAAAGGCACACCAACACCCAAAGCAGGCCGAAGTTCAACCCCAGGTTACGCAGATGTCCACTCCGGGCCAAGGATGCTCCTTCGCAGCAGACAGTCATCCGTGTCGTCCTTTGCGTCCGAGATCGATACAAGATTCAATATCCGTGGTGAAATGGGTATGGATCCTTCGGCTTTTGGTCCTAGTACCGATCCTCGCATGATCCAAGCCATCACACAGACCATGATTGGTGAGTATCTTTGGAAGTACACACGCAAGACTGGTCGCGGAGAAATGTCCGAGAACAGACACAGGCGATATTTCTGGGTACATCCTTACACTAGGACATTATACTGGAGTGAGCGTGACCCATCCACCGGCGGCCGAACAGAATTAAAGGCAAAGAGTATTCCAATCGAGGCTGTACGCATAGTCGGTGATGACAACCCAATGCCGCCCGGACTTCACAGAAAGAGTCTAATTATCGTTTCTCCCGGCCGAACGGTAAAGTTCACATGCACTACTGGTCAGCGACATGAGACTTGGTTCAATGCACTGTCGTACCTCCTCCTTCGGACAGGCGATGAAAGTCAGGCGGATGCCGAAGACGTGGCCGGCCAAATCACGCAAGAAGATGTTGACGAGTTCAACCCTTCAATTAACCGACGACCAGCTAACGGCAACCGCCCGCGACCTCCCCCATCCTTGTCTTCATACAATTCAGGGGCTACGCGTTCTGGTTCACCACGGGTAGAAGTGTCCATGAGTATCCCGACACTTACTCCCACGCGTGAGAGAGAAGCCTCTCGAAGTGGTACTCTAGGAAGATTAAGCGGGTATTGGAAATCGAGTTCGATAAATAGCACGTTCAGTAGCCTGAGAAGCAAAACCCATATCCCTCAAGAGGGCGCCATATATGAAGCAAGCGAGGTTCCTGACAGCGCTGAGGATCTAAGACAAATAATCGAGGAACAAGACCGAGCGTCTGACAGGCTCGAGAATGTCAGGGCTTGCTGTGATGGTGAGTTTAACGAAGTGTTCCTTTCAAATTGCATGTACTAACTTGAGCATAGGGAAACATGATGTTGGAACCTTGTCACACACCAAGCGTGGACGCATCCATACCTCGCATTCACAAACCCATTCACACACACACCCCGGGCCGTCAACGACGCCGACACCTGGGAGTACCTCTATACGGGACTCGCGCGCCACTACGTAACTTGGTAAACACCTACAATTGCAGCAACACCAAGTTTAGACCTATTCTAGTCGATCACTCAATATAGCATTTGCACCGTCTCACTCCGTTTTTCTCGCTACGAAGACCATTCATGGATTTTCACGACGCTTACGACTTGCATTTTCCTTTCCGCATCCTCTAATTCGCATCAATTCACAGGGCTCTATACCGCACCGACTCGCCGTGGTCGGGGCTACGATCGCATTCCATTGTGTTAAAATTGTGCCAACATACCCAAAGCTATTTCTCGCAATCATTCTGGAGTTCGGAGAACAAAAGGACCGTTTCACGCGCCATCAGATTAGTCGAATACGGATACTCGATATGGTCGGTAAGCCCATGGGGAGGAAGTTAAGGAGGCAGTTAATTTTACGAGACTCCGCCTATAGGAGACGATATTCCTTTGCCAAGTGTAGAGTCTCTACCCGGTCTAAGTTTCACTGTACGGTACTCTTTTATCTTGAATGCTCTTAGGCGGATTGGTCAAAGGGAGGGCACTATTACATGCTGTCGTTAGAGTATTGGCATTACCACTGTTGAATGAGATTGTTTTTTTATTATCCCCGGTGCCCAAACTACAGAAATGATTTATGCTCCAACCGGCTTCATTTGAGTTCGGTCTGCTGGGTAGGATTATATCTCCGTAAAGTGGCTATGTTACGGAGACTTCAATATATCCGATAACACCGATATTACCGGAAGTAAGCTCTCAACAATAGCAAACAATAGCATAGTAATACCAGTAATCGTTACTAATAAGAATAACATCGGATGTTGTGTACCATCTGCATACCGTCATATTGTGACCCATCCTGATCAAGTGATAGAAATAGGACAGGCATTACTTCGTAAGTCGTTGATTTAAATCGATGCCCCTTTTCAGGGGATTAATCGGGGTTTACTAGTATTGGCCTAAAACAACGAGGAGATGAAAGGCCGAGCTATATAGTTCCCTACACGATTCACACATGCCGAGTCTGTTATTCTTGCAGGATTATTAGGAAAGGTAATATATTGTTTCATTACATTCCGGGTATGCGTTGAACGACCGGAGAAGCATATAGTCAGTGGTTTATACACTAAGTAACTATATGGGTTACATGTATATTTAACTAATCAAAGGACACAGCGCTTTACAAAGGTGGCTTAAGTATAATATTTCTTTGGTACTGATGATTGGGGTTGGAAATGATATTAATTACCTAGGTTAAGTTGATAATTAGGTATGTAGTGGGCGAAGCCTGTGAGATGTACATTGGTACATCTAGGCACGTGACCTTAGGTCACGTGTCATTCAGACAATCAGATGTGTTTTGTATAAAAAATAAAAAAAGCCCCTTTTAGTTTAGTTCAATCAATCAATAATCTATTATTTAGCAAAGCCTAGTAATTTTCAGTATAGCCAGTAATTACATAATCACCTCCCATAGTACTTAATTTTATAATAAAGGATACCCTTATGTCACACAACTGATCCGTACTGAATAGGAATATATGAGGCTTATTTTGGGAACGCGTATTTCACCGCTATTTTACATGAGACTAGGGTTATATGACAGCTTATTAGATAGCTTAAAACATCGTGCCGCCGCTAGGCCGCGCGAGGGGGGTGCGAGGCCGGAACGCATTAAGGCCCAAACGAAGCGAAACCCGAACGAAGCGAAGTCCGAGCACCCCTCGGGGCGCGGTCCGGCGTGGCGGCACGTAACAGTTAAATTTCGGAAATGATATAAGGGGATAATATAAGAGGATGACATAAGAAGATAACATAAGGAAATGACATAACTAAGCATAAGCCTTTTTTAAAAGTCGGGCTCTTATGGTCTTGCTTACGGGACGTTTCCACGTGCGCGCAAGCATGTACCTGCGCGCAAGCATGTACCTGCGCGCAAGCATGTACGTCATAGCTTTCCGAAGGCCGCTGCGTCAATTACCGCGCATTTTTTACGTAACATCCTTATCATTTACCTTGTCAATTTCCAAAAAGTTTGAACGTAGAAACTCTTTCGGAAAGATTGATTACCCTTACCTGGTCTCCCGACAACGAGCAATACAAGTACCTAGGTACCTAGGTACGGACAATTTTAGAATATAAAAGTAACAATAGTCGTTATACATAAATAAAGTCGATATATCTTTACTAGACTTTACGACATTTAGCATTTGGGATATCCATACCCAAGACTCATACGAAAACCCCTAAGAAAACCAGCTTCAGTCATAATTATCAACCATGACATCGGATAAGAAGGTTGTTTTGATTACAGGTGGTAAGATAGCATCCCCTATTCTTCAGTAAATATATTTATAATCTGTATTAGGTAGTACTGGCCTCGGCTTCGAAATTACGAAGGCTTTATATCAGTCTGAAATTCCGTACGAGCTCATCATCGGGGCCCTGGTTGTATCTGATGGCGAGGACGCCATTGCAGCACTGCGCAAAGAAACCCCGCAGTCTGCCTCCTCGCTCAGCCTTGTACAAGTAGACCTCACCTCTGATGCGTCACTTGAGAAGGCCATCGAGTACATCAGCTCGCAGCATGGAAGACTAGACTCACTAGTCAATAATAGCGGCGGTAGCTTCGACTTGGATATACAGGAAGGCAGAATGTCGCTACGCGAGGGCTTTAACGCTACCTGGAACCTCAACGTGACTGGCACTCACGTGCTTACCTCGCTCGCGGTCCCTCTGCTGCTGAAGTCTACTGATCCTCGCATCGTGTTTATGACCAGCGGCACAAGCACACTCACAGAGACCGAGAACACAACTAATCCCAACTCTGCGGGCATCAACGATAGTCCGCCCGCTGGATGGCCGAAGCCGAAGATTGGGATGCCTGTGACGGGGTATCGTTCCACAAAAACGGCTCTGAATAGTAAGTGACGTTAAATTTATTTCTTCACCGCCCAGTTAGGGACTCTCGGCGGTTATTACTTAGTGGACATTCGTCTCTTCTCCGGGAAGTTGTTATTAATATGTTCTTATACAGTGTTGATGCGTGAATGGCATCGTATCCTCAAGAATGACGGCGTCAAGGTATGGGCTGTATCCCCTGGATTTTTTGTTACTGGGCTAGGAGGGTTCGGCTCCGAGACCTTAAAGAAGGTAAGTCGCTTACTACAGGAGCTCTATGGCTCTTTATTCCGCTAAATTCGGTGTACATATCGTGTTGCTAACTGTTGTCATAGCTGGGTGCGCGTGATCCATCTATCGGTGGTCAGTTCGTCAGGGACGTTCTACAAGGGAAGCGGGACGAAGATGCTGGGAAGGCTATTAGGTCAAGTACTATCCAACCTTGGTAGATGACGGATTCAAGATATTATATAGGCACCTCAGGTTTCTAGGCCATGTAGGTAGTTAATTCCCGAAACTGGCCCGTCACCTTCAGTAATAAAGGAGAACACATTACTTACTAAAGCTAACCTTCCGAATTTGACACCCTTTCTATACATCTTCAATCTAAAATTCCCTAAAAGTATGATATAGATAAACAATTGAGATTAAACTAAATTGGGCTATGTTTTTATGTTTTATGTGAGATGTATATACACCTTGATTGTTTGTAAAAATGATAGTAATAATAATAATAATTGTAACTTTAGTCAATAGATGAAATGATATCGGACATCCTGTTGCTCGTTTGACAAATTAAGCTTTTAGGCTACCCACATGGCGTAATGGTTTAACGCTTGGATGTGTGTTAGTCCGTGCCTACAGGCCGCAATAAGTGGGTTTGAATTCTATTGAGGTTAAACCAGAAATAGTTTAACTTAGGTAGTTAAGCTTTTTTTTTTTAGGCATTGCCGGGCGCTAAACGTAATTCCATCTCTGTTATAAAAAGGCGTGTTTGATAGGTTTTTCCTTAATTAAGTTGGCTATTTAGCGCCGGCGCTAACTAGGTAGAGTAATGCTATAAGCAGGTTAAGGCTGGAGATAGGAAGTGGAAGATCTTATATGTTAGGCGAAACTCTAGCTCTATTTCCCCTTAAAGGAGGAGGTACTCTAGACGTAAAAATGTTATGGTATGATTCCAATTCACATAAGAGGTTGTCTTTTCTAAGTTTATTATGTACAAGTGGGGTGGTAATTATATCGGGCAAGACTAGGCTAAACCCCGGAACAACTTGACCCGCCCCACAACGTCTAGAGCGCCATAGATGCGCATGCTGTAGCTACCTAGCTTATAGCCACCAAGACGTTAACGTTCTTATCATCATCATCATCAGCTTTTAGGCTATTTCCATTCCTAAAGCAATCTGGGAATGCTTACCTACCTAGGTATGCAGCCATTTCTCATCATAGTTCTTTACAACTAATCTGTATTCTTCCTTTTTAGATTCTCACGCCCACGTTTAATCCCTCAGCAATGCCCTCAATAATAGGTACCCATACCCTCGGTACCCCCCCGCGTATCTGCTAAAATTTTAGCATTCGGGTTCGAGGGATGATGAATACAACACGCTCCAGGCACGTCAAAAGCATTAGTATAACTTATAGTATCTTATGATGAAAACAAAAACTTCTGGGCCATTTATTTTGTACGTCCTGATGCAGTGAGGGCTAAGCACCTATGATGTTTATTTTTAGCTTAACACTTGGACTAAGATTAGAATTGAATAGTAAGAATTGAGTCAATAGATCAGACCTCTACACCACTTGCATAGCATGCGTTCGTTACTTGTAGAACCTTAACGTTTAAATAATAGTCTATAAATTATTTCTTAAACAGTGCCATGTTTCATGGTTGATCTGCAAATTCAATATTTCACGATAGTTCCTTACCTACCTGAAGTTAGTACTTTGGGTATGTTTAAACACGCTCTTTAGGAAAATGATGGCCGAATCATAAGTCAAAACACCCTTACCATATTAATTGGTAAAATTATAAGCAATAATACCCCTTAACAGTTTTACATATAAATTTATATGTATAATTGTTAGTGTATACTTTTGTATTCATTTCACCACAGATATTAGCCCTGCCATTTTTCCAAAATTTTATACCTGGTGAGAATCCAATACCATACTCAAAATCAAAGACCGTCTATTTTTATCTACTTTCTTGAATTAAATATAGATATGCGAAATCGTTGATTTTGTATGGGAAATAGGTGGCCCCCACTAAGGTGGCCCCAATAAGGGTGTTTTGACTTATGAGATAACAATGGGTGGTGATACATTTCAGGAAATATAGCCTAGTAACTTAGGGGTTATACTCTTAGAATACAAAGAGAAAGGTCCTAGGTTTGATTGTTCTTGAACAAGAATGTGTTCCAAAACATGCATAATGATTCTAGAACAATACTACTCAAACATTACTTATATAGGGTCATCGAAACTGTTGCTCTTTTCATATTTTGATAAATTGTCGAACCAAAGTCGCCAAAACTTGCTTCACCCGTCGAAGTTTTTATCGAGATACTAGCTAACACCGAGTATCTGTCAAAAGGCCAATATGTGTACCGAGTTATTTGCTATTTACCCATGTTCTCACAAACGGTCAACATGGGAGTATTGTAGTAAGGCAAAGGCCAAAAACATCCTTAAGCGAGGGCCACCTGTTCCTTGCGACGGGCACAAGAGTACACAAATCCCACCTGACCTTGAGGAGAGTTGTGGTTTGATGTGTCTGACTAGACCATTCCAGTGTAGTAACTGCAGTGTCTCCAAGCAAATCGGATGGGTCTGTTCACGATGTAAGCGTATGCGAGACCCCGACACGAAAGTGTTCATTGAGTGCGGGTGTCGCAAGCACAACTGCCTCGAGCTTACTCATGGAAAGCCGGGTAGTGCACTTTGTAATACGTGCCAAAGGGAATGTGATCCGGTCTCACAGGCAGATTCTTATCTACAACCTCGTAAGACCATCCCAATACTCCACTGGCGTTGTCATAAGTGTTTTAACATGCTTTCTACACCTGGTACCGCTATGAAGTGCGATGGGCCTCATGGTTGCGGGCATCGTCGATGTGGTCATTGTAGCCCGCTGTTTAAGTGCAGCTGTAAGTGCGGGTGTACATATCATTTTGTCAAAGGAGGTGTCAAGCCATGTGATTTATGTATTAAATCCTGTCTCAACAAAGAAAATGAACATAAATCAAGTATACCCCCAAAGTAAATATGCGGAATGACTGCGTACCTCCCAGCCTCAGAACATCATGTATGCTCAAGCCGCTTTTACAACATTTGCCAAATTCATTCTTAGTAGGGAGCCCGAAAAAGAATTGACTATCTTGAGAATGGGTCTAGTTTAACGTTTATCACTGATAGCTTTGACATACGCAATCCTAACTGTTTGCTGAGACTATATCGCTTGTTAATGGGGGTTGTTTATACGGGCAAATAGGTAGTTCTTTGCCACAAGTAGTGTATTATTTCTAAAGGCTAGGTAGTTAGAGAATATATCCGTGTCAACTATACTTTGACCCTTGGGTAACTAGTTATTCAAACCACAAACTTGCATGTTAGACTATATTATGTATTGAGGAATAACAAGCGCACCCAAAATCTCTGAATATTTAAGATTTATCAAAATAATACTTTTCTTGTTTTTTTTTTTTCGTTCAAGCCTTATATTAAATATCAATCGAAGGCATGATTCTCATTAACTAGTATGATTAGAATAATTGTGAATGAAATATTCCATGTTAAGATTGAAAATAGGCATGAAAGAGGTTGTATATACTTTAATTGCTCCGAGAAATAATAGGGTTATCCATGTATATTCAGAAAACTTACTGAGTTGCGTATCTCCAAAAGATGTTGATAACAACATCATTCGATTATCACTCTCCAATGGCAGAACCCTGTATATTAGTGGAAGACACAAAATAGTCGCACATCTCGATAAGGCATCAAGAACATTGGGCTGAGGTAGAGCAGCATGTGTCTTGCTTGGAGTTCGTGGCAGACTCCGAAATCGCTAGGGCAATACGAAACGATCTAAAATTTAGACCTTGCAGTGAACAAGACTTAGAAGTCTTGGCCTTGGATCAAGCCCTATTAGACCTGATACCAAGGGCTTTAGTGATATAAATGAATGAATGAGAAGGAATGACTTGTATTGAATATGGATGATACTATGTAAAATAGGCGTGTGCGACCATAAATGGTACTTATACTAAGAATATGATCACATGATCAGGGTCAAGGTCACCTGATACCCCAGCACCAGTTCAGCAGTAAAATTTGAGAGCTATTCGAAGTGACATACGGCGAGACGAACGTTAATTCTTATTCGTATCTCGTTATAAGAGCACTCCCGGGCTTTGAACGATCTTAACTTACACTTAGAGCTTGGTTTACGGTCTTTGTGAGAAGGTTAGCCGCTTCTCTGATATGCAAAATGCTTGAAAAACTCACGAGGCTGTATTTTTTCTAGAATATAAGAAGTGAGGACATCGAAAGTTAATATCTTGTTGCTAAGAAATCGTCCCATGTGTGTATCTGAGTTTTGGTAAGTGGCAAAAGTCTAACTTATTTAGTGAGCCTAGTATTTCGGCTACGTTCCCCGAGCATGAGGCTAGCAGGCATAGTTGGGCTTTGGGGAATAAATGATGTACAGCGTCAGGGGGTGACAGCCCCTGACCAGTGTCGTATTTGTATTTTTTTTTAGCTTGCCTACCTAGGTAGCCACCATCACCTTTGTTCGGCTCTTCCCCGACCTGCCAAACTAACAGACCGGAGGAAGACGAATGCTGATGAAAAGTTTTTCTTTCGTATATCGCTGGGATGACCTAAGATTGTTAGAATCGACCTACTTATAGATCGCCTCTAGCGGTAAGAAGAGCATGTTGGGTTCCAACCAGCGTTTGCGAAGAACTAACAGCATGCATAGAAGTCAGCGCGCGTTGCCGTATTTGACCATTACATAGAGGTAGGATTCATTATCGTCTCCACACCCACGATGACTTCCATGATCCTCGATGGCGTTCATGTGAGTCGCAGGAAATACCTTGTAGATCCTTTCGCCCCCGGACCCCGACACTATGGACCGAACAAGGGTACCGTGTATATTCTCTGCTTCGGTAGCATTCAATTGTGCCAGTACATTTACTAATAAGACTAGTAGTTAGCCTTAAAACCGGTTCTCTCGAGGGTGGAGATGAATTCGACCAGGCTCGACCAAAATTAGTCAGAATGGCTTGAGTTTAACGCCGTTAATAACTTTAGCTCGTTATTGTTCATGCGTAGAGGCCCGAGGTTATAAATGAGTGTAGGTATTTATCTGACCATCTTACTCCAAGCCTTCTATGTACATACATCCGGATCCGGGGTTGTTTTTCAACTGCTCAACATACATCCTCGCCTCCAGGAACGTGTCGCTGCGTGCCTTTACCAACATAATAATGTATTCATAATAATTAGGCTGCTTTAGAGCAACTGCTTCCCGAAAACATGACACGATGCGGTACAATTCGTACGAAGCCCAGGATGTTGGTTATGCGTGCGCGGTATTGTCGGTTGTCATCTTAGCCAGTCGAGTAATCATATCTCGATGGCGACGTGAACCTGTCGACATCAGTTTCGTCTTCGTCGCACTATCGATGCTGATGATTATTGGGAGGGTCATCGCCAACAACTTTTACCTGAGATTTGGAACGACCAACGAAGTCTTACACGACCCGCACCTCTCAGATTATTACGATACAAGTCACTTAAAAACAGGCAGCATTCTTGTCTTGTTGGCCAGAGTTCTTCTTACAGCAGCACTGTGGTTTCAGATTTGCCTTCTGCTCTTGTTCTATTCAAGAATAACCTCGGGAATAGCATGGGCAGATCGTCTTACCAAGACAGCTTGGGTCACCGTGGTCGTAACCTTCATCGCAATTCTGCTAGCAACATTCCTTGAATGCCGCCCGATCAGCTTATACTGGCAAATTAACCCTGACCCAGGGCACTGTGTGCGAGCCTACGTCTAGTTGCTTATCCAAGGAATAGCTAACATCTTCGTCGACCTGTTGCTCCTCTTCATCGCGTATCCCTTGGTTTGCCTAAGGAAACGGACCTTATCAGAATATATTTCTCTCTACTCCTTATTTGCGCTTGGCACGTTCTGTATTGTTATTACCATAATCAGGGTGGTCCTGATATTCAACGAGGACTCGTCTCAAACTACGCGGAGTTTATGGGCGTCGGTTCAGATGTTCGTCTCGTGTTTCGTTGCGAATGCGCCGACTATTTACGGTTCTCTGCGTGTTGCTCGACGGAAGAGGTCTGGACATAGAAGTACACCTGGCTATGCTAGTGGTGAGCCGCTAAGTCGGCCCTCCCGTCTAGAAAGGGACTCTTGGATAAAAATGGACGAGGAGATCGCCCTTGCAATGACTGCGCCCGGTGTGCAATATAATCCGACACAACCATTTACTACAGCGATATTCGCTGACGATAATATTTATCAAACGCCACAATCTCGTCCGTGATTCCTTACCTTGGGCACTTAGCTCTTCTACTCTCGACATTAACCCGTCAGATACTTATTGGAACCACCAACTTGGATATATTACCAATACATGCCTTAGAGATGACGCCGTGGTAGGAAAAGAAGTACGTCAACTAGGGGAATACTGCAATTTTAGTATTTTTACACCCTGTTCAGCAAGCTACGACTTTGGGGGACCCTTACGAAATATGTAAGAGGCACGTAGCATATGGTCTACCCAGTTGTAATATTCATATTAGAACTATACTTTGAGATACCCCAGTTATAGATATATGATGAATGAATTGGACACTTTTGAAGTTAACTTAATTGCTGAATTGCAGTGGCAGTAAGCTTTTTAAGTTAGGTGCCTGTTTTATGAACTGATAGCCTTCTGGATTCTGATTCAGTTGGGGAGCAATGTTTTCCCATCTGGCTTTTCATCTAAAGTTTCATCAAATTCCGCCAGTGCTTCTCTGACCATCTCCATAATATCGTTATCCCATATTTTATGAAAACGTTTGCTTATTTCGGGGAGGAACTTCCCAAAGTCGTCGCCTACGTTCTCGTCTTGCCAGTGAAACAACGCACAAGCCTCCCGGGTAGCGCCAACGAGCCACTGAGTACGATCGTACCTAGCATTATTATACGCGACGAGAGCAGCATGGCATAGCTCGGCCTTTGTCTTGTTGGTCTGACTCTCAAGCTTTGTGTCGACGGCTTCAAGCAGGCTTGCTAGAACTAGGGAATCCTCTATTCCGAAGCCAGCACCCGAGCCGAGATGAGGGCCAGCGGCGTGAGCCGCGTCCCCCGCAATGGCCATACAACCGACATTGTAGTGTGGTGCTGGGTTCTCAAACATATCGAAGATAGCCCACTTTTGCAACTCGTCAGGTAGCAGATCTATTATTGCTCTTACAAACGGATGCCACTCTGCATATGCGCGAATAGCGTCCGACTTATCTCCCAAAGCCGTGTGTTTTCCGTCGCCAGTAAGCCAAGGATTTGGGTCAGACATGACGAGCAATATATTCATGAACTGTCCTTTCGCAACGGGGTAGTAAGTAATATGCGCTCCTGGACCGTTATACATGAGCCTATTCAACGAGCTCACTCCGCCTGTACTCCTCTCCTCCCCCAATACTGCCCGGGCCTTGTCCATAGGAACCAGAGCCCGAAAACAATATTTATTTGTATATGAGGGATAGGATGCAGGATTTTCTTCCCCCAATATGAGTTGGCGGATCCGTGAATGGATGCCATCGCAACCAATAACTAGGTATTCTTATTAGTATCGATTGCTGGAGTATTGCTTAGAAAGTCATTACCGATGTCAGCTTTCTCGACAGTTCCATCTCCGAATTTCAACGATACCTCCCCGTTATCGTTTTGGGTAGCCGACACTATCGACTTTCCAAACTTGACCCTATGTTTATCAATCAAGTTAGACCATGCCTCTAGGAAGTCGAAGCGTCGACCTTTTTGAAAACAGTCGACACCGATCAATAGTCTTGCTGCGGGCTCATTCGTTTCGCCGTTAATCCATTGGAAGTATTCCTCGCCTTCAGCTGGCGGCGTGACTTGTTTGTAGATGCGGTATACCTCAGGGTCAACGACCGTAAAAGCACGCTCTGCATTAGGACTGAAGCCGATACCGGCTCCAATCTCTGTGAACGCCGGAGCTTTCTCATAAAGCACGTAGTCAACACCTCGTTTCTGCAGACCCAATGCTAATATAACCCCCGTGATGCCACCACCAATTATAGCAACATGGATGCGCTTCGTGTCTCTTGGTACTGACATTGCGATAACGGTCTATCGACAAAAATTCCATACGAGTGTTTAACAATTTGCGCTCTGTGAGGGAGAAGAAATATATCCGGAGTTAAGATAGGGAATGCCGCCAGTTTCAATCCTCAGTATCCAATAAAGCAATAGGAGATAGGAGGCTTGGCTGGACGATATTATTCATTCAGGCAGGCACCGAGGATAAGCACTATCCATCTTTAAAGCCGCCACAGTGTGCTAACAATTATCGTAGGTATTTGCTACGAGCGCCAACGTCACACTGATTCTTTCGGTGTTGATTGGGGTAGATGCGTCGGAACACCGGAGAGGGTGTGAAAGAAGGCGGATGTCCCCCTCTTTTCCAAATCACTTGTAGAGGCGCTTTATATCGTCGTATAGCCAACAAGCAATCAATTACAAGAAAAACCCATTTCACTTCTTGATATCTTGGTATGCCCTAAGGATGAAGGAAATGAATAATCCTACTGGGTCAACGAAAGGAGTAGTACTAGTGACGGGTAAGTTAACCTGATTACCTATCCTTCATAGTTAAATATCTACCTCAGGATAGGTAGGTACCTAGGTGGGCAGATAATCTAACAGATTGATTGGGTATAGGGGGGAGCGGGTTCATTGCATCTCACATCATCGACGAACTTTTGGATAATGGGTATTGTTTCTTTCCCACCCCGATGACTTATACGCTTACTCGTTATGCAGGTTCAGAGTTGTTACAACAGCTAGATCGGATGAAAAGGGTCGCAGAATTGTAGAATCAGCCAGCCCTTTTCAGCGCAACAAGCTCTCCTACATCGTTATAGGAGATATTGCAAAGGAGAATGCCTTTGACTCTGTATGTCTTGAGAAAAGCCGAATCAAATTATAAACGAAATAGCTAATACCCCATTGGAGGCATTTACTCAAGGAACAATCTTTGATTATGTTGTCCATACCGCATCCCCTTACCATCTCAATGTTCAAGATCCGATTAAGGACTTTTTAAACCCAGCAATTAAGGGGACAACGGGAATTCTCAAGTCAATTGTGGCGCACGCGCCTACTGTAAAGCGCGTAGTGATTACGTCTTCTAGCGCAGCAATGATCAACCCTCTCAACCACGCGAAGGTATATGATGAGACATGTTGGGCTCCGTGGACTTTGGAGCACGTCAAGGATCCCAATAGAGCTTATGTGGCCAGTAAGGTATAGTATATAGATTTATCATTATCGTTGGGGTTATTCACTAAATCGAATTTAGACGCTTTCCGAAAAAGCTGCATGGGCCTTTATGGAAACCGAGAGACCGAAATTTGACCTCGTTGTCATTAACTGTACCTACACGTTCGGCCCGGTGCAACGCAACCTCCCGAGTTTGGACCACATGAACACATCTAACCATCGTATCCGGGATATGTTACAAGGAAAGATGAAAAAAGATATGTCTTCTATAACCCCAGTCTTCACCTTCGTTGATGTTCGTGATGTGGCTCGTGCGCACCTTAAGGCCATAACCGTGCCAGAGGCTGGTGGGAACCGTTTTTACATCGTAGGCAATCATTTCTCGAATAAGCGGATTGTAGACTCGATCCGGAAGTCATACCCAGAGTTTGAAGCACGTCTTCCGCCCAGAGACATACCAGACGACTTCCCTGATGAAGTGTTTGGCTTCGATAACGGCAAGTCTAAGAGAGTTCTGGAATTGGAGTACACGTCTTTAGAAAAAAGCATCAGGGACACTGTACAGTCGATACTAGACCTAAACCTAGGTTTATAAAAGTCGAGGGCCGAGTGTAACGACATATTGGCAAGCCTAAATATGGGAAGTCTACACCTATTTATAATAGTCTCATTAGTTAGTGTAAAGTATTATTTATGTTCAACATCAAGCTTGTATTATCTCAAATAACACTAGGTACCCCCTAACCTAGTAGATTGTATAGGTACCTGTCAAGGGAACACATTTGGTCCCCAAAGTGATCGTTATATTGGCCCCATTCCTACTTATCAACGTAAGCCCAACCGAATGCACCTTTAAACTTCACGTCGTCCTCGTAAATCGCCTTTAATATCTCGTATAAAATTGGTAGATCGAAAAGTGTTGAAGCAAATTATGTTCGCGCTTGGTCTTGAGTCATCTCGGCTTCATAAAAAGTAGACCATATAAGTTCAGCATTGGTGATACCATTAGCAGTCGGATATTTCGTACACAAGTACTTCTGCCTGCATAGGAAGTCCCATTACTTTCGGCCCCTATTTGCCAGTTCCTCTTCGGTATATCTAGGCGCACGGGATTTCAACGCTTCAATGACGCCAGAAGGAGGCTAGAACATAACGTATATTAAGTTTACGATATTGCGAATAGATAAATCTAGCTGTCTCTCAGTAAGTACGACGTCGTCCGGATTTTGGGGGCTGGTGGAAGTGGGAATTCAGAAGGAAAAGCTAGCTCAATACCCTATTTAGCATTTCCTTTAATCTGACCTCGATAAAAACGAACTGCTTTAGCGTGAGCCAACACAATATGGTAGTCTAGTTGCGGGGGTTGCATGTAGGATAGGAATAATATACGAATATAATCCGACCCACGGTGCGAATACGAGTATAAGTATGAAGAAATCGAAAATACTATATAGTAGGCCACGGCAACCCCATCATGCTGTATTTTCGTAGCATTGCTAAGTTATTTGCTCTGTAGGGAATGTCTTCCCAGAAAGTAAACGATATGAAAATTATGTGGTTATGATATTGTAGGGCCATCCCTACTATTAATACGAATGGAATGGCGTGCCTAAACAAACCCCCAACGTGCTTCTGAAGAAATAGGTATAAAATAAATTTGGGAATGTGGGTATATATTTGTCTAGAAAAGGGTTGTAATCGTAGCCCCTATACATGCGGTTGTTTCCAAGTTCATACATGGGCTTTTCCGACAGCCATGAATGTTTACAATAGCATTAAAAAGCTTTAAAAGGGGTATCATTCTCCATCAAGAAACCAAAGTCCAAATTGTTTAAAATCCATAGCACGCGTACTAGAATTCACATCATATCAGCTCTCTGGCGCAAAAAGAAAAGTTTAGAGAGGACTGTAGATTGATTTACCTTAACCGGGTTCGCCTGGGAGCTATACGTAGGTCCTTTGCTTTGCGTAGAAACATTATGACAGGCAACCAGTTGAACATTAACGATGTTAATGAAGTCCTCGATAAGTCACGATGTTCTTTAGCCCTCATAATAGCTTGGGTAATATCTTCTCGACGCCTCATACGCCGTCCACTGAGGACCCGTATCCGTTGCGACATAGGTCGGGGTAGCCGGTGGGGATATCGATCGAGGGAATCCTGGCCAGTAACTCCTTTGCGGCTCGGCAATGGTAACCTCTTCCATATCATCCGAAAAATAGATTATATCGTTCTCGCCGTTGTTATAGACGCTATAAGGCCTACAACCACATCTATTTGTGCAGCAGCACCATAAGATCATCCCGAGAACGGCAGCCCCGAGGCAACACCCTATGATAATACCAATCTGTTGTTGACTGAGACCGTCGGATGAAGCGGCACCAGCATTCCAACTCGGAGCCGGAGTGTCGGTCGGTGTGGCGCCTCGGTCGAGAGTTACGACAGCGGTAGATGTCGCATCTGGGTACGTTATAGTCTGCGTCAACGTGACTTGTCTCCTTACGACACTCGAATACTCCGGGCCCGCGGTAACTACCAATGTTGTAGAGCTCACGGACATTTCGGAAGCATAAAGATGGCCCAGACTATGGTATCACGAATCGGATCCAAGAATCACGATCCAGTCCTGGAGAAGCATTACTCGAAACTGGGTCCTAAGGGGGGCGATCGTTAGGTATTTTATCGACGACCCGTCATACGGGAACAGCCCCGCGTATGTTAACCTGTCCGTCTACGACACGTTGGAACATCCCACACCAATCCGCATGCAGCCAACTTAGATCGCATCGTCATCTGACATTGGTTTAACTCATATGACGCTTCCGCTGCCCTATCGTGATAGGTGCCAGCCTACATGCGGTTGGGTTGCCAACGGCTCGGCATCTAGGCGGATACAGGCATTACACCCTTCTGGCGGGTGCGACATACGACTGCCACTAATGCAAATCACCTGCAGGTGTAAGTTATATGTAGGTTGTATGTAGGCTGCATGTAGGCTGTATGTAGGTTATAGATAATGCGAAGCCCGATCTTGGAAAATCCCATTTGTTCTAGTTCTTCTGGGTGGGTTACATTTGGGGTCAATCCCCTGGTATATTGACCCTATCACATGGAATGGCCATGAGGACATGCAATCCTCGCCTTGAACCAGGCCTACACACCAAAAAGCTGCATTGCTTGCATATGTGTGGACTTCTCCCGCTCCGTAGCCGTACTATAAGCTATGAAATTCTCCTTAGAGTTGTTATCTATGATTATACTGTTTGACACCTAACAGGATTATCTGCTATAATTATATCCCTCAGCTATTATACGACTATGCCTACCAAGGACTTGAATTAAAAAGCCTTACACCGAAATTTTATGTCGATATATAGAGGCAGATAAGTTAGGTAGGTATGTAGGTACCTAAGGTAGGAAGAAGCAATGCCGTATACATATATCTCGTTTTAGATACAACTTTGACGTATGATACCCAGTAAGGTACCTTGAACAGTTGGTTATAGAAGGCTATATTCAAAGGCATAGATGGATCTGGATTATATTTCTCAGTGCAAAAAATAGCTTATTTTATTATTGTTTTTAGTCAACTATCTCAACTCGCGTAACCGCTACTTTTGCTTCTTCTATATTATGCAATGCGATATCGTGAGCCTGGGAGGAAGACTGGCACTCAAACGTGGGAAAGTCCCGAGTGGACACCCGTTTCGCAAACAATTCGTCAATCTCCTCTAAGGATCTACCTTTCATATCTGGTAAGAACAGCCAGAAGAAGACTAAACAGCCAATTAGCAAGCAAATAGCTTAAGCCTCAAATGTGCCAGGATCCTCACCGAAGGTTAAGACATTAGACGCCGCCCATATCCAGCAATACTTGGCACCCCAATTCAAGGCGGTGGGATTAATGAAGTATGGCGAGCAAAACGAGATTAACCCTATACTTGCTGTCAGCCTAGTTATTCATGTTCTACAATCCTACAATCCGAAATTCTCTGTCACACTACGCCACGAGGCAAGACAACTTACAAGCAAATACATAATCCACACCGGTGGCAAAGGATAACGTGAGCACCCGCAATCTTGAGTTCACCACTTCCGCCGATATAGGCCACGTCATTGATCCAGCGAAACCGCTGTATGTAATGACGTAAAAGAAGTTAAAGGCGAGGAATACTCTTGCAGCTTCTGGTGTGCCGGGCGCAACTGTAGCTCCTATTGCTGGTCCAACCATAGCTATGACTGCCGAACCGGTCCCTATAAGAAGCATGGTGCGACGACCCCAGACTTTGTATGCGCAGTACAAGCCGGCTGTGACACCAACAAGCTGAACTACCATGGAGTAGATACTAATTTTGAAGACATCATCGACTCCGGCTTGCTGGTAAAAGTAGGTCTTGGAGAAACGTTAGACGACGCGAGGCGAGCAGCGCATTGGGGAAATAGGGGTCTTACACCGTAAGACAAGAATACCCATACGCCTGAAGAAGCGCGCGAAACCGCAACGGCCACGCATAGCATCGTACGACGTAGATTAGTGCCCTTGAAAATATCGATTATGCTAGATCCAGACGTGATCGACTTCTCTTCCTCTACCCCCCGGACGATCTCAACGAACTCCTCCTGGAGAAACTCTAGGTCGAGAGAGTCGCCACGAAGAAAAGCAAGCGACTTTTCGGCCTCTTTGCGGCGGTCATGAAGTACCAACCACCGAGGAGATTCCGGAATAAAGAATACGAAAATACTCAGCAATGCAGGAAATACGAACAGACAGGCGAGGGGGACCTGGTAAGAAAGCTTGCCCATAATATGAGATGTCCTTTCGTCGACGATAGCCCCGAGGATAGTTCCGATGTTGATGGTGACGGCGAACATAGCGGAACAAACTGCACGTAGCCGTGGAGGCGCGCACTCGACGATGTACGCGTTTGAAAAGGTGATAAAGAAAGCATTTGAAGCTCCCATCAGTGCCCTCCCAACACACAAGGTGGCAATCGAGGTGGCCACTATCTGAGTAGCACATCCGGCGAAAGCGATAATGGCGCCCATCCATATCCCATGCCTGCGACCAAAATAGCGACCAAACGGCGTAATGAAGAAAACGCCGATTATAGTTCCTACGTTCAAGAATGATGCGATCAACTGCTGGCCAGTCGTGGAGATGCCCCAGCCCCCTTTCAGCGATGGGTCTTGGTATCCGAAAGTCATCAAGAAGCCAGGCATGGTCTGGAATGTTCCTATAGCGGACACGTCAAAGCCATACTGGGCGGTCGCGAAGGCCATGCCCAAACAGATGAGAGCACATTTCCAGTTTTCTCTGAAGCCATTGTTGCGCTGGCTACTGATGCCCATGATTTCGCTTATGATACAGAAGAAACTGGGAATTCTAATTTCAGCAATAGCAACTCCCTAGCCATTATTCGAAGCGGCAGGCGGTAGGCGGTAACCCTTAAATAGATGCTCTCACTCGTCTGTAGTAGTTCCTATGCGTGTTTACGACTTGAATACGGCCTCTACCCCCGCCTAAGGACCACGTATCTAGGTCACATTCATGACATCTCTCATAAAGCCAATCAATGCGATTCGTAGGCAAGGACATATATTGGCAAGGGAAATTGAAATTGCCCCTCATTGTAATCCTTACCGGTACTTGGAATGTTTTGGGGATAAACATCATCTCCAATATCGGTAGATCGCCTCCGTCGTCGTGAGGGGTGAGTTGCCTCTTAATCGTACTATGAAAACGCAGAAGCGTCAACAGCGCCTTGTTTTTATGAGAATTATTCCTGAGGAAATTTTAACTCGGCATAAAACAGAATACGGCTGCATGGATATTGTAAAGGGGCATGATAAAGATAGTCGACTGCCATCTCTACCTATTGAGGGAGGGTTGCTTACACCTTGAGAGTGTAGATACTAAGTAGACAGATGGAGTCAGTGCCTACGGCAGTTGAGCTCAGTGCTGACGCATCTCCATCTCATATTCGCCATAGCGAGAAAGGGGGTGTAGTACTATAGTACTATTCCGTTTAAAGAGATTGACAGCCACCATAGTAATAAAACAGGTAGATCAATCATTACATAGCTAATTATTACTATATACCTTAGGTAGTTTCCCAGCTTCCCAGCTTCGTTATAAGGTAAAAGGCCAACCTTCTAGAGCTCACTCACTCCGCAGGCTTTCCCCCTACTATCTTCCCATCCTTATCATAGAAAATCTCCTTCACCTTCACAGACCTCAAGTGGTTCACGCCCTTGCTAAGCTCGCAGTCATGGTGGAACAGCCACCAGCGGCCCTGAAACTCGACCACCGAATGGTGCGTCGTCCAGCCTAGCACTGGCTCAAGCAGGCGCCCCGCGTATGTGAATGGTCCGAGCGGGCTTGATCCCGTCGCGTACGCCAGGTAGTGCGTGTCTCCTGTCGAATAACTAAAGTAGTATACGTTTCCGCGTTTATGCATCCACGCAGCCTCGAAAAATCGTCGGTCGTGGTCGTCTGCGTCAATCGGCTCACCGGTTTCCGGTGCCAGAATGACAAGATCCTGCACAGGTCCCTCGAACGATCGCATGTCGTCTGCCAGTTTAGCTACCTTGGGGAAGAGCGCCTTAGCCCCTGGTCCCGAGGGTTCTTTTGGTCCGAGCCATTCTGCGTCGAAGTGCTCGGGTCCGTTGCCCTTCTGATAGCATTGTAGCTGTCCACCCCATAGGCCACCGAAGTACAAATATACAGACTCGTCCGCATCGTCATCCACGAAAGACGCAGGGTCAATACTGAAGCTGCCCGGGATAGGTCCTGGTTCCGGGACAAAAGGCCCAATAGGGGTATTGCCGCTGGCGACGCCAATACGGAACACCGAATTCTTATCACGCGCTGGGAAGTACAAGTAGTATTTGCCCTTGCGACGGGCTGCATCAGGCGCCCATAATTGTTTACTAACCCATGGGACGTCTTCCGTACGTAGCACGACACCATGGTCCGTTACTTTAGGTGGCTCTGCGGAGGCGGAAGAGGGGGATGCTGCGTATGCGTCGAGAGAGTCAAGCGAGAAGACGTGGTAGTCGGCCATGTCATACTGATCGCCATTGTCGTTGAATTGGATATCAGTCTCGCGGTCATGCGACGGGTAGATGTATAGCTTTCCGTCAAAGACGTGAGCAGAAGGATCCGCGGTGTAAAGGTGTGTTATTAAAGGCGGCGACATTTTGGTTCTCTATATAGTTATCTTTTAATATTAGATCTTCCCCGTGTTAAACTCGAGCCAAGTACTGGATAGGTACCTAGGTAGGTATTCAAAGCTATTATGCAAGTAGTTGACCTTTAATACTTGACCACACTTTATTCACGATGCTCTGCGGGGTTCTGATACCCCGAGGAGGGAGGATGGGGAAGTGGAGAGGATTCTTGGTGTTGAGGGGTTCGTCTTTGGACTATTGACAGGTTTACGATCCAAAATACAGATAAACTTATACTTATCTTGTTTTGTACCGCGCGGTTTCATTCAAGTTCATCACAAGACTGGTTACGATCGCTCTTCTCTCATCCCGGCGGAATGGACGTCCGTCTTCTTCCAATTTATCCCTATTTAACCGCCCGTCCGCCTGCTTTAGCTCCGTCCCACCTACCGTATACGACATCCTTCTTCGCAGTCATACTATTCAGAAGTTATTGAGCGCCGAGCTTCTAATTCGGATAACTTGGGTTAGCGTCCCGAATCAGACCCTATCTATCATAGACAAGCATTCAGGGATTTGGACCAAAAAACATGCGACTGTACTTCATGATATATTTAGATAAGTTGTCTATACCTTTACACGTAAGATCTAGTCTATATAAAGAAACTTAGGGTTATGATCTCGTAACTACCGTCTTTGTCTGATCTAGGAGGTATCTTGTATGCTCGCTCTAACCAACCATGACGTTTCATGCATCCATAACACCCAATGTGAGTCGACGAAGAGCATCTTCATACCGTCCGGGACTGTGGTCCAGCAACATACTAGAACCGAATCTAACTTCTCTGAAACGAGCCTCTACATCTCTAATATATTTGAATACGACTCGAGTTGCAGGTCGCCCGATCTGACCAGCTTGCAGGAAAGCGTCTCTCCTAAGCGCTGGCGTGCTCTCAATAGAGAAGACCTCACCAGGAGGTAGCAGTTTAGAACTCATCATACTGGCGCGTAATGTCTTAAGCGCAGCATAAGCCCATTTATCTTCTTCTTCGTGCGACCGCTTTGAACCGTTGTTGTACCATTTATCAGCCAGACCCGACTGTAGTCCCTCCCAGATTCGCCGCCGCACTTCTGCCTTCGCCTCGCTATTGTCAGTCTTGAATGCTAGTGCCATAGCCTGGAAGTCATGCAGGACACCAAGCGACAAGTATGGAACAAGGTCATTTCCGTGTACTGTACTGGTGATTAATCCCCTCGTCGCTTTTTGTAGGGACGGCGACATGGTAGAAGGCGGGCCATATGCATATACGTGAATAGGCCTACCGGGCGGGAGACATATATGGGAGGCGGTTTGGTGGGACTGCCCGCTCGCAAGTAGTCTCTGATGGGGTTCAGCTGAAGTGACAAATGCTGTTCCACTAGAAGCAGGCTCAGCGAGCATGGCTCCAAGTAGTGCAGTTACGCCACCACCAAGCGAATGACCACAAAGCACTAGACCATAGTCCGAAAACTCATCAAGAGCTTCTTTCAGTGTTGCGAGTACCCTTCCGTCACCTCCATATAGAAGTCGCCGCGCAGACGCATGAATGCCCTTATGGACCTTATACGGCTTCCCACGCCAGAACAGGTCATCGTATTCGCACATCATATCTGCTAAAACATCTTCAAAACCCAATGTACCGCGGCAGGACAAGACAACAGCCTTGGACTCTTCATCGATTGCAATTGTATGTACTAGGGGTACCCCTGTGTCCGTAGAGCCGGTGGAATCAGATCCGCCTTGTGGGTCAATAAATGACGACAGGAGGATGCTGTCCGGCGGGAGCTCGGTATGATGCGCGAATGAGCGCACGTCTTGATGTGTTTCATCCAACGCTTTTAAGACGGGAAGCTCTTTTGCAATGCCCATCATTTTTAAAAAGTTTGACCCATACGCAGCAGACGCATAACGACTATATCGGGTAATGTTTCTTAGGATATGAAAGTTAGGAAACATCCCGTCGACTGTTCCCGTACGTCGCAGAGCATCGACACCCTCTGAACCGCTATATGCGCTTCTTTGCTGAAACGTGGATAGGGCTAAGGACATTTGCGAATCTCTAGTTTTAAGAGTATATATGCTTGGGCTGTGAAAACCACGATGTTCTGACGTCGTCCTTTTATGACCCCTTGATGGCGAGCGAATATGCTGCGTACCCATATTATGTCCGGTTTCTGAGTGCAATATGCTGCTATGGCCTCTGGGGTCGTTTCGTTGAAATAGAGGAGATGATGGTCGGCTTTCAAACGAGTGTACCGAGAAGGTATCAGCTAGAGAAACAATCGAGTTACGCCTCCTGCCTTGTGACGATACGTATGTTGCTCGCAATGGTGATCCATGTAAAGTAGAAGTACTCTCGCCACCGCCTAGGTCTCTCGAGGAAAAGTGGTTCGGGCTCCCTCGGCGCGGTGATTGAGGAAGCTCGCGATGCGGTATCAGACTTGAACTTCTTTCTGGATAGTCTTTTCTATGTGATACCGACACCTTACTACTTTGCGAAGGCTTATTGCTACCCCAAGGAGGTTTCATCATTGCTTTTGATTTGTTATTTGCTTGAAGATTATCCGAGCTCGAGTCCCTGTTCAATAAAACCGATCCCTTCCTAAGGACATCTCGAATGCCACTCCTTTTTTCATTACCCTTTGAGTTTGGTGGCGAGTCGGGCTTCTTAGTCGTATATTTACTGCTAGTTGGTGAAGTCGGGACAGGAAGGGTGCTACGAGAACTTTGTCCAGCGTCATCCAACGGCTTTCTGGTGCGTTTCTGATTCGCGGCATGCTCAGGAGTCTGCTTAGGAGAAACAGTTGGAGATGCACGATCCTTAGTTGAACCAAAACTCGGCCCAACCGAATTACTGGAAGCAGACTTGGGTTGATAGCCCGAATGGTCGCTATTAGCATTGCCCTTTCCCTTCGCCGACGAGGCAAAAGTTGAACGTGCAGCTTTTGGTGGAACAGGAGGGGGCTGATCGGACTGATGAGTATCTATGTTATTGGGTGATTGCAGGTCTTCATCGTCAATTACCTCAACCCTAGACTGAGTATCGTCCTCAGCATCGCTTTCAGTCGCCATATTTCTCACCTTATTCCGGCTTATCTTGTAAACAACCCTATAGCCGGGTCCCGCCTCTTGATTTCCGGAGATATCTCCAGAGCTATTAACTTCGCTTTTCACAACATCAACACCAGGTAGTGATAAAATGGGTACTCGCGGACTGCCTTTTATATCAACAGTGATCGTCTTCGTCGTGGTTGTTGAAGTAGTAATAGATACTTGAGCATCTTTAGGGAGTGATCTTAAAATTTGTCGCTTGAGTTGGGCTTCGGGCATTTCGTCCTCGTCCTCACTATTCCACCTAACACCGTGCTTCTCGACTGCTTCAATCAGATTATCATGGCTGTCTACATCGGGTTCCCCGTTATGTTTATTGATATGTAGGTCTTCGCCGTCAATATCAACTCGTTCGCCATCATCGAGCAGGACAACATCCCAAATAATCTCTTCTTGACCAAGGCGACGTGACTCATCTTGTATCATCTTTCTGCACCAGTTTTGTAGATATGCTAGGCCGCATAAACCAAGTATAAGGTCAATTACTCCCACTTTTTCCCCTTGTACGCCGGTAGCGGGATTCTGAAATTCCCGACGGATCAATGTGATGATGCTTGCAATAGCTCTAGAAGAATCGGTGGAGCCGAAGAATTGATCTAAAACAGACAGAAACAACTGAGATATTTGGGAGGCGGTTGATACGGTTGTACCGGTGACATGGAAACTGGTCGCAGTCCAGAAGACGATTTGGGACATTGTCTGGTGTAATCCTTCTAGACTACTTTCCAGGATAGACTCGGCATCTGTTCTACCCAACTCGGACTGGGCCCTTGTCATTACGTCTCTCCCAGCTCTACTCAATATCCCCTCTAGAATACCGCGACCGAGCTCTAAGCTGGAAAGTGTCGTGAATTTCGCAGCACCTAAACTATAACCGCCGATGAAAGTACCGACGCGGAGAGCAAAGGAGGTTGATCGCGCAGCAAAGCTAACGGCGCTCGCTATCGGACTAGGCAGGAGAGTTCTCCCCGAAGAAGGTGGCAGTAGCTCAGCGGATGAGGGTATGAGAGCTTCGGAGGATTGACTCTCGTCTTCATTGTGGTCCGCTTCTGTGTTTGACGACATGGTGACATGGAGGAAGGAAAAGTGATTTAAAACAAGTAGGCTGTATATATTGTATATATTGCACTATTGTGCTGGAGGGAATTGTCCTGGGTTTGTTAAGGGCACCAAGGTGATGGTGAATTGGTGTTAAAATTAATAAATTTTGATACGATAACGAAGACAGCACATATATATTATGTACGGTACAGATTCTGTTATTGATTACATACCTGCCCGAGGTTGAGACGAATTATATATATATAAATATAAATGAACGGACGAGATTTAAGTTGTAGATATGAATATGAAAGATTGGCCACGGTCCTAATAGGTCCTACTAAAACCTGAAGCGAACAAGGAGCTATGGAAAAGTGTTGACGTTTGTAGTATCAAGTTGTTAGTGTGAACCTTACTTACATGTGATAGTACAACCCATCTGGTAACTTTATGTCCTTTGGTACCTTACCTAACGCGGGGATTACCTTTTTAAGGGTGTTGTCATTGAACTAGCCCTTCATATAGTTTCGAACTAGGCTGTACGGGGAACTTATTCCTTATTCGTGTCCCAACGGTTTCTTAACACGATAAGAGATTTTATAGTTTCATGATTGCATGTGTACCATGTACTGTACTTAGGCATGCTCGACGCCGAACAGATGGATACGTGTTTGCATCCTAGGCGCCTTCGTCCCTTTCTCTTTCGTCAACTGGGTTGGTTCCCGATATCTTCCATTATACCTAGGTAGGAAGCGAAGCGATAGGTATATGTAGTAAAGGAAATTCAGGAACCAGGGGACCGAGGCTTGTCCACGTCATCTTAAAGGTCGCGCTAATCGAGTCATGTTGAGTCATCTGTCCGCGAATAAAGTGAAAATAGTAGAACAAGTTGAATACAAGTACGAAGTCGCGATTCCATCCTCAAACGTGGCAATACTTCGTTACTGTGCATATCCTACAGACTAGGTACCTAGGCTTAACGGGTTGATTGGATAAATTAGGTATGGTCAGACCAAATGAAGAGCAGGGTGTATGAATGTCAATTGGGTACATGTAGGTATTAGAATTGGTCGATTCATTCCCAGCTTCAGTGCTAGATTAAGTTTGCAAGCCTTGAACTCAAATAAATGGAATGATGTCAGCAGTCATGACTCTACATCTAGAGGGTACCTAAAGTGCATATGGATGTTGCTGCAGGCCATATGTATGTACCTAGGTACCTGTATCTCATTCTCGTACCTGACTGAGGCTAGCACCCGTGGCTTCTATTCTTAGTGCTCTCAAGCTTTTCGTGAGTACCGGCTGTTCAGCTCCTATGCGGGCCAATCAATTGAGGCTAAGCACCCTGAAAAGTCGGGCAAAGTCCCCTAGCTTAGAGCATGCACCCAATCAGGTACGGATTAGGTACTTCTAGGTAGGTAGGTAATCAGGGGATTAGGGGTCTTAGAGGGAATTCCCAGGCTCAGCCCAGATTCCGATTTCTTCGTATTCTTCATCGTCGACGGCCTTATTATTTTATTACCAACCTAACACCAAGTGCTTAAGAAGAGAGAAGTTATCTCCAACCTCCCTTCTAACCTATTTATTGTCAATTGTTTCTACTCCAGAATCGCACCTATTCGTTTCGACTTCGCTCGTTGTTTATACATTCGTTTTCTACCAACTCGAGACGACACACGGAATACAGACCTGCTGTTCACAATTCACAATGGCTGAACAAGGCCTTTTCTCGTCCGACCTCATCTCTCCTAGCGTTTCTGCTGCTCTTCCAGAAGGCTACACGGCCCGCTCCCTGCGATTGTCCGATTACGATGCGGGTTTTCTCGACTGTTTACGTGTTCTGACGACCGTAGGCGAAATTAGCAAAGAGCAGTTTGCCGAAAGATACCAGTGGATGTCATCTCAAGACACGTACTATGTCCTTGTTATCGAGGACACATCGAGGGAGAAGATTGTAGGGACTGGAGCCCTACTTGTAGAAAGGAAATTGTAAGAAGTTCCCTACCCTACGGCCAATTGAGAATGCACAATTTGGTCGGCGAATAGTCAAGGGCTGGCTAGTTTCCGTTAGGTAATAAAGAGTAACTGCTGATACGATAGATTCCCCCTTTAATAGCATTCATAGCCTTGGCCTAGTCGGCCATATCGAAGATATCGCCGTCGCCAAGGATCAACAAGGCAAGAAGCTCGGCCTTCGTTTAATCCAAGCGCTCGACTTCATCGCCGAGAAGGTCGGCTGCTATAAGACTATCCTCGATTGTAGCGAAGCAAATGAAGGGTTCTACGTAAAATGTGGATTCCGAAGGGCCGGGTTGGAAATGGCCCATTACTATAACAGCGATAAGAGTAAGGCCCAGTGAGAAGAGGACAAGCAACAGTGAACATAATACATAATTTATACGCTCGCGCTTGTTCTGGCTCTTGATACCTCGGCTGACTCCGGGATGCCTGGTAGAGTCGAAGATCTAGGTTAATAAGATGGTCCTTTCAGAAGAGGCCACGAATCACAAAAGGGATGAGATATAATAAACTAGAGCAAGGTTATAGAGTTCCGGATACTAACAAACAAACAACGTTCTACTTTTTGGGAAGGTTGTTTGCTGGATAGAGTATAGAGTCTAAATTTAAAGACATGTGAAACAGAATACATGAGAGAGAAAGCAACCAACAAGAGACTTCGATTTCGTCATGGAGTAACGAAGCTTAGTCGTCGAAACTTGACAATACTACACCTGCACTAAGCCCCCAATCTGGCCTTCTCGTTCGGGTTGGTGGGTGGTCCGGTAACGAGCTGGTCGGACGTTATGACAACCACTTGCTGAGTATCGCCGAGACTCGAGTTGATTCTCCGCCCAATCCAAACCATCCTTGGCATCTTACTGCAATGCGCTCATACGAGTTGACCGGGGCTTACTCAGATACAACAGAGCGTAGGAACAACCAAATAATACATGAATATCATATCCGACTGCCAGATTCGTTCAACTGCTATGCTTTCGGCATATCCCCAGCTTATGAGACTGATGGCTATAAAGCCATGCCGTCTCACCTCGCTCGCCCTCCTAGAAACACTGAACTTCGATGAACCTTGACAGCATATATTTCGATTCGATCTTCTTTGCATTATTTTATATTTATTTTCTCCTTATATCCGTTCTGTTAGAATTCTCCCTTTAGCCATCCTATCTGCCTAGTACTACGCAAGACCGGACTCACACGGATATCCCCATCGGCCCCTCTCCGTCTTCCCATCTTGTTAAATAAGCGATGTCTTACTCTAGTAAGACCAACATGATTGTTGATCATGACCTTCGCAACGCCCTAATCAGAGCCAACATAGCCCTACTTCAACGAGAGTAAGTTCTAGCTAAGCCTTCCTCCAATCCCTAGCGGTTCTACTTGAGAAACCGTAGCTACTTGGTGTCAAGTGACTCTAAATCCCAATTACAGACACTAAAGATATTCCGAGATGGGAAATCCTATATAATGTTTTAGCATCCTTCAAGCTCCCTGTGCCGCATACTCACATTGGAGACACCCTCGGGGAATATAGCCGATTAACAAGCAAACACAGGGTTCGCGAGAAAAAGGACTGGTATACTAGTCGTCGTGTCGTAGTCCGGAAGCGCAACGGCCGCATCCACCTTTCACGGCTTGGCTCGCGGAAACAAGCCGAGTACATTCCGGTAGAATTCGAGGAGGATTCCCAAGATAGTAGCTTCACGCTAATCGACGAGACGCTATCCTCGCGGTCAGCGAGCTTCAGCTCCAACTACTAACCCCTTTCCGCGCCCCTCCCCTGCGTAATGACGCTGGATGCTATCACCAAGTCCCGACCCGCGCCGCAACAGTGGCTCATGGGTGGGGAGGCTTTCGAGCGTCACATGCTGCATCATAACGGAATCCGTGCGCTGTGGGAGACTAAGTGGCGCGAGCCCTGTCGGCGATCGGTGTACCCTTTTCACGATGGCGCCTTCGAGGATTTCGAGCCTGTATTTCTGGATCTGATTGCTCGGAACGTCAACGATGGAACTTCAGTAGAGTACACGCAAGCATTCATTCCTACGGCACGGGCTCTTGAGCGACGCGGTGATGAGGACGCTGCTCAAGGAAGCGAGGAGGGGAAGAAAGAGGCGTCGCGACTATACCTGCGCGCCGCATGTATCCTACGTATCGCTCGATTTCCGTATATCACAGGCTTCCCGCGCCCCAACGATCCTGTCAAGTGGGAGGCTTGGGAGCTACAGAAAGCGATATACCGCAAAGCCGGATCCCTGTGGTCACCATCTCCTCTATCCGAGGTTTTGATCCCACATACGTTTGCTAAGGGGCGTGACCGTAGCACCATCCCAGCATATGTCCGAGTACCGCCCTCTCTATCCAACGGCAGCTCGAAGCACCCCGCAGTCATCCTCTTCACGGGTCTTGATGGCTACCGCCCTGACAATACAGCGCGATGCGACGAGTTCCTCTCGCGCGGATGGGCCGCTGTCGTGCTCGAGATTCCAGGCACGGCCGATTGCCCGGCAGACCCTACGGACCCGAACTCGCCCGACCGGCTACTTGATAGCCTGTTCGCGTGGTTAGCCTCTGACGGGCGGTTTGACTTAGGGCGCGTGTTGTGCTGGGGGCTAAGCAGCGGAGGTTACTATGCGGTGCGGGCGGCACACACGCACCGCGACAAACTCCTAGGAGTCGTCGCGCACGGTGCCGGCACGCACCATTTCTTCGCTCGCGAATGGCTTGCCAAGGCTGATGGTCACGAGTACCCGTTCAAGCTTACCCCAGCGCTGGCCATGAAATACGGATACGGAGACGATGTCGAGGCATATCTTGAGGGCTCGCAGGGGAGGTTTTCGCTATTGGAGACGGGGATCCTGGGGATGCCGAGTACGAGGTTACTTCTTGTTAACGTATGCTTGTCTTCTCCTTTTGCGTTTACCTTTGATTTCCAAATGTCGAACATGAATGCGAGGTACTAACAGTAAATAGGGAACGCATGACGGGCTCATGCCAATTGAGGATTCGATGCTATTGTTCGAGTATGGGTCGCCTAAGGAGGCGCGTTTTTTCACCGGTGCTTTGCATATGGGATATCCTATGGCGAATTCTTCGGTATATCCCTGGATGGAACAAGTGATGGCTTCTGCGAAGTGATGTTATATTATTTGTATTTTGCGCTGTTGGATGGTTCATTTTGGATGCGGGCGTTCTAGAGCTGTTCAATATTTATGACTGCTATGATACTATAACCACCTCTTGTAAAAGAATAAAATATATTATGGCAACCCATTAAGCATTCTCTTACTATGCGTCACTCCCTTCTCTACCGACCCATCCATCCGCCATCAACAACCAGTGTATGCCCACTCACATACGCGCTCGCCTTGCCAGCTAGAAACACAGCGCTTCCCTTGAAGTCTTCCGGATCTCCCCAACGCCCGGCCGGGATCCTTGCGCTAATACTTGCCGCTCTCTCTTGGTCATTTATCAGCGCCGTATTCATATCCGTCGCGATATACCCAGGTGCCACAGCGTTAACATTAATACCCTTCTCCGTCCACGAATTCGCAAAAGCCTTGGTCATCTGTGTTACGGCGCCTTTACTTGCTGCGTATGCGGGTACATTCAGCCCGCCTTGGAACGAGAGCAGGCTTGCGAAGTTAATTATACTGCCGCGGCGGCCCGTAACTGGAGAGGGTTCGAGACCTAGCATATGTGCGCCCGCGTCGCGTGTTAATGTGAATACGGTATCCGCGTTTACGCCCATTACTGCGCGGTAGTCGGCGTCGGGGAAGACTTCAGGTGCATGGCGAATCTGAATACCCGCGCAGTTTACCAAGATCCGTATCGTATGTCCGTCCGCTAGGATCCGAGGGACCAGGCCTGCTACGTCTTCTGCGTTTGCGAGATCCGCTGTGTAGATATGGGCTTTACGACCAACGGCTTCGACGGCATCCTTGGTCTCTGTCGATGCTGTGGACCGCTTTGTTGAAGTTAGATTTGATCAAGATAATAGTTGCTCCATCAACTACATACTTGAACTAAGATTATATCCGCGCCCGCCTCAGCAAGCCCAACAGCTACAGCCCGTCCAATACCCCTCGTGCCACCAGTGATAAGAGCTTTCTCGCCCTTGAGCGAGAACAACGTGTCTGTCATATTGGGGGGGGTCTTAGCTTACTATCGATTGTGCTGAGGAGTGCAAGAGATCATGTCACAGTAGGCCAAAAATAGGTTCACTATCTCATATATTACCAGTAAATGATACCCCAATTTCTTCGTAAGTTCGAGACTAGATTTAAAATAAATCAATTACCCCTCTCATCCAAGAATACATAGGGGCGTTTAGCATTCCCTTTCCGTATTCGGAGCTATAGATCATCTAGGAGAACCCCTAAGGCTTTATACGTTATGGCGATCCTTTGAAGACATTTTGATTTACTACTGTCCTAGGCATTCCTATCTCTCGTTCAGGTGGCTAACAGATTCGGTTAAACCTAGCGAAGAGTATCGATGAAAACTAAGTAGACGAAACACGGCATTCATAAATTACCTCGACACATTTTCTCCGGTCTTATGATATTAGTCGGTGATAGTTCGGCCGGCCCCTTATAATTCCCCCCTCGTCTTTCACCTGAGATTGTCCAGGCGGGGTAAATGGAGATGAAGATTGGGGTAAGAAATATTTCCCACAAACACCGTTTGACCAGAAACGACTATTTCCCCCGAACCTAGCATACTTCGCCGGCTTTGGACAAAACGAAGGCGACTATTTGCGGGTTCTCCCCACAGTGGACCGACGGTGCACGCTCAGCATGCTCTCTATTACATGGACCGGGGTCACACTACCTGCATATCCTACATGCCTCTTCCGCCGCTAAGGGTATTGTTTAGTGTACGTGTAGGACCTATTGGTGTCCACAGTGTCTGTATAGCCACGGTTCTTCCCACGACCACGCCGAAGTCAGGTAGACTAGAGTCGGGGTAGCATGTACTGTAAGTGTATGATTAGGCATGGCATGGCAAATTCCAATACCGGTGATGACTAGGTACGTAATTAACGTATTGCTTCACAATTCCTCGTGTTTTTCTACGATATTTCTTTAATGGAACCTGCTAGAATCCTACAACAATTCGTTAAAAGCCTATCAACTCTACTTCTATGTACTGCAGATGAAAACGGGACACAGGAGTCATGACCAGTGATATCAAAGCATCCGTCCTCCATGGGGCGAGAGATCTCCGAGTTGTAAGCTCTATTTTCGGAATAGGTCCGAAGCAAAACACGGATTTGAAGAAGCTCTATTAACGAGTGTTACAGGAAGCCCGACAGGTATCTAAACCAGCTTCCGATGAGGTCCAAGTAGCCGTGCAAATGACCGGCCTTTGCGGCTCGGACCTGCACTACTTCCGACATTTCCGGAATGGAACGATCGAGGTGCGTGAGCCGATAACCCTAGGCCACGAATCAGCTGGCACTGTCGTTGCCGTAGGTGAGGGATATTCCTCTTCACAGTCCATAAAAGTTGGTGACCGCGTCGCCCTCGAAGTCGGGTTACCCTGCGAGGTCTGCGATCTATGTCGCGGAGGCCGTTACAATATCTGCCGCGGCATGAGCTTCCGCAGCTCCGCAAAGGCTTTCCCGCACGCTCAAGGGACGCTCCAAGATAGGATTAACCATCCAGCAAGGTGGTGCCATAAGTATGTTAAAGCTAATATATGATACCTGGGTAATGATCGTGATAACTAAATTTCTAATATTCTATTCCTTTTAGACTACCAGATACTCTATCCTTAGAGCATGGAGCCCTCGTAGAACCCCTGTCTGTTGCAATACACGCCCGTAACCGTGCCGGGCTGAAATCTGGATTAACCGTTCTGATATTGGGTGCTGGTACCGTAGGTCTGCTTTGCGCGGCCGTTAGCAAGGTAGCCGGAGCCAAGACCGTTGTGATAGCGGATATACTCGAGGACCGCGTCAAGTTCGCCGTCGATAACGGATTCGCCGACGCCGCATTCACGGTACCTATCTCAACTCCGAGACCCGAAACTGCCGAAGATAAATTGGCATATGCGCAAGATCTAGCTGAGAAGTTGAAGTCACTGAAGGTCGGGGGAGGAGCTGATGTCGTCGGTGAAGCAAATGTAACTTTTGAGTGCACAGGTGTTGAGTCGTGCATGCAGGCAGCTATATATGTAAGATTTCTTCTTTTCTATACGATCTCTTCTATAGCACAGCTAATGAGGATTAAAGGCGACGAAACCCGGGGGCAAGGTGATGATCATCGGTATGGGTATGCCGGTTCAAACGCTACCCATAATGGCTGCGTCTCTCAAGGAAGTTGACTTAGTCGGAGTGTTCCGGTACGCCAACGCATATCGTGAAGCCATCGAGCTACTTGCTAGTGGAAACAAAGTGCTTCCTGACGTTCTGAAACTCGTTACTCACCGGTTTCGAGGCCTTAGCGATGTCCCCGGAGCTTTTGACACGGCCGCCAAAGTAAAAGATGAAAAGGGGGATTTAGTTATCAAGGTCATGGTAGATATGACAGAGTAGATAACCCTTTTTATTCAAGATAAATAAGCGGAATGCCTTCTAACACATAAGCGCTCGGGAAGACAGATCCCCCAATGGTCAAGGAGTGAATCTCATAGAACCCGATGCCGTCTACATATCCCCTATCCCCTACCAAGAAGCCATATATTATGAGCATCCTAAAACAGTATTCCTCCACAGAAGCCTGTATATGTTTATACGCATATTCCCATTGTTCAAAAGTTATACCAAACTCATGCAGCCATTTTTCAAGAAGCATTCAAGGATATATTGTGTTAATCCCGAGACGACGCACGCTTCTATTTCGATCAAGTTGGGACCTGGAGCTTCCTCAAAGAGTGACTTCGACTCTTGCAGCCGATATCTTTTGTTTTGCACTTGAGGCAAATATCGTAATTGTCGTGATCGCAGTCGCAACAGTCTAAAAGTCATACGAATTAGTCAAAATGCGTTTATTGCTTTCATATGAAAAACTTACGCCAGTAACAATGCCCTGCTCCGATAGATGTTCTACATCTGTCACAACTTAGTTTTCCAATTCTTGTACGCAAGCACCCAGGCTTCGGTTCTTCGGGTGGATTCGTAAGAGCTACTAACGCAGCTTCTGTCGCCTCGTTACCCAAGTGTTCCTCTACAATCTTCGCCTGAATCATGCCCGCGTGGTAGGCAGTGGCATCTGCAGCTGCTACTTGTGTAGCAACACTTGCGGCATTCTCGCCTAGAGCGTGTGCGGCAACTTGACTGACTTGACCGGCCATACCCTCTGCCGCCTTGCCCGGATCAGTCAATAGGCCTGTGCTATCGTTCGCGCCAGGTGCTAGTCCCTTGCCCATCTCTTCGATATTAGTGATTTCAGCAGTAAAGTCGCCTATCTCCATGCCAATCAAAGCCGCAATCGCCCCGATCGACCACGAGACGGCGGCGTCTTTGGCGGTGATATGGCCAACCTCATGGTTACGCCTACGAAGCTCGCCTTGGATGATTTCCCGTTTCTTGTAAGCCACATACGTGCTTCGGCTTTTATAACCGGCCAGCAGCAAGCTTAGGCCTCCTGAAAACCATGCGCTGCCTACCCCGAAACTCGTAGCAAAGCCACTCGTTAAGCACTTTCGTCCCATGGCTTTCTCTTGCTGCTTAAGTTTGGCAATGGTGAAAGTTTTGACCTCCTTTCGGTAGGCGTCTGACTCGAATTCAAAGTTTTCTTCAATAGGCATTGCGAAGTTTGAATATCTAATTTACCAATAAAAGTTCAAGGTATAATTAATTTGAAAACTTCTATCGATTCTCTTCCCCATCTCAACCGTCCATCCGTTCGCATTTTTATATCGACTTTAGAAATCCATATGTCGTGTAACGCGCCTCGTTGTACCATACTCATTCAACCTTAGGCGTAGATCCGAGACGCCCCGGGGTTTGAAAGGAGATATTCAACCGGTGAAGACGGCGGTAGGGCGATCGCTAGGAGATAATAAAGCTTACATGTTTCAGCTCATGGCGGCAGTGTTACTCATAGCCGCTATTTGGATCTGTATGATCTACCAGTTGCACCTAAGAATACCTATTCATTGGCGCTACAAGATCATGATCCTTCCAAATTGTGAGAATTAAGTACAGTCATGAGGCTGAAGAGAAATCTATGTAGTCCTACTCTCTTCTGCACCCTCTCCTGTTTTCGGCCCGTCGGTCGCTTACCCAGGCTATAGGCAGGCAAGAAGATATTGCTTTTCTAGATAATTACATATACATATCAGCCTCAAAGTTATGAGTAATATGTCATAGACTTGGTAAGACACGTAGTAGCGGATGGGATACACAAACAAAAGATTACTCATATTTTTAACTCGATAGGGTAAAGTTCTTAGCATCTCACCGAAATTCGCCACTACACGACTGTTACCATAGAGAAATTTATAGAGTATGACTAAAGAATATCAACATTAGAGTGTAGCACATCGATGTCTCACGTACGCATGAATTATCGTTCTAAGATCGTAGAATCTAGGTATCAACCACGAATTATAGAGTACCTATTGGTTGCACTTCGCCTTTTCGATGTGGCTGGTTAATATAACCGAACAACACAAGCATGGTTTACATTTTACTTTGGTTACCCCGGATATCATAAAAAGTAATATGCTAATAATATCATTGTCAGATTATCATTTCTTAAACCACTGTTCCCTACGTTATAACTATGTGATCTACTATTTACATAGATGTAACTCACTTTATGAGTACAGAACAATAATCGATTCCATCAAGCCTCAAAGCTTCCCCTTCCATAAAACCGTGAACATATCCTTCTCCCAGCAATATCTTCCCTCCTGATGTACCATCATCACCCCTTAACACGTGGAACACGCTCGCCCCCTTTAGTAGCCACACCTCATCCCCTGTTTGAGTCGAATGTGGCGACAATCCTAGAAAGCCCTTATGACTACGAAACAAGGCTTTGCCTTTTTGGCCCCAATGTGTAGGGGAGATCATAGTCCGATACGCGCAATTAGAACGTAGATCCTTCAGCATTTTGATACAGCCATCGAGATCTCCTAAAACATTACTCAATATGACATTGAACTCCCTGACCGTCGGGACTGAGGGGTGTGGACATCTTGTTTCTATCCCCCCTAAAGCCATGATAAGCCTTGTTAGCAGCGCTTTATTTCCGGATCTAAGTGCATCCAGAGCGACTCCTATGAGACCGGCTTTGACGAATTGGGCGAAGTCGATTGCCGTCTCTTGTGGTGCAGGAAACGCCGTGTCTGTTCTTCCACCAATGAGAGTCCGCCAGAGCGCCTCAACTGGCGACTGTCCATTTGCATATGTATGCGGTAAGCTAAGACAAACTTCTAAGATGGAGAGGAGACCCGACTCAAAGAGGACAATTTCTTCCACGGTATCTAGGAGGTACCCCGGGACCTCTAACTCATTGCCCGCCGAGTCCAGGTGCATATATATGTCAGAGAATGTGGGCACTGTCGACGACAAGCTACCAGCGTGGAACTTCCTACCCTGGTGTAAATCAAGCAAAGACTCCACAGATGCAACAGCTCCAGGGACGTGGAAGTGCGGCATCCAAGACGGTAGGTCGGACTGTACTCGACAGCTGAGATCAGAAACATATGAAAGCATGTCCAGGGATCGTGTCTTCCACAACAATAGCTGTGCGGTACGTAGCATAACTTCCGTTGTCTGAAGAGAGTAATCCGCCTTGAGCCAGATAGGTTTGACGTCTACCTTAACCGCATATGAATTAACAAATGCGGATAACGCATACACTCTGTCACGGGGATCTGTTGCCTCCAAGAAAGCGGATGAAAGGAGATAGCTCTGTGCAAAATCATACAGCTTTCCTTCAGGGCTTAGGAGACTGAACTTTGGGTCGTCGTTCAAGTACTCCGTTCCCGATAAGCGAATCTCACGATGGAATGTGAAAGTACGTGCAATCCTCGCCGTCTCTCGTTCAAGCCCATGAAAGTTCATCCCGTGCCACTGTGCGCCGAAGACGAAGCCGACGAAACCATCCAAGTCCTGCCAGTTAAAGCGTAGGGGACCACAACAGACCAAATGAGACTGGTTAAATACCATCTCCTGCACGATCCAAATGCGACTAAACCATCTCCGAGACAGAAATCTCACGAGTGCCGTCCACGAATCCATACTTCTTGGGGTGAGATGATATTTTTCATGGAGCTTCTTGTCGTCGTACAAATTGACTACTCCCGCCCCTATCCCGCCATCGGGATTCGCCGAGATCAAGTCCAATCCGATATTCCTGAGGGCAGGCGTGTACTCAGACAAGAGTGAATGGGCCTCATGCGCGTCCTCGTCGTCCTTCCCCAGCCACACAACAACGTTAGCGGCGTTGAAGTAGATACTAGTCATGAGGGTAACCTGCTCGGCTCGCTCCACGAGGTCGCTTTGGTTAATACAGACAGCGTCTACCCAGAATAATGGCGGGGCAATATCCGACTCTAAGTAAACATACTGAAGGGCGTCGTTCAAGTTTATGCCAATCGGCATACGTCGGCCGCTGCAAATCATCGCGTGCGAATAGTCATCTTCGAATTTATCGAGTATTGGATGACCCCATGTGTAGGATAAGGCTGAGTATTGAGATTTGGCATCTTGAACCTGATGAACCTCAAAATCGAATACAAGGAGCTGCTCAGACGTTTCTGCTGATTTCTCTGTTCCCTTATACCGTAGAAAACGAGCACTCTTAGCAGGTAGTTTCTGATAGACTTGACCCAACTGTGGTCCTTCTTTGAGTGATACATATGGGTTGATCGACGCGAGAGGATCCATATTGGCTTATTGCTTAAGGTAATAAAGGGGTTAAAAATGGGAAGATTGACACCGAGTGGAATTGTACGACTTTACTATCATATATATTGGATACTGATGGGACATCAATGCTAGGTATACTTCAAAACGTTTAGTTCCATGCTCTCTTGGAGTCCTCTCACATGCTTGCAGCTGAGACTGTTCATTAGCGGCATTTCACGTTCAGCTCGGCCGTGAGTCGCTAAACACAGCCTCATTCGGTTGAATCGAAACCGCTAAAAAGAAGCACGTGTTGAACTTGTTCAGCCTAGAGTTTTCTCCTGGTTTGATTTGCAAGAGGGCATATAGTATGTCGATACCAGACGGAGTAGGGTTGAACAAGCGTACCTAGGGGGTAGTTTGGCAGAAAGACAGTTAGGATTCCAAATTCTTCAGGCGTGCAAGATAAACCTCGTCACTATTAATGGGTGCTATTATATGAAGTTCTCAAGTTGAAAGTTATGAGGGACGTGAGAATATACTCTATTAAGATGTTATCTTTTCAGTGTCTAATGTTGCCTTATTTCATTACTGCCTAGCTGCCCCTAAGGAAGGAAGCCTGCTAATGAACATTGCAAATAGAGATCGATGGGCGTGAAGAATATTTAATCAACTATCTATAATGCGCCACTAAGAACTCACTTCCCTATGAGCATGCATATCTCAAGCTAAGTAGTCTAACAGTAATAGTCTGACTATCGCCCCCCTTTACGTTGCACAGCCATAACACAAGACTAATAGCAGTCCGCGCATCCATCAAAATGGCAAACAACGCCATCTACTATTCACCTTGACCTTCACCCCGCAAACCCATTCGGTAGACTCCTACCCTCTTTCTTATCCGGGAACCCGAAGTTGATTCCAAAGGGAGGATACACGTAACGCAGGACCTTGCCCTCCTTGACAAGGCTGTCCGAGTAATCGTTCAGAATCTTCAAGTCTTCGGAATCAAGGTCGACAATCTCGAGGTTAGCCTTGATGCGCGACTCAGTCACCGATTTAGCTAGTACGGTGGCACCCCTGGCGACTGTTTTCGGTGAGGATTGTTAGTATCGCATCATGCACCGTTGGAGATATCAGTAAGAGAGAATGACGTACCGTGGTAGCTCAGCAGTACAGTTCCTGCGCTGATACCCTTCTTCTGGGCGACCTTGGCCACAGCCTCGCTCTGCAGCAGCGGGCCACCTGTGCTACCTAAGGGACTGTATGCCACAATGTGGATGCCCTTCTCCTTGCAGAAGTCGACAACCTCCTGTTGAGGCAAAGCCGGGTGGTTTTCGATCTGGTTGATAGCGGGCACGACTTCAGCCTTCGCGAGCAGCTGCTCTAGGTAGGGCTTGCTGTAGTTGCAGACACCAATACTCTTGGTCTTGCCAGTCTTGAGCAGACCTTCCATCTGCTTCCAGGTCGCGATATGGTCGTGGTCCCAGAGAATATCACGGCTGCCGTCGGGCAGCTTGGGGAAGCGGTCGTCGTTGCCGTTAGGGTTCATGCCGACGGCCCAGTGCACGAGGAACAGGTCGACGTAATCGAGGCCAAGCGCCTTGAGAGACTTGTCTAGGCCTAGCTCGACGCGGCTGCTGTACGTGTTCCACACCTTGGTCATGACGAAGATGTCCTCGCGCTTGGCATAGCCAGCGTCGAAGGCCGCCTTTAGACCCTGCCCGACCTCTTCCTCGTTCGCATAGCAGTAAGCAGCGTCGATTAACTTGTATCCGTGTTTTAGCGCGAGCTCGACGGCTTTGGCGACGTCACCCGGTCCTGCTTGCCATGTTCCTATTTTGCGGCAAGGTTCGTGTTAGTGGACAGTAGCATCTAAAGGTATATAACATGAGAGAGTGCTCTTCATTTGAGCGGCTAGTAATCCGTATGGACGGGGGTGGTAGGCTTGGTATCAATCGAGAGCTATAAGGATACATGAATAAAGACGATTTTTGTCTAGTGTTGTCGCGAATATGAGAAGAGGGGGAGGGGTTGGCATAAATGAGTAAACGAATGAACGTACCGAATCCAACAGCGGGGATCTCCTGGCCTGTGTTAAGTTTGAACGACGAGGGCGCCATCGTAATACTATTAGTCGTATAGGTAGGTATGTCTGCTGCTAAATGGTTTATACGTCTAAGAAATATCTCAACTTAAGTTATTGGGAATTAAAAAAAAATATTTATATTCTCCGTGGCATATTCTCATCTGTCTTCAAGTTACTTTTGGCGGCTACGTAACATTATTTATTATGGCACATCCGGCAAAATAGGATACGAGCCTAGATGGACTAATAAGGGGACTATGGTATAAAGTAGTATAGATAGGGGGGCTAGTTGCGGAATGACTTGCGGGCGAACTCCGCTCACGATGCTATAGTAAGTAGCTGGGGAGTCCCGCAGGGTGGTTTCGGATATGTTCCTCTATCTGGTTTTTAATACAATAATACTGCAGATTTCACATACCCGCTGTAATGAAGTGATTTTTCTATCTTTTACTCTAAGTACAAGTGGGGTATAAGTTGAAGGGTTAGAGACACATATGTAGGCGATACCGGGTAAAGACTTCGGGGAAGTTATATCTTTCACGGCTTATTAAACCACGAGTATAAGTAGAGTAGTTATATTATTGAGTTTAGATACTTCCTCTACCGCCTACTCTCTTAACTATAAGCACCTATCTAATGCATCATTATTTATAACTACGACTGAAATAAGTATTAAAGAATCTTTGATGCTAAAGACTACATAAAGTTGATTTATTAGAGACAGGTGCCTACTCCGCTACTCCACTACTCCACTACGCTGATGATATCGGGGTAGTCGGTCACCGAAAAACGTCACTGGTCCAAATTTCGAATTGCGCTCGGGATGATGTGATTCAAGCGCATGGACTTACACGTGGACTAAAGTAGGGGTGACCCCGCCGCCCGCAAGGTACGAGATGATGGTACGAGATGATAGACTGGGAGCCTATGATATACTGGAAATTTTTGTAAACATAGACCATTGTAACAATTCTGACATTTTGCAATTGGCAAGTTAAAAAGAAGCTTCGCATCTTTAATCAGGTTACTCCCGAAAAAATCAAATAAAATCAAATGAAATCCAAATAAGTCCATTATCAAAGCATGTAACCTAGGGTACTGTACATCATGTCCTAAACGTTTTTTTGGAGCGAATCTCGGCTGGATTAAAGGCCGAGTATACTCGTATCCCTGTAGACCTCACAGCATAACAACAATTATAATAGATTATGATATCAGAATTTGCTACTCATCATTTCCACCCGGCGCATAACCCCAAACCGACCCAGCCCGTCAAAGTCCAATCAAGGTGATGGGAATCCAGACCAAAAGTCGCAGTCATACACCAAGTAACATAATGTGGCCAAGACCGTACTCGTAACTATTCGGATTCAGGATCCTATACGAACCAAAACGACATCTTTTTGGTTCGATGGATATACTATGCATGCATGCATTAAACAAGTCATCGCCACGCACACCATTACAAATCTACTAAGTGTAGCCCGACTGCTCACCGTCCCCGGACCAGGGGGGCGGCGGCGTAATAATGTACAAAGTGAAGATAGTAGTAGTACACCAGCGCCTCTACTAACGAGTTTCTCGTCTCTCGTCTCGTATGGTCTCGTGTGGTTTTTCTTAACCGGCGATAAGAACCCATAAGCTTTGCCTCTAGTTAGCTAAGCTGGCCTCTGTAATTTGAAGAGCGAAGGGAGAGCGGATATACAATAAGAACACAATGAATGAATTGTAGAAAGAAAGCTACTCACAGGAAGAAGATCATCAACACGCCAAACATCTTGGCGATCAACCACCGATTACTCGATACGCGGGACCAGTACTTGAGCAATTCACGCTGGGCGCCTTGAACATTATCGACAACATCCTCAGTGTTAGCGTCAATGCGCTGGATCATCTCGCTCTGCTCCGATACCATCTGCGCTAGTTGCCCAAAAATTGACCCTAGCTCGCTGATGGTCTTCTCGATAGCCTCGATAGCTTCGCCTCGCTGCTGGATATATGAGTTCTGCGGTGCCGCCTCTTCCATCATAAGCAGCTGCTGGTCGCCTATCGCGGATGGTGGGTTTAGTGTCAATAAGTCCGCGCCGGGTGACGGCGTGCCGCGATTCGGTGTTCCGTACAAAGGACTCGCAGATTGTTGGAGAGATGACGATTGCGCATGTTGCGATACGGAGGATATGAAGTTCTCGGTGCGCGACCGCGACGCCTGGATATTCTTGGTGCGTACCTCAAGTACATCCTTGAAGTTGGCGCCAACGTCACTAAGTTTACCTTGTAGCATTAATACGATATTCTTATTATGTTCGCCTTCTTGATCCGCTTTAGGGTGTTGCTGTCGCGTTAGCAACTGTAGTCCGCTAATCTGTTGGTTTAGGGAAGATAAGTCCTGTTTTATTCTAGCCGAAAGCCATGTTAGATATGTAGTTCAGTAGTAGCAGTTAAGGTAGGAGGGTCCATACATGAAGGTGAGCTCATTAATTTCGACGGGTCGGTCGTCGAATAGTGTCTTGCGCTTCGCCAACTGCGCCAGCTTCTCTAATTTGCCCTATGGAAGCACGTTAGCGAGGGTCACATACGCTGACTTATTTCATAATGAAATATGAGGCAATACCATCGTAGCAGCGATCCCGCGCCCTATCTCAGCGGCACGCCTAGCGAATTCCGATCTCCGGTGCGGTTGCGCATCGCCATTGGCGGCTGCTTTTTGCGAGTCTGTTAAGAGAGATCTTCTCTGCGCGCCGACCTTAGATGAGGCTTGCCGCCTTTGAACTTGAGTGAGCACGGAGCGGAACTCGGCCGTGCGGTCTTGTATAGATGTGACGGCCATCCTGACACGTTGTCGGGACGGCTAGGTAGATAAATTGTAAGAAGCGCCGTTTTACGCTCTTCGCGTGGATGAAGGCGAGTTGTTGTATGCGAATGAATTAGGTTGCAGCAACAGGTATACAAGAAAAGTATAGAAACTTAAAGAGGATTGCTCGAATACGGAAATTCGTCTTGATCGTTGATTAAACACAGGTAGAGATGTGGTGATGGCGAGGATTCGGGAAAACCGGATAAAGGACACGGCGTCAGATTCGGAGTGTTCTAGACGACAATTGATGCTTATTTTCTTATCGAGAGTAGGTAGATTAGAGATCCCGGTCGAGACTGGTTAAGGCAATATCCGTATTCGATGGGGTTGATGGGTCGTAGATAGGGTGATTTGTTCTGTGGTGTCTCGATTTATTTGTCTCGACTTATTTTGGGTGCAGGTGAGTTTGTTGGTTGGTTGTTGATTAGGTATGTAGGTAGGTATCTTTAATTTCCATGGCAGTAAACTTCAGCCTTAAAACTCTCCTGAGGCCAGTGTGTTTCCTCTGAGAAATTACAGGGTCAAACGCGGCGCGCGGCCTTGATCGGTGGCGGTGCATCGCTCCGTGCATCCATTACAAGCTACGAGGTACAATACTTTGGTACCTGTGATGTAAGATGTCTTGGCATCGTTCTATTTCTGTCACTTTGGGCACATGTGACATGAACCTTTGTGCATGCACTTGTGCATCTATTTATGCAGACAATTCGGGGTAGTCATAGTTATACTTCACCAGCTGACAAATAATTAATTAAAAATTGCAATGGTATAATGGTATAATATTGATAGGTATTAAATATCATCTATTTCGTCACAAGTCAAATAGCTAACTTAATTGAACTTGGGCTAGGTACTTATAGTAGGTTAGGTACTTATAAGCAAATAACTAGCCGATATATACCTCCTAGTATAGCAAGCCAACATTTTCAAGACAAAGACTCTTTTTTTTTAATAATTCCATCTGGGAAAGCAGGCAACTTCTGCCGGGGTATGTATTTAGGTACCAGGTAACTAAACCGTAGAGAAAGAGAATAGAAGACATGGCATATATGGTATGGTATAGTATGATGTATCCGCTCAGCTCCAACAGACAAAGAATAGTAACCATGACAACTCTCCATATTAATATTTCATCTCCAATGATAGGCGTAGATATACTCCACCGTCTTTCTCGCCTCTCCTTTCTTCTATCTTAGATTCGTATCGCATCCAAAATCATCGGACAATATCGTCAACTCTTATATATCGAAGTCCCCAAATTCCCCAGCCTCGTACGGATTCCACTCCTGTCCAGGGTACGACGTAGCGGTCATCACAGGTATGCCATCGTCGTCGTCGACGTTGACGGCAGGGAGTTCCACAGGATGGTCTACCGCGATCTTCTCCTCAGGCTCCGTAGGCATGTTCATTGCGATTGGTCGTTGCGGTGGTGACGGATCCTCTGACAATGAATCTTGACTGCTGCTCGAGTCTGCTGTGACCGCAACGCCGACTGCGCCGGCAGCAATTCCAGCACCAGCAGTCGCGACTCCGCCGTTGACGAGACCCGTGCGACTCTTCTCCGAACTGGCGTACTTTGTATTCTCGTGTACGTGGACTGGTTCCTGAACTGGGGGTTGAGCCTGGCCTTGGCTTTGGACGGTATTATTTAATCTGGGAGTAGCATCGTAAATATCGTCCTCCCCTCCGCTATTTTCCTTAGGATCGTTCGCACGATCAACATTGATATTTAAGCTGGTGTTCGACACCTGGTGGTACGGAGATGACCTCGGCGGACCAGGGGGTTCTGGGCTAACGTTCGTAGCACGGGTCGCATGGACGTCGGGACTGAGCGATGTGTTTTTAGACGGCTCGTTAAGGTTAGTTATTGACATTTTGTTTACGAGATGGCCCGAACCGTTGGGCGTTGGTTGGTTTACAGGTTCCTGGATTGGAGGTGGGCTCTGGTTGGGGAAACCGGGAACCCTTGTCGATACAATCGAAGGAGAAAAGGAACGGGCTGCATGGGGTGGAAGTCCGTTTTGCGGAGCACCGGGTTGAAGTACCGGAGGGTGCATGTGGGCACCTTTTATCATGGCTGTGGCAATATGTTGATTGGGCGATCGTTGCGTATCGTCATTGTCACTTGGAGGAGATACATTTGGGTCTGACGGCTTGGAGTGGAGACTGCCGTTAGGTATTTGAGGGCCTGGCGGTCTAGAAGACTGGGCTGTTCGAGCACTGTCCGGAGCGCTGCCCCAGTTAGAACTCGAAGGAGTTTGGGTCTCTGGGTTCTGAACTTGTTGGAGGTTGGACTGGAGCCGGATTTGTGGTTGCTGGAACGTCGGGCCGCCCATCGCTTGAGACGGAATACCCTTGGTTGGTTGGGAATCGTATCCAGCGTCTTCACGGGGCTTTTGAGGAGGCGGGGTTGGTGCCATATCTAAGAAGGTACCCTGATCGGATGGTGTAGGTGTGATAGATTGTGAGTCAGCCTGTCTCTGTGGGAACTGCGGTGGCAGACCTTGGTGGTTTGGCTGCATATGAGGAGGTAATGGGCCGTATGGAATAGGTTGTGGGACAGGACCATTTCGGGGATCCCATTGCTGCGGAAACCCTTGCGGAGGACCACGCGGAACACCTAAGGGCGCAAAGGCCTGGAATTGTTGATTTGGAGGCGGCGGGCCGGGGCGTCCGATGTTGTAAGGAGAGGGAGCCATCATACCCGCGTGGCCATAGCCATGTACAGCCTCGTAACCACGAGGAATAGGGACCTGGTCGTACCGAGGTTCTTGCCCACGTCCAGCTCCATGCATCATCGGAGGCTGCTGTCGGACAGCGCCTGGCATTCCTTGGGGCGGTGGCTGTTGGTTACTGACCGAGCTGAGGGGTCCGCGTAGGGGGCCGTTGAGAGACTGCCGCGGTACGTTTGCCGGATTTGCTGGTTGACCGGGTCGTGGTCCTGAAGGGGTTTGACGACCGGTAGGGAATTTTTGAGATTCGGGTTTATTGGTTCTTCTAAAGGCGTCCAGGAGTCTTGCTGCAGCATTCTTTTCTTTCGGCTCCTTTATTGGTTTTACCGAGTTAATACTCCCTACTTCGGGATCAATACCGGAATCGACACCGAAAAACTTCTCCAGGGTGCCTCGGCTTTGATCAGGAGTTGTAGCTAGCGGTCTTGGTTGATACCCTGCACGTGGTTGATCAACGAAGGTAACATTAGGACTCCAAGGTGAGTTCTGCCGCAAATCATGTGGAGAACCACCATCAACAGAGAACCGAGCTTGAGAATTCCCATGCAATTGATTTTGTATATGTCGATCCTGCGAAGGCCTCGGCCCCTGGGGGGAGAACTGCGCACTTCCGATTGATTGCGGAGTGACTTGACCGGGCTGAGGTGGGCGCCCCGGGGACGGATTAGACGACTGGCGGATGTGACCCAGCTTGCCAAGAGTAGGGCTCTGTTGGCCAGATGGAAGATGACTAGATAATCTCTGTTCATCGTCCGGACTTTCAGATCGAGGCGTTGAATTATCGGCCCTGGTTGGGTTTGGGGGCGACTGCTGAATGGAATTTTGTGTCGTTGGTGTGGAATTAACAGATACACTATCTTGCTTTGATAAATTGGAGGCCACGGGTTTTCTATTCGGGGTCCGTGTTGCCAACGAGGATCCGCTGTTATTGGATAGATCAAAGGAGGCCGCGCGTGGGGGGCCGTGGAAGTCCTTGGGAAGTGGACTAGACATAGAAAATGGATCATTGACTCCGGCCTGTTTGGGTATATTTCTCCCCCCGATATCCTGACCGGTGCCGGGTCGTATACCCGCCTGGGACCCTTGGGATGTTGGTGGTCGTTGACTAGGCGAAAGAGGTGACCCGCCTGATGGACTTTGGGAGACTGTTATTTCGGAAGGGCGTTGCATCTGAATCAACTGTGCAATCTCAAGAACTTGGGGCGAAGTAGGCGACTGAATATGCTCCGAAGAATTTGGCTGGCCTGGACCAGGAACCATCGGTCTTCGTGCGCCTTGCTGTCCCGGTAAGCCTGGTTGCATTGGAGGATGGCCGGGATACATTGGATGCGGACCGAACTGTTGTCCAGGGGGCGGCATTTGACCAGGCTGGAATTGCTGCATGGGTTGCATGGGAAACTGTGGCGGTGGCTGCTGAAGGGGCACCGATGTCTGTTGACTCGGTTGTCTTGACTCTGATTTCGTCTCCGATGACTTAAACCCTGGCCTATTAAAAAGTCCACCCAAAAAGCCATGTTTCTTTTCACGGTCGTCGTCAGCTTGGGGACGTTGAGCTTCGGGAGGTCGAGGACCATTAGGACTATTTCGTCCTATTATATTGGACGGGGCTGCATATAATCCCCCCGGCCCTTGAGGCGGCTGAGATCCGGTTTGTGTTCGCACTGGACCTTGCACTGGACCTTGCATTGGACCCTGCATAGGTCTCGGGGCATATGCATTGCTACTCGGTTTAACTGGTTGGTCGTCTTTTGTCCCGTCCTTCGCATTCCCGACACCTTTCATCATTCCCGTGAGCTCAGACAATCTTTTCCTCATCGACGTAGGCTCTGGATTATCATCATGGTCAAAGGTAGACCCAAGGTTAGATTTGACCGCTGGTTGATACTTGTCATGGGCATGGGTTGCCATGCCGAAGAACGAAACTGCCTTGTCCTTGGTAGATGCGTGATGGTTCGAGTTTTGCTGTTCTTGTTCAGCACCTGTTGTCCGGCGGGTTAGACTAAAAAATCCCGAGCCTCGCCGGGTGCTATTTTGGCCCTCACTGGCGGTGCTCGAAACCGACACTTCATCAACATGGACTAGTTAATACCGCTGTTAGCTACCTTAGGTATTTATCTAGTTTTAGACCTGGCAGACTTACCATCTGGCTCCTTGTTAAGCCCTACATCACGACCCTCCCGCTCCCCTTGGCCCACGTTATCGTTAGTTCGACCTGGCGGAGGATGACCAACTTGTGGTGGGGTTAACGGTTGTGATTGCTGCTGGGGTTCATGAGGAGCAAAGATATTGTGCTTACGGAATCTCTCTGCCGAGACAGGTGGTATGCTATTGCTATTGTTTCTCGACCGCTGCGGTATACCCTGCCCTCTCATTGGCGGCGGGGAATCTTCAGTTTCCTTATCATATCCATAATAGCCCGGTTGTTGCGATGGACTATTTGCCCCTGGTCGGGTCTTGTGTTGGATAAGAGGTTCTGTAAGACGAGACTCCTCTAGTTTCCACCGACCACCAGGAGGAATTTTTTGAATAGGGTTACCTTCCATCTGTGAGGCGAAAGGATGACCTGGATTCATAGGTAATGCGCTAGGTTGACCGGGCATCTGACTAAATTGGTGAGGACCTACGGGACCTACAGGACCTCCCATATGTCCCTGCTGTCGAAACCCGGTAGATTGACCAATACCTCCGCCAGCCGCAAATCCATTAGGAGCTGGGCCAAAGCCGTTGGCGAAGGCGGGGTGATGCTGGGTCGGAGGCGGAGGTTGGGTGAAGGTCTGGGGCTGACTTAATTGGCCGGTGGACTGGCCGCCTTGTCCCCGGTCGGGTATATGCCCATTACCGTTTTGATAATTGATGTCGTCCTTCATAGGAGGCACTGGAGGAATCTCGTTATCTGATGATCCAACTGGAGACGGAGTCCCGTCGTCTTCTTCTGCACCAAGCTTCTTTCTCGATAATAAGTCGAATGTTGATGTGCGACGAATGGGTGGTAATGGGGTGAAACCAGAAGATTGTTTTTTCCCTGAAGGGTTGGAGTCGCCGAGACCTGGAGAATATGGCCTGTTATTAGCGGCCATGAGAGCGGTCATAGTCTGATGCGAGCAATCGATCGGATTGGTAAAAATTGGATATGATAATCCCCGAGATGTCACTTCGTCGTTACTTAAGTATTTAATCTTGCTATTGGTAAATTATATGCGCAACATCATTTTAAATACTCCTTGCTGCGGGTGCTAGATGCAGATGCAGAGCCCGCTGCAATGGCTGTCGGCCTCCCTGTAGTCTTTCTTCTTTTAAAATACCACTTCCTCTAACACAATCCTGGTTGACGAATATAGACAAATGCGGCAGAATATCAAATAAACAGCTCGCTGACTGACACGCGCACCCCCGTGTAATTGATGAATATTAAGGAGGATATACGTCGCCGCGAAGATATCCAGATGCGAATTCTAGGCAAAGGAGTAAAGCCGTGTGTTTGCGAAATGGACGACTAGACGGAGTTGAAGACGCCAACGACAAGGGGAAGGAAGTATCTTATAAGGCGAAGATACAATCCACCTTAAATATAAATAATTACGGTGAGCAACCCGGGGCTCGAAAAGGGTGAAGTGAGCGAGCGTCCGACGTCGACGATGACGACGATAGGAAGAAGTTGGGGGGGAGGGGGGGGGGGGGGTGAGGGTGGAGTTGGAGCAATGGAGCAGCAGAAGCGACGGTGAGAGACGAACGTGCTCGCGTTCCTTGAACGAAATAGCGAAATCTGGAATTGAAATTGCTAGGATGCTAAGATGCTAGGATGCTGGGATACCCGAAAGGGCTGGGATGGAGCTACATACACTAGATGGCGGATGGAACGGGGACTGGGATGAATGGTTGGATTGGTGGGATCCGATTTTTATTACTGGTACCTGGAGCTGGGAAAGCAAGCTGGCTGGCTGGCTGGCTGGCTGGGCTGGCAGGCTGGGGAACTTTTCTTGATCCAGTTGGTCAGGTTCTGTAATAGATACCACGGCACCACGGTAAGACCCTTTTTTTGTTGTCTCCCCGGCCTTCAAGGCTTTTTCTCTGGGTTCTCGGGGCTTATTTGGGCTGGGCTCGACTTAGCTCCTTGTCTAAGTGCCTTCTAATAGGGCTACAAGCTCGAAAATAGGGAGCACGAGCTAAGATCCCGGATGATGATAATGATGAAGATGATGGTGGTGACACTATTTGGGGGCTCGAAAAAAAAGGCTTTTTCCTGTTGTTGTTTTTCCTTTTTTTCCTTTTTTTTTTGCCTCTGCTATTGTGTTAATAACAGGTACTGACTGAACTTTTCATGTTGGGGGCGTAATAATAATAATAAGTCCTATATTTGTGGAGAATGTTTCTGCTGCTGGTCCGCGGCTCGGGTGGCTGTGTCAAGCTGAATATATTCTCTTCTCATCGCTTCTCTTTCAACCAATCAAAACTTAGATCGACAATGATAATATCTACGTAAATTGGTAGGGGGGAAGGATCATATCCCCTGTCTACACGTGTGAGCGTGGTCGATATCCCCGTTAAACTTGGTTAGGTAGGCTTAAGATATGCTAGTAATATTACTACTTACCTATAGGTAGATCCCACGGTTAACGGGTACTACATATTCTGATAGTTTCCTTTCTTTAAGGCCATCAAGGTTTATAGTTATCAACAATGCCTCGCCGTTAATGATGTTAGTAATATATAGTGATCATAACAATTATGATTTGCTCCTGCTAAGACTAATATATTCGATAAGTCTATCTTGTTGTATAAACAGAAATTCTACTAGTATCTATACTTTTTCCCGGCTTTCCCTTATACCTAGCAGCACGTCAAGTCTCCGTATATGTACCTATAACGTAGTAGTACTAAACAAGCGGAATGAGCACGGAGCGGCAAGCGGGGTGATGGTAACATGGAATAGTAACATATATCGTGTGTTCTATGGACATGCGTACTGCGAACAGACAGCTGGAAGATACCCAGGGTTGCTTAAAGAAACATGCCGACCCAGAATACGGATAGCATATTGATCATCATACGCCTCAGTGACTCGATAGGTTAATTACCGACCGAATATTCAAGACTGGTATCCAAGACCTGTTACACAACTGCGCAGGCACGCCGCGAAATAATACAAAACGCCTAATATCTAAGCTAATCGATTCTCCTTTTTTAAGACAGAGACACATTAGAGATCTTCATAATTCTAGGAGTCAGCCCAACAGCGCCAAGCCAACAGCTTTCCCACAAATTCGGTTGGATAGCCCGATATAAGGAGGGACTTGTCAGGGCATTGTTAGATGAGGCGGATAATAGAAATCATTTTAGTATTATGGCATCTTAGATCGAATTACCTCCATCCTTCGATCAAATTCATGCTCCCAGTGTCCCAGTGTCCCAGTAAATCGTACAACCTACGCACCGCCGCCTAAATTCCTTTGCTCAACCCGATTGAGAAACGTGTATGTCCACAAGGTGAGTTAGTACAGTGCATATGAAAAGCCCAGACTGGAATATACGAATGACAGGGAAATATTGCCTCTGCCCATCGCATAAGAATCCCCTCCGTCACAGCCTCCACCACACATCTTTCTTAGGCGAAATGCTACAACACAAGGCCGTTGTTTTCATGAGACCTTCCTCGTAGAATCAAAATAAACACGACGAAGAGAGGGTACTGCTATTGAAAAAAGCCCTTGTCCCCTGTTCCGCGAAGTTTGTTTTTGCCTTTATTGAATAGTTTCATACCCGACTTCACACCCTTATTGCCAAATGCCCCTGCGGCCTGCAAGAGTTCCTTACTCTTCGTCCCAACCTGAGCACCGGATGACCCAAAATTACTTGCAGATTGTCCTATAAACATCTGTTGCAAATTGCCACTCGCAGCCCTTCCACGTTGTACCGGCGCATCAGGGTTACTGGCATTTAAATATTGTTGATAGTATGGTTGTTCGGCTTGAGACTGGACGCCAGAAGGAGACATTCGCCCTCCCATCGACGTCGTTGAGGCTATTCCATGCTCCGGCTGGCTCTGCATGTACGTAATCCAGTTCGACAAGCCAGAATCCATCGAATAAAACTGAGCTCGTGTTTCATCAAATTTCTGGATTCTCTGTTCGATTGATACAATGTTGAGGATATCTCTAAACGCCATGATCTTTGCTTGCGAAAATGATTGGGCTATTGGAGCTGGTTGAAGGGCAGGCGACGGTTCAGATAGAAGCTCTATCGGCTGCGCCAGGGCAGGGTGTTGTTCGGTCGACGACGCGCTTGATGATGATTGAATTAGTACTTGCTCTTTCTCGTCTGCGAAGGATAAACGCGATGTTTCAGGAGCTGCAGATTGAGTTCTAGGACCAATATCCGTCACTAGCGAAACAGGAGAGGGTGAATCAAGCCCAGTGATCGACAGATCTCCAGGGGCACGACTACTAACGTCAGAAACTTGATGAGATATGGTGGCACGGCTCTCTGATCGGACTTGTAGAGCGTTCGAGGGAGTAACACTCGCGCCCAGCTCTGACATTAGGGGAGGTTGATATTCGATCTGATTACTCTTGGTCGGTTCACTGGGGGTGGTTAGCACACTCGGAATCTCCCCAGCAGAATTAGGCACGCTCTTCTTTGAATCATTCTCCCACGAAAATCGGTTTTGAGGATGTGCAGTGCCTTGTTCTGGGCTTCTACGTGGGCTCAAAGGAGCGATACCCGGAAACGTGCTTCCCTTCTGTAGGTCTCGTCCGAGCTCAGGCTCCGTCCCAGTGTCATCAACTCCATAATTGGCCGTCTTCGATCCCTGCTTAAGAAGCAAACCCGTCTCTTGAAGAGACTTATCTTCTACTGGTGCTAAGTAATCATCGTAAACATCAGATAAATATGTACTCTCCCGGGTCGGACCGCCTTGCGCTGGATTGAAGGCGGCGTTGGGCGCGCCTAGGATAGTGCTTGCGTCAGGCGTAGTGGCTGGACTCGCGCTTAAAGATTTGATTATCTCTTCTCTTAGCTTATCACTCTCCTTTTCAGGAGACGTGGTATGAACAGTACTCAAAGTAGATTTTCGTTCCTGTATTGTAGGTGTTACATACTCGGCTGGAGCAATGATAGACCGGCGTGGGTTCAACGGCGCCGTAGGAGTGAAACCTGAGCTGGCGGTTGCACTCTGCTGAGCCAAGGACGGCTGAAGCGGAGAGTCGCCGTATCGTAATGCTGGCAGTCCCATGTCAGCTACTCCGGACGCTTTACACTTGTCTAGTAGGCCAAGACTAGGTGAAGCGAGGCGATTATCCGTCTTCAAAGGCGGAAGAGACTGAGGCGTTGGGTGATAACCGGGTCCAGCAGCAATTACTTTCGAGGCTACGATATCATCATGTTTTCCGGTAGCATTATTGAATTCGTTCTCAGACGCATCCATGGATTTATTTTCCGTCATCGCGTCTAAGTCATCGTGTTTTAACGGCAGCTTTCGAATAGCAGTGGTTGGTTCGATGTCAGCGGGTTCTGCGTGTCCTATGCTCATTGGCGGCACGCTAGTATTTGCGATGCTGCCCAAGGAGGCCGGACCGGGTCCCTCGACCTTTTCTGTGGGCGTTGGATGCCCGTAATTGATGCTAATAGTTTCGGACACCCAAGTCCCAGGAAGTTGGGGTCTGAGGACGGTAGATTGGTGGGGTGTGTTGACAGTGTTGCTCTTATTTGGCTCTAAATCAGCATCCAGTGGCGGCATAATGATTTGGGGATTTGGTTCAAGCTTCGGTCCCACTAAGGTACTCGAGGGATTCTTTCCATCAGAGATTCCAGTAGTATCGTGCCATTTGCCATCCGATCCAGTTAACGAGCCAGGTTCATCCCTTGCTCCATCCGTCTGCTGAGTGTCCGCAATTGTAGATAAAGTCGAACGAGCCCGAGAGTTATAATTTCCAGGAGTCGAGAAAAAGTCGTCGCCGAACCCAGACAAGCGTGCTAAGTCCGGCAATTTTGGACTGGTAGAAAGCCGTCGCTGATTCGTATGTTCTCTCTCAGATTCAACCGCACCATTTCGACCATAATTGCCTTCTACACTAAGCCCGCCCGACTCCATAGGTCTATCTTCTTTCTCCTTATCTTCATCTGCCTGATTATAAAGGTCTGAAGGTCTAACTAAATTCGAGGATTTTGTGGGAGATGCTGCTCTTTGAGTCCATAGTTGAGTTGATATGGATCCCGGCCGAGAACCTGACCCGGGAGCATTAATATTACTAAGAGGAGTTCCTTCTCGGTTCCTGCTCCCATCACGAAGGGGAAAGCGAGACGACGTTGAGCCTTGATCCGACGCAGACGTAGTGGTGTTGAGTGGGCGAGATTCTAAATCCGCCCCGGTCTGTATATGTAAAGATGGTGGACCGCTGGGGCCTCTTGCCCCGAACGGACCGGCTCTATTCGACGAATTAACTATGCCGGTCGAAGATTGAGAGAATGTTCTTGGTTGCTGGGAGTTCACTTGTTGTCGTAACGCAGCGACCCTAGGTGCGGGCTCGGGTTCTGGTTCGGGCTCGCCATATTCGTCTTCGTATTCGTTACCCCAATCATCACCGTCGTAGCTTTGAACCTTTGCCTCTACCCATTTCCTTGTCTTCGTTCGGTTCACATTCGCCTTGTATGTACTCGGAGTAGAAGGTGTCCTAGTGCGTAGCATAGGTGTTAGTACGTATAGCGAATAAAATACACAGATCCTAATATATATCTTATGAGTATTTGCAACGAAAGCATGAACTTACATTGGGGAGAACGGGCTATTGCTCCGGACGACATTGTTGTACGACCCTTCATTCATGGTGGCAAATCAAAGAATATCTTAATCTATTGCGACATCTAGGATAAATGGGAATCGGGTTCTCGGGTTCGGATAAAAAGAATACGAAGCACACGAGAATAAATCCAAAGTAATCGATGGCGACGCAAACAGACAAAATATTCAATGCGCTCTAAGGTGAAAGTTGAGGGGTGTTGGGGAAACCTTGTTGGCGTTATGTAGTTAGATGTGAGAGAGGTATCACAGAATTAGCAGGCGGATGGACATCTGGTCCGATGCGGGCAGGCGAAAAGGCGAATCGCTGTCGTAAATTGAATACAGGCGGAGAGGGAAAGGGTATAAGAGGGGGACCCGTATAGGTACAGGGATTGTATAACGATCGATGCTCGATATTGGATGCTACAATAGAATCAATAGGTTCAAATATGTACGGTAGAAAAGAGTTGAGCTCGTCGCGACAAGACTGCGAAGGCAAAAGCGAATTTGAAGAGGAAGATGTAATGAAGAAAAGAGTAAAGATGTTTTAGTTAATCTAAAATAATTCGGTGCTTAAAGATTCAAAAGATACAGGTACTGCACCTAGGTACCTACCTTAGGTTGGCTCGTACATGTACTGCACATCCAGACATTGCGATCCGCTCTGCTGCCGTAGTGTAGGCGGATACATTAGGTACCTAGGTACCTATTAACGGTATTAACAGTATCATGGAACGTACGTAATCCCGCTGTACCAGCATCCACCTGGACCCTTACCAAGGCGCTAAGACTTTCAATGGGGCACAATACATTCTCGTATTTTATGTATTGTACTGCGTACCTAAACAAGGTACCGCTTAAATTAGGTATTGGCTCCATGTCCCTTAGGTAAAGTGCACGAGCACAGCCACAGTCAACTCCGGATACTACCTACCTACGTTATTAACCGGAACTACACTACGGTACGCTATCAATTTTGAAGTTCACGTTCCTGTATGACCATTTCCCATACAATCATGAATCCTACTATCATTTAACGACCTGCATAGGTACATGGTCATAGGATACCTATAACATCCTATACCTATATACATACTATTGTGAAGAACTAGTTTAAAATGAATGAATGAAATCCATCCGTTAGATTAGCTAGCTACCTGTCAGATTATCCACTTGACCAAAAGGTAACTTGTAATATCATAAAATGTCATTACTTATTATATGCGACACTACCTTATTGCACGGTCTTACGTGAAGAGAAAAGATGTATAACTGATAATTAACATAGAAATTGTAAACTAATATCCATTCCTAGTAGAAACCTAAGAAGGCACCTATGTCAATATAACATCGAGTTCACTAGACTTCAACCCACCAATGCTATATCAATACGAAGAAACTAACTTTATTATATCTAGAGATGGCTTAGAGATCGTCGCTCACTTATTAGACTTATACCAATAACACGATCAGTCCTAGTATTGATTCTTAGAAATTATATTATAAATATTTCTACACTTCTCTTAAGCATATTTTCTTGCTAAGTCTTTTTATTATAAGCAGTGATTAAAAAATAAATGATATTTAGATGAACATAATCGCGCCCCTACTATCTACCTTATAAGATGGATCGTACATCACAAGGGTAACGAAGACTCTGGGCCCAACCATGATAATAAGGCAAAATATCATGGCCTCGACCCGTCTGTGTGGGTACCTCTTGTATACAAACTGCTGGCGATATTTGGTTTGAAGGAATCACATATATGAGCTTTCGCATCTGCGTATAACCCTTTCAATCGCCTCGTCCACTTGCTGGCTAGACCATCTGGCCTCAGAATCAGGGCAAACCATTGCCTCCGCTAGCAAAATCACCTCGTCGATAACTTCGGGGGGGTATCCCTCGTCTTTTAGCCCTTGTCTAAGACTCTTTGGTACATAGCCCTTCTGCAGTCCCTTGAGCATATCAACTCGTTCCATAGCTGTGGTACAAGGGCATATCATCTCGATGAACACAACACCCAGAGCGAAGATGTCGACTTTCTCATTGTCGGCATTTTTAGACGGTGGTGGTCGGTAGTAGGTCGTACCCACAGGACGATCTGACGTTGTCGAGCCGTCGTCGCTTGCATATGATAGGGGTAACTCCCCGCGCGCGAGCTGAGTCACTAGCCCGAAATCGCCAATACGCGGATTAAGCCATTGTGGAGATAATATTTCAGCCTTCACTTGACATGAATTGCATGCTAGGCTACAGTATCCGCCTCGTGGCTCAGTATCAGGTAATGAAAGGAAGATGTTGCCCGGCTTAATGTCCCGGTGTATGAAGCCTTTGGCGTGAATGTACTGTAGCCCGGCGTGTATGGCATGAAGGAGCCTAAGACTAGGAGCAAGATGAAAGCAATGTCTTACGGCATCATTTCCGCCAGAAGAAAGAGATATATACTGAGCTAGCGTTAATGGGTATAGCGACATTTGTATGTATAAGATGTGTCCGACTGCGCCAAACGCCTCCCTCTTTTCATTTGAGTTTGATAGCTTACTTTTCCCGTCTGTAAATATATCGCTAGTATTTGACAGGGAAAGACTCTCAATAGCAGGATTACTAGAGGTGCGTTGTTCGAACCATTGTAGGTCGTTGGCCAATTGGTCGTTGGCCTTGCTGTCACGGCAAGATGGAGTGTCTTCTGCAAAAACAACCCCACCACTTAGCGATTGTTCTGCCCCGTCCCTATCATCTTGACAGAATGGCTGATGGTCTAATAGTAACTGTTGCCTTTGGCCTACGTTGGTTCTCGTGGTAGGATCTAACACTGTAAGTTAGCGATCATTGTTGCGTTAAACTAGAGTTTAACTGTGTAGGCAACATGTATGATCTATAGGGTAAACAGTAGCTGAGCAGACTAAAGTAACTACGTACCATGTGTGATTTCTGTTGGCTGTGGTTGGTGAGGCTCCTCAAGCCAGGTAGCATGATATCGCACGATGTTAGGGTGATCTAGCGTGGCTAAAGCTTGTACCTCGCGTAGGATATGCTGAAGTTCTTCAAGTTTCCCATCACGAAACCTTTTTCCCAGTTTCGGGGATAGCTGGATCTTCTTTACAGCATACGTTCCTCGATCCAAGGGGTTGAAACACTTATACACCTTTCCGAAGCCACCTTTCCCCAAAAGAGCGCCTTCTTGGAAGGAAGATTGATAATGACTTCGTACTGGGGGTAGCTGGAGAGTCAGTTTTAAATCATTAGATGGATGCGGCATAAGGCTAAGCTGGGACGTCCCAAGGACCAAGTCTCGCATCGCGTTAGGGAGGTGAGAAGTCGGTACTTGAGAGCCAGCAACTAGATTATCTAAGGCTGACAGGTATTGGCGACGGGAATTTCTCACGGCATCAGATGTCGCTAAGTCGGATATCACTCCATTCGATGATAGTGTTCGGCTTGCATCCGCAAACAGTTGCCGAGCGAGAGGCTGAACCTCTGGAGACTGTCTCGTATAGTTATGTCCTGGATTAGTAGCATTGAGATACTCGGCAGCACGGGTACGGATGTAATCTTCGAGTAGACTGGCAAGCATCATGTTACGATGCTCCTCGACACCATCTATATCACCTGAAGAGTCGTGGGAGCTAGAGATGGATATCGACTTGATACCGGAGGAAACGCTAATACTCTGGGTATCTCCTTCGTCCATTTTTCTTTCGGAGTTCGATGGGACCCCATCATAAGATGTTTGCTCATCTGAATCCATAGTTCAAAGTCAAGTGGCCCAACATTAGTTAGGAGGAGTCGCGTCCGTGTCAATTTGATGGAACCAAAGGGTGATGTATAAAATGAAGTAACGTTTTAAAGACGTTGAAAATAAATATATGAAAAGGAAACATCAATTGACCAGATAGGTTTATCCATTCCGCAATATTGAGGTTGGTAGTTATTAGTTGTCTAACCTAAGTGATTGTCGAGTTCTGACTCCCGGTTAGTTGTGTGGTTATGAGAATGTGAGGTGTTCTTTTAAGACATTAACTGCCACGTTGTTCCATCTCTTTCTCTCTGTATGTAGTCTCCAGCTCAACGGTTACCCCTGGAGATAACGGGGAAACTAGGTCAACAACACACGGATCAATAAATTGTGACCAACTATCATCTCTGTTAATCAGTGAGTTTCGTGACAGGACGTTATGAGCAAAGAAGATGAATGATTTACCTTTTCAACTTTTGAACCAAGATTAGGTACCTAGGTAGGTAGGTAGGTTAGGTAGTTAATACAAGTACGCTAACTCTCAGCATTTTAGCGTAATATGGGGTTTTATGCAATATGCATCTATCGTGGCATTGGAGGCTTATCAACCCCGCTGCCCCGTTATCATCCTATGTACCCAAATTTATCTCCTGAGACTTTTATACTTCTATTAACTACATAGACGATGATATAATGTATCCGAAACACCAAGGCGTTATACCAGGAGTAATAATAATAAGAAGAAGAAGAAAAGGCGTTGAAACCGGTCATACGATCTATGAATAAAAATCAAGCTCCGTAATTGAACTGGCTGCACCTGCTAACCTAGTTAATTATAACCATATGGAGTTTCTAGAATTTCGAAAAAGCCAATTATTGCATCCATCCAATCAGGCCCCTTGTCAAATACTCTTTCCGGTATCTTCTTCGGCACTCCTAGTCAATCAGCCGGGTTTCAGTTATGTGATGATCGCATATGTGTTGTTGTTCTAATTTGAATAATTTAGTCCCTTCTTGCCCTTTGCTTAACATTCAATATAAGAATTAAGACATATATCTAGCCGTCGACTTAGATTAATGCTGCTGCTGCTGCTGCTAGAATACCGCCACCTGCTAATCCCATTCGAGGGACTGAATCCGCTGCAGCACCCTCTGAAGTTTTTGACGATACCTCTCCGGAGCTTGTGACAGTTGGTATGGCCTGGCTATCAAGTGTTGTGCCAAAGCTTGTGATGATCGCCTGCAGATTTCTACTAATACTTGCGATTACCTCTGTGTAACTAGTGCCATCGTTCACAAATGTAGCACAGCTAAGAGGTGTTGTCGTTTGCGTAGTCGTAGTCGGCCCCTGGCAGATTGGTCAGCTATCACAGACGGACAGGTAAGGTGTGTCAATGTGACCACCAACACAACAGCCACTGTAGCCAGCATCGACGACTCGCACGCCGGGACAGTCTTGGATATCCCTCTATAAAGTGTCAGGATAGAGTAGTCCGAACGCATTGCTTTTACCTTAGGATGATACATACAATCTGAGCTGAGTCGGTCGCAAGAGCTCTTGAAAGCGTGAGCGAGCTGAAGATGGCCCTGGTGAGAATGGACATGGTTAACTTGCGGGATTGTTGGCGGGTAGACGGATGTTGGTGGTTTAGTAAATTGATTTTATATAATCAAGAGGTATTGAAGCGATTTATTGTTGCTTGATGGTAAACTACAATATGGAAACCAATATACGGAATTTGTAGTTTATATAGTAGTTAGCCCCAACGGTCATGCTTATATGCCAGCCCGAATTAGTACTGATCTTGCGACTCGAGTAATAATAAGACTTACCATGTCATGCACCCCCCTGACACTATCTCATACCCTAGGACAGTTACTTGGAGCTACATTCTGCTATTCCACCTGATCAACTCGCATTATCACACCTCGTTTGGGTTATCTATTTCCTGGTCGTGTGGGCTTGGCGGCCGAGCTGAATATCTCTCGAAGAATAACGCATCCAAATAAATGGTGGAGGGTTCTCCTCTAATTCGCAGTGCCTGCATATTTTAAGCTAACCCTTAACTAGGATAAGAATAAAGGATATTTTTAGCTGTCTCGCTGGCTCAACTCGTTGCTAAACTGACCGGTCAAGGGGCTGCTATCATGTAAAGTACGAGAGGCATTTGGCTATAATATAGGCGTATATAGATAAGCCCCTACATCTTGCTCATGGAAGAGTTCAGTTGATCAATAAATCATACACACCTAATATACCTCCAATTTATCTATCTCCTAGTCTTTTTAATAGGGGTACCTAGACCATCTACTCAACGACGCAAGAAGCAATCATCACCGAATATACATTTACTAGTTAGTCATGTAGCAGATAGTTACATGCTAGTTAACCAAAATGCTATACTACCAGCGTCACAGTTAAAAAGCTTGCTAACAATGGCCAATTTTCAGTGAAGAAAAATGATAATGCAAGAATTAACCTCGACGTGTACTGCCACTGTGATACGGGATAGACAAGCATCCTCTATTTATTGCGTTGCTGCATAAGGCATCACGCATGTTTAACTAATTCGCTATGTGTATGCTTAGGGAGTTGCCTTAGCACGTAACTTGGGAGTGTAGGTACCTAGGTATAGTCACTAAAGTACAAAACTGTATCGAGTACCATCCCGTGCCACCCTTCGTGAAGCCAACCGTGAAATATACCTATCAAGGTACCGCACTAGAGCCCTGTAGGATACTTTCGTAATAGCTGCATCTGGAATGTTATTTAGTTTCTATGGGTCATCTGCTTGTTTAGTTTCGATGATTTCGCAGATGGATATTGTTTGGGAAGAAGCGTCGCAACATTATTGTACCATCCACTTTCCCATTCACCTTCAGCCATTTAGCCTCCTCGTCAGTCATCGACACATGCGGCTCCTTCTTGATCCGCAACAAAAGTGCATAATTACTTGGTATGCCCACTGTAGAGTAACCTCTTTCTATGCTAGACCTAACAGTCTTCCGTAACACGTCGGTAAAAGTCTGAGCATCTGGCACTTTATGGATGCCCATTTCTCTGAGAAAAGCTGGGAAATCGTTAATAGTGTGTAGACGTCGAACTGTTTCTGCTAGTTCTTTGGCTGCATTGTGGGGAGGGGCGCCGTGGCGGTGGAATAGCTCGTCGCGAACCTGGCTCAAGGGTGTCTTGTGGGAAGGACGTGCGGTTCGCCTGAACAGCTCTGAGAACATTAGAAGTCGATAAGAGGTTCGAGAGCCCCGGAAAGTCTGATCCAAGCGGTAAGCTGATACTGGGTCCCGCTCTAGATATGAAAGTTCGGGCATGTCGGCTCCTTTCTTGTCGAAGAGCCAGACCACATTTCTTGTAATTGCTTCGATGATGATAGCTTTTATAAGCACTTCGGTAACTTCGACGTCAGATATCAATAAGGCGATGAGGAGATGTCCTAAATTAGGACACTCCACTTTGGACCGCTTTCCACTTATGAAGTTTTGTAGTAGAGAATTTGCATGTTCAACCAGCGTGCAATCCTCAGTGGCAAAGCATACCAATAAGTGGAAGAGGTGGAAATACGAATCGATAGCCTTCTCTGACGCGTGTCGAAGGTTGGTCTTGGGAGAGTGGTGATTAGTGGTGGCTTCTGTTACTTGATTGAGTCGAACAACAACATCATTCATAAATGTGAACAGTACTTGAGCTTCAGAAAAAGGCCCCTTCTTCTTGATCTTTTGCACCATAGCATCTAGAGAGACTTTGGCATACTTCTTAACCCGCTTCCAATGCCCAGGCGAGATAGGCAAGGGAAGCCAGTGGTCAAAGTGGATATTATTGACGGACTCGCGAACATTCCAAGACCTATAAACTTCCTGCGAAAGGAGGTCAAATTCCGAAGCTATTTGACCACGGTCAATTGATACACCTACGCCGAGGTTCACAAACTGGTAATTCTGCTTGAGGCAAAAGCATTGAAGTTCACGTTGTCTGATAATATCAAAATACTTGACGATGTCGCTGATCCTGGGCCAAGCCGCAGCAAAGCTTGTCAAGTGCTCGAAGTCTAGCTGCTCCAGAATAAGCAAGATCAATTCGTTGGGCAGGCGGTTGATTTTGCACGTCATAACTTCCTTAGGTGGAGGTGTTTGTATATCAACGTGAGAATTTGGGGATTCGGTCTGAGGTTGTTTCCCAGTATTCTGGAGTGTTGGCCAGTGACTTGGATTGCTATCCACGCGGGCGTCATAAGCCTGGGATCTGTACCGTACCGGCCGGGGTGGTTGCGGTTGGTCTTGACCAAAATGACAATAGTTGCATCTGAACAAGTCAATCAACCTCCTATCCACGGCCTTGAATTCGGATAGTTGCTTTTTCGTACCCCCGTGTTCCTGCTCAATGGTGTCACTTGAGAAGAAGCTAAGTAGTTGAATAGCTATGCCCTTGAGCGTATATGCAGGTGTATGCTCGGCGCCGCGACGTAGAATAGTAGCACATATGAAGCTTTGATAGACATTAGGATGTTTAACGTCCGAGTTCATCTCGACCACTGGTGGGTCTAGAGGGTACGTGGGCGAAAAACGCATGGTGAGGTGCAAGGGTTTATAGTCAGGAGGCGTAAGGACCAAACATGCCGCTGTAAGGTCGTCGTTGATGGTATGAAAAGCGATATTGGGGTAAGGTTTTTCCATGAGTTCCTTGATGTCTAATAGAAGTCGGTTTCGTCGAAGGGAATCACCAACACTCGGCTGGGACCCGGTTGCTTGTTGATAAGACATGCCGATAATCTGGTGGCGACAGTTTTCTTAGGATGGGGTATGAAGAGAGTAAATTGTCGATGTATATTGCTCCCGTGGTAATGAATCGTGAGAACCTTGACAGTCCACTGAATATACCGGGTTGTGAACTGGATGGTTGTTTAGTGTTCTGACAGGAGCTATCGACGATAGACTTTGGTGGTTACTAGAGACGCATGGGCAGCAGTAACATAGGAAGACATGGTAACGAACCCCCGATAGAAGTAAGGAGACAAGAACATGGTCGATTTAAATATTTATCATGGTTGTCTGGGAGAGGTGGAGTAGAATGGTCTGGTAATAATCAATCGGTAACCTAAGGAATCGACATCAAAGAAAATCCAGGCAATAATAGTCATCCTCAGGTGGTATATTTCGGCCTTTGACTCATTACGGTCACGACAGTGGATAATAGTGGAGGATCAACGCCCTATTTTTACCCTTTTCATCTCGCCGGGAGGTAACCGTTAAGTCAAGCTAGGTGGAGCGCACCGTACGACGCATTACCTTAGAAAAATATATTAACTATATGAAAAAGAAACTTCATTCTATTTTCTATAGTATAAAGATACTTATGTATTATTAAAATTTAAACTAGATGATGTGAGCATAAACTTTGTCTCTTCCATGATTTTATGAGACTTCATTGTCTTGCATGTTACCCGAGCGGCCCGAAGCCTTCTCGATCGATCAGCTTTTAAAAATCTACCATATCTAGTATTTAACTTAGGTCTTTTCTTTGGAATTATGGGCTTCTACATTATCTTGAATTACATCGAACTTCTGGCATTGGCGAGAACCAGCATCACACCTAGTTTGGCCAACTACTTGCTTGTGATCATCAATGCAGCATCGCTACCTGGTCGCCTCGTACCAGGTTACTATGCAGATCATATTGGGAGTATTAATGTGCAGATAACCGTGATATGTGCAAGTGTAGTGCTAACCTTCAGCCTCCTTACTATTCGCACCTCCGCTGCCTTGTTCGTTTTTAGTGTGCTATACGGCTTTATGACCGGCGCTTTCATGGGGCTGCCCGCCGCCGGTATTGCTAGTCTCTCGCCTGATAAGAGCAAAATTGGTACACGCCTGGGCATGACACTATCATTCGTGGGGTTTGGGCTGCTCGTTAGCAATCCTATCGCCGGCGCTATCTTAGGCAGTGAGGGGAATTGGGTCGGCTTAATCGTATGGTGTGGTGTGCTACTAACAGCTTCTGGTGTATGTCTCGTGGCGAGTCGAATTCTTAAGGTTGGGCCAGAATTAACCAGCGTGATCTAGCATTGTTGATATTGAGGGATACCAAGGAAGCTCAGTAAAGTTTCGCCCATCATACTTGATTGTGCGATTATTACGTTTTCATCATCCATAGGACGTTGTATAAACAAAGAATTGTAGAGCCGATCAACGCTGCTACAAAGGATGGAAACATATACGGACAGAGACAGAAAGATTATCAACACCTTTAGGATATTCTGAAGCGGGAATATGACGAATGTAAATGTTGCAATCGTAGAAATAGGGAAACAAGACTACCTATTTTATATGCATAAGAATGAAATGCCCTGACTTAGATACAGGGGTGAAATAATTGCTGACTGGCAACTGATAGAGTAAGAGCTAAATACTTGTATCTTAGTAAGTATAAATAACATGATGAATATAATGTGACGAACCTATACCTAGGTGCGTTAAAGTATAGTTCAGGGTAAGTCTTGATTTTAGGTTAATAGTAATAATATGAGTGAAGGTGGTAAATAAGTAGTTATTACGTGTTCGTCAGAAAGGCTTGGAGTCCTTTCCCGTAGTATGTGTTGGATACTAGGCTTATATTGATGGCTGTAGAATGAATGACTACCTAGACACATAAGGAGATCCATCCTTCTTATATTCGTTTTGCCTTCCATATGTTTTGAGTGAATCGTTGAAGCTCTTTTCTGGCGTCTCCAAATCAATGATTCACTGATTCATCTTGATCGTTAAATCATCCAGTTGGGGCCGTTATTATCGTGATTCAATGATCGTGTCAGGTGGTCTTTTGGCGTGTTTCTTGAAGCCGTAACATATATGTTCAAATATCGTATTCACATATCACTCTCATGTATCGTCTAATTGGATATTGGCCTGCCCTGTTGGTGACCTGGAGTAGGATGTGGAAGCCAGGATATGTTCCGGTATAAGTATTCAGCATAGGCTGTGGTACAGTAACTTGGACCTTGATGCCGAGTGTCGCATTAGTAAAACCAGCATCGTTAATATCCAGTATTCCGTTTGATCCTACTGGAGGTTGGAGAGCCTTAAGTGACATATTTGCTTCGAATATTGTAGCCTCCCGATACAAAACCCACTGGAACTCCAAACGGCTATTATCCGTAGGGTAGTCCGGGTCCAGCGTCAGTCCTGCATCGAACGTATACGTTTCATTACTTTTTACTTGGATGATCAGTGGATCTGGACCCTGTTGGCCATTGATGTTTAAGACGGGCGGATGCCCAACTTTTGAAAAGTTCGAAGTCATAGTCCATTGCATTCGAGCCGCAAAATCATCTTGGTAAGCCGTCCTCCAGCGCCAGACAGATGCTTGTGGCGTTGAATAATCTTGTCCGTCAAGGCCAGTCGCATTTTCTAAGGAATCGACAAAATGGTTTGTATCAATCCCACCCGCCCAATCAACTAGAGCTAGCGACCGACTATATCTTCCACCCCAACTACCCCAGTCGATGCGATCACGGTAACCAAGGCCGTTCTGTATTAGCCACAGGAAACTGGGAGTATCACCTTCCATGCCGAATATAATTTGCGGGTATAGAGAACCCAGGGGCCCATAACGGATATTGGCGTCTAACCAAGGGTTTTGTGCAAGTGATGAGTTTACGCAAGGACATCCAGTGAGTGTCATCCCACTCCAGGTTGCCAGTGGATAAGCATTCCACGCATGAATAGATACGACATAAAATATGTCTGGAAAATGAGCTCGGATCCAAGGACCCGTATCGTCTTGGTCGGAAATCGTATATAGTCTGATTCGCGACCTTAACTCGGCGGCGTCTGAAGAAGACATGGTGTTGTTGATATGAAGTAACGCCTGAGCGAGTGTATTTGTTCCGCCCCATCCCGCAATAAAAAGGGGCTCTTGGGATTCTTGTAAGGCGAGGATAATGCGCTTGGCACCCTCGCTCAAAGGCTCGTGTAATGCCGCCCTCCCATATACCTAAGTATACATGAATTAGTATATACTCATTTTTATCTACCAATTGAGACTAAGGGGCCTTACAGATGGTCCTGAAGTAACTAGCGATAGTAGTTTTTCGGCGCTATCGTATGGTGAATTTGGGTTGACATGTTGGTTTAAGTTTTCCACAACCTCTCCATAAGCATTGATTATTCTGTTCATCTCCTCGGGGTGAGTCTTGTTTTTCAACCACCATGAAGTAGTTGCACAGATTCCTCGTGTATCGAACTCATTGGAGTAAAGAAGGTAGCGTATAAGAGACATTGAATCGTCTGGTTCATTAAGAATATCTGACATTATGAAGAACCGAGGTTTCCAGTCGAAGTTTTGGAGCCTGCTGGTATCCCATTCTGTCTTTTGAGGATAGGCGCTTTGCTTAGCCCATCCTTTACAGATGCTAAGATAGGAGATAATTATCGTGAAAACTGTAAGTTTTGAGCAGGCCATTCTTGATAACCGAAGAATGAAGATTTTTTAGACACTGTAAAAATAGAGGAAAAAGAATAATGCTTCTTCCTTAAACTTGACGTTATGTCTTATAAAAGTTCCCCTCTCCATGGATCCATATATAGTAGATCATTTCTAGTACAAATAAAGGTTTATGGCTTCATCAGGTAAGTTAGGTACGTAACATTATTCAAACCCCTGTTCCTATTACCCCGCAAATGAATGAATCTGAACATTCCACAACGACAAGTCTATTGGAAAGGGCCCGAATAACCTCCTATCCCGGGTGACTATCATTACAAATATGGGGTTCGAGTCCAAAGGTCGTCACGCGTTGGTGGAACTATTCTTTTTAGTGTATTCCATCAATTAAAAAGCAGCAGAGCCCATAACTAAATAAACTACATAAAGTACGCGAGAATAAATCTGAACATTTGATCGTTAGGAGAAGGATAAATGGCGTGTTACTAGTAGTTAAAGTTTATAGTTAAAATTTACCGATGTGTAAAACCAATTACGAGATATGTCACGGTGTGAGGAGTCTTTTTGCTTAGTAATCAGATGTGCATTTAATATGTACGCAATAAAGTAATTTTTCGTAATTCAAGAATATACGTTATATATTTTTGATATTATATGATTGGTGCATTTGCTACGGTTAATGTGGTTAAAGCTGTGGCTTTATAAGGTGTGGGCTTAGAATATGACACATTCATTCTAGGTTGCACAACGCCAAACACTGTTATATGGTTTTTTGCATGTTGGTTGGCTTTAATAGTTAATACTTGGATAGGGTTGCAGTTGGCTAAGAGCGTTGGTGACACAGAGTCTTGCACGACGCGGGGTTGATGGGCGGCTTTAGGAATGTAATCCCTGAAAGTATTTACTATCACATGTACAGTTGAAACTAATATATAGACGCAAGATCCTATTACATTAGGTAAGTACCTAGGTACAGGTACACTGGGAGTTATTCAGAGGCGTAACTAACCTTAGTCAACTTGAGGTTTTAATTTTGTCTTCTGTTAAGAAATAAAACTATTCCCCGATATTTTACATACCTATTATATGTAATATATGCTTCTATCGGGTAGATTTCGTAACTGAAATCATGAATTATGGCCATACTCGTGGCCAAGGAGGCTTATCTTAGGTACCAAACCTAGAGACCTAGCTTGGAAAGGCTTTTCTAATACAACATCAGTTGGTCTCATCATATCACACTTCCTGTCTTAGAAATTGATCACAGGCTCCGTAATCTCGCGTATGGCTTATCAGGTTGCCGGAAGATCTTCTCAGAAGCGCTCATGGTCTTGAAATCTTCTGGCAATTCCAAAAACTCCAAGTTCAAGATGAGCAGCGAAACAACGATGCGAAACTCCATGGATGCGAGTTTGCGTCCTGATCCAGGAAGACGTCATAGTCAGCGCTTATAGATGAAATGTAAGGATAGGCCTTAAGAACTTACCAGAACAGCCTCTATAGCCCCCACCAAATGAAAGGGATGGCAAGGCATGAGCGTTGAACACTTCCTGGCCTGTCGTCTCCTTAACCAACCATCGTCTCGGCTCAAAAGCACCAAGGTCGCGGCCCGCATTACTTTGGAATCCATCTCCAAATTTGGCGGCCGCGGCCTTGCTGCCAGCAGTGCGCTTGGACTCGTCTACAGGAGCAGGTGTATGATTAACGTGATAATTCATGAATACCTCGGCACCTTTCGGTATCTTGCATCCTAAAATCTCTGTGTCTACAGTAGCTTGGCGAAGATTGCCCTTGGCGACACCAGCGAGACGGAACGACTCCTCACAAGCCGCATCGAGGTATGGGATGTCTGTTCCGAGGATCTCTTCGACGGATGGGTTACCACTAGGGAAGGCCGCCTTGAGAGCTGTGCGCAATTCTGCTTGGGTAGCAGGGTACGCCTCCATGAACCTCACGAACCAGGTAAGGGCATTAGCAGTGGAGTCGTGACCCTAAAATGCAACCATTAGTTCTAAGCTTGTAATCTAGCATGGGAAGATAACGAACCCCAACCAGCATGACAAACATCTCATCCAACATGCTTTGATCTTCCCTAGGGTTAGTCAAAGGTTGCTCGGCCTTCTTAGCTTCGAGGACCTGCCGCCGCAGAACTAGATCCATCATGCAAGTATCAAACTCCTCGGCTTCCAAGTTGCCCATCTCAAGGCGCTGGAATTGACTGACTGCTTTCTCCATTGCTAGCCCGATTTCAGTAGTTACCGTTTTTCTGAACTTGCGGTAGCGGGGGGTATACGTTTCCAGCTTCTGCCCATTTTGGAGACGGAGTGTTCGAATTTCGCGCAATAGTTTGGCCGATATAGGCTACCTCCTCCTTAAGAAAAGTTCCCCGAGGAAGAGGTTCATTTTTATAGTCGCTATTACCAGCGACCTGGCTCTGAAGCTTTTTGATCTCGTGTCTGGTTACGTCCGGCTCCTCGCCGATCATAGCAACCCAAATAGCATCCAGTGCTGCATTTTGAAAGTCTTCATGGACGCTGAAGGGCCGGTCTTTGTACACAGTCGCCTTCAGACGCCATAGATCCAGCAACTCGAGCGTGGCTTTATGGATGTTGGGCGCGGCAGCCTTGCGAAGGAACTCGGCGCTCATCACATCAGCCCACAAACGCTTTTGAGCTTTGAGTTTCGGGGTTGTGAATTGACTAAGCGAAGCATGTGGGAACATAGGGGCAAAGGCGTCAATAGCCATGGGCGCCTTGTCGAATTCCTTATTGCGACGAAGTACGATATCCTCAATCTCTCTTGGATATTCGAGAATGATTAGGGGTTTCCGAATTGCAGGGAATAACATCTGCGCAATTGGCTTGCCCAACTTCTGAGTAGTGATAGCGAAGATAGAACTAGAAAACTCGTTTATTGCTTGGATGACAGGTACGAGACTGGGAATATCGCCAGTGATACGATTGGCTGACTCCTCATTGTAAGGAATGCCTAGGTAAGGCTTCGGGTAGATTCCGAAGCCTAGTCTCCAGGCCATGAGAATAAACACAACTAGTAGGAAACCGAGCAGAATATAGAAAAGCATATTGCTGGGCGCTACTTCGCCTATGAGTTGTTGTAATGTTAAGAGAAAACTAAGACTTAGCTGCTGAGTTGAAGAGTTAAAGGAATGAGGTATACGGGGCCAAGACTGGTATGGTCTTTTCCTAACCAGTCCTATTAATAGGTAATCATAAATCATGCAAGACATCCAATATGTAGCAAACAACCCGTTAGGTACTCTCAAATGAAAGGCTTGGGTGGGGGTGTCTATAATAGCGAATAATAGGAGAAGAGAGATTAAAGCGTTTATTTATTTCAGATGAAACTGTAAAAATACAGAAAATACGTATATAATATCTTTAATTCGCGGCTTATTACATTTATACGCAAGGGATTACAAGATTCATCAAATGAACGAAACGGTATTTAATATTACCAACATGCAGATGTGTATTTACAAGTATATAGTTACAGGCCTACCAGACCTACCAGACCTACGTATAAAAGAAGCAGGCATTTATTTCTACGTATCGTTTCATCGTTATCGTACACCAGTGAACATAGCCTGCACTTGCATCCGGCACCTAGGTGCCATTCTTAGCGATAGCATCAATTGCACAGCCGTTTTCACAACCTTTTACAACAGTTCTAGTTTGCTACCTGTTGCCTACCTAAGGTATCTTCATCATCTTCATCAGCCTTCACCATGTACTTAACCGCTCAAAAACTTCACAGAACACACCAAATGAATGGACGGCATTGACGGTTCGAAATCTAAGCTGGTGGGCTCAAGACCTGCTAAATGACCCCCTTCAAAATCATGCCACTATCTTCTATGGTATTACATGTTTATTTCTTGCTTGGTTTGTCTGTATACTACAAGTTCTACCCGTTGCAAATCAAGCGTCAATAGGAGCCCCGAGAGCTACCGTACTGGATTCCAGGTCAGTTTATTGAAAGATATCCGGAACCGACCCCTGACAGCTTGCTATATTGGGCCATACACTACCATTCTTCAGAAATACGTAATCATTCTTGGTTCATGTCCGGTAAGCTGCCTGTGCCAGACGATACTTTCGCTACTGCAATCCACTGATATGGCCGGTAGCAACGAAGTTGGAAAGTGTAAAGAGCCATTCGCGTTCGCTGTTTTTGGTAACACATTCTACGTCAGAGCCACTGGAGTGAGCGAGGCTGGTATACAGGCTTGGTACTCGCAAGAGGTTTCCGAAGAAAAGCCAGGCTTCCCCAATACTTCAGCTGATCATCTTGGGGGTTGGATCCGACAAATGCCTATCCATCAATTACACTCTGGCGAGAACCAGCAGCTGCTAGAAGCGCGGTTCCTGCATTCTTTTGATCAGGAATTCCGACTTGAGAATATCCAAAAGGACTCTAACGTACCACAAGTAGCCCTACATATGATAGCGTCGTTCAGGATTTTATTGCTAACAGAGTCACAGAATCAATACTAATACCCGAAGAACTACCTTCTGGATGCTGACTTATCCGTGAAGGGTTCGAACTAAGGTACAAATAAATAGAATAGCCTCTCATGTATATCCAGCCTTCGTGCTTGTTAGGTGGATAGCTTTTTATGTAACAAATACTCATCTCCATGACCCTAAAACTAAAGTCCGCTACGTCTATAGGCTACATAGCTTTGTTTGTTGCCCACTATACACTCAAATCACGGGCTTACGAATGCCGAAGTCGAAATAAGTATAGACATCGCAATGTTCCACCAATCCAAGCTAGCTAGTGTGAGAGCTATACCAAGGTATGGTTATGATGCAACTTCAAACGGGGGCCGTGGTCTCGGCGCAGCGTTTCTTCCCGCCCTGCAGATTGAGCCTAAAAAGAAGATCGTATGTCTAGGTATTCTTATACGCGCCAGCATAAACCGACCAGCCCTTATGAATTCTCATATCTGTCACTATATAAAAGACAGAAGTATATCGTGCTTCATAGCATATTTATTTGTCTCGCTTGCATTCGCAGTTTGCCTTGATCGTACCTAGGATATTAGTCGTATAATCATGCACAAGTCAATTCTTATTGTATCGTTGGCTGCGGCCGTCTCCGCTCATCAAAATCTTCATCAATTTTGGGTCAACGGGGTTTCTCCTGGCTACGAGATTGGAATCCGCCGCCCTCCTAGTAATAACCCAGTTGTAAGTCATAACTCTTTCCAAACTCTGTAGAATAAATATTAACGTATTTGACCTGCCTTCTAACAGACTGATGTGAAAAGCAACGATATTGTATGTAATGTCGGAGGCGACAAGGTTCCCTCAGGGGTAACGACTGTTCCAGCTCGGGGAGGAGACACTGTAACAGTTGGCTGGGATCCTTCAGGCCATCCCGGCCCCATCACTCATTTCTTGTACGGACCGGTGGGCGATGCCGCTAAAGCCTCTGGAGTTGGGGCAGGCTGGTTCAAGATTGACGAGCGCGACTACGTAGATGGACATTGGGCAAATGAAGTGGTACAGAACAACGGCGGGAACTACACGTTCAAGTTACCCACGGGCTTGAAGAGTGGTGATTATCTCGTATGTTTCTCTATATGACTGATTTGGCCAACTCTCAAATTGCTGATACTCTTCTAGCTTCGCTCAGAAATGCTGGCTCTCCACGCCTCGCAGACGGTTGGTGGTGCTCAGTTTTACATCGGCTGTATGCAGTTGAAGATCACAGGAAGCGGGGGACAATGCTCGCCTACAATTTCTTTACCCGGGGCTTATAATGCCCAGGACAAGAACATTTACATCCCAGATGTGTATAACGGCTTCGACCCGACGACATACGCTGCACCTGGCGGCCCTGTCGCGGCATGTAAATGATGAAGTATAGACTCCCAAAGTCTTACAATTTCAACATCCTACTATTGTCAGTATCTCGGCATCATGTAACATGATTGATACTACATTATTATGGACCACTAGGTTAAGGGACTATGAATTCTGACCCATATGCTCGAGCGAATGCTGTATCTAATTGACTCTGCTCACTCTTTGTAGTCGGTCTTACGAATAATGCAGGTACCTCTTATTTTATATCACCGTGTATAAAAGTCACATTAGAAAGATGATATGAAAAGTTTGAATTAAAATTTTCTTTATAATGATATTAGATAAATATTTTACATATCTAGCTTCCGCGTAAACATCAGGTACTTATAAATTCAGCATGTAAACAGCATAACATGTAGGTGCCAGATATCTATCTCTCTAGGTACCTAGGCAGTCTATCTTAGCATTAAAACATTACTCCGAGGTAGAGCACCAAAAACAAAAACTCGTCCCTACATCTATCTATTCAGCATCCTCGATTTTCACCCTCTTGGTGGGTGGCTGCTCAGCGTCATCTAGTTCATCCAGTTTACGTTTTGCCGGGCTTGAAGCAGGGGTTGATGCCGGGGTTGAGCAGCCAGGTTCTGCTTCTTCAGGGGTGGCTTGCATTTCAACAACTGGAACCGGAGTTGCTTCTCTTGAGAGTTCTGGAATACTAAGGTCTTGGCAAGTGTTTCCCTGTTCTTGGAGACCTTGATCGCTGTCGGTTACGACTGCTGCATAGGCATGAGGCTCTTCGGCCTCGATGCTTTCAAGGACTGGGCTTTCCAAAGGCTTGTCATGACCATCCAATACAGGTTCCGTAGAGGTGTATACATCACTTTCGGGTACTGGATCTGCATCCGTATCTTGGTCCGAGCCATTCCCATCTGATTCTGGGTCATTTGGTTGCGACACTTCTGACCCATGCTCTGATGCAGGAGCTGTGGCTAGCGCCGTGATACTCTCACCTTTCTGGGAAGGTTTGGCCCGTGCCTTGCTGGTTGGCTTTGCCTTGGGCTTTGTAAACCACTCATCAGGTTGGTCTTCGAAGAAAGCATTTAAACTGTCGGGATTGTAGTTCGACTTCTCGCTAGGAACCTCGAGTGCCATTCGTACAAGATATCCAGAGTTTCGAATGGTACGGTGCGCACAGGAAGCCATCATTGATTCTCGGTAGGAGTCTATGTCAAAGTGCTCCTCAAATGCAGTCCAGAGGAGGTCGGTGTTCACAGCACGACCACAGTCCTCTTGGTAATTGAGAACCTTCAGTCGACGAATGAATTCTCGGCATATAGCGTAAGCCACATGTCCCGTTTCCCATGCCTCGTAGACGTCTTCTGTCGTAAAGCTTTCAATCATAGCGCTGTCAGGTAAATAGATGCAGCCATCTTCTAGGATTTCTGCCAATCTTTCCTTAATAAAGTGTCTTCGATCATCACGGTCATTTGGTAAAGGGTCGACAATAGCACATGCAACCACTTCTCGGTCAAAACGAGTAGAAGATTCTTGGAAGTTCGTGGAGATTTCCCCAATCTGCAAGATGACAGTCACCCAGACGTCCTGTACCGGTAGGTGGATAGGCCATAGCGTGAATCGACAATCACGCATAGATTTAAATAGCGGATGAAAGCTAGCATCGTCGATGTTGTCAGATGCCTTTTTGCGAATTTCCTTTCGAGCCTTATCAAACCCTTTACCTTCCTCTGAGAAAAGTTGGAGTTCGTCATCAACCGCGGGCGTAAAGACTATGGATGTCTTTCTAAAATTACGCGCCTCCCAGAACAATGAGGTGTATATGGAAGTCGGGGAGATAGGTCGATCTCTTGCGGTTTGTAATCGATACATTCCGTCGGCTTCCTTCTTTACACTGCGGATTACTTCATTAGTCTTGGGAGTGAGAACTGCTCCCCAGCCACTCTTGAAGTTGGGGTTAGAGATAAGCCTTGCGGCCGAGGTCATTGGTGCTGCAGGCATATTGTTGAATTGATAGTTTAGTAGCTGAGGTAGATCCTGTGAATATTCACTTGACTAATATCGAGTCCGGCTGAATTAGATAGATTGTGAGCTGAGGTGTTCTGATCTGCTTTCTAGGTGCCATCTCCATCACGGTTCCCTTGGGTAGACTTTATACTGAGAGATAGGTTCTGACATCTACCAATTGATTTTTGAGTTCGTACAAACAATGGCTTTGACAATGCCTAACAGCTATTTTCGTCCTCAAAAGGATTGTTCTGGGGTTTTGGTTGTCCATAGTTAAATGATTGTAATCGAGAAGTAGAGTATAGTACTTGTCAATAATGGCATTCAATAGCTGTGGTAGACTCTTTGATTGCAGTCTCATTGTAGATATAATTAACAAAGGTGGTAGTTCCAATGGCTCTTTAATATGGATCAATTGTACGGATTACAATAACATTGATGTAAATTGAAAGATGATATTAGTCTAGTTATTGAAATAGATAGGTAACATATTCATTTACAGCGAAAGTTGTATGCACAATACGTTGGAAATCATTAACTGAATACCAGCGTGTCACTGAATAAACACCAAAAAGCGGTATCGTTTTATACAGAATGTACGAATTACGAGATGAGACACACGTTTAAGTAACACAAAATGTCGATCTCAAAGCAGCAAAGTACAGCTGGATGATCCACAATAAATACCTTAGGTACCTAGGTAGGTACCTATCCCTGAAGAAAAACAATCCCCCCTAATCATGCGGGGGATTGACAGACTTGGACCCTCATTACGTGTAATTTCAGGGTTGTGACTTGCCAACGATAACAGAGCCTAACGCACAGCTCATATAAACAATAAACAATACGAACAAAGTGGAATGGTATAAATTCCTAAGTCCTCACGCCCATTTTCCTAGGTATTCTAAACGCTTTCCATCATCGTCGGACTAAACATCAACCATCAAATCGTCAACATGGCCACTTACACTAACGACGACGATACCGCCGGTGTCCCTCAGGCACCTGGCACCGAGCATACCGAACTGCTCTCTTTTCTACAATATTTTGAGACCCTGTTTGTTATCGACGACTCTTCAAACATGAAGCGCCAGTGGAGCGACGTGTCCGCTCTTATCCAAGCCGTCGCTCCGGTTTGTCTGCAGTATGATGAAAACGGTGTCGACCTCTACTTTGTCAATCACAGGCCCATGCTTTACTTCCCCGGCATGTCTGTGCGCAAGTCGGGATATAACCATATTGGTAAAGTCCACAGCGACACCGGGAAGCGTGATAGCACGCAAAATATATTCCAGGCTGTTAAGCCCGGCGGCGGATGCAAGCTGGGTTCCCGTTTGAAGAAGATCCTAGCCTGGTACATTGAGCAGCTGAAGCTGGATCCCCAGCGAGCCCCTCTTAATGTCATCGTGATTACCGCCGGCATATCAGACGACGACTTTGCGGCTCCTTTGCTCGAGATAGCCAAAGAGTTGGATAGCATGAACGCAGCCGCACATCAGTTAGGCGTCATGCTGTTCCAGCTAGGTGATAACGAGGAAGCGCGTAAGAAGTTCGAACACGCAGACGACGAGATGTGGAAGCAGGCGCGCACGCGCGACATCGTCGACACCGTGGCATGGCGTGGCTGGCCTGCCAGCTTCGGATCCGACGACATGGTTAAGGCCGTATTAGGTGCCGTGTCAAAGAAGATGGACGGGGCAAAGACGGCTCTTGAAGGAACAACCCCTCCAAAACGCCACGAAACGAACCTCTAAGTTGTCAAGTTGTCACAGTCTAGGGTCTGGATCTACGAAAGCTAGGGCCCCCGTTAGTAAACAGATGAGCACGATGATTTTCACCACTACTTCAAAATGCGTTGCATATCCTCTAAATAGCCGACTATCTAATGTACTTAATGTTAAGTAGCTAGTTACTAACTTTGAGACCGTGGCGTATATCGCACCTCTTGATACCCATTCATGCTGTCTTCTGAGACTTACCGAAGTTATCATCTCGGATTCCAAGTCTATATGCTATGTCTGAATCCTTAACGCCTTGATGAGTAGACGTGATGTAATTCTTAAACGCCGTAGACATGTGGGCAATTTCTTTCAGATGCGCCTCCCTGACTTCCGGAATAGAATCCTCAATAGAGACGCCCCTTTCCCTAGCCTTCTTAGAATCGTAGAGCGCAAGCGCAACGGCAGATTGAAAAGCTGTAGGTATGGAATTTAGCTGGGGGTAGACACGAGACGGAAAGGTCAGCTTACCATTACGAATTTCGCGACCGTTCCATTCAAGCTTCTTGATTTCTTCGCTCTTCCGAACATATTCTTTGGCATCATATTCATAGTGGATATCCGGCCCGCCGTGCTTGTGATCTTCCTTGAGTTTGCGGAAGAGGTTACTCCAGATCTGCTCCCGCGCTGCATCATCAAGGGGCTCGTAGCCGATCGCCACGTGGATACGAGACAAGAACGCCTCGTCAAAGTCACCCACACGATTAGTAGTTAGAAACAGGATGCCCTGGAAGTATTCAAGCGCGCGTAGAAAGACTTGATACGAAGTCAGTCAACTTCTCGGTCTATAAATGTGCGGATATAGAATGTGAACTTACTTGACACAATACTATTTCTCTTAAGATCGTTGCTTGAACGTCGTTCCTGAGTATGAAGTTAGAACTACTAGCTTGCGGGTTAATCTGGTTCTATATAGTTACCAAATACACGTCGGCTTCATCCAAAAGCACGATGGCGTCCCAACTGTTAGCATCTCTAAAGAACTTGAGGAGATTTCTCTCTAGTTCGACTGGTTCGTGGCCCAGATCGGCTGCGGTAATGCTAAGCAATGGTCTCTTTGTGTATTCGGCAACAGATTCTAGAGTAAGGTCAGTATCTTAGATTAGTCCCCAGTGTAAACGTGGTCCTTACCAGCTGTGAGCGTCTTGCCAGTACCTGGAGGTCCGTGCAAGAGAAAGATTTGGCCTTCACCCTTTCCATGGATGAAATCTGCGCTGAACAGCTCAGCTTGACTCTTACTGTCCGTATAGGTCTGAGCGATCGCCTTGATTGTATTCCTGTTGCTTTCAGGCCTCATGACCAACTGATCAATGGAGTCTTTCGCAATTCTTGGAGGGGCAAGGCCGCTGACATCAATAAGATCTAAGTTCCAAGTTAAGAAATGGCCACTCCCCATATCATCCGCTGCTGGGCTCACGTACCGTATGTGCGGTCTTTGAGAATAAATCCGAACATATGAGACATGCATAAGAGATACTGGTGATCCGAAAGGCTCTCACGAGTCTTTGGATCAATGCTATCATAGTCGCTGAATGTCCCAGATATGTATCTTTCTTTCCCAACATCCAGTTCGCTGCAATAATGGCATTCACAATGCGGGGTTTTTGCTCGTTCTTTAATATCGGTCTCGTACTCGTCCACATCCAGTACCCAACCTTCCATTACATCTATATCCTCTCGAGCCCAACTGTTCCATGGATGAGACTCGTGTTCAACGACCACTCTGGCTCGATTATACTAAAGATATGTATACATAGGTTAGTCGTCTCTCCGTCGAGGGTACCTATACTATTAGTGTAGGAATATTAACTCACTCTCTTCCAACCCGGTCTTAATCCAGAACCAGTATACTCCAAGAACGCAGGCCCTTTAGCACATCGGAAAAACATCTTCCCTCGTTCAATGAGCTCCTTTCGCCGCGCACCTCCGTCTAAATTATCGTGGAACCTTGTTGGAAATAATGGCAATGACGTTATGTTCCGCTCATTGTCAAAAACCGGTACGTCAACAAGTTTAGACCTCCTTTTAATGACTTTTCCGTCATACACCAGATTCCATAGCCGAATAGAGTAGCTCTTGACTTTGATCGCCCACAGGCCTTGGAAAACATGTTCAACACCATCTAAGACCGCGTCCACTACATACGCATTAAGCTGTCCATTTTCAACTACATAAACGTCAGATCCAGGCTTTAACAAAAGCCAAAGTCCTGTAAATGTCGTTGTGGGCACTTTTTTAGCCCATCTAGCTTCCAAACCCTTAACCCGAATAGTAGGCTCGTTCTCGAGGTACTGGAGCAAAAAGTCAATATGCCTGTCACACTCCGCGTTATAGGACTCGGTATGATTTTCTCTAATCCCGCCGATTTGGGTTTTATACTCTCGAAGTTCTTCGCGGTGGTGGAATAGATCCTTATAAGGATATGAGAATACCCCTTCTTCTAAGTCATCCGCTTCATCTCCGGACGGTGCTTCAGATGAATATTTCATGACCGCACGTAAGGCATTGATCAAAAGCCGAGAGTGAATGTGAAGGTGTTTCTTCTGAACGCGGTCTCGGTCGCCTAATTTTGGTGCATCTTTGACCTTACGCCGGGACCGGGACCGGGACCGAGATGCGTCATGACGACCACGCTCTCCCAACAACACAGTTGTTTTCTCCTCCAGGACAGGCAGTACCTCGCCTCTACTTCGTGATGTCTTCAGAGGTACGGGATCGTCTTTAGACACTCTGTATAGAAATTCGTCATCACCATATCGCTGCTTCTGATAGTAATTGATCGTATATGTAGCTTTCACCTCATATCTGCCCTCGAAATCGCCGTCCTCTTCGGTTTTATCCTGATCTGTGTCAGAAACTTCGGAAGGGTCTGAAACCGATCCTTCGCGGACCCAAGGTTTGGAATCAAGCTGGATGTCGATTATCCACCCCGGCTTAACTAGATGCTCCCAGTAATCGGGGAAGAGAATTCTTCCATCTGTATAGAGTTTATACCTGCCTTCTTCGATTTCCTTCAATGCGCCTTCATTATTTCTATATGATCGTTTGAGAAGCTCTTCAATTCCCTAACAGAAATAAGTAGCTGCACTCGTGAATCCCAACATCATGTTATAATATACCTTCCAGGTCTTGCACAAAGCCCATGGCAGCATGAATTCCGTCCGGATATCGTGTGCCAATGTTATGAAATTTTCAAGAGTTGCCGGCTTAGCTGGCGATTCTTCCTTAACCAAATCTTGAGGGGCATCTCTATTCTCTAGAGATGGGATGTGATTCTCGCTGGACTTGTCGGACGCGTTCTCGGTCATGACGGGGAGAGTGGTTTTTGTTACAGGTGAAGTATTTGATTCTCCGGCCTCTATAATATCAATCCCAGAATAGTTAGATAAACCAAGGAATGAAACATATGGATTCTTGCGTAAGAGATACCTAATTCTACTTCTTTAAGCTCTTCTAGCTGGTGGAGAGTATCTCTTCCAGATGAAATATTGTTCTGATGACTATGAAATAAGTTATGCGAAATTGAATCAGAAATTATATCCATTGTGGGGGATTGATACTGGTAGACATCAGGTTAATTAGGGACTCCAGTAAACTTGTTATTTAGTATTAATATATTTGTTCTAATGTGATAGAGGGGTAGACCGAATCTGACGCATCTCAGCCTCATCATCCTTCGAATTACAATGCAAGAAGGATGTTAGTGTCTTCCTTAGCATAATCAGGTAGTTCCATTAGGATTGGGGGCCAAGTTATAGGTGAGTCAAACCAATAGTATGCTCACGATAGAGTGGTATTCTCAAGGATTCTCGAAGGGACGTAGCTAAGTTACGTGATTTAAATTAATCAGCTTAACAGGGGTATAATGTATTTCCACACCCCGCTCATCGTAGGTATACGGTATACAGCTGGATAGTTGAATGGTGCAGCATTATGCAACACATGATGTGTAGGTAGGTAAAGCTACGGTTTTTGAAATCAAGTCCTAAAAGCATCCTGAAAATCAGACATCCTTTCAGCAGTTGCATGGACTACCTAAGTTTTCCGATTTGAATCGAATGGTTATTGGTTTATTGGTATTGAAATGGCGAGTTCGCGATCGTTGCTTCACGATCCTGAGGCGGATGCACTTGAAGGACAGCACATCATCCGACGGTTCACAGATGAGCTTACAGGTTCAAACGATCTAGAGCGATCAACCAAGGCAGCGCAAGCCGAAATCGATGAAGAGGAGTTAGATAATGAGAGATTACGACTCAGATCTCTCTACGAAAGCCCGGAGAGCCATAACAATCAGTAATAGTATAACTCGTCGTAGCCATATTCAATTGCTTACTCACACGGCGCTCCAGGTCAAGAGACTTCATTGTCTCGGAAATCGCAAAGAACGCACTACTTGAAATGGTTAACAAGTTCATCGAGAATGAGAAGCCTTCAATGCTGCAGCGTATAGGGTTCTCTCACAAGCCGGCGAAGTCAAAGGCAAACAACATGCTCTTAGATTTGGTACAAAGCGATCCACAGGAGCTTGAAGCGATAATTGATAATCTAGAAGAGGCCTGGAAGCAAAACAATGGACGAGTAAGGTGGACGTCGAATTTCGTAACTCACGCATTGTTTCTAATGCTTTGCCTGGATAGATATATCGAACTTTTAAGCTATTGTGTAAGACTCTCGACGACCATAAGGCTGTCTTTTCAATATTTCCGTCGCAAAACGAATATACCTCAATTTTGTGCTCGAGCATTTTTTGTTTTGTAAAGGTATATTAAGCTAACGGTATATAATAGAGTACATATCTAGGTACTCATATTATAATATACTTGGAACTGACACAGGAATATAGGCGGCTAAGAACCATAGCGAAATTGCTGAAACACTATCCAACTCCGTTCATCGTATTTCGGAGATTGTTGCTAGAGCTTCGAAAAACATCTTGATATTCAAAACTCAGTCAATAAGACGGAAGCTCGCAGATATCTACGCTATCGTGTTCCGATTCCATCACAAGACCATACAGTGGTATCTAAGTTCGAAGCTAACGAGAGTGTTTCCCTCTTTTAATGAGAATTTGAAGGCAGGCTTCGAAAGCACCGAGAAAGAACTTGATAAAGAAATTGAAGAGTTGTATCGTGAGGCACAGATTAGCCAGCATGCCATGGTCGCAATTCTTTCTGGTAATATTGAACGGTTGAGTGCTGAGCTACACTACCAGCGAATGCATTGCGAAGTTACAGATACCACGGCCGGCCATCGTATGATAAATTTGATGGAGGCAAGTTGGAACGGAAGTCGGTTCCTTAAACGACCACAGCAAATCGAGACCGATAGACATAACCCACTTGGAAGCGAACTGATACTCCATGCCCCAGAAATGGTTGGGAATATAATAACACGCGGTCAAGCCCGCACTTACAGCCCCGCTATAGAGCGTTTCATTGTCGGTGACGAAGGGCCGTCTAAGTTCAGTACAGGCAAGTTCTGGGTCGCCGAAGATGAAGTTTTACTGAAGCTGCGCGACTGGATGGCCGAGCGCAGGACAACACGCATGTTATGGATATCGAGCCCTTACGAGCCAGGGGCCATGACGAGTGCGCATGCGTCAGCTCTAGCTGTCGTAGCTGCAGCGTGGCAAGCAAAGGCACCATTAATCTCGCATTTTTGCCAACGGCCGCGGCGGGATGAGTTACGCGCGGGAATGAGTGTTGAACAGGTAGGGTTAATGGGTTTAGTCTACAGCTTAGTCTCCCAACTGCTCCAGTTTCACCAAGATGAAGCTATTCTCAACACCGGTGAAGACACCTTTAGAATGTTGAACGGAGAAAAACAATCTTGGGATACGAGCTTAAAAGCCCTAGAAGTGCTACTAAGTCATATGACTGTATTGAAATACTGCGTCATCGACGGACTGAACGAGCTCGAGTTAGGGGATGGCGGCCAATGGTGCCAGCAATTTTTAAACGTATTGCTTGAACACCAACAAGCAAAAGAGACAGCGTTCAATATTCTTTTTACCACGGCTGGCCAATCGCGTATCCTGGCTTCCGGAGTAGATGTTAGAGACAGACATCTTGCAACTAGACCTGCGAGAGAGTTGGCTAGATGGGGAAGGAAGATCGAGTTAGAGCTTTGAGGATTAAAATGAACGCAGCGACAGCCTGTGTGCGTCATATTAACTTGCGCTGGGGGGGAAAGCAATATATTAGGGACTTATCCTTAAGATATATATATACACCCCTAACCCCTGACTCAAGACGTGAACCAATGATATGCGTCGAACGCTTGCAGTATCAAAGGTATTATTATACAGTCAACAATATTCTCAAATAATCAACGTGAAATACTAAAACAACCCATGAACAGCGTTCATCTAAAGCACTTGATGTTCGAAAATGCCAGCGTCTCGGCTATGTTGTTCTCTCCGCGTAGGTCTATTTAGCCGGAACCGTGGCAGACCTATGATGCCTGGCACACACGCACTATCAAATGATTTGGACACATTTACATATCCGACCTCATAACTACGAGCTATAGGCATTTATAGCCTAGCTCAGACATGGTCCTAATGCTCAAGTCCGTGTTGGCATTTTCGGTTTCATTCTCACCCTACCTATCCACTGCGCTGTCGATTGTTGATGTGGGTCGTGTTGCGATAGACTCACCACTGCATCAATATACATACTAATATTTCTCATGGCCCCTTTCTATTTCCCGGTCTTACGCCCCCCGTGGTTGGCGGTCTTGGCCTGCCTAGCCGGGCTTAATCCGCTACCAGCGTTTTCGAAGCCATTGGATCCGAAGACGTGCTCCTTGGACTTCCACGGCTCAGTACTAGGCCGTAGACAAGAATCACTTACATGTCCTCCCCCCATAGATGAAGAATCCGCAATAGATACGGGGACCTGGGAGCCTTGGAAGCGTCGGCCCTACTGCATAGAACCCTTACCGGGAGATGCGCCCGGGCCACAGTTCTGTCTCTACACATTCGAGCCGTTTCGCGGGGACCGAGGTCTGAGCGTTATAACCACGCCCGTACTTGCAGCGAGCATGGTCGACGCCTTAGATGACTCGGTCGTGCCCCCGAAGCTCAGGGACCACCCTTCAAGTTCCCTCGCGGCGGAAGGAAGCAGTCCGGCGTACGTGATTAAGGACATACCCGGAAAGGGGAAAGGTTTAGTTGCGCAGCGCCAGATTGGGAAATGGGAACTAGTATTGGTAGACTATCCCTTCATGCTTGCACACGTGGGTCTATTCGATGTAGTAGGCCCTGAGCTCCGCGAGGATGTTCTAGATCGAGCTTTACGCCAGCTACCAGAGGAGCAGCAAGGCGAAATATTGTCATTGGCACGCAGCACTGGCGGTGAAACGGTTGAAGACATTCTCAGAACGAATATCTTTGGCGTTGAGCTCGGAATTGAGATACCACATCTAGGATTACTTCCTATTGGCTCCGTGAGTTGCACCTCGTAAATGGCGACCTGGTGTACTCCAGCACTAACAGAAACAGCGGATCAATCATGACTGCAGACCCAAGTATGCATCTACACCTTCATATACTGAATGCACTTGAACTAGAAAGCTAACTTGTGAATAGCGTTTTCTGGCGATACTCAGTACGTGCTTTAGCAGTCGAAGTCATTGCAATGCGCGACATCGAACCCGGAGAAGAGATAACACAAAGTTGTAAGACCCCTTAACCCTAACCCCTTTCCACCATCTCCTCCCTAACGCTCTTCCATGCTAGACGTACCTCTTGGGTTATCCTACGAAGAGCGCAAAGAAGACCTGAAAAACTGGGGCTTCACCTGTACATGCTCGCTATGCGCCTCTTCTCAAAAGCATAGGGCGGCTTCGGATGAAAACCGAGCGCGACTACAGGATATCTACCATGAGCTAAACGACAGCGCTGCGGGAAAGTCTAATCTAACGATCAACACAATCGAAAGGCTCACTGAAGAGCTAGAGTCGCTAGTAGCCAAGGAGAACCTAGAGGCCCAACTTCTTGTGCACTACAGTGCTGTTGCTAGAGCCTATATGCGCGTCGGCGAGCTGGACGCAGCTAGGAGATACGTGGAATTATGTGAGTACTTATGGGTGCAATACGCTGGAGAGGAAGATGATTATCTCGCGGGAATGCATCAACTACGACATGAGCTAAATGAGAGGGACAGAAAGGCCACCATCGACGGAAGGTCTTAAAGGATATAGATTCAACTCGTAATCCACCCCTTTCAATTTCATAAGAACATTTACTCCTTTCTAGATGATAAAAACTACGATATATGTCACTAAAAGTTATGCACCGTAAGGCAATCCGCCACTCATTTTTCATAGAATCATTGAGGGGATTTAGCTAGTTAAAATCATTTATATTCTTAATCAGACCGTAAGGTTAGGTACGTAAGCTCTAATAATCTAAGACATGACTCGTGCTTCCTATCGTACATACATCTTCTATGGAATCTTTTTTTGGTGCGATAATCCATAGCTGTGAATGAATGATTGGGGTTTTGGTTGCTTAAGGTAGCAAACTGAACGCCATACTCCAAATCACCTCGGCCGAAACCTTAGTATTACTCCTCTTAGAAGAAAGGATCGGCTCGGCTATTCCCTCTTTCTTTACGACGGGCGGCTCCTATTCCATGGCTACCATGGGCCAATGGCTAATTAAGCAGACTCCAGTAAGGCTCCTCGGAGCTCAACGAACCAGGCGAAAATATAGCTGCGCGCGTTTCGCTCGGCTACGCACTATGCGTTAGGATTTGACATGTGGCTAATGCTCAATAGGCTTCTCGAAGATAACCTAGAGAGAATAGATCGGCCACGAAGCGTCGTGATAAATGGCGCTATAGATGGCTATTCGAGACGACCTCGGTCGTATCGACTAGTACCGTCCTCCAATCAGTCATCCATTCTCATCTCGAAAGTTCCTACCGAGAAGATCTCAAACTGCACCCTTTCTGGTTTTACACCATACTTGTGTAAGTGTTCGGACGCCTGCATCATGAATTTCTCGGGGCCGCATATGTAGTACTCAGCCGAGCCATTGCTTAGATACAAGTCCTCGGATGTGAGGGATAGGAAATCGTTGTCGAAGGTCGAAGTATACGACAACACATCACTATCCGACAGCCTCGACTTGAAGAACTTTGTCCTTATATTCGGGTGCCTCTTAGCCAGATTATCGACATGCGCTTGGAAGGGGGCATCATGTCGTGATGCCTGGATCCAAGACACTGGCCTGTTGATTCGCTTTTCTACAACAGTATTCAGCATCGAGAGCAGTGGGGCTACACAGACTCCGGCGGAAATGAGGACGAGCGGCATCGAAGTGTCCATTTTGGTATCAAGGAAGAAAGAGCCTGACGGATGTGTTAACTCAATGGTGTCTCCTACACTGAACTCGTCGATAAGCGAGTTGGAGACGACACCAGGCCTGCATGGCTGCACGCTACCAATACTACTATCTGACGCGCTGCTGGCAGCTGAGGAAATTGTCATGATATCATCAGGTTTAGCGTAATCCCAATTTGACCCCTGGTCTCGCTTGACGGTAATCTGATAGTGGTCATAGCTAGGCGCATCGCTCAGCGAATACTGTCTGCGCTGGGCAAACTTCATGCCGGGCACTGTGATTCTCAAGGTGATGTACTGGCCGGGCATGAAGGATGGTAAGGGTTTTCCATCAAGTGGCTTCAAAATGAAGGAGACGATGTTTCCCTCTACAGTCTCATTCTTCTTGTTGGATATCGTAAACTTCCGCCAGCCCTTCCAGTCCTCAAATTCGCGGTAAATGTGAGCTTCTCGGCCCGTTAGCATCTTTGCCATAACCCAGTAAGCTTTTGTCCACGCCAGCTTCACGTCAGGGGTCATGGCAGGACCGAGGACGGCGGAAAACGCGCGCAATAGATACTTGCCGACAATCTCATATTGTTCGGGCTGGATATTCAGCGAGGCGTGCTTGTGTGCCACACGTTCCAGCTTCGGTGTTAGCTCGCTAATGTTGACAATATTGGAAGCAAATGCTAGAATAAGTGTCGTCAGGGCGCGCGGCTGCTTTCCTGTATGCATATTCACGGTATTGAAGTAATTGTGTAGTTCGGGATGGTCGCGTAACATGGTCTTATAGAAGACAGTCGCAATGTGTTCACCATGTTGGCGTAGGGATGGTAGTGTATCCTTGACCAATCTTGATTCTTTATAATTGAGAGCCATGGCGGCTAGTTGTTACCTTGAAGTTATCTTGAAGTTCTTCTCGAAGACAATAAAATAAGATGACTGGTGAGAGACAAACAGGTAAGACTCTATAAGTAGAGGCTAGAGCAACACAGTGGTGGCAGTGGTGGCAGTGGTGGCAGTGGTAGCAGTGGTAGCAGTGGTAGCAGTGGTAGTTGATAGAGAGAAAGATAATGAACAAATGGGATTTGCATTGGTTACTGATATAATTATTCGAGGAGCAGGTTTCAAAACACGAGTTCCTAAAACTATGAAAGTTTCGTAACTATGTTGTAAATGGTAAATACATGGTCCAAGTTTTTAATACCTTGTAGGTTTACCTTGTACATAGGTTGCTTACCGCCTCGTGCTCATAAGGCGTTATTGTATGTACCTAAGGTAGGTATCTTGTTCCGCTTTTGCGGAGTCATGGGTCAAACTTAAACTTTTGGCTGAATGTTCAAAATTTCTAGTGCATGTTTTTAGGTTTTAGTGCATATTTTTAGTGCATATTTTTAGTGCGTGGGATAGCATGGGATAGCATGACGAAGTTATGTGTTTGCGGTCATTACCGATTCTATTCGACATTTGTCATTAGAAATACTAGAAATACTAGAAATAAAACACCAAACATTTTCCCAATGATCCCAATGATCCCAATGGTTGAACGTCACGCGAGCGGCAGATATTTTTGAGGCAAAATGGCATGATATGACGGCACTTACATGCGTGGCTGGAAAGATATCTCAGGCTAGATCTTCTACATCGAATGATTGTTGAACACTCTTCTAGAAACCCGCGAGAAACTCCGACTTAGCGAGTTCGCACATGAATACCAAGGGACCCCGGTTCAAGCCATGTGCCAGATGCTCGGATCTTCAAATGCCTAACCTAGGTAGGTACAAGTATGTATTAGGTACATGTACTTGGTACCTACCATATAATCCTTACATCGACTGTCGATATTTTCTTCTTCAGTTCTATGTAAATATAAAATAGAGAATTAAGCTTACCTAACAGATGGACTCGGCGTTCCGGTGCGCATTAGCAATTTATTAGGGACCAACCATGCTATAATAAATCATCCGGTTATCCGCTAATAATGAATGTTCTAGCCGCTAGACTAACGCATAGCTCCCGCCGTCGTTTGCTATGTATATGTACAATCCTCCGAACCCTTACAGCCTTAGTCCCTTAAGGTTTCATTACGGACTCGATGATTTTCGCGATCTGCAAGCACTGGTATTTTTATTTATAAAAAAAATCGCATCTATTCTACCCAAGATTACCTCTCTCCGGTCCCGATCTAATTATTATTATTACATATTATTAACGATGTATACAGTCACCAACCAAATTACTTGAGTGTTTTAGTTTACTACGTAAGCTATCCATGTTGGTTAAGTGAGAGCAAAACTGCCAGGATTTTACTTCCAACCGAGCTCCGGGCTGAATTTGGAGTTTAACGGATACGTAACACCCGTACTAGTAATCAACTCCCCAGGTAATCTATCACATTTTAAGATCTCACTGTAGTAATTTACATATTCGCTAGGAGGTCTAGGGTGGAAAGTTTGCAGGTTCATAACCCAGAATGACACCGTCCAGAATACGACTTGGCTCATCCGCGACTTGAAGCTATCGATCTCTTCGACACAAATATACTAGAGCTACACAAGCAAACAACAATGCTTTCATCGTTGCGCCTCTTAATTTATTGTCGGAGTAATTAATCCTTGTTTGAGATGTGATTGCCTTACCTACTATTAGATGATCCCCTCTCCAAGAACCGTATCCAACATCTAGTCCGTGCTCAACCTCCCCCTTTCTTTACCTATGTAGATTTCCTATGTATTTGCCAATCCACGATTTCCCAGCCCTGTCCCAGTCTCAGCATTAAGAGTCCGTGCGGTGACATACCGCTAGCGACGTCTAGCCGCTCAGCCGCTCAGCCGCTTTCACACATCCTCCGTCGAATTCTCCACCTAAGCACATTGTGTCGCGGGCCGATACTCGCCATCTCGCCTATGCTGACCGATATCTTCCGGGCGTCGGCCTCTTAGCGAGGTATATCTTGGCATTTTGTCAGCGGCGTTCTTGTGTGACTTGGAAAAGAGCAGGTGTATATCTTTACGCTAAGAAAACTCCCAGACGTTCTCGACCAGCTAGGTACCTAGGTAGTTTATTCACAACCCTCATATCATATTCATCCCTCCTATCAAGTTTACGTCATATCGAACTAAGCCTAGATATTATTAGAAAATTCCGTGTATACCCCAGTAAGAAGCACACTAGTATTCTTGCAAAAGTGGCACTTAAGGCTTAGGTAGAACATGAATTGGGTAATTAGCGCAACAATCTCAACCAACCCTATGTTAAGTCCCGAGCCTAGGAACGATCCGGTTAAGATAATAAATGTAGAAAGGGTTAGAGTATTAGTAACCAAACACGTTGGAGTAAAAGTAGTAGTATTGGGGCCTGAATATAAATATTTCATCATTAGAAACACCACTGGATCATGTGCTTAATACTGGTATAAGTTGATACGTCGAGGGAGGACCGTTGGTAGTCAGGTATTCGAAACCCGAGGAAATAAAATCCATATTTGGAGTACCAAAGAGGATAATAAGAAAGTGGATCTGTTCTAAGGACGAAACCAGAGTTAAGCTCATTAGTTCCCCCCAGTTATTCAATGAATACATATCTGCTAGTTTGAGAGATCTTAGCATTCGTCTGGCAGTGTTCTTGACTTGATAAGATGAATAATATACCAGAACTTAGTGAATCGGTCTATACGATTTCATCAAGCTACCAGAACTTGCTGTTGTAAAACTGGATAGTAATCTGGGATCAGGAGGCATCTTTCGAAACCAAACCGTTTGACAGTATACATGTATCCTAATTGATAGTTAGGACATAGATAGCTAAGTATATTAATATGTTTGCTGTTGTAAGATAGTATAAGTTTAAATCAGGAACTCCAAGAAGCGCGTTACCAAATAACCAACAAGATATGAATAGACAGACGAGATATATTAAAGCAGAGCCTTAATCCAAAGCCAACAGGCATATGTTCCTTTACCTCAATTATTTATGTTAAAATATAATTATACAGTTATAACAAATTCACAAAGGGCCGGACTATGGTTAAAGCCACATTAAAGGACAACGGGCCATGAGTAAAACTAAATGTTCAGATACGTGTGCTAGTTTATGAAGAAGTACATGACTAAAAGCATAGTATTACACCGAGTGTAAATATCCCGAAGAATGTTGTGTCTCCGATAAACTACACATATCATATGATCACACAAGATAAACCCAAAGGCCAATAATTAAAACATGAAAAAGTTCATACGGCTACAAGGAACAAAGTATTTAAAAACACCGTCCAATGGGATCTCGGAGTGGTGACTGTGACGATGTGACTCAGGGGTAAAACCGGCAAAGAGTCTATAGGTCGAAACATTGCGGCTGCTACCACCAACAGTGAGATACAAGTCCTCGCACAAAGCTTCATGGCGCAGCGGAAGCGCGCCGGGCTCATAACCCGGAGGACCTCCGATCGAAACGGAGTGGAGCTAGCTTAACTTTTTGATCTATATTGTTGCTGTTCTTCTTATCTATCTTTTTGCCTCGAGTTTTGTTTATCCAGGGGACCAACACCTTAGACCTCCCCACCATGGTAGATCTGGTGAGGTTTTTTCTTTATATTTTATATGCAACAATATTTTTTATGGTTTTTCATTCTCTTTATACGCGCTTCTGTTATTTCCTGCGCTGTCGGGATGTGTTTCAACGCTAAATCGCACAGGCATAAAGAAAAGACGCTTAAAAGAATATCCTCAACTCGCAACTGAGAGGTAGATGATCAACAGTGCCTCATTAGGAAACCTAGAATGCTTTATTTAGACTTAACTTTCAGGCCAGGGCAAAAGTTCTTGATTGGCTTTGGCTGCCCTTCAGGACCGAAAGCCTAAATCTCCTTAACACATAATCTTCACACGACAATTATCCCGATGATGCTACAAGTTGTGAATCTTGAATGATGTCAACCGAATATTCGATGGGCGATCTTCCTCTCTAGTGGCTAGGCATTACCGGTATGTTGCTGTGCTGGTAGCGAATCGGGGACTTGGAATATGGTAGGTACATACATATTCGTTGCTTACTGACGACTTAAGAACGTCATTATTTCTATTTGGGTTCTTGAACATGGGCACTTCAAGCATCCTAGTCCTTGGATTCCAAGATATTAAACTCGATCATGCAATATTTCGTTATATTTTCGCATCAAACATAATACAATGCAATTATTTATCGTTCGCTATCGTTACATTTATGCATTCCAGCCGAGCTCCACGACCCGGGCATAATAAAACTGTACATGGCACTATTAATTCCTCGGCTTTGACGCCTCTCCTATCCGAAACCAACTTTTATCACCGTTGGGGATTCGATTGGAACTGTCCGAGATCATCCCATGTCATGGGAAAGTCATTGGAGGATAAGGGATGTGGCGGCTCCTCTTCTTCGATCAATGTGCTCGTAAAACTCGGCCAGTCATCTGACGATAGGTTGAGCGGCGGTAGCAACCCATCTCCAGTGCTGAAGAGTGGAAAGTCGATATTCATGGGCGAAGTCGGTGATGGTGCTAGCGGCTCTGGTGGTAATGCCTTGTCGGTGCTGATCGGAGGTACGTATCGTTGTTGTTGTTGAGTTGGTTGCATGGAGAAATTTTGGTATGCGTTAACCATGTGTTGTTGGCTATTTGGCGCCATCGGCATTGCCAAGTTCAAGTTTGGAACTTGAGCAGGAGCAGTGCGGCTAGAATCCATGGACGGTGTTCGTCTGCCGTGTCGGCTTACACCAGGTAATGCGGATGTAGATGCTGAGCGCCGCGGGACCGACGGAGCCCTCGGCAAGACGGATATGTGCTTGGGCATAGCGGAGGACGAAGCTGAACCCGAGGCAGACTGAGGGGTACCTGGACTGCCGGAAACTGACCTTGGTCGGAATACGATGTGGACGCAAGTGTACGCCATTTCGACGATGCTCTCCGCGGACTCCTTGGTTCCGTCGAAAAACTCCAATAAGTCTTGCAACTGCCCAGGGTTTTCGTTCTCTACGTAACCCTGAGCTCGTCCGGTTGACTCGGGACTCCAGCTGAACATGGGCTGGTGGCCATTGAATTTCCTCTGCTTCCTCGCGATCAACGCCTTCCATGCCTCGTGGATGAGATGTTGGTGTAGTAGGCCATAGATGACGTTAGAGTGCAGCCAGTCAGCCTTTGTACTTCCGGACTCGAAATGTGCGGCGACGTGGTCTATGTGCTTCTCGAACGTGCCGTACATCGCAGCGCAAAAGCCGCAACCCCACGCCCTCCTCTTCCGTAAATGCTTGACTACGGTGTCGGCATGTGGGCATGTTTTACAGCCGTGTGCTGACTTGTGATGTTGGTTGAACGTATTGGGTCCCCAGAAGCTTTGGTTGCAGCTCGGGCAGGGATATTTTCGCGATCGCTCGTGAAACTCTTCCTCGTGTCGCTTCCAGTCGAACTTCCTCTTAAACGTCTTATCGCAGGATGTGCACCAGAACTTCGCGTCAGTAGTCGTTAGGGCTGACGCTGACGATACAGAGCTTCGTATGGAGGCTGCGGAGAATACGCTGTCGCGACTCGAAGAGCTGGATCTGGATGACGAGACGGAAGATCGTTGTCTGGGGGGCTGTTGGGTGAAAGGATTGATATCTCTACAACTGAAATTTGGCATGGCTGAGACCATTAACACTAGTTAATATAATTGGACAATTGATAATTGTCCCAAGGAGGCATCTCATACCTTCATTTATCATAGTAGATTGTTGCTGTTGTTGCTGTTGCTGTTGCTGTTGTTGTTGTTGTTGTTGTTGTTGTTGTTGTGGTTGTTGTGATTCTTCTCCTAGTAAGGCGAGTAGGGCATCGCGGCTGAGACCGGATTGCTTCAGAGCTTCGAGATGCTCTCGTGCCTGCGCTAGTACCCTCGATGGATGATCCATTCTTCTTTTTCTAGTATTGATTGGCGTTGTCGATTTTGATGTCAATGTCAATGTCAATGTCAAAGCTCATTCCAATATCGATCGTCTTAAACTTGGGCTACGATAGGAGGCGGTATTCCAAGGGAATTGGCAAGTGATCAAGTCTAGATCGAAAAGAGAGAAATGGGTTTCGAGGAATAACAAGTTTAGGAATAACAATAGTTAACACATTTAGAAATTACGTTGGGTAGACTTGTAGGCAGTACCCGCGCGCATTTGGCCACTTTTCTGTGATATATTACCTGCCTACCCATTACCCATTACCCATTATTACCACTATTACATATTACACTACCCCCAAAATAACCACTTCCCTCCCCCCGTATTCTCTGTCATACACTACTCTCGATGGCCCGTGGTCCCGGGCATCATCATCCCATGCTGGACGCTCATTGGGGAAGAGCCCTACCAACTGTCGTTCATCGGTAGCAGAGAATATACGGCAATGGAGAAAAGGGACTGGAGGCCATTCGATGGTCGGCTCAACCTGAAACGAGTCGATCCCAGCCCGCCTCCTCATTGTTTCGAAACACGCGCGATGGTGGGATGAAGCCGCCAATGAGAGACGGAATCTAGAGTGAGAATGAACGAGGGCAAGCGAAGAGCGAGGATTGGATCAAGCCGAATTAACCGTGGATCCATTGGCGATCCATGATCGGCCTAGGGCTTTTGTTCTTGGCGGAGAACCATGCAGAAAATCCGTTTCAAGATTCCCGGGTTTTAACTATCTATGATTGGCCCATGGTTTTGATCGATCTCTCGCCATGGCTTAGATTTGTCACGATAAGTTCTTTTTAAGAAATTTCCATTAGATAGCTGTCATTTTCATCCTCATGAGTAAAAAACAGAAGATAGTGTTTTCTTTCATATCTTAATTATCGAGGTTACTTGTTAACTTTAAGAAAACTTGTGTGATAAATAAAGAAATTTATAAGCGGCTGGCAGAATGATGTTTATCGCGAAATCCACACGTATGAGATTGATAATATTTGAATTAAGGAGGGGAGGTAGGCTAGGTAGGTAGGTACTTGGATAGGTACTTTACAGAGAAAAGGGGAGCACAGACCACGTTTGAACAGGTATCTATCGCATATACATACCTATGTACCTAGGCACCTAAGGTAAGGGACGACTAGGTAGAGTGCCGGAGCTAAGCTATTCCCAAAATATGTACTCAACATTCGGGTAGTTACATGCCACAGAATGATTATACATACCCGTTTATGTATAAGGCAATCTACATAGAAGACTAGAAGCTACCTACACTCAAGAATCAGACAGGTGCAGAGCAATTGCTACTGCTTTGAGGAAGGTAGATACATTAGTACCTATTACCCACACAGGTACATGTAGGTAGGTAGGTATAGGATTACTCGAAGTTACCTATGGAATACCTTAGGTAAATTGATGTTATGTATATTAGGTACCTAGGTACCTAATGACCCAAAGAGATGTTATCAGCCGCTGTTCGTATAGCCTTCCATTTTTATAGGTTATTTCGCCGCGTGCCCCTACGTAATGTTGCCAGGTGATCGTCATAATCGGACTAGTAGCAAGGTAAAAGGTAATTGCATGACGGTTGCCAGGCAATAACGAGTTATGAAGGGTAGGAGCGAGGAATCAAGCTAGATATGGTTACGGTAGGTAGGTACTTACCTACTATATAAGTGAAGGCATCTCTGTACCTACCTAAGTTTAGGTATTGAAAGAATCGGGCAGCAACACACTTTCGTAACAGAGTCCAGTTTATACAAATTAGGAGGTACCTGCCTACCTCCGACAACATGGCATACCTTCCGGCTTCCGGCTTGTTAATGAAACCTAACGTTACACACTACCTAGGTAGTTACCACTAATATATTAATAGCAATAGCAGCGCATTCCATTTGTAAGGCATTCGCGTCTCATGAAAATACAGAGTCTATCCCATCCTTGGAAAGAGGAAGAGATAACAGAATTTAAAAAAAAAAGGAATTTAAAAAAAAGTTTAATATAAAATCCAAACCTAAAGATTTTGGATACCATACCGACCGGCAATATCTGTCTCTCTACCTATTCTATGATGTTTGGGGGGAGATATCTACTACTTGTTAAATTATAAACCAAGCATGGCAGTCATAAGTTGCCTTCAGAAACAGTTAATAGAGCCTGGAATCGCGAGACTCTCCGCAACTACATTTTTGTTACATTAAACAAACACGCATACCAACACATATACAAAAACACATACAGGCACACACATACACCGTCAGGATTCTAGATGAGACATCAAGAACAAGGGATACTTTCAGTCCCTACCTAGGTATGTACAGCCACGAGCTCCCGTAGTTAGTTTAGAGTTCCCTGAGGAACAGCGAAGTTGCTTCTATGCTTCTTGCTCCACCTCGTGATATACACACACTGACAGCCTTTTATAGGAAAAGACAACTTGAAATGGAGACTGTAACGAAGACTGTCACGAAGACTATCTCTTACGCGACTACGACTTCTACAATCACAAATAGCCACTACTACTACTCCAACTATAGCAGCGACCCAAGCGCCAACTACATTTGGTATTGTTTGGGATAAATCATATAATATCATTACTTTCCTTAAATCTCTTGCCTCATTTTTTGTAATATGAGCTATACTTGTATATTGACCTGGTCTATCAACTGCATGAGTGAGGAGGCAGGAGGGAGGTCCTTCTTATATATACATGCCAAGATACCATGCACTGTACCTGAAAGTAGTCCCTTGACTACTCATTTCAACAGTCAATAATGGAACCCCCTTTTCTCAGGTCGAACTTGGACTTTTTAAATAAGGCGGTGGAGCATCTTTATCCACGAGAGCGATGTCGCCCGCACCGGTGCAGGTAATTTGAGAAGCCGCCACTAAAGCCGCCTCAGAAGCTGCTGTTGAAACAGCTAACATCAATGTCTTAAGTGTCCACTTTGTGGACCCGGCAATAAGTACGTGGTCTTCCATAACATTCGCAATGGAGCGAAGGAGTCTTTTTTCAGCTTTTCTAATAGCTGTAACTGTAGCTTTTGCATGAAGACCGTTTAGGGAGCCCTCGACATGATTAGCGGCCGTCTTTGCGGGCTGATCACCGAAATCATCAAACATAATGTCGGGATAGGAGGGGATATCGTAAGCTTTCTCAGCGAGTCGTTCTGGATCATTCGTTGTAATTCCTTGGACGCGATGCATGAAATCATCGAGAAGATAAGGAAAACTGTCGGCGACGAAACGAGCTACTGCTGCGGTGGTTGCTGCACCATCTTGGGCCTCGGCGACGTTCAGGATGCCGAAGGACGCAACAGAGCTTACCTTGGCGGAAGCGGTAGATATATTGTCTGAGATCCTCTTGCGACCCTCTTGTGAAAGTAGTTTAAATGGTGCTGGCCTCGTTGAACATGTCTTGGATGACATTCTGTGAACAGATTGAAATTCGGAGTCACTAGAAAAAGTCGAATGATGTTCATTTTCCATTACCGGCAATGTTGTTGTAGGAAGCTCTGAAGGTGTCGTTGGGGGGTGATTAGCTGGTTTAGATGGTGTTTCTTTGCGAGGCACCGCTGGCTTTGATGATGCTGTTCTAACAGATTCTTCAGGTGATGTTGTTCTGAGAAGCTTCGCACCGGATCGACTTAGCCAATGTTTGAGCTGGGTAGATCTTGACGAGTGTTGCATGTTGCTAGCCATTCATGATAATATTACCTCGGATATATTATTATCGGTATGATCCTGAAAAGTAGGCTTTTGGGGAGGGGGGCAAGTAGGTATTTATATATAATGCTCATCAGACTTTATTGGTATTATGTCCAAAGCGTACCTAAGCTCCCAACAAAGTGAACTGTAATACACATATGCCCTTCTTAAAGCTATTTTAGTCGTCAACGAACGTTTCTATAGAGTGGTTTTGACGCTGGATTATTTATACTTCGTACTAACGGTGCCATGGTATTGATGCGCTGAAGTATGAACGTGCTGACTTGATAGTTTCCAGTTCAGGTCAAGCTATTAACTAACTCATCGACCTCGCCGAGTACCAAAATCCTTCTGCCTACCATTCAAAAACAACCTAAAGCATCGTGTCAAGGGCAAGGGTATTATTACACGACGAGAATCTCGACTGGGCCTATCATAGGGCAAGCTAACTAACTAACATACAGCATCTTTTCCGATATTTCCACACTAGAGAATACTCTACCAAACTGGGAACGTATCCCGCACGAATACTTGGGAGTAGGGGATCAAATCTCAAATTGACTAGTCAAAATTTATCCTCCATAGTTCGCGATCACATCCTGCCGTGAAGTCGCTCCGCGTGTGCATTGTGAGAACGTTATCATTCACGAGCAGGTCGCCCTTGTCCCACGAGTGGTAGTACACGACACGGCGATCATGCAGCAAGCTAACAACCGCATCGCTAACGCACGCGGCGTCTAGGCCATGGTCGGACGCGTTTTCAATCGTGACATTCGTCGCTTCGAATCGCGTCTTGGACTGGGGCCACGGTTCGTGGTAGCGTAGGCAGGGACGGCCTGTAACTGGGTGGTCTATCACCATAGGCAGGCCGTGGATGACGGTAGAGTTGAAGGAGGATGTCGACACGGTCCAGGTAAGAGGGCGCAGCGAGGATAGGGGTAGGTGTGTGGGGAGATATTTGAACAGCAGTGTTGATGACGAGAAGAGTGTAAAACCCGTGTCCTTGGGTGACTCTGTTACGGCAGTGAAGAACTGGAATCTGGTTGACTGAGTTAGCTAAAGGGAGAGGCCTAGAGCAGACAAGGGGTAGGAACTTACCCAGGTGGCGTAGATACCAACACCTCACTCCCGTCATCCCGCACCCTCTTCTCCGTCTTGAACAGTCCATCGTAGTGGAAAGGCATCCATTCAGACGACAGAACGTTGTTTAAACCGCGTGTATCCGCCCCGCGGTCTTTGACTTCGAGGACAAGACCAAACTTCCACCCTGTCGGCTCGCCTAGATCTCCTGATTTCTCTACAAAAAGATCTCGATTTCTGGTCTGCGAAAAGCCGCGTAGTACGACAGGAGAATTACGCTGTGATAAGGCGCGTACCTTAGGGCCGTCCACATCCTTTATGGATAGGGCGCCCCGGCCTGCCGCCGGCCGGATTAAGACTCCGGCGGGATAGAGTGGCTCGCAGGTAATGCCGCCCTTATCAGTAGCCCACGACAGCAAGTCACTCTTTTCTCGAAAGTAGCTAGGCTGATCGTCTTCGTAGACGAGCTCGAAAGAATCATTAGCATCGAATTCGGCCCTGTGGCCAGTGATAGCAGTGCCGTCGAGCTTGAATGCGATGCTGCAATGCCAGGGCGTTGTGAAAGCCGTATCTGTCGGCAATAGGCTGATAGAGAGCTTGCTTTCCCCCGTTGAGGCATGGATCGAGAGTCTCAGCCGATCGGGGAACTTCTCACGCACAGCTCGAGCAAAGGCCTACATGGTGATGTCAGTTATTTTTCGTGGCTTTGTTGTTGACTTGGTTGAATGCGTGCTGGGGGTAGGAAAAGAAAAAGAAATGACAGAGCTTACATCCCCTCGGGTGAGCATCTGCTTGGCAATATACTCGATCCCCCTTTTATATTTCGACTTGCTCCGCCCTTCGCCAACCGGGTATACATTCTGAAGGTCAGTCTCTAGGAATTTGATATACCCCCTATACGTTAAGCAAGTGTCCTCGTCTTCGGATATTCTGAGAGATACATTATACCCGGGCTTGCTGAACTGCTGTAGTAGGGCGTGACGGAAGTTGGTGGCGTTAGCGACATCTGAGTCGTCGGTATCAGCATCTTCCTGTGGATAAGGGGATAATAACGCAATGTTGAAAATGATTTCAACTTCTACTTACATCTTATTTCATCCAACTCGTTAGGCACGTCCACGTTTACAATGTCTTTGAGGCGGCAGAACTCAATGTGGTGGAACCCCTTTTTCGCCTTTAATGCTCGGAGAGCTTCACCGTATGCCCAGACGTCCTTATCTGGTACTCCTAGAAGGTCTTCACTCTTATTAGTATTGAGTAGCATACGTAAGTGTCATGAGGGTTAGGTACCGTTGTAAACAAGCCCATCGGAAACAATCATTAGCCTTGCACCTGGTGCGTAGATATCACCTATGGCGGCGCATAAGCCGTTCAGATGTGCGAGCGCAAACTCTTCGGCCTTATCAGGGAGACGTCCAAGCACTTTAGTGCTTCTATTTGGTGACTTGAAGGGGAAAGCAGGGAGGCACATGTGGATAGCCTGACTAGCCGCGACCTTGACGTAGATCTGGGCTAGAAAGTTGACTCCATCGCGGCTCTTAGCTAAGAACGCATGACCTGCAAGCTTATATCGCGAGATGACATTTAAGATCCGCGAAGCAGTTTCGAGATGGGTGAATTCAAGGTGGGAGAATTCGATATCTCCCAGCTTATTAGCCAGAGCTGTCGGAAATGACAAGTCGTCGGCAGTGTCGAGCTTCAAAATAGACGGCATATTGTGAGTAGGATTTAACAATTCAATAACAACATGTCGATGGTCAGACACGGTCGAACCTATGAACTTAAATCTATCTTTGCAGGGGAATGCAGACCCGTTGCATGATACATATGATAGATACATTGGGGCTCGATCCCCGAGGTGTCTAGATCTCGGTGGCGATACGATGGATTCTTCACCCCCTGGTATAACTACACAACTACCTACCTAACATAATTAGAGAGAGTGCCGGTTTGCCGATGCCCCGACGTTGCAAACTAACAAACTAAGCCTTATACCAGGCTAATAATCGATGCTACTCCATAGTATGTTCATGGTATGTTCTTCCGGCAACGCAGCACGGCTAAAGCGAGTTGGTGTTTAAGAAATTTTGCTTCAATATAACGTTTGTCAGCATGACGCTTTTGTATTATTCACATTACATATTCAGAGATTTCCGCGCTATCGTATGCGCATGTGATGTTCCCCAAGCCTAGGTACAATACTACGCTTCATGAAGCTCTTTGTAGATTTGTAGACCGAGGAGCTTCACCCTCCTTCCTAAAGAGGATATTTATTACGTTGAACCCGGACTATAGAGCAGTTTTAGCTCGTACTATCTCCGGAGCAATGCATAAATATACCTCCAATGCAACGGGCATACCGGGTCCCGAATCAAGATAGCGGCCGTATTGACCTTGAAGTTCGGGTGTTCATGCGGACAAGCCCGTTGGTGAGACGCTGTTTTCCGCGATAGCCCCGATGTTCGATGTTCGTTGCTTAGAGCCTGGCGCAATGAGAAAAAAGTTGGAAATGGCAGTGAAACCTCTTCGGTGTACGCTAGTCGAATACAGCTTGTATGCCCGGATTTATAAGGGTTTTTATCCCAGGCTACCTTTTTCGAAATCGAAATAGGAAGTTCGGTTGTACATCGCCTTTTAAAGCATTTTATTAGATCCTAATGTCCTTACAATTCTCCACTTTTATATTTTTTCTTCTCTCGATGTCTCCATGGTAGTGTTGAGGGTACTAGGGTACTGGGGTATTGGCGTGCTGAGATCGAGGGTGATCGAGAATATTCGAGATGTCCAGCCGTGTAATAGCAGTAAATCCGCGCTATTGTGACGTCCTGAACGGGGTGCCCTCCTATTTGCAATTTCCCAATTCGGAATATTTCTAATTCAGAATTCTTTTAATTCCACCTTATTTCCGATAGTTGCCTCATTAAGATTCATCGTTCCCTCACACTGTTGGAACGATCTTCCAAGCCGTTAAGACGCTATTCTAACATTGCGAACATGGCGGAGAATGAACCGAACTTATGGCCTGAGGAAGAGGTTGACCTGGCAATTATTGGAGGTTTGCTACCAAGTTCAACTTTTCTCGCTGCGTACCTGAGACCTGAGACCTGAGACCTGAGAGCTGATGTTGAAATAAGGTGGCCCTACCGGACTTCTCTCCGCGCTTCTCGCAGCCCGCCTAGGCCTGTCCGTAAGGGTTATAGGTTTGTTAGGATTCTATAACAATTAGTCTTTCCTTCTCTGACGATGTGCTAGACGGCAAATCTGGACCCTTGGAGGTTGGCCGAGCAGATGCCCTGAATGCGCGCACACAACAATACCTCGAGGTAGTAGGGGTCCTAAATAGACTACTCCCGCTTGGAATCGAGTGCAATAGTAAGTTGGTTCAATTCTCGATAGAACTTGATAACTCATAGTGTATAGCTAGCTCGACGTTCTCAGAGGGCGACTTTAAATCTCGCCAGAGCCATTGGTGGACGTCGCTTGAGCATTGTGCTCATCCCAACTTTTTGATGATCGGCCAGTCTGTCGTAGAGCAAGTGCTTAAGGATGACCTAGACTTACCTGTATACTACCAGGAAAAGGTTGTCTCTATATCCGAGACAAAAGATGGTGTCACGCTGAATACGGACCGCGGACGCAAAGTCCATAGTAAATATGCAATCGCCGCCGATGGTGCGCGCTCAACGGTCCGTCAAGCGCTGAATATCAGTTTCACCGGAACGAAGCCTGAAATGGTGTGGGCTGTGCTCGACACGTTCATTGATACCGACTTCCCTCGATGCTCAGAAATCATTACTTTCCAACTCAGGGGTCAATCTCGGGTGTCATGGATTCCTCGGGAACGAGGCATGGCGAGATTTTACGTCCTTCTCGATGGAGACATCACACAGAAAAGGACGGAAGACTCAATCAGGGAACATATGACGCCGCACAGGATTGATTTCGTCAGGACGGAGTGGTTTTCAACCTTCGATGGTAGGCAGATTCACTATAAGCAATCATATTTCCTCCTGTAATGCCCAACATGATCGAGAATAATGCACTAATGGCTTCCCCCGGTAATCAGTCAAAGAACGTATTGCTTCCACGTTTGTCTCGAATCAAGGAACGGGCCGTATCATTTTAGCAGGGGATGCAGCCCATGTTCACTCAGTAAACGGTGGCCAAGGTTTAAACACTGGTATTGCAGATGCTTTCAGCCTTGGTTGGCGTCTCGCAGCTGTAATCAAGAATACCAACTTGACCTCCGGTGCCGCGGTAAAATTGATACGCAGCTATGATACTGAGCGCCGTGCAGTAGCACAGGAAGTCATTGATGTTGCAGCGACTTTAGTTCGAGACACGAACCATACTGCAAAGCAGTATGTTTCTACGATTGAGAAGAATGCGGGATATATTACCGGTAAGGACAATCGTAGAATGTTCCCCAATGGTAAGAATGTGCTAAGATTAAAATAGGAATGGGTGTCTCGTATGATTGGACTGGATCCGAATTAATCGAAGATTCCGAGCAAAACATATGGAAAGCAGGTAAAAGATGTCCAGATATTCAGCTCATCGGTGTTGGAACCAATGAGGTGGTACGCTTGTATTCGATCACCTCGTACGGAAAGTATCTAGTTCTCTTCGTAGGAGAGTCCGGGGTTCTGCAGTCGTTCAGGGACATCTGCACGTATCTCATCCTACGCGCCGGCGCTTCGGTACAGGCTCCAGTTAATGGTCATAGTAATGGCTCCCAAGATGAACCGCGAATCTTCTCTTCGGATATTGTTACCACCCAGGATAACTTCATCGTGGTAGTAAGGCCAGATATGTATATTGGTTATGTTGGGAAGGGAGACGGATGGAAACAATACCTAGGACAGCTATATGTCCCATGATTAAACATTAAATACAAAACTTGGAGAGACTTACTTGCAGTCTCTAGATGGGAATAATCTGTTTATCACAACTCATAGATAATTTATTTCTTCAAAATTGAGGATTATAAGATTACTAGGTTAGTGCTGTGTCCGTACTATGTAAACTCCCCTTCCGCACCTTAAAGAGAGCTGCGCTTTGATTAAGCATTTGACTAGTAATTAAGGCTAGCGTTGCCAAGGGTTTGGAGCGAATACAAGTACATAAGAGGCTATTCCAGTTTTCATCATGAAAATGGATGAAAGTTAATAATGGGAAGCCCTTTTGTTCGGAAATACTTCGGATCAATCTTTAATTACTACCTATTAGGTAAGCTCTGGGAGGACCGAGTGCACTAACAAATAACAGACTGCAGATGGCCTGAGCTTATTTTCTCCAGCTGAAATTCAAAAGCTGGGCCGAGCCGAGGCAACTGCAAGGCGGAGAGGTAATGGTAATGACAGAAGCGTAGGAAGTAACGACGCGATGGAGCCTAACAATTAAACGTGGTCGAACAGCTCATGGTTACTTTCGCCCTTCCCACAACTACAACCACAACTACAACCACAACTACCTCTTATCACAATTACGACATTTCAATTACGATTATAATCCAATCAATTGTACAGTCGCGAACTACGCTACACTTTGATTGATTCGTCTTTTTCTTCTTTACTTTTCTCATGTTTTAATTTGAATCTCACCCCATTTATACAGTGTAATAATATACCCCCATCATGTCGCGATCTATTGATCATTTCAAAGGTGGCGCATCACGACCACCCGATAAACCTCAGAAACCGACCCAGAGCAAGTTCTCGACACCTCCTCAATGGCTCAATATCTATGGCGACTTCATCACGAAGAACGCCCATCAAGTTTCCCAGATCGAGAGCGCATTACGATCCCTAACGTATATTATACCCGGTCGATTTCGTGACGCTGAGATCGCCTCGGAGACCCTGCACTCGGGTATCCAGCTACTATCCCTCTATCACGATGCTGTCCTCCGAGGCGCTGTAACGAAAATCCCCGCACTAGCTTCCAAAATACCAAGCCCACATACCCGCTACACCAGATTTTGGGCAGGAAAGAGTAGGTTATATCGAAGAATAGCCCTGTTGCTACAAATCGTTCAGTATACCGAATTATTGTGGGAGATGGCCGCCAAACGTAAGGGGGAGAAAGTTCGTTGGCGTGTTATCATCCTTTTGGAGATTATTAAAGCCTTCTGTCGCCTGTTATTAATGAGAGTCACCAATTCAAGACCGCTCGTTACACCAGCATTACCAGAACGAGACCCAATTCCCCAGGAAGTGGACGAAAATGACGATGCGGCGCTAAAGGAGCTAATGGGTGAAGATACGTCCTCCGTGGAGATGGAAGAATCTACCAAGAGTGCCCACGAGAAAGAATGGACGATGCCACGAACCGGCGCCAGTCTTCCAAGCTTACCAAATCCTGGAGATATCAGCTCTTATTTGATGAGCCGGGTCTTAACAGCAGACGACATCAAACCCGCAGCAAAGCTCCTAAACACGCTATCTGGCTCCGGACAGACTGCCGAGATATTACACATTCTCGCCCCCTTAGTATACGCCATTGCATTGTCAAGGTGTAAAGATAAGAAGTCTTGGACGCCTTGGATACTCGGGCTAAGTATGGAATACGCAGCGCGACAGTTACGCGACCGGGGTCTACGCAGCACTGCTCTAGAGAACGAAGAATGGGGTAAGAGGTATTGGGCGGCCGGTTGGTGGACTATGAGGGGTGCTTTCTATGAGCATGTCACCAAGGGCCTTATAGGTGGAGTGCGTCGTCGTATGCCTAGTCTGGTCGCGGGCATACTGGAAGATTACGAGTACCTGTGGGATAATTATTACTTCAGCACCAGTGCTTGATGGGTCTAATGAAGACCAATTAACACTCCCTGGGAATTCTCAGTCATGCGGTGTGTGGTATGTTATGGAATCTTGCGGCTCAGGTTGAACCTGTCTCTTGTCTTCAATAATTACCTATGCATCACTGGCCTCATTTCTCTTTCCATACGACGATACCCACCAAACATGCCGATTACATTCACAATTTGCCAAATTAAAAATTTGGCGTCGGCTTCGTGGATAAGTAGTGAAGGGTTAAATTTCAACACTCATCAGGAAACTCAGACCTCCGGATATATTCGTATGGATACGGAGTATCTGCGATATTTCACTTTATCCTCTCTTTATAAGCGACATACTAATAGTCGACGATTGCATATCAGTCGATATTTAACGACGAATTTGTATACTGACGCTCGCCTAACTCCAATGCCCTATCGTGAGGCATTCGAGCCAACTTGTTGAGGGTGCTCCTTTGACACGTGAGAAAAGAATACAAGATCGGAGGCACAGGAAATAGATATTTAAAGTACAGCAGTTAAGTTTGGTCTTCGATTGGTCTCAATAGAGAAACATTATAGCATATAGTAATCGCTTTAGTATCAGGAGCAAGTTGTAAGATTAGTAACAGAGGACATATTTAGGTAGGTAGATACCCTAGATATTTTCTAGACGCAATAGAATTTCTGATGCGTCCTTACTATGCACTAGAAAGCTAGAGGTATGAATAACAGTTACGTCACGATATCTCAAGGTAGCCTTAGACTAAAAGATAAATGAGCGTAAGGGTGAAAGGGTTGTAGGGTGACCTAAATTACCTGCTTGGATATATGAATTAACTAACCTGGGTTAGTACTTAGATGATAGACCTGGGTTTGGTGAATAGGGGTAGATATACAGCTACTACTAAACACCTAACCTAGTGTATAACATCTTCTGGTCTTATTACTAGTCAAAACTAGGGAACTATGTAGGACTGTACGTAGGAACAGACTTCATGATATTCGCGCCTGAGTGCTCAGTCTTACCTACTTCCTAGGCTCTCGTGTCATGAATATGAGCTTTGGCTTCCTTCTGCTAGCGAATTCATCTCCGACGTCGAAGCGCATTTCTTCAATCTTTGCGCGGAGGCCGCTTTTTTCATAAAGTCGTCGAGCTATCGGAGTACCCTCAACAACAGCCTGTACACTTGGGTTAGCAATGACCTAATGAATATAGGAATACGATACGTATAGTCATCCTAGGTTTATACTGCTAGGATTTTATTCGTATATATTTATATCAGTAAGGGGAATATAAATAGTAGGTAGTGTTACCTGAAGGCCCTGCTGGTCCGCCTTCTTAGTCCCCCACTCTACGAGAGCTGTACCTGCACCCAAACGCTGGTATTCTGGATGAACTGCTAGTAGTTCAAGTACTATATTAAGCATGTTAGAAACATGGGCCGGCTCTTATCCATGGTTATCACTTACCATACACTCCTTTGCCGCCAGAGTCTTCAATAGCCTTGGATCGCGGGATAACGTAATCGCTCCACAGGCGTGTCATGAATTCACGATCAGCTTCGTCTGGCCAGACCTCCTCGACATTCTCTGTCTTGGCAAGCTCTGCAGGTGGGGCCTCCTTCATGAGTGTCCAGACTGCGAAGCCAATGATGAGCTCCTGATCCCCTTGGTCGCCTCGGGTAGTTGCTTTTAAAAAGGTAGAAGCCTCTGAGGTCTGCTTCCACACAGTCAAACGCTTAGAGCCCTGTGCTTGGCCGGATGGTGTATCATGGCTTGGAAAGTATATGTCTACGAACGGTGCCTCGTGGCCGAAGGATTTCGATAATACTTGAAAGGCTATAGGAATCTCTTCGTCGGAAAGGGGGGAAATGTCAACTTTATTTACGGATGGCATTTTTACAGGATATCATAGTATTTATATACTAATTTGAACAAGGTAATAAGGTAACCTAGAATAGAGGTTGTGTATATACACGAAAGCGGGGGAAGTACTAATAAGAGTAAACGGTCAGCATCAATGTTCCTTTAGTAATACCGATTACGAAATAGTCTTATACAGATACACATGAGGATTTAATGACCCTGCTTAAACTGATTTTTATACTTATATACGACTAAGATGTTATTACATTATAGTATAATCCTATAGTAAAATACCCATATACCTAATGTGATGTGAGCCTAATGAAGAGATGGCGACCTAGGCTTAAATGCGTGCTAAAATATGAACATCTACATGATGTATGTACTATTGCATAGTCTAGTAATGCTAGAATAAAGCAAGGAATAATTAAATATCAAATAAAGGCACGAGGAAGAGTTTGACAAGGCTAGGGCTTTTAACGGTACTAACGGGATACTGAAGACTATTGAAAATAGGCTTTGTAGCTTCTATACTATATATCTTGAGGTCTTGTTAGTATTGAAGACTTTCTTGAGAATATCTAAGTAGCATTGTTTACATTGCACATTCGTCTAATTATGTGCTCTCTGCGATGGCATGTCCTTGTAGTTGAGTAGAATGAAGCCATGAAGCCCCTTTCCGATGTCTGGGAACAGTCCAAACACTGTCTCTTCACAAGCTACCAGATCTCGTAGGCCTAATACACCCACAAACTCTATAAACGACGTCGCAGGGTGAAGTCTTGCAATTGCATTTTTCAGAATAGACATTCCCAAGGTTCGGAGCTTGTTACGGAGTAGTTTATAACTGGTTAAGTGTAAAAGTTTAGTTCTACTGTAACTGGTTTGGGGGTATCTGTCTATTGGTTATACACGTCAACTAGAATCTATTTGATGTAGGTTTTGCTTCAGTCAAATCAACAACTTGAACCCATACTAGGAGGTCCAGATACACATTACGATATAAACGCGACTGACAGCAAAACCAGCACTAATTGTACCAACCCCGAGACCCAGGTCCTTGGTGGCTTTCTTCTTTACGGTGTTCTATGATCGGCTCAGTGATGTTGAACGCGTCGATGATGTCACGCCACGTCTTCATATCAATGGAGAACACAGCTTGCTGTTTCTGAGCTCGATGCTTGGAGGCAGCCGTTTCATCTTCACGATCGACTGGGTCTTGAGTGATGTTAGCATGTTGACAGAAAAGTCTAAAGTGAGTCTTAACTCACCCAGAGTTGGTAAATTGTTTTCGTCGAAGTCGATCTTAATACGGCCGTCTCGAATCAGAAAGCTCACGTAGAACATATTTTCCACAGTTTGCCCAAAGGATCGTGGATTTACCACGAATCTCAAGAGATCTATACCTCCCGTATCTCTTAAGCCGTAACGGTCCATCAGTCTTTGTGCCTCTTCATCGCTTGCACCGCGGTTGACGGCATCCTCTACAGCATCCTGGGCTGTTTCCTGCGCCTGCTTCAGCCTCTGAAGAATCTTGGAGCAGATAGTAGTAAGATCGTTCTTTTCCGATCTTTGTACAGCTTCAGCATCCAGAACCTCGGGTCGTGTTTCCTGTAGATTGTTGGGTCTGAATGGGGCACTACGTTTGACAATTTTTCGTTTCTTCACCTCGGCAGAGAGGGGACCGAGGAGAAAACCTGGTGTTGCTGGGCGTTTAATGTTTGGAAGACAAGCGAATCGACCAAGATGCGCCCAATTAAACATATCACCCTCGTCGCCGATATCATCCTCGTCGTCCCCTTCATCCCCTAGAGCTCCCCGACCCGGCCTCCTCCGATGTTGTTGTGTAGCAGTCAGTTCTGGTGCGTCGTCTTCCGTAATCCCAGATCCTAGTCTCATATAAGTGATACACTTTGAGACGAACTCGTCTACATCAACACCTTGAGCAATATTTCCCGCAGTTAGGCGGACTGTCTTGCGGTATGATGCATCCGCCGTGCTCACTAGAAGCTTGGAATCCATGACTGCCTCTGCAGTTTGCTTCACACCTGACGACAGCGCATTTGCTTTGCATAGAGTATCGATTAGCCCCGTTGAATCTCCTTTTAGATACTCATCACTATTCTCATATAGATCCTGGAAGAGATCCCGATAGCCGCGATGAAGGTAGCGTCTCTCTTCCGCGGGTTGATCTGGGTCGAAATCTTCTCCCTCAACTCCGCCCTCGGCATCCGGCTCACGCGTACGTTGCCGCGAATTAGCATGTTCGGCGCCATTAGTTAGGGTCCGCTTTCTTTTGGAAGAGCTCTCGGTCGCTTTTCCTTTATCTCGGAAAACTAACGAACTATGGCGACTATCAGGATCTGGCGAGGAGCCGGATGATCCCAGCGCGGGAGATGAGCCCCTGGATGACATGGTTGACTAGGCGCTTGAAAGGAGCAGAACCCGGTAATACGTGTGAGTAAACGGTCAGAATATGGATGTCTTATCCACGAAGACTTCTAGTCAGCTTCGGAGATGTCAATTGCTGGCATATGTCATGACTCCATACGCAATCACACTCTTCGCGATAATGAGACGCGTAAGTCGCGTCACGGGCAAGCCTCAACGCGACTTGAAATAAATTGAATGATGGACCGTTTGTGTGGCTCGTACCGTGGCTGACATGAATAACTTCCAGGTTCTAAGGTTCCAATGGATACAAACTTGATGTGTAGAAGATCTCCTTGTTTGAGGATATGTATGAGGGGATTTAGTATGAAACTTGACTAAGGAAGGTTAATCAAAATGTATACTGCCCGGTTTTGTGAAAAGAGAATACCTAGGTTCCTCATACCCGACATCTGTTCAAAAGTTAATATGAATTGTTTAAAGTTCCAACGCAGAATTGCAAACGCAGAGTTGCTAAGGTTTCCAAAGATCTGGAAATATTGTGGGTCTGAAGTCAAGTGCAGCATTAGGGCGCAGGGGCGGCAGGAGTACGGGAAGCTACCTAAAAGTGGGGAAGGGCACGATTTAAGCTTCTGATAAGATAAGTCATCTAGTATGACGGAGACTCGGTATGACGGCAGGGACGACCTCTTACAGCCAGTACTCTACTTAATACTTAGAGCTAAGCACATGCGCCCGCCATTTGCGTACCTACATCTACCTTGCTCTTTATTAATAGCCTCTTTGTTAACAACTACTACCGTACTCCCCATATCCATCATCTCGAAGCTATTATGGAACAAGCATCCTCATAATGGAACCCTTTTCTTTTGCTAGCTCGGAGTCGTTAGACCGTCAAGTCAGCATACGCATGTAAGAGGATTGCTTCCCAGTTGCGACCAGCTATCGACAACTAACATTTATTATATAGAATTAATCTAGAGGGCGACGAAACACCACATCTATTCTCGACATTGCTGTCAAGGCCTGAACTTAGACACATAGGCTCTAATCTGAGGTGTGTACATTGCGAGTAGCAAAACAGTACATATACATCATCATGCTAACTTGAAGCTCATATAGCCCACATTCCGATCTCTACGTTACTGTCCAAGTATGGGCTGGTTCCAAGCCCCTAACCGTCCCAATACAAACATCGTACAAGCCATTTCGCAATGAAAGAAGGTGTGATTGAGTAGATACCTTTAAGTGGTTCGATACGTTGGCTAATACATCCTAGATGGAACGAATGGCTGGATCTGCCGATACCATACAAATCTCTCCCGATTAACTCATATCTTGCAATAACAATATGGGACCTCTCCCCAACCGGCGGGAAACAAGCTCAGGGCCACGCGATTCCCTTTGGCGGGACGACACTCCCACTCTTCGACCAGGACAACCAGCTCCAGAAGGGCAGACAGAAGTGCATAGTTCACCGCCACAAACAGGCAGATGGAAATGACAATACTACTACACCTTCGAGCATAGCGAAGAAGAGAGGTGCCTCAAAAAAAGACGACACTCTCGTGGATAAGGAAACCGAAGAGCTTGAGCGTCTAGAGAAATTATTCAAGAAGCACGAGATGAATGAGATACCTAGGGTTGAATGGCTTGACCAGCTTGTATTCCGGGGAACCGAGAAGCGTGGCTTGAAAGCAGCAAAGAATTCAGTCAAATCATTTCAACGCCAAGCGACGCCGACCAAGGATGCTGGGAAGGATGGAGACGAAGATAAAACTACCGACTCAGCGGCTGAAAATCCGCCGAGACCTGGCCCATCGAGATTCATGCTGAATATCGAACTGCCTCGCTTTGATTTTCCTGTCGTGTTTGCGGATCATGAATATCCCCCGCCGCCCATCTCATCTTTCCAGCACCTTTCAGCTTCTCAATCGAATATTGTTCTAAAACCTCCTCCCGAGGTATCATATGGCCCTGGAATCAATGGACCTGGTGACGCAGGAAACAGGATGGATAGTCGCATAGTCAGGATATACGATCCCGAAGTTGGTGCACGGGATAATCCCGCAGAAAGCAAGCATAGACGCCTAGTCAGGAGTCAGCATCGCCATGGAATACTAGACAAAGACTTGAGACCTAATGCAAAGGTTCGCGATGAGCTCAATATGATTATGTCATATTCGCCCACTCATGTCCTGTCTCCAGAAGAAAAGGATCTTGTCTGGAAGTTTCGTTACCACTTGACTAAGGATAAGCGGGCTCTCACGAAGTTCGTCAAGTCCGTTAATTGGCAGGACCAGAGCGAATCTAAGCAAGCAATTCAAGTCCTTGGCAAATGGACTGATATTGATGTGGACGATGCGCTTGAGCTGCTCGGTCCTACCTTTGATAACCGGGCTGTGAGAGCGTATGCTGTAGAACGGCTGAGGAAGTCCGATGACCACGAGTTGCTCCTTTACTTGCTACAGCTAGTTCAAGCGTTGAAGTTCGAACATATCTCAGCTGACTCCAATGAAGCTACCGTACGAGCATCTTCCCTAGCAAATTTCTTAATTTCTCGAGCTGTCCAGAACTTCACCCTTGGAAACTACTTTTACTGGTACCTTGGGGTTGAATACGACGACAAGAGCAATGAACAAGGCGAGGAAGTTCGTACCATGTATGCGAAAGTTCAATATGACTTCATGAAGGAACTCGAGGACCGCCCGGGTGGTCGCGAAACGAGAGTAACCATCAGAAGACAAGCCGAGCTTGTTACCGTCTTATCTAAAATTTCGGCCGAAATCCAGGCCTCTAATGAGTCAGTCGCCCGCAAGGCTGATAAAACCAAAAGTTTCCTAGCAGACCCAAAGAACGAACTCTTATCCATTGACCCGGCCGTACCTATACCCCTGGACCCATCGGTCATGGTCACAGGAGTTATTCCGGAAGAGACGCGGGTCTTTAAATCGTCCCTTTCGCCAATCATGGTCACATTCAAGACGGTATCGGGAAGCAAGTACCCTATCATCTTCAAGACTGGCGATGACCTACGCCAGGACCAGCTTGTTATCCAGATCATCACCCTCATGGATCAACTACTCCAAAAGGAGAACTTGGATCTCAAACTGACGCCTTACAAAATCCTCGCAACCAGTACAACTGCTGGGGCTTCTCAGTTTATCCCATCCCAGACATTTGCTGCAATCGCTTACAAATATCGTAACAACCCTGCTCTTGCCTACCTCAAGCAGCATAATCCTGATGAGCGAGCATATTTGGGGGTACGGAAGGAAACCCTTGATACGTTTGTAAAATCGTGCGCGGGCTACTGTGTAATTACTTATATATTAGGAGTGGGCGACCGACATCTCGACAACCTTCTCCTAACACCGGACGGACATTTCTTTCACGCTGATTTCGGGTTTATCCTCGGCCGGGACCCTAAACCGTTTGCACCGGCAGTCAAGCTCAGCAAGGAGATGGCAGACGCGATGGGCGGCTCAAATCCTCCGAGCGAGCAGTATCTGCAGTTCAAACAATACTGCTTCCTAGCGTTCGCAGCGCTGCGGAAATCGTCAAACTTAATTCTTAACCTGTTTAGTCTAATGGTCCATGCTAATATCCCGGACATCAAGATTGAGCCGGACAAGGCGGTTTTCAAGGTAAAGGAGCGTTTCCATTTAGAATTGAATGAAGAGGATGCGATTAGACACTTGGATGGGATTATGGAGGACAGTCTTAACGGTATCATGCCCGTTGTTATTGATCGACTGCATGATTGGGTCCAAGCGTTCAGACCTTAGAGTCGTTAAAGGGGTTATGTATGGTTTATTCGTTGGGTTTACATTGATTTGCTCAAGATGGTGCCAACGGGGGTTTGCTTAGTGTCCAAATTATGTCGGTTCCATCCGATACAAGATACCCAGCGTAAACACGCAATACAAACAGCAGGATATGCAAGCCTCTTATGTGAAACAAGACATGCGGCATGCTGCAGCTACAACGTGAAAAAGAAAAACCGTGTAAGAAGCGGTCTCGTCGTATACCTTGGCCGCAGCCACTGGATATGTGTAGAGAGGTTGGCCAACGTTATTTGCAGCGCGTACTGGCTGACTGGCTCACGTATTGAACTGAATTAGGTACATATGTCGTTCAGCCTATCAGCATTGCTCCCAGAAGCCATCGTGAGCCCCGCTGCCGTCATACGTATTGAACGATCGGTGCTTGCGGATGTGGAGTCTTGGCATTCCGTCTCCAAGTCTTTAGAGCCGCCGTAAGCACCTTTCCCCCTTTATTTTTTAAGAATACCTTACTTCGTCGACAAGTGGCTTCTTTAAGCTAGTTACACGTTGCATCTTATACACGAAATATAAGTCGAGTATATTCGTTTAGCCTTAATCTCTCTCTTTCTAGTTTCTAGAGCAGGAATCTATAAGAATACATACTACCCGTATTTTTCGGATATGTGGTATGAGATACCTACCTACATATGTATGTTGGGTATCATGTTGATCTGAGGCGCAGTTGGTTACCGGTACATAAAGCGGGGGCTGGTCATCGTGATATTTCATACTTGGAACTCCATACGTGGACACCTCGTATTATCTTTCAAGTAAAGTAAACTTAAGGTTAAATATTAGGAAGATCACATATCCACGAACGAATGGATATTTATTAAGACCAAGACCAAGCCCTACATGTACCGTTCAATGGTTTGATGTTGTATCTTGTACATGTATGTCGTACCACCAAGAGTCGTGTAAGTTCAAACCAAATTCATTCCAAAATAGGTCAACACGACTTTCCCTTATCGGGGGTATCCCCACCTAGCTTAGCTGATTAGCTGCTTAAGCAGGCTCGGTCGGTAAATCTTTCCTGGGAGGTACCGATTCTGATCTAGCTTTTAGACTAAAATCCACTTCTAAGCCATTGTAGAGAAATCCAGGGACCTTTCCACCCTTCAACATCACGTTAAGTTTTGATCAGCCATTGAGAACGAGATACATACCTACATAGGTACTTCATCCGCGAGCTCCCATCGCCTCGAGTTCGCATATTTAACGCCCTTCACCTAGCAAGCCGAGCTAATCTGAACTGATCGACGTAAAATCGCATTCCCATCTCGCACAAACCCAATCCTAAGGTTTTTTTGTGTGTTTTGTGCACGGTCTTAAAGCACATCATTTCATTTTAAAGAGTGACTACCTCCTAACGAAGCTACGAAAGTACACTAATTAACTAACAAATATCCCAGCCACAACTTCGCTCGCTCTCTCTCTCGACACCCTTGATCCTAGCAATCCTAGGTCTGGCCTGGCCTCCTTCTTTCTGTCTCTCCACCCAGAAAACAGAACCCACCGCGTCGCTGGTTTTGTTTCTCCCTCGCTACATAGTACTCTCCCAATTGCCTTTGACTTGGAGGTTATTTTTTTTGGCATTACCAATCGCGTTGCGTCGGGATGCTATTGACTTTCCCCTCGCTTAAAACGCCTAGTACACAAAACTCGGTACTTTTCTACCATTGAAACCTTGCGATCATCTCTTGCGATCATCTCCGAGCCGGTTGATCTTTAGGGGCCACTTTCTTCTCGAGCCCCGTGCGTTCGCGGTTCGTACTATTTTCTTTTCACCCCCCTACCAGCTCGTGCGCTAGGTTTTGTTTTGGTCGTTTCGTTCTCGATACACTCGTCCTGACTCAAGCTGTCTAGATCACTCCACAGCCGATAGCGAACCGTGTCCGACTCCCGTACCTGACGTACCTCGTCAGCGCATTCTTCTAGTTCTAATCATGTCCGCCACAAGTAATGGCGCTGCGGCAACATCGTCTGCCAACCGTTTTGAGCTTCCAGCTCTGGATTTCAAATTTGGCTCCCTAACCGACGGAACTGATATTCCGCCGCCGCCCCCCTCGCCTCCATCCCCTAAGGAAGAGGTACCGTCGCCCAAGGTAGAGGTGCCATTACGCAAGGAAGAGGTTCCGTCGCCACCGAAGACACCACTCTCGGAAGGGGTCGAGAAGAAGCAGGAAACAAATGGTGCTGCTAATGGTCACGGTACATTCCCTAACAAACCCGATCTTGACACTATCACGACCAATGTCGGCACAAAGCGCCCAGCAGAAGATGGTCCCGCGTCCCCCGTGCCGTCAAATCGTGGAAGCCTTAGGCGCCTGCTTAGCAGAACATTATTGAACAATGCTTACGATGAACAAGGATCCTTTCTTAGCCCTGGTGCCTCGAGACCTCCGAGCCGGACAGCAAGTACGATTGCGGAAGATAAAAAGTCGAAGCGCGCCAGCGGTTGGTTCAAACGGTTACGGTCGAACGACACTGCCAAGAGGGCCAGTCATATATTCGAACACCCGATCGAGGAACCCAAGAAGCCGGCCGGCCCCCCGCCGCCGATGATTCCGGAGCTGAGCGCCCTTAAAACTAAAGTCGATACTCATCTCGGCGATGATCTATTTAAGGGAATCAAATAGGGAATTGTTTTGCAACATATGATACCCCATCTACGGCCGTGCTTTGGTTGCTTGCGTTTGCATTTCATGAGCCTTGGATATTAACTTCAAAATAGCCATCATTATTTTACGGCAAAGTAATTTTTCGACATTTGGCATGGAGATTCTTTCGAGGCGAGCGGAGGAGGCGTTGCTTTTGTAAAAAAGCTTTTTGGAGGGTGGAATATTAGATACCCAGCTCCTGCGCGAGGTCATTCATCGACATACCTTGTCAATTCTTTCTCCATCATTTTATTTTTACTCGACATTCTTCTTGTTCTTGTTCTCCCTTTTCAAATCTTCTCACGCGCGTCATATAAGTGCGTTACATCAAAAGCATCTGGAAAAGGACCGATGTATGCTATGTGTGTTGCTCCCTCGACCCCCCACTTATTTCTTTGGTTTGGGGGTACTTTTTTTGTCCTATTATTCTCTTGGTAAAAGGGGACTACCAACGATTCGATTCGTAATGGACGCGGAAGGCGACCACTCCTAGAAGGATAGTGGAGGATCGAAAATATCTTAGAGTTGGCAGAAGACGGCAAAGAAGTTACGGAGCGATTTCTTCATCTAACGGTTAACATTTACGGCTATGTGCTTATGTGTCACGATAGCGGGAGAGTTCATATTTACCTTCCGGTTGGAGAGGATTACACACACCATTTTTTGTGAAACAGTGCATCTTTGGCGCGAAGGTATCGAATTTCTGACTTTCCCTACGTACATACATACTAACGTACGTGGGTATTTACTTAATCCTCTTGTTCTTTAGCATTTAAGTCTAGAGACGATCAGGCAAATCAGATCATATATGGCCTCGCCTTTGAGTTAGTATTATGTGACAGGTACATATGATATGTTTTCTTTTAAGTGCTCAAGTGATCATGGTAGCTAGGTACATACCTACATTACATGTAACCCAGGTATGTCGAATGCAGTGTAGCTTAAAGAGGTACATAGATTACATAGATGTACATGCATACATGCAAGTGTAGAGGCTGAACTTACCTAAACATCTAAAAAAGGGAGTATGTTTTTGGGTAAGCCCTAGCGAATAGCTCTAGCTCAGGCCAATCGTAGCACGGTTCGGCAATGCTATGATAAGATATAACGTCATTGCCGAGTCCAGCTTCCAGAGCTCCGAACTTTTATTATCGGTAGCTTTCCATCCGAAACTTGGGGACTTCGACGTTTGTCCCACGATCAAACTCGCAACGTCTACGGCAATATGGCTAGTATCCGACCGCTTAGGGTGCAAGGAATAGCTAATTCTTTGGCTAAGAGCTCGATTCGACCAGGCCAATGCAGAGTCAATGCGAAATTAATACCGGCGTCACAGATACAAGTTCGGTATAAATCCGGACCGTATGGCTACACGCAAGCGAAGGCACTCGTGTTTAGCGAGTATGGCGAACCGAAGGATGTCTTAAAGTAAGTCTTACTTATACATAATACCTATCTTGCGATAGGTTCATATAGGCTAATAAATTCCTCATTGCTTTGTTTATAGATTGCATACACACTCCATTTCCCCGAGCCTCCCCTCCTCCTCCGTCCTCGTACGCTCCCTCGCCGCGCCAATCAACCCCGCAGACGTAAATACCGTCCAGGGCACCTACGGCGCTAAGCCCTCCTTCAGCACTCTTCTCGGCACCGCCGAGCCCTCCGTCGTCCCCGGCAACGAAGGCGCCTTCGAAGTAGTCTCCTCGTCATCCCCCGACCTGCAGCGCGGCGACTGGGTCATTCCCAAGAAAACCCAATTCGGCACCTGGCGCACGCACGCCCTCGTCCCCGCCGACGCCGTCATCAAGGTTGAGAAAGATGGCCTCAATCCCCTACAAGTCGCCACCGTCGCTGTAAACCCGTGCTCCGCGTACCGCATGCTAAGGGACTACGTCAAGGACCCGGGCCCCCTGCGCGAAGGCGACTGGTTCCTCCAGAACGGCGCCAACAGCGGCGTCGGCCGCGCCGCCATCCAGCTAGGTAGCTTGTGGGGGTATCGCAGCATTAACGTCGTGCGCGCGCGCGAGACGCCCGAGGACACGCAGAAACTGAAAGAGGAGCTCGCCGCTCTCGGCGCCACGCACGTCGTCACGGAAGACGAGTTCCAGGCCCGCGAGTTCAGGCAGCAGCTGGCGGAGTGGACGCGCGGGGCGCGCGAGGGCGTGCGCTTGGGCCTCAACTGCGTCGGCGGGGAGAGCGCGTCCACCGTCGCGAAGAGTCTGGGGCCGGGGGCCACGATGGTGACGTACGGGGGCATGGCGCGGCAGCCGGTGGCGCTGCCGACGGGGCTGCTCATCTTCAAGGATATCCGGTTCGTGGGGTTCTGGCTGAGCCGGTGGGCGGACGGGGACGCGGGGTCCAAGGCGCGCACGGTGGCGGAGATACTGGGGCTGGTGCGCGAGGGCAGGTTCCGCGATACGCCCGTCGTCGAGGTGCCGTGGCACTGGGAGACGGATGTGCAGACCCTCAAGGATGCGGTGCAGGGCACGCTGCAGGGGTTTAGGGCTGGGAAGGGGGTTTTTGTGTTCCGTGATACGTAGCTGGAGAGGGAAGGGAGACGCTAGATGAGAGGGGTGAGAGAGGGGGGGGGGCTGTTTGCTGGGTAGTATAGGCTTGTACTTGAGACTTGAGATAGTTATGGAGCTGCTGGTTGAACTCTTGAGACCGGGACTGGGCTATCATGATGCTACCATGGTACAGTTGATATGTATAGTGTTTCATCCCCAGAGCAGTCTAGAAACATCTGGGGCTAAATATCTATCACTATGACTTGCTAAAAGCAAGCAGGAGTTCCGAATGGTTTTTTTCTTCTTAATTGCGCTATTGCTAGATGCATGTCTACAATCCTCCACCGTCCACCTTCCGGTCAACTCGCTGAACGCCAGTGCAGTTCCATGCTAATGAAAATCCAAAGGAGAAAAGGAGTCCTCGACCCCTGAAGTAAGAGATTCTCGACTGGCTAACTGGATGACTGGGTAAGGTAGTACTACTTCAGCTCTTCCCATCTAACGGTTACTAACCGGATATCGTAGCCTGGGAATATTAACCTCTAGAGCGTGTCTAGATGACCATCGATCCTTATGGCGCGGAATACAGCGGGCGATGTGTCTTGAAATACGCCTGAGGCGCTCGCAGATATTACGAGTCGCCTTCAGCAGCCTACGCTTCTACTTCGGCTGGGAGGTGGCATATGTTCTGGTCCACTCTTTGGCGGTCGCGATGGCCTTGTTCTCGTCCTCCTTCCAGCTCTTAGCGACGTCGGCGGCTAGAGGGTCGTCGGGGTTGGGAGCACCGAGGAGAGCCTGGATCGAGAGGAGGATGGTTCGGATCTGGAGAGCGGGCGACCAGTTGTCTGGGGAGAAAGTGTTAACAGATCCAACTTTTGTGACGGGTAGGACGGGTGGAGAGTATAAGGGGGGTCTGACTCTTGAGCACGTCCAGGCAAATACGTCCGAGCTTGTCGACGTTGGGGTGATAGATCTTGGTCAAGAAGCGGATCTTGGGCGGGACCATCGGGTAGTCATCTGTCAGGAACAGCTCGAGCTTAAAAATGCCTCCTGGATTTTGGTGAATGGTCAGCGAATAGATCTATCGGTTGCACAGGATGGAGAATGGGAGGTGCACGAACCCTCATACGGCGATCCCGAGGGCCCGTAGATCTCGACATCGAAATATCTGAGGTTATCTTCGTGGGGAACGGCGCTGATACCAGGAACACTGCGAACGCTCGGTTAGGTATCAAGACCCAGCAAACACTCAGCACGGACCCGGGCATCCAGATCTTACGGTTCGGTCATCAGACGTTCCGTCTCTTTAACGATACGCTTAGGTAACGCCATCCTGTTAATCTGGTCGGTATGGTAACGAGAGAAGCGAGAAGAGCGTTGTTCTATTCGGTACGGGCAACGCCTTGGACCGTTAGAAGAGAAAAAGCAAAAAGGTCAAGGCGGATGCTAACGAGGCTAGTAGTATGTAGGACTACGAGCTGGAAAGTCAAAGAGCGCCGCGGCTTCACAAGGCGTACCAGTAGAGTAAGTAGTAGGTAACAGCTTAGGGAAAGCAGGATTTACAACCGCCCGTTTATATCGGCGACGGCGGGGAAGCACTTATTTTTATTTATGAGTGCTCTGCGGGTGGTTTGCTGCCTTGGAAAAGAATTCTGGAATAGAAACAGACGGCCAGGCTGTATAAGAAAGTGAGTCAATAAATGAATAAATAAATAAAAGAGAGAGAAAAGAATACCTGCACGTTATCTAAACCGCTTAAGTTTAAGAAAGTTTCGTGGCTGATCCGACGTCGCGGACAAAAGAACTGAAACTGATGTCCCTTGCGATAAGGACCGGCGGCCAGTGACGGCGTTTTGTAACTTTGTACCTTAGGTAGTAATTTCAAGGTTACAATAGATGAGGGGCAAGTGACATGCTAACAGCTGCACTTTACCTAATCCAGGCTTAATATTAAACTTGAGGGTGCTCTATCGATAAAGAATCGCGACGTCCTGCGCGCTGACACCATCGAGCTTGTCTTCAAGGTGTCACTTTACTTACATATTTACTATTTACTTACATAATGAATATCTTTTCACCTACCTTATGAGATATCATATCAATGCTATTGGCCTTTCCAAGAGTCATAACGATGCCTCGCAGTAGCTCAGTCTTATCCGTTACCTAGAAACGCGCCTGATGAAGGATGAAAGCGAGAGATACTAAATATACTAATTGAGAGAACGTGTGCAAACGAATGGAGGATGGGCGATAGCGTCATGCGAAATCCATCGAGAATTCGATGTTCCGTCAGTGGGCTTATGCGCTTCCACAAATTAAATAGCTATGCCTTCGAACTTTGACCGCATCTTGGATACGTCCAAGGAGAACGCTCCCAAGTCCGCTTACGACAGCGAGAGCTTCGATGCTAATGTAACTATTCATGTCGATGGACTAGTCGGATCAGCCACCATATCACCAAGTGGCCGCGACGTTGCCCTTGCATCGTAAGTTAAAAGTATTTTATCCGCTTCATAATTTGTATATGCTCATCATGTTCAAAGCCCCGAAGGTCTAGCCATCATCGATCTTGATGCCCCTTATAATCCACCCCGTCGGTTAAGTAGTCATGGACACCCGTGGCTGGTAGTCGACGTTCAGTGGTCGCCTTTCGCGGCCCGGGATTACTGGGTGGCCTCGACGGCCAATCATCGCTGTCTAGTTTGGAATTTGAATCTGAGGGAAGACTCTGCGACGGGGGCCATCGAACACTCTCTCCAAGGCCATAGTAGGGCAATCACAGACATCAACTTCTCAGCCCACCACCCTGATATGCTCGCCACTTGTGCGGTCGATGGTTATGTGCATTGCTGGGACTTGCGGAGACCTAAGCAGCCCGTCTTGACTTTCTGCGACTGGTTTGCTGGAGCCACCCAAGTCAAGTACAATCGACAAGACCCCAACGTGCTCGCCTCATCACATGACAGGTGGCTACACATTTGGGACGAGAGGAAGCCATCTACTCCTCTTAAGTCTATTAGTGCGCATACCTCCAAGATCTACGGCCTTGATTGGAATCGTAGCAAGGCGACTAGCATTGTTACTTGTTCCTTGGACAAGAGCATCAAATTCTGGGATTATAGCGTATCTAAAGAACCGGAGAGGATAATACGGACAGATTTTCCTGTATGGCGTGCTCGTCATACCCCTTTCGGTTATGGTCTACTAGCTATGCCTCAAAATGACCCAGGAAACCTTTACTTATACGATGGTCGGCGCATGGAAGGGGAGGCGTTGGATGATGCCGTTAACCCACGCAATATTTTTCCTGGGCATGGAAATCACAAGGTAAAGGAGTTCTTGTGGAGGGCCCGTGGGTCAATCTCGGATGACGGAATAGACAATCGGGAATTTCAGCTCGTATCTTGGGGCGAAGACAACCAATTGCGTCTTCACAGAGTCGAACAGCCGACCCTAGAGTCTGTCGGGCATGTAAAGGGTTGTCTAGCTCAAAACATGAACATTACGAGAAAGGGAGCTGCCTATAAGACTTACAGAGCCGTTGACGACCACGCTAATAGAGAGAAGAGATCAGCCACTATGAGCGATCCTCGTCCCGGAAGCGGTGGGTGCCAATTTCGCCGCAGTGCTCTTACAATAGGAATGCAGACGATGTCATCAAACTATATTCGGTCCAGCGGTACGATGCCAAGTTGGAAAGGCCCTTCAATGAGAGCGAAAACTGTCGCTGGGAAGGTAATCGATCGGAGTCTAGACCAGCTTGGTTGGATGAAAGGCATCACGATGAGTAAGAAGTCGGGAATCATCAGAGCGTCCCAGAGAAAGGAATCCAGAGACTCAGCCATCTTTGGGCATAACTTCCATGACGAGCATTGGGCCGAACCAGAAACGCTACAAGAAGAGATTGTTCGCGTCAACCAACAAATGCCAAACGTTAAATGGGACAACGTAGATATGGATTCTCTTAGCCTCAGGGCTTCCCTGAAAGGTCCCTGGGGCGCAGACGGCGATAGCATTTTTATCAAAGTCAGAGTAGATATCCCTAGGAACTACCCGAAATCAAGGGCCCCGAAATTCATGGTTGAAAAGACAGCCTTGATGTCAGACCAGACGCATAAGAAACTTGAACAGGAAATCCACCAGTTGATAAGCAGGTTCTCGAAGAAGCGACAAAACTGTCTTGAGGTGGCTTTTAGTTACCTTCTTGGAGAAGTTGATCTCTCTAGTAGCGATTCGCTCTTTAGAAATGTCAAGGACCTAGACGACGACTTTGGTGGGCTCGCTGATGAGAGTTCAAGTGAAGAAGAGGATAACGATATTCCTGCTGGCGGCTCTGTGACTATGTCCCAAGAGCTGACCGCGAGCACCGAGCTAGATGCTACTCTTGCGCCCACTAATAGACCTACTATACCACCAATGCCGCGCTTATGCGGCTGCCGCTTCTCGAATGATGGAAGGTTGGTCTGTTTTTTCCCTACTAAGGAAGAAAAGGCCAAAATTTCCTTCTTCCCTACTGCGGACTCTTACAGGGAGCGTCCTAAAGGGGAACCTAGCTTCGCGGGCTTTGGTAGACTCCAGCAGGAGCCGACCGCCCCGAGAAATAGATATACGAACGACGATATCTCAACGACGGAGGATCAGTCCGATTCAGAAGACGGGGACGACTCCTCGAGTTCAAGCGACTCAGAAACTACGTATATGCACAAGATTAACATGTGGTATCTACCGGGTCGTCGTTTCAGAAAGACATTCAGCGGCAGTTATTCCATACACTCGAGTGGTGGGGGAACGGGCATTGGCACGGGTACCGGCACTGGCACTAGTAAACGTCGTCCGGCTAAGCCTAAGAACATTATATCCATATATAATATCGCCAATGACTTGCCTTCCATGCAAGAGTTTGCTCAAGAATATTGCATATTTGGGGATGGATCGGACGTATGCACCCACAATGCAAATGTAGCAGAGAAGTATGGACGGTCCGATCTTATGGACGTTTGGAATTATGCAGCATTATTGCTTCGAAAAGACATCCCTCTTGAGCTTTTAGGTGACGGACAAGGCAGGGAATCAATACTCGTCATCGCAAAAGATGCTGTTGCCCGTTTTGGCGATGACAGCTCATCATCTCCGGGTTCTAATACCGCCGCGCTGAACGGCCGGGTCAAATGGGGGCATCATCCTCTCGCAAGAAACTTGATCGACGACCTTTTCTATTACTTCGAGAAGATGGCCGATGTGCAGATGCTTGCTATGCTCTCGTGCATATTCAGCGAGTCGTCGGCCGAGGATAGCGTTGCGTACGCGGAATCACACCTCACTCAACCGGAAACGCCTCTCCATATGAAAGCACCGTCGTTCTCCTTAGATTACTTTCCCACAGATGCGTCGCTTTGGAATTCCAGCATATATAATCACAAGAGCCAAGCTAACTCAGCAATTTCCACCCCCAAGACATTACACACACCTGTTAATCTTGCCGGCTCGTACGGTTCAGAGGAAGTAACATGGGGCGGCGATCCAAAATCCAATTCTTACTCCTGTGGCGAGACACCGCCGACGATGACACCTCATGAACCGAACGGCGATCCAACCCAGAGCTTAGCCGCGTCGCCAGATAATAGGCTACTGAGTCGTGCAAATACTGCTCTGAGTGCTGGCTTAGCTAGTTTCCCGAGGGCTTTCGCGAGCGTTGCATCAACATCACCCCCTAGTCGGAAACGCCCTAGCCCCGGAGAGACATTCCTGTCCAACCTTGCTCCAACTAATATTACTTGGGGCAGTTCAACAATTATAGGTCCTACATCCGAACCGTCGGGCACCGCACGCAACTCGTATTCTGATGACGACGCACGGAGCGACGATACCTTACCTCTATTATGCTACGGTATATCTACAGAAATGGAAGACCAGTCGATATTCGATGACGACGGCTGGCTTGGCGTTCCTTTCCTCGAGCCCTCCCGTCACGCTATATATGCGAGCTACCGCCATGCGTACGCAGAAATGCTACAGATGTGGAAGCAACCGTTGGCTCGACTCGAGATCTTGAAATTCAACGTGCTCAAAGAGGATCCTCTTGAGCCTCAAGCTATTAGTTTTGCAAGTTCGGGCGCTGCTAGCTTCCACGAGTATCACAACGTAGAGAATGTGAGTCACAGCTCCCGTTCACATCACGGCGCCAACTCGCCTATTGTATTGGGAAAGAAGGAGCTGCTGCAGTCGTTGATTACATCTGATAAGGGCATCGATGTAACTGGCATTTGCCGCATACATGAGACCCACCTGGATCCTATTCGGTCGACGCATGCCAGCGCGTCACTTGGAGGTGCGGTTGGTACTTGTGATCGTTGCAAACGCACGCAAATGCAACTGTTGTGCGTATTCTGCAACGAGCCTATCGATGCCCTTTATCCCCCTTGCCTAGGATGCGGTTGTGCCAGCCACGAGGACTGTATAGCGCAATGGCACGACGCCGGCGAGACCGAATGTCCTGCTGGTGACGAGTGCAGCTGCATCGAGGAAGCAAGTCACGGCCAAGTCGAGACATGGGCCTCGATTAAGGGATTCGTAGATCGGACAAAGAACCAGAAGCTATTAGACGTCGAGGTGGAGGATAAATACGACATCTACAACCGCGGCTCGATCGATAGGCACGACTGGGAAAAGATTGCCAGCGGCGCACATATGCCACTTGCGGACGGACAGGGCAAGCTCCTAGACCAGCCATATTCCCAGAATACAATGTCGGCTGCTAGGATCAGCCTTGGTAACAAGCTGAAGAAATCTGCGGGCAATTGGGGAAGCACAACGCCGTTGAGAAGAAAGTCGACTTCGGGTCCGAGTAGTAGACGATAACTGTACGTTGGATATTTATGTAGATATGGTGTATGAGTATACGGGAGAGGCTGCAATTAGGTTCAAAAGAAGGAGGAGAATTTTAAGGGGGAGGTCGTGTAAGTTAGGGGATCCTCTATAATGTGGTTCTTATAAGGGATTTTAAGCTGTGAGCTAGGCTTCTAGGTGTGTTATCGTGGTATTTTCGAGTATCAAACTCAGAAGTAAATAATGTTCCCCTTAATTCTAAAGACTCAACGCAGAGGTGAAATGCAAGCCAATATAACAAGTAACAAATTCATAACTCAATTAATAATCTCGTATGCATTAAATCCAGCATACTTTCGCGCACTTCAACGTAACTAGGCCTTTTGAGACTACACCAATATCCACCCCCCCCCCTCTCCCCCCATTTTCCCATGCCATCGAAATAGAGAACCGAGCAACTAATTCAAGACCCATGTAGTTTAACTCACGCCTCCCGCGACCTCACAGAATCATATGTTGTCTAGCACGTGCACATCTGCACGCACCGGGACGTGGGGTCGTAGTGGCAAGCGAGGCTGCCGCTGGAGCATTGGCATCTTTGCGCGGTTAGTTACCTACCCACCTACCTAGCCGGCCAGGAACATAAGAGTCTATCTGGTAGACGAGATAGGTAGGTAGGTAGGTAGGTAGGTAGGTAGGTAGGTAGGTAGGTAGGTAGGTAAGTAGGAAAGAGGTTAACGAGGCGGGAACGTACAAGTTTTGACACGGGTTGTCTAGGCCCGCGCTGCAGGTCATGCGCTTTGTTAAAGGAAGACTGGCAGCGGAGACGGAGGCGGCGAGGAGGAGGAGGAGGAGGGAGGGCAGTGTGTACTGTGGGCTTTTGTTAGAATCGGTGGTGGAGCTGGGGGGGGTAGGGAGAGGGAAGAATAAGTTAGTTAGGCGGCGTAAATACCTTCATTTTGATATTTTATACTGCACTTGCTTGCGCCTGAGTTATGAGAAATCGTGGGAAGTTATTAGTTACTGGTTAGTATAGATGTTATGGCGTGCTGTGCGGGTCTTCGAGGCACTCCTTGCTTGTTATTTATATATTTACCTTTTATATATATATAGGAGGTAGGTAGGTATACAATAGTCCGGTATGAAACATGTACATCTGAGATGAACCCGGTAGCCTTCGTGTCTGGAGTATGCGGCGCCGCGCCGGGAAATCGGCTCAAGGTAGCAAGGGGAGTAAGTAGTAGAGAATCATTATATCGTTCTCTAGAACACTCTAGGCCACTCCACTCTCTTTATTCTACCATACTTTGTTTACCTTTGCATATATTACGCAGCAAACCAGGATGTGTTTGCGAGTTGGGATAGGGGATATATTCAGTTTAACCGGGAGGCTGGAAGCGGCGTTGCAGCGGACGTCCGCCCTGCTAGTTTAGGCATTCGGGGCCGTAACGTAAATGCGACGCTGCTGTCACTTTTGCAGATCACGACAAAGCTTTTTATTAACGCTTATTTATTAAGCAAGGTACATGATGCAGGTGTGTCGCGCATGAAGGTGTATTATTCCGTGAAGCATATATCAGGTATGTATCTGCGGAACGTAATTCATATAATAGGTAGGTGGCTGATCATCGCCGTAGAAAGATATCAGCAGACGGTCCTGTGAATACCCTCTGCCATTCGCGCCGCCTTCCCCTCGGGCACCTTAGCGGACCCCTCCGAAAGGCCCCCTTTACTAGCATCCTTGCGCGGCCGGCTATCTCCCACCGGCTTCTGCTTCTGGAGGATCGACAGGTCGACCGCGTCGTTGTCGATCAGAGTCTGCGTCACAGACACCAAATCCGCGATAAGGCGGTCCAGGAGATCTAGGCTCATGGATTCGCGGATGACTATACGCAAGATTTCAATCTTATCCTCATTGGGAGGAAGCGCGTAATTGGGTATTATCCACTGGCGCGCACGCATGAGTAGCGATACCCATTCCTGCTTGATGTGCGGGAACTCCCGTTTGAACTCGTCTGTTAGTCGGAACGACACAACTGGTAGCCCGGCCACGTAGTCAGCTGAGGTTTCACCCTCCTCGCCGAGGACGGCGTGTTTCGTGCCCGAGATCACACCTGATGCGGCGGATGCTCGGTGGTGGATATTGGAGACGCATGTGTACCATTTGGTAGCCTCAAGGCTTTTAGATAGGAGCCGCGCGTTGCGGAGGCAATTCTCCATGATCTCGCGGTACCCGTCGAAGCCGAGGTGGATCATGTTGTAATACTGCACGATGATCTGCGCACCAGGCCGGGAAAAGTTCAGTGTAAAAGACTTCTCGGTGCCTCCTAGATAATGCAGCTCGAAAATTAGGTGCTGTGGCAGGTAAGCTTCGTCCCGCCAGACGATCCAACCGACTCCGGCGTAGACGAGGCCGTATTTATGGCCCGACACATTAATGGACTTGACTCGCGGAAGTTCGAAATTCCTTAGAGTGTTAGCAGGACATTTTCATGAGGGACCTTCAGAGTTTCACTCACCACTTCGGCCCGCCGGCTTGGGCATGAGTGAATGGCGCAACAAACCCTCCAGATGCCGCATCCACATGGATTGGGATATCGACGCCTGTCTTCTCCTCGTAATCGTCGAGAATTTTCGAGATTTCCTCTACCGGTTCATAGTGACCGGTATAAGTGCTCCCTAGAATGACGAACACGCCAATCGTATTTTCGTCGATATTCTTCAGGACAAGGTTCGGGTCTAGTCGATAGTTGCTCTCCTTAGAAACCGGGAGAATCCGCGCCTCAACATCGAAGTAGCGCGCGAATTTCTCGAGGGCGACCTGCGCGTTGGCACCCATGACGATATTTGGATTATAAGTGTTTAATCCATTTGCCTTGCGATGTTCCTGCCAGCGACGCTTCATTGCCAAGCCTCCAAGGTGAATAGCCTCTGAAGAGCCAGTGGTCGCTGTCCCAACGGCTTTCTCACCCTTCTTAGCCCCCCAGAGGTTAGCGAGGATGCTCACGCAACGCTCATGAAGAGACAACATGGCCGGATACTCGTCATTGTCAGCCAGATTCTTGGATAAATTCTCCGTCATCAGCTGAGTGGCGTTTGGTTCCATGTAAGTCCCTACGAAACTAGAGAGTACTAGTTAAGCATTTCTGGCATTCGAGTTTAAGGAGAGAGGGAGTATTTACCTGGCAAGGTTCAGATTTGGTTTGCCATCCAGGTCCAATTCATCGTGGATTAGCTGGTAGGCGGTATCTGCTGGTGTTCCCTCCTTTGGAAGCCTATACTTGGGAACTGCCGACTCGCTTGCAAATTTGGTGCCGTAAGGTGTTAGATGAGATGTAGTCATCACCTGGCGTAGCTGTCGGCCATTCTCGGTGAGGTCGGCGTCATGGAGGTGCTCAACAAGCTCCTCCGGGTCAATCTGGGGAATAGTCAGCCAAATAATAAAATAATAGTAGTAGTATTATTTAGAAGGAAATAATTCAGCTCTACTAACATGGCGGGCTAAAGACATGGTGACTTGTGCTCGGATATCTGTTACCGATATGTTACCCAAGTGGCTGATAATAAGTTGGAGGAAACTAAAAGCCAAGACTTTCGCGGGTCTCAATTTATATGTAGAAAGAATTAATTATTAATTATTTACACAGAGCTCCTTCCATCAGAATGACTCCATCACCCATTGTCAAAGATTTAGAGCAGGTACCTATGACGAAAATGACGATAATGACGTAATGACGTAATTGCTCCTTAAAAAAACCAAGTTCGCTCATATTTATCGGAGGTCCTCCGGGTTGTGAGACCAATACACTTCTACTATTTCATAAAGCTCTAATTCCGTATATCTTTTGACGCGTGTTAGATATATATCATAGGCTAGACATATGCAGTGTCTCGGTACCTACAATACGATACTACGTGCTGACGTAAATTGACGTTTGGTTTTAATAAATAACTATCCTTTCAAGTTCAAGGCAATCTGCGGGGTCTAATGATAGCCCCGGACCCCTTTTACTTTATAGACGACACTCACTAGGTTAGGTTATATCCAACTACAGTCTACAAGTTTTATGAGAATGCTTTAGTGCATAATATTAACCTAGTTAACCTAGCTTGTTCCAATTATAAAAAGCATCATGAGTAATACTATAGGCCAGCCAAACGAGGCGCTGCCAGGCTTACCTCTACCGGAAGGCATCGTGGAAGACTACATCGACTGCTCCACATCATGCGGTCTTAAATGGCATATCCTAAAGGCCGGCGAGCCCGGAAACCCTTTGGTACTTTTCTGCCACGGATACCCGGAGCTCGCGTACTCGTGGCGCAAAGTACTGCCCGCGATCGCCAAAGCTGGATACTACTGCGTCGCGATGGACCAACGCGGTTACGGGCGAACTACAGGGTGGCCGCTAAAACAACCTTTTGAGTCAGTCGACCTTAACGACTTCGTCTTCACGAACCTAGTGCGCGATCTGGTGTGTCTAGTATATGGATTAGGGTATAAAACGGTACACAGTATCATCGGCCACGACTTCGGCGGCGTGAGCTCCGCCATGGCCGCGCTCATGCGTCCAGATATGTTTCTTTCCACCATTCAAATGAGCCACCCGCACCACCAGCCCGCGGAACCTATCTCTCCCCAGGAAAAGGGGAAAGCAAAGAAGGTAGACATCCAGGCCGAGCTAGCGAAGCTTGACCCGCCCCGGAAGCACTACAAGTGGTACAACTCGAGCCCAAACGCCGCCCGGGACTGGGAGAACCCGTCCCAAGGCCTCGAGATATTCCTCCGCGGATACTTCCATCTGAAGTCGGCAGACTGGGATGCCAATAAGCCGCAACCCCTGACGAAGTGGGGCGCTCAGGAACTAGCACCTATGCCCGAATATTATATCATGCGAGCAGAGCACTCGATGCCCGAGACGGTGGCTTCTAACATGGCAGGCGAGGACTATTCTAAGACGGAGCGGTGGCTCTCGCGGGACGATCTGCAGGTATATTGCCGCGAGTGGGCGCGGACGGGCTTCCAAGGCGCGCTGAACTGGTACCGGGCGCAGACGGCGTCGACGAAGCAGTCGGCGCGAGACGTACTTCTATTCTCAGGACGCAGAATCGAGGTCCCGTGTATTTTTATTAGCGGGAAGCAGGACTGGGGTAATTACCAGCAGCCAGGTGCGCTTGAGGGGTACGAGGACCCGAAGGCTGTTAAGGAGGGTTGTTATAGGGGTGCGAAGTTTGTGGATGGTGCCGGACATTGGGTCCAACAGGAACAGCCTGAGGCTGTGATTAGGAAGATCTTGGCATTCTTCGAAACGCTATGATACATGTTAGTGATCAGTAATATATTTGATGAAGAGTACTCGTTTGCTTACTGTGTGTTTATTCGGGACGTTTATACGAATACCAACTTGAATAGTGATCAATAGTAACAAGAACGAGTGCATATACTGCTAGCCAGGTGCTACGGCCTCTTGTCATCCTTCACGATAAAATAAATCAAAAACAACTGGAAATTAGCCAAGATGATAGATGATAAAGATAAGGGGCTGAACAATAATAATAGGGAAGAACAAAAAAAGAACACACCACACCCCGGACTCGAACCGGGAGTCTTCGGCTTTATTTCATCCTTACAAGTAGGAGGCCGACGAGTTAACCATTTCTCTAGTGCGGCTGTGAAAACCAAGCGTGTTTACCACTTGGCTATTGCGGTGATGATGGCAGCAGTTGTTGTTATTGAGACATATTAGGTAAGGTACTCAGCTTCAAGAGAGATCCACGGGTAACGGGTAACGGGTAACACGTCATTAATCCAGAAACTAGAAACGAGAAACAACAACAACGGGCAGGCAGCAACGACAAGCTACGAGGCGATGAAAGGACGGAAGTGCCAAGTCACATCCCTACCACAACAGAAAATATCTAGGGAGTACCTGCCTATCTGCACCTACCCGCACACAACTGCTCCACCTTGGCTGACCTGCTTCCAATGAGATGCCCTTGCTGGAGTTCAGCAACGTCCGATCGAATGTATCTGATTCCTTAAAAAATAAAAATAAAAATAAAAACAAACGGTAGCCCTAGCTGTAGCCGTAGCACCTTCTCCATATGCTGGGTCCAAGCTTTCGCACTATGTGCAAGTAAAGTACCTAACTTAGGTTAGGTTCTCACTCTTGTGATAACTGATATAAGGCCTTTAGCTTGATATATTTAGTCGCGTCTATAACGCTGTTATTATACCTATGTAGCTTGACACTTGGATCTTTTTAGTCTTAATAATCTTCTAATTCCTAAGAAGAGATCAAGGCCTAAGTTAAGCTCTCTGAAGATGACTAAACTACTGATTGTTGACTATTAAGATCAAGTCCGTTAGGTTCAAAGACTATTTGGGTATCGAATCGAACTAGTTGGCCAATAACAAGGTTTCTGATGTCTTATAACTTACCAAGGCATGTTGTATTCGTCAACAGATGAGAGGGACATATCAAAATGGACATCCACGTTTATCAAATCGCAGTTGAATGTATCAGATAGTGTGTTTTCCTTTACATTACAAGATAAACATATTAAATAAACACACTAGGTATTACCTAATATTGTGCTCAAAAAGTATTTTTATTGTTAAGGAGAACCCACTGTTTAATCTTCCCAGTTCAGCACCCCTTGCAAGGAAATTATAATATAATTACCCCTGGTAACTCTGTATGATTGGATTCAAGATAATTTTATTATGAAAATAAAAAGAAGGGAGGCCAGGTACCATTTATACTTATTTCTGCTCTGGCTGTCAAAGCGGAAACCTACACCGTTTTTATATTTCTATTTCTCACTTGCTTTAACACTCAGACAATTACTGACCAAATTTCAGCTCATGGTTCAGGCATCGTTCAAGGCATTACTATGGCTGAAAACAGGAGTTCCTTTGGCAATATTTAATTCAGTACAACTAAAGGCTTAAGCCGTCATTTGTTAACAGATAGTATCGTTTGTGATTTGAAACACACACAAATGCTTATTCACTGTCCTCGACAGTAAATCTTCGTGGCCCCGTTCAGGCCACAAGTGTCTAGGACTGAAAAATAACAGCCTCTTTGGGAACAACTGCGTTCGTGACATTATATGTACGTATGCTAGCGTACCATCAGCATATTATCGTTGTCCTAAGAGATCCAAGTCCCCATAGCTGGATGTCAGACACTGCCATGCCATTGTAGTTCTGCCAGCACTCGGTTTTGCTTAGAATATCCTGAGGTTCCCTCCCTCGTCCAGCTGTGTTCATCATCAGCCGCACCAGCTTGTTCCTAGACATAGACCAACCCTAAAGGTCACTCGCCCCTCGCGGGTCCTAAGACTCCTAAGCTTAGGTACCTATTGGCCACTAAGAATCTCACGATCCCCTCAGTTTTAGAGCAACCAGCACTGACTAAGGGTTATCAGGTTGATTAGAGCTTGGGCCTGCCACAAATAAATTCGCAGCCAGCCCGTCCTAGATTTTATTTTTATCTTCTCCTTCCTCACAACGCAAACTGAGTCAGGGAAACGAATTGTATTTGGTTCTTAGGACGTAACTTTCCAACAACAAGGTATTTCATATTCGAAAGTTCTATTATCGACTTATTCTAATCAGCTTCTTAGATCATGTCTAACTCGGAGGATCCTGTCGCTGGTACGGGTGACGTTGATATCCAGACGGATGTCCCTCGTATGTGTGATGCCAGTACCCAGACAGATGCCCGCGAGACAAACCCTGTCTACGAAACGACTGTAAGTCCTCTCTACATTCAACCCGGAAACGTTATACTAACTTCACATCAACATAGGGTCCCGACAAGAGCCTTGTCGTTCCTTCAATCCCCGCTGCAGCATGTGCGGTCAAACCCGAGATCAGCGTCCGAATCGTTGATGGGAAGCGCATTGTCGATCTTCCAGGCTGTGGAGACGACCGCAAGGGAAGATACAGGCCCCCCTTTCGCTCAACTCATAAGGTAATCGTGGATACCATGAGTAACTTTTGGCCTCCTCGCTACAGCAGGCTTATTCTTCCGACTACCACAAACTTGAACATCCTGCTCAGAGCATTGAACTATCTGCTTCGCCAGAAGTACGACGCGTACCAGCGCCACCGCAGCGAGAACCCCGACTCCCCGCTGGAGAGCTACACCCGCCAAATGCGAAAGTATGAGGAACTCGCGGTCGCAGAAGCAGCGAGGGCTGCTTCGAGGATGATACGGCCGCGGAGATCAACCCTGGAATTGTACTATGTCGATCATGATGACGAGCACGTCCCCGTGCCCAACGGCGGTAGGCTGATCTTCATACGCCGCAGATCCGACGGCTGGAATGTCTTTCACGAGCCTGTCGAAAACGTAGCCGTGGAATGTGTTAAGAAGAACGACATCTGCCTCTGGGAGTGCGAGGAGGCGTTGGATGAGATCTACCATTGGTGCCGTACTCTCTTCCTTGGCAGTGGTCCCCCGTACTATCCCTCCGGGAACCCTCTTCTCCTTGAGGCATTGGTGCCTGACACTCGACTCCACGCAAATAACACGAACGTGTCGTAAGTGTTTCTTCACACCCTCTTTTTCTTATTCAATCAATACCTTTGCGTAGGTGCTAACCAAGTCTACGGTCCCCCAACTAGTGCCTCAACGAGCATCTAACCGTTCTTGATCCTCAGCCCAAATGACTTTTTTTGGGCCTGAGAACTGAGCGCCATTTACTCTGTACACGCACGAGTTACCCGTAATGAACAGACCGCAGGCAACCACGCCAGTCCGAACCAACCCGATGTCTCCTCTCAGCCAGTTATATGTAGTTTGCTTTTACGATGAACAGACACCAAGCCTAACTCGACCTGAACAATCACATCGGCACAACGAGGGCAATATTTTTTTTTCCTTTGTTAGTTGTTTCTCGTTCACATCATTAATAAATCCCATATTCCCATATCATCAGCAACCCCCCTTTCCTATCGCACAAACCCGTTATTATTATAAACCTTATTTCTCCCTAGTAGCCTTCCGCAGCAAAATGGCTCGTTAAATAAATAGATAAATATCACAGAAATTAGATATATAGGTACCTAAGGTAGATATCCTACCAAGCAATCCCCAGAGGCCCGCGGTTCGGCGGAGGGAAGCTCTTCTCCGCCGCGAGGCCCACGCTGCGCTTGCCGGCAGGAGCCGAGGGGCAGTCCCGGAAGGGTTTACAATCAGGCTGGCAGACCGTACCCTCGGGCGGCAGCTCCCCGGTCTCGAAGTACTTCCTGACGTAGTGCTCGCGGCACTTTCCAGGCGAGAATAAGGTGGCGTGGCCGGGGCTCTCCTGCAGCAGGACGCGCGCGCCGGCGTGCTCCTTCGCCATGGCCACGGCGTTGGCGTAAGGAGTCACCGGGTCGTACTGGCTAGATACGAATAGAATCGGGGCCTTGGGCTTGCCGGGAGCGCCGCTCGGGTCCGCGGCGGGAGATGTGAAGGGCCCTGTGAAGCGGTACTTGGGGCGCACGCGCCAGCCCCGGCAGGCGAGGCGGAGCTGGGCCCAGGCTGGGCCGAAGTCGGGAGATTGCTCTTGGATGTCGGTGAGGTAGGACTGGAACTCGGGGATGGTCTGGTCGTTCGCTGACTCCGCATCCCCGCATCCGACAGCGATCTCTACGTCCTGGATCCAAGTGTACGTCTTCGGGATGGTCGTGGGGCAGTACTCGGCCGACTGAGGGGTGCCGAGGCTGGCATACACAGTGCTGAAGTCACCTTCCATTCCCTTGGCTACAACATTGGCAGCTCGTGGGAAGTATTCCTGGGGTTGATACAGAGCCTGGAAGATGATGGCGGTGACGTCAGCCCGGGTGATCTCTTCGATGCTGCTGTTCGTCACGATCTGAGCCGGAGACTCGTCGAGTTGCTGCAGGAAAGCATCGACACGGGCGCGGATATCGCTGGGACCCGAGTCGCCTGGCTCGTAAAGGGCGCAGTGAGAACCAGCTTCGAAGCAGTTGATGAAAAGCTGGTCGTAGTCCTTCTGAGTGTCTTGAAGGTTCTTAGACCACGACTATATGTAAAAGTTAGCTTCGTCTAGGGATAGCTATGTTGGAGTATGGCACTCACGGCTGCGTTGTAATCATGGATATCCACAACGCCCTCGAGGATCATGCGATCAACACGGCCAGGGAACATAGAGGCGAAATAGTTTCCAAGAACAGTACCGTAAGAGAAGCCCCAGTACTGGATGCGAGGGAGGTCATTCTCCTGGCGCGATTGCATTCGTCGCGGGCCGCCACGCGTACGTAGTTTGGCGCTGGAAGTTCCGTTGCTGCTACGTAGTTCATCAATCTTGTCTACGATCTGGACCATGTCTCGCGCAACGCTAGCTGTAGACATGAACTCGTGGATCTTTTCACCCTCGCAAAGGCTTCCATAAGCGCCGAGTAGAGCGGCCTGGCGTCTAACAACGTTTGAACCACCACTCAAGGGACCCATACCACGGAGTGAAAGTGCAGTGACATCTCGGGCGAGCTCATCATTGTAGCAGTCCGCTTTGGGCTCCGAGTATCCGACACCACGAGGGTCAAAGGACAAGATCTCATAGTGCTTGTTTCCATCGACAACACCTTGTATAAGCTCTCCAGCCTCGAGCACGAACTCTACTCCAGATCCACCGGGGCCGCCGGGGTTGACTATGATGGTGCCACCAAAGGAGGGATCATCCTCGGGGACCGTAGCCGGAAGCGCAACAATGGCCAAGGAGACTTCGGTCGCATTGTGAGTCGAGTTGCTAAGCCAGTCCATAGGAATTCCCAGCTTAGCACACTTAAGAGAGCCATAGCATTTGGAATACTCCAGTGATGCGGACGGCCTGAGCTTGGTCCAGTCGAAGCTTGAAGTGCTTTGGGCCGTAGCGTATCGGCTGGATGAGACCAAGAGGCCGGTGAAAAGTGCTGCCGACTTCATTGTGCACCAGCCAATCCTTGCTCAACTATATTTGAAGCACAATGTATTATTAGTGTTTAAGTATTGTCGAGCCTACGGGAGCAGACTTACGTGAGAAGTTTATAAGAAGGAAAAGGCTTGGAATTGACTTTATTTTTCAACATTTAGAAAAGAAGGCTGGCCGTTCCTCTTGTAGCCGGCAAGCAATGGCAGCATTGACCAAGTAAGCCTGCAACCCTACCTACCTACGTAATGATAGCTACTCTGGGGTTGTTGTAGGATTTGCTTAGCCTCACTTTTAGGCTTAGGTTGTATTAGCAGTCGGCCGCTGCTATTGGAGAAGGTATCATGAGCGGAGAATACATCTCCAGCTAATATTTTAGGAGTCATCCTGAGATGGAATTAAGCCGAGTGAGGAATCACAGCGTTTTCTCTGCGTGGGTAAACAAACGGCCGCTGTTATGACTGTATACTAGATGTGTGATTAGGACTTTTAATGTGTTTGAAAGAAAATCCAAGTCTTGAGAAAAACTAAACTTAATTTATGAGCCAATCACAGCCCGGCAAACCCCCTACTATTGCCTAATACGGTAGCTTTAGTCCCACCTCGCTGAGGTAGTCAAAGCTTCAATAGTCAAAGCTTCAATCCGACGTTTTTATAGGACCACAGTATTCTCAGCTACTCTCCATATTTCTGGGCATCCGGAAGGACGGTGCTGAAGCTCGAGTGTTGTTCATCGGCTTTTGCGGTCGAAGATCTGCATTTAGCCTCGATGATCAACGTACGATCGGGGATAGGACTTATAATTAGCTGAGCTGCTAAGATATAGATCGTGGACTTTTAAGCCACCGGCAAATATCTACATAATCTGCTTATGTAGGAGTAGGCGGTTAGTTGCTGCCTGGCGATGAGCGAGGCATAATCAATCATTGCATGCATACTCATCAGCCACGTCATTGCAACTAGAGCCTGTCCGTTGCCTAAGCGAACTCCATCGCCACTATCCCAAGTTGGGTAGATATTGCGATATAAGTAGAAGCTGGGTAGGACTATATGCATGTATATAAAAGTGACGACGGCAATATACGGGTTTACATATTAAATCTCCTATTCTAACATCGCTTAACGAATCTAGAAATTTCAATGTACGGGGTATATTAAAACCACAAATTCTATTTTATTTCTTCAACAAGACCCAGTTAAGACAACAGCTTCAGATTATCCAATCAACTCGAATATTTTCTATTTATAAACAACCCAACCATAGTCTCATTAGATAGAGATGCCACTATAATGACATCGATTGATCATCATCATTAAGCATCCCTTCGAGCTTATCGCTATATACGACGTTATTCTAATAAGTCTTACCCGAAATTTTCTATGATCTTCCGGTAAAAGAGCTGGAGGCTTTTTTATACACGCCCAACGCATTTGAAACAATGATGACTTCTTACAATTCTTTCTTCTCCGACTTAACTTTCTTCAGCGAACCGGGCGGTGACTTAAGCCCAGCGAATACCAGCAACGTAACGCTCAGGATACCTAAAGCACCCCCAGCGTAAGCAACCTCTCTACCCGCCCACCAGTACACGCTAGTGAACAGAATCGGGCCCAATCCTCGCCCGAGTTGGCCGTAACTTCGAAGTATGCCTAGCTTGCCTCCTCGCTCACCCTCGCTAGCTTCGAAGCTGCTTAGCGTGTTGAGGCCGCTGACGACTGTGGCTGAGGTGGTCGCCAGGCAAGTAGCGGCTAGATACAGCGACCCGACAGTGCTAATGCGCCCGAGCATGATGAACGCCAGCAAGCACGCGGTGACACCGATCCGCACGGTAAGAAGCGGTGGAAGTCGGCGGGTGACTCCGCCCTGTAGGATCGAGGCAATCAGGCCCACAAAGCCCAGCAGTCGACCGTTCTGGGCCGAGTTGTACTGGAAGAGGTCGTACGTCATGAATGGTAGGGAAAATTCCATTCCCGAGAAGAACAGCAGAAAGGAGAAGTGCACCAGGTTTAGCAAAAAGTGAGAGTTTGTACGCGTCACCGCGACTGGCTTCGTGGCTGTTTTAGAAGTCTTTTTTCCTGTCTGACTTGGCAGAGTCTCAGGTAACGCGATATACAGGTAAATCGTCTCGACCACAATCAGGGACAAAGACACGCCGGCGGCCGTTGCGAAAGGGTTTGCGGCCACGGTTGCAATGGTGCTTAGGTATGCGCCAAGGGCCGGACCAAAGGTGAAAGCGATCGAAAAGCAAGCACCTATGAGGGCCATAGTCGAGCCGCGGCTACTCTCGTCCGAGATATCGGTTGCAATGGCTGTAGCTAGTTGTACGTTGCCCTCCGATAAACCACCCACGACACGCGAGGCAAGGAAGGTTCTGAAATCCACTGCTACCACCCAGAGGAGAACCGACACGATATTTCCAGCCATGCTGGCAAGAAGCGCGGCCCTTCTGCCATGCTTGTCGGACAAGTGTCCAATAACGGGGGACGCTATGGCCTGGAGCAGAGAGAATAAGCTCCCTAAGGCTCCTCCTAGTAAGACGATATCATATCTCGAGTCGATTGGTTTCGCGAAGGCAGATTTGTATGCGTTGAGACCGCCGAGGATCTGCGCGAGCAGCGTCGTCTGCGAGTCGTCGCCTACCTCGCTATTTCTGTAGAACTCGAGGAGCTTTGGGAAGAGAGGGAGGATAAAGGTAAATGATATCTGCAAATATCCGTTGTTAGCATACGTAATTGTCTCATGTACTTGGCCGCATTGCGTGACGTAGACGTACCAGATCTAGAAGCAACGATATGAAAATGACCTTGAGCACCCTTTTCCGAGTGCTTGGGTCGACAGCTGTCATGGTGAAATATCGTTTGGGTATATCGTTTGGGTACGAAATGCACGAAATTGTTACAACGGACCAGCCGATCGATACAAGTTGGGGAGAGCGAATGAAACAGGGAATGATGAAAAAAAAGGCTGTTTAAAGAAATCACGAAACAAAAAGGTATAACGACATCGAATTCAACGGGGCACACGTACGGATTATAGAAAGCCAAAGTGCCAAATTGGTGAAGCGACGGGACGAAACGAAACACCGAAAAACGAAACACAAGCGGGGAGCTAACGGATGCTGTACAGTGTAAGTTCCGTTCCCGTGGCAGCTACGTATCCTCAACAAGGATATATGTATGTATTGTACCTAATGTATTCGATAACAGTTGAGTGGTCCATTCAGTGATGCGACCACCACCAAACGGCCCCACAGGACTAGGAAACTTTACTTTACCTTATCGCGGGCGGGTCTTGCCGGTTATTCCGCAGCTTACACGCATAAGTCGCATAACTTTGTATGGCCCCTTCCGCTTATGACCCTTCCGCTTATGACCCTGCCGCTTATGATAACTTTTACCCAAGTCCCCGAACAACAAAATCGGATTATCGAGAGTACATATTAAGCTTTTCTAAGCAAGAGCAGGGCCAGAAATTACCCGATTGATATATCAGTCGGCCGCAAAGAGTAAGAAAACAATCGGCTGGTTCGGGTCGATCTGTCCTAAAATAATTATCATCTACCAAGCGACATAGATATCGTGGGTGTTACCGGCCTGTCAGTCGACCCCGGGCCCCGGATCCCGTCCCGTTACCTTAGGATTCTACGTAGAGCCTCAGCAAAGAGGAATGATCCACGTTTTACCTTTCCATTCGATCCGCTATGCCATCACGCCAGCATGGGACTTATTGTCATGGAGTAAGGATGAGAATGCCATTCAGGTATTTGTAGCCTCTCTACTCGAAGTACTTCATCTCAGCTAGAGGTTCAGGTAGAATATGCATATCTAATATAGCCACAACGGCATATTGGATAGGTACATGCCATCTTGAGAGACCAAAGCCTAGGGGTAAGGTTATAAACTCGAAGAAAATGAGATGAATCGATACGGATATTGCTATACTCAGTTGGCACAAGATTCATAGCCGAATTGTGTCCAAGGCGCTACCAAATGCGCCGAATCTTAGCGAAATTCTCATCAAGAATCGAGCGTAGATGGTAAGACAAAAGAGCTAACATAAACATAGTAGCTCGAAGAACTTCCAAAGGACGGGACAATAACTAACGTGGCAATAACTAACGTTATAACAAAGAAGTTAGAAGATATCGACATCTCATGCCAAACCGAGCACTGAAAAAGAGGGTCTAAGAAGCCTTTTGATGAGCTTATGTGCGGCCTATGAGTAAAATACTTGCTCGGCTTTGCTTCTTAGCTTTGACTGTCAATCAACATGAGGGAGATCAACGTTACTTTCTTTTTTTTTTTTGGACCGATCTCGACTCTTATACCCTATTCCCGTATATCAACGCATTCAAGCATGCCCACGGAGGGCCTCGTATGTCGCCTCGTATTCTCTCCGCCAAGTATAACTCCAACTCTCGGTTAAGGGCACCTGTTGTCAATGTCTTAGTAAAGTTTCACAGCACAGTACTGAATAGGACATGGTTACTCGCGTCTAAAGGAATATCGGTAGCTCCGGTGTCCATTTACAGAACATCGTATTCCCACAAGATCATTAGTCCTCGATGTAATCAGGATGGATGAGATGGGCGCTGGTGGGCCATGACATGGCAGCGATGTTGGGGTAGACAATGTTGATCTACCAACTCCACTCATTACTTCGCGAATCGAAAGAGCCGCTATGCGGCGTGTTATGCGGGGAAGAATCCTTCGCGGCTCAGTCGAGGTTAAGCATTCAGATACATAATTCGACTATATGGCCAAGAATATTATGAATACGTTGAGATAGGCTATTGCGGCCCATAGCCGCATCGTTCGAGCAGGTCTTCGCCAATCTCTAGCTAAGGCTAACACCGAGCCGCAAGTAAGGGGACATTCGATGATCTCCCACACAAACCACATGTGGTCACACACACGATTCTCAGCCCCCGCCATAGGTCTCGTGGATGGATGGCTTGTAACCAGCCATTTTCGAAATCGGATAACTAAAGAAACTACATATGTATGTTTATGTAGATTCTTTGTCTTAGGAGTTCGTTTCCGTGTCAGCAGACCGACTTTACAGAGATATGGTCTTACTATTTTACATACACCATTCCTGATGATGTACATGGGTACAAATTCCAATTCCATGTCAACAACTTTGAACATCTACCTAACCTAGACAAGTTTCTAGAATCAACGAAGAGCTCATTTACCCAACTGCCGTTAGCGTGCACTGCAGGGCTGGGCACTGCTCATGCCTGCTATTAATGGTATCTCTCCGAGTCAGTGAAGATGGTCTAGCCAGTGTCCAGCCAGTCACAGACTTGCGGCCCCAGCAAAGAATCAAGCCGCACCGCCAAATACGAGTGAGATCGGCATCGACTACTCCCCACATAACCTCCAAGCAGCACAAACACGAGGATTCAAGACCCGCCGATGTTGCATGGTACTGGTACAATGCCTTTGACTTACCATCATATGTGTATTGCCTGTTCTTATGCAACCTCTGTTTACTTAGCAGACAACCGATTAATACATACTAATACACACTACACTAGGTTACCAAGTGCATGGCCACAGCCTTCATCTCAATAATCTTTGTCGTCACTGCACATGAATGGGCCCTGCATTAAGTTAGGTACCTTAAGCTAACAGCTGAAGAGTCCTAATGGAACCAAACCCATGTTCCACTGAGGTGCAGCATGTCACCAACGTATGATAGCATCCAACTTCAGCTTCGTAAGTAACGTACCGTCCCGTAGAGACAAAGTAGCGTAGCGCGAATGGCGGGAGCCACGATATACGAGACCCTCAGAATATGATACAACCAAGTTGGGCAATCAGGTAAATGTATATAAGGACAACGTCTACTCGTCTTTCCACGGCCATCTTATAATCGCCATCCACAGCAGCATTTGCAACTTAAATACTAATACATCCTCATCAACTCTAACAAATTCCATCCTCACTTCTCTCTTCCTCCCCGCACTAGACATAATACCCGAGACATAACAGTCGCTCCTCAAATTCCAACCTTCAACCTTCAACCTTCAATCTCATACGAAAATGCAGTTCTCCAAGCTCGTCCAGTTCCTTTCCCTTGCCGTCGCCTCCTCGGCCGTCACAGGTACGACACCTCCTCCCCTCTTACAAGGAAACCTATATAGGGTATTGATATTCTTACGATAACTGATAACTAACACGCAACAGTCTCCTACGACACCGGCTACGATGACCGATCCCGCTCCCTAACAGCCGTCTCCTGCTCCGACGGCGCTAACGGCCTGATCACGCGCTACGGCTGGCAGACTCAGGGCAACATCCCAAGCACATACATCGGCGCCGCCGACGCCATCGCCGGCTGGAACTCTCCTTCCGTATGTTCCCTTCCTCTCCCCCTTCCCCTTCCCCCCCTCATCTCTTAACCTGAAATATAAGGCACCTAAGCAAAACAAGACGCGATGCTAACAAACCTAATAGTGCGGCACTTGCTGGGAACTAAGCTACCAGGGCAAGACCATCAACGTCTACGCCATCGACCACGCCGCTGCCGGCTTCAACATCGCCCTCGACGCCATGAACGCCCTGACTAATGGCCAAGCCGTTGCCCTCGGCCGCGTCGACGCCACTTCCCGCCAGGTCGATGTCAGCGCTTGCGGTGTCTAGGCCATCTCACCCACTCACCTACTCACTCATCACACATTAATGCATATTCTCACGATGAAAAAGACGGAGTTTGTTTTCGGTGACGGGAGCGGATAGCGAATGGACCCGGTGTTTTGGTTACGGATCGCATTTTTATTTTATATAACGCACACCGACTCACGTATATGTATATAAGGTACCTACTACCTACTTAATGTCCATTCCTTAATTACGCATACTTAGAAATCATCATTATATATATATGTTATGATATCATTCGGATGGCGTGGGTCTTGTTCTTGTTACTGTTCCGTGGACTTCGCTCAACTGTAGATATGGGTATAGCATTCCTTAGAAATACATCTCTACAATGAACTTGACTTTGATTTTTGAATTTAATCGTTTGTTTTATTTAGGTCTATGATTACCACACAAATAAACAAGGGGGAAACTTTGATTCAAAACGTGACGAAAGTATTAATTATAGCTGTCTAATATCTCCTCGACACGACACGACACGACACGATCCTAACGATCGTCTTCATACAGTAGTAGTACTAGTTTATCTAAAACCCTCCCCAGAAACGACGTCACGCGTATGCATCGAAGATTCCAACTTCTCTGCTTCTCCTATCTCTTCTCTTCTCTTCTCTTATGATTCTTTCTCATGAGTGAAACGAGCGAGAACCCCTCCTTCTCTCGTCTCCAATTAACCGGCTATGCAAAGTGGCAGAACAAAGGAAACAAAATTGTTATGAAAAATATGAAAAAATAAGTAACTTTACTGGTTACTAATCTTGTTCTCGAATGGGAAAATTTGGGAAACCAATTGCCAATCTGATCCGTCAAGAGAATGAATGTGGATGGTTATTTGTTGTGTTTCGTTCCATCACGTTGCAAGTGCAGATAGTGTGCGAGAATGGCGAGAAAATAGAGAGTAAAGGGGTATCAATCTAGACATTGCGGTAGCAGCAGAAGAGAAAAAAAGGCAAATGGTATAAAAAAGCGCGCATTCGATATATAACGACAATTTCCCCAAATGCCTTGATGATTTCCTGCGACATGCATAATAATGCCGCCCAAAAAGAAAGTAGAAATCCGGAAAAGGTTCGACTATCAGTCGAGTCCTGATCCATTAAACACCTCAATCATCGAAGAAGGAAGCATCGTCAAACTCCTCAACGTGCGCGTCTGAATCGTATGCGCCAGATCGCATCATTGGGGGAGTAATTGGTTGGCGACGCTCCTGTTGAGGCGGTGTGCTTATCCTAGGCATCTTCTCGGCTTGCCGCGCTGTCATTGACTGGCCTTGAGATCTAGCAGCAAACTGTTCGGCAGTAAACCGACGGCCGGTAGTACCGAACGCCGTAGGTTGTATCTGGTTCTGCTGTGCCAGCGGGGTGTTCCTAATACCAGAAGCCGGAGGAGTCATGAGACCAGAGAGGTAGTTGTTCTGAGATGTGTTGTTCGATTTCGAAGGCGTAGAGCTTCTAGCTGACGCTGGAGACGAAGACAAGACATTGGACAAACTGTTAAGCGCAGGCTGGTTCGACTTTCGCCAGCTGCCCCAAGCAGCTGCGAGAGGCCCAACAGCCTGTGCAACTCGAGGAGTTGCAGCTCCTCTAATTGTAGCGGCAATGTTGGGTAAGCTGATGGCCGAACCACCATTCATGGCACGCTCTCGTTCCTGTTCCTCCATTTGAAGATTTGCCTTCAGACGTATAGCCGCGTCCTTGACGGAATCTCGATCCAAATGATCCGAGGATAGCGCGTTGATAATATCTTGAAGATCTCCATGTCTCACAGCAAGGAGCTCACGTAGCCACGTGATCTCGTCGTCTCGCTTGGAAATCTTAGAGGCGGCGTCAGGATCAAGCTCAGCAACAGTTTGCTCGAGCTCTTCAATGCGCTGCTCACGGGCCTGCAATTGCTCTTGCAGGACCATGATAGATTCACGCAAGGCCTGCGGCGAAACCTTCTCGGGGAGTTGCATAGCCTCTGCTAGCTGTTTCGTCTGAGCAACAGGCCCAGGTGCACTAACAGACTTGGACGCTTGTGCTGCTTGGGCCGCTGCCCTGGCAGCTTCCTGCGCAAGCTGTACCTTGTCTTCCAGGTGAGCAACACGGTCTTGGAGATGTTCGGTCTTTGAAGTTGACAGGCTGAGTCGCTCCAAAAGATTCTGTTCTGTACGTTGCGCATCTTCAGCAGCATTGCTGATCTGTCGCTCGTACCGTGCTTGAAGATCCTCCATCTCGTTTTGGTGTTTACTAATGAGATCGCTAAGTTCGACACGTCTCTTACTCTCGGCTTCTCCAAGCTCGGTCTGCTTAGTTGTCTGGGCTTCCTCGAGCATCATCTCATGGTGTGCCTTCGCAGTGTCTGCATCCATCCTGACCTGGTCCAGCTGAGCTCTTAGTTTATTAATATCTTCCTCAAGCTCCTCACGCACGGCGTTAACTTCGTTATTAGCAGCTTCTAGCTCAGCTTGCATGGAAGTCTGTGTGCGTTGAACTTCGGCAGCTGCCGACTCTCTTGCTTCGTGGATTTCTCTCTGGTACCGTAGAATATTTTGCTGGAGATTATGATTGTCGTCACGAAGTTCAGATAGCAATGCTTCAAGCCGTTTGCATTCGCTAACAGCTCTTAGGCCAGCACGCTCGCCATTCTCCAACCTTTCAATTTCGGTTTCGAGGCGTTCGCGAGTTCGTGCTTCAGCTTGTAGCCTGGCATCAAGTACTTCTTGCCGTGCGATAAGGCCTTGCTCTCTCTTCTGGCGTCGGGCATTCTCTTCCGTTATTTCGCGAGCTGCATGGGCCATGTCGTCCTGCAGAGACATAAATTTGGCTCGCCAGCTATTCCGGATTTGCTCGTTTTCTTCAAGCTGGACGCCGAGTGTATCAATGAGTTTATGCATGTGCTTATTCTCATTAATAGCCTCCATAAGATCATCCGTCTGTCGATGAGCTGTCTCCCTTGCATGTTCAGCTTCAGAACGCCAGTGCCGCGTCTCTTGTCGTGCATCGCGGAGTTCAACTTCTGCAATGTTAAGACGGTTCTTGAGCTCTATCTGGGTCTGCTCGGCATTTGCCTGAGCTGCTTCGAGGAGGCTAAGGCGCATAGAGGCCTTGCCTGATGACTGCTCCATACCCTTAATCTTGTGCTCACGTTCTTCAAGTACAGCCCGTAGACGATCTTCCTCTTCGGAAGAGATACGAAGAAGTCGTTGGATCTCCGAGAGCCTATCTTCGGCTTCCCTACGACCCGCCAATTCTTGCTCGGTCTTGTTTTCTGCAAACCTGAGGCGCTCTTCCAGGTCATGTATTCTCTGGTCGAAAATACTACGGTTCATAATTTCGACCTCTACCTTTGTCTCCGCCTGTTCTAGCTGTCGTCGAAGCTCAGCAGCACGATCCTCAGCACCGCGCCTAATTGTTGTCTCATTCTCCCCTCTGGCCTCCTCGGCTCGCAGTCGATCTTCAAGTTGAAGGACTCTAGAACGCTCGCTCTCGGTTCTGCCCGTTTCGGTATGCAGGCGCTGCTCAAGTTCCTGTATCCTCGATTGCATCTCAGAGAACCTCGCGTTCGCTGCCTCGTCGTCCTTAACTACCGGTTGAGAAGTTGCAGGCATGCGACGCTCTACTGCCTCTTCTACGATAGTCCGAATATCTTCGCCACGGAAGTCTGGTCGTAAGGTTTGGCTGAGTTCCTCTTTCATTTGCTGCAATGCCTTTACGACGACCGCATCGTCTTTGCTCGGGCCCTGATCAACGGAATCGGGCTGAGCAGCCTGGAGAGCACGCATTGACTGCTGCTGATTTAGAGCATCCACAACAGCAATCCGAATTTGCTCCAGTCTTCTGTCTCTTCTGGGACTCATTGACCGGCGGATAGGCGTTTCGTCATCTTCATCGTCTGCATCGCTCTCTTGGAGCTCAGCGGAAATACTGCGTCTATCACGTCGGCTGGACGGCGCTCTACGAGTCAAAGAACCCAATGCATGTTGGATGTTGCTAAGCGTTTTCTCGAGAGGGTCGAGTCTGGAAGCAATGACGGTACCAACCAGGTCGTTGACGTGACCATCGAAGTATTGGACACGTTGTTCTAGTTTCTCCTGCTCACTGGCGCTGAACGCATCATCCCATTCACTCCCGGGTAGGCTCTCTCCAATATTGAGTCGATGTACAGGACCATCAAACGAGTGCGAAATGCCGCTTAGTGGAGGGTCAACGAAGGGATCATCAAGCTCAGTTGAAGGTCTCGGGGCCACAGCCTTCTTAGGTAAGGGAAGATACTGCTGAGATGGGCTTGGACTCGGTGCATCACTTCGAAATGGTACTTGAGGTGGTAAGTGCACAGGTGGCGAGTTCGTGGTAGTAGCAGCTGGGACGTCATGCATAGGGCTGGGCTCACGCCATGTAGGAGACTCCATCGTTCTCTTAACTCCCATCGTCGGATCATTTTTGTTGAGATGTTGCATAACCGCATCGATTTCTTCGAATGTTGGCTCATGGATAGTACCCTCTCTCGATTCAGCTGGTTCCGATGGCGGGCTAACAGGCAGAGGTTCGTAGCTATGCAACTCTGATACCTCGCTAGCTTGTTCGTTAAGATTTTCTTCAGGAAGTTGCGAAGATTTATCTTCGGATACTGAAGACGGAGTAGCAGCGAATCGAGAAGAGGACAATCCAGCCGATTTCGGTTGTGGCGATGGAGAAGCTGCGAATCTTGACGCGTTCAAGCCCCTTGGAGCAGGTGGCGGTGATGCAAACCGCGAAGAACCAAGACCCTTGGTGGATGGAGCAGTTCTTTCCGTCGGAGTTTGCTGCACCTTGATCGGTTCAGGTTCGGCCTCGGCAACAGACTTGAAATCTGGCCCAGGAGTTGGAGAACCGGCACGGTCATCCTCAGACTCGTCTTCGGACTCGACCATCTGCGCCGGTTGGGTCTTGAGGACAGGGTCAAACGAAGCGGACGCAGAATCAGTTGTAGCGCCGAAAGCAAAGCCACCAGGCACAAACGGCTGAGCTGTAGCAGAAAGGCTCTTATTGTGCTGCTTCTTGAATGAGGGTTCATCGTCTCCAAACGGCCTAGCATTGTTGAAGTCTTGGATCTCCGTGTCGTTCTTGAACTCAAAAGGTTTCCAGCTAGGCTTGTCTTGGTCAGGGGATGTCGTAGATGGACTAGTAGTCGCCTTCGTGCCATTCGACTCGGACTGCAATTTCCCATCTGTAGATTCGGAAAGGATCGTAGATGCGAAAGTCGTGTCGCCTACATGAGAAATTTCTTCTTCCTCTGTTCTGTTGTTGGAGTGGAAGTTCACAATAGTACTATCCCTTTCGGAATCAGCAGGCTCCGAAGCAACAGGGCTGGGCTGCGCCCGTGGCAAGATCTCCGGCTCCGGCGTAGGCTCGGCAAATAAGGGGACATTATCACCATCGTCGTTACTTTCCCTAAATTGCTTCTTAGTCGGATTAGCATCCGTGATTTGGCCATCCTGGCTTTCCGTAGTAGGGACAGCAGAGTGTTGACCAGATGGTGACACGATAGGGACAGCCTTAGACTTCTTCACAGAATTGGCGGCCTCGGACAGCTTCAGGTCGATGTTACCAAATATGCTACCTAGGCGGTTTTCAACGCTCTCGTTACCAGAGGCCCCGGCACTAGTTACCGACGAAGCAAAAGATTTCGATGGCTGGAAAGCAGGAGCATCGGGGCGGAACTTAGGTCCAGACGCAGAGAAGCTAAACTCGGTCTTGCGAGGAGAGAACGCTGGCGCGGCTGCATTAATTTTACCCTTCGATGACGATGTTGAAGGAACACTAAAATGACTAGAAGTCGCGGAGTGTATTTTCGGTGTAAAGGATGGCACCCCGGCCCTGAATGCGGTTGGTTGAAAACTGGTCTGCTGGACATTATTGTTACCAAAGACGAACTGACCAGGAGTGAAGCTACTCGTAGGGTTAAATTTGAATTCGGCTGCCCCAGCATTCAACTTTGACAAGGATGGCTTGCTAGTATGGCTCTGGCGACGCGAAGAGGATTTACTATCAGAAGTTCGTTCATCCGCCCAAGGATTGCTAGAAAACGACCGCTGGTGAAATTGGTTTGCCAAATCAAAAGGCTGGTTAGGCGTACCGAGATTGCTTGGATTCGTCTCAATTTCGTATGCACTATTACCGTTTTGCAGATCAAGCGCAGCTGGCCGGTGTTTCTGGAGGCTCCCTTCGTCAGTACTATCCCGTGCCTCGTCGAGGTACGGCGTTTGAGAGAGAGAATGCCCGCGGCTATGTGGTTGTGGGTGATGAAGTTTTGGTCCTTCATCAGAATCATTGCCAAAACTACCGAAGTGGACAGACGGCCCTCTTGCGTGTGAAGCGGGAACTGCCTCAATTTCTTGCAAGTGGTTCTCTTTCATTTTATCGTATTCGTTATGGGGGCTGTAATCCTCATGCTCAAGTTGAGAACGGAATTGCTCTTCCAAGTGATACTCGGCGTCGTCAATCTCTTTCTGGAGACTGGCACTAGCATTATGACGTATAAATCGGCTAGGCTCTGGAGTTTTTGATGGGCTCTTGTCCTCATAAGGATTGCTCTGAGTCTCCTCTTCTTCAATTTCTCGCAAGTCTTGCAAGCGAGGCGATGCCCTAGCCGATTCTTGCCTATGCAAATACTGATGCGGAAGCATTGGATATTGCAAAGATTGGTGCCTCGAGTGAATACCGCCAATGGGCGAAGATATACCGTCACGCTGGAAAGGCGAATTGGGCGACATGACCGAGTTCAAGTTAAGAACAGAAGGCGAGCCACTACGACCCAGATGTTGCTGCAATAGCATTTGCGGAGACCAAGGATGAGGCGAAGACGGATTGGAGAAATGGAAGGGAAGCTCGTGCGGTGAGATAGAAATTGACGCGCGGGGGTTGAATTTGCCGTGCAACGACGGGCCATGGAAAGAAGCCGGAGAAACAGCCGATGCGATACCGGGGCTCTGCACGGACGACCCGGGGCCGGATAGGAACGGGGGTGGGAAGGCGAATGGTTGCTGCCCGTTGCTTGCGGCCGAAGACGTTGGAATAGGCGGCGAGAACGGCAATTGAGGGTATTGGTTCGAAGTTTGCCGACTCATATTTGTTGCGGCCGGGGAGATTGAGGGTGCAGGCTCGTCGTCGCCAAACGATACACCAAGCGCCCTAAGCTTGGCTTCATTCAACTCATTGACATAATTCCGCCATGCTGCAATTATAACATTAGTATATGCTTCTAGAGAAGGGACCATTCGAACTAAACACACCATTTAAATCTGGAAGCGTCACCTGATACGTATGCTGAGAACGTTCATTGACAACATCATCCGAATTAGGCCACTCATCCCTGCTCTGAGAATAACTTTCGAGGGGATCCAGGGGAGCATGACGTCCTTCCAAGTCAAACCCACGAATATCATAACCTAACTCTTCCCAGGAACGCCACATTTCTTTCACTTCAGCAGCATTTAGAGGGACCGGTGCTTTGCCGGGTCGGCCTCGTTCTTCGTCCCATGGTAGGCAAACTAGGATATTCTTTCCTTTCCAGGGCACTTTCTTCTTGGGTCGCGGTGTGCGCCCTACGACCTGTTTAATCGATTTAATCGGAGTAGTAGGCGCAACAGAATTTGAATTATTCCAATTCGGCTGGTCGCTTCTAGAAGTGTCTATTCTTGGTGCCGATTCCGAGATAGAGTCTATGGTATGGATGCTGACGGCATCTTGACTACCTTTCTCTACCTCAAGCGCGTCCATACTTGCGGTTCCGCTAGTAACGCGCCGGTCCAGAGCAGCTTGCTTTAGAGTTTCGTTGCTAGAACGCTGTCTCGGATAATGCCAAGACGCTTGGCTAGAGGCTCGAGACGGGTGAAGGGTAGCCCGTCGGTCAGCTCGTGGGGTCCTGGGATCTGCCTCTTCAAACCAACTCGCCTCTTCGCTCAAAATAGAGCTTCTCAATGAAGAGTGCTCACTATCGTCAGTTCCGTCACTAAGCCAATGGCGATGTTCAGAAGAAAGGTCCTCGGTGGTATGCTGACGGATCCAATCCTCTGTAATGCCGCGCAGGGGACGCCGAGCACGGTTCGCAAGTACAGCAGCGCTTCCGGACAGAGAAGTCGAGGGACGATCTAGCTCAGTTACTATAGTCAATGGAGCCGGGCGCAAAAAGGGTGTATTAATCTCCAGCTGGTGCAGCGGGGATTCTTCTGATGTCTCACTGCTGAAGCTTAGTCGACGTAGATAACCACTATCGGCTTGGGGATACGGTGAACCCCAGCTAGCTGTGACAAACTCTCTATCGTCTCCGGAACTACGATTAGATGGCGGCGTCCGAAGATATTCGGATGCCCGACCCGGCAGTGTCGGTGCTCGAAGCGGCGGGAGCACCGGAGACGATTCACCGTCGTCGTCGATAGTTGACGCACTCGAGACGGGGGATGACGACCTCGCTGAAAAACTACGATATGGCGAAGCTCGAGTGCCGTCCTGTGCAAAAGCACGAGGAGGGGTTGACGGGTTTGAAGAATACGTCTTTGGGGGGGCTGAACCAAGGTATAAGTTAGCCCTTGATTCTGATATCTCAGGAATCAAGAAAAGATACGGAACGATAGGCGGAGTCGAGACATACCACGACGAGATCAGCGCAGACAAGGCATGGGTCGCCTGCTGCTAGATCTCCAGACTACTACTCTCACGTTTATCCGTGCACCTTCTTCGTAGCCCGACGATAATTGGAATCGGGTCGTGGGCCAACTAAGGGGTAAAAGTTGCGGTACTAGACAGCGTGGGGATTGTCGCGACGCGTCCTGGTGGGAAAAAAAGAAAAAAGAAAAAAAGAGGGCTCACCGAGGCGATCGGGAAGAAGAAAAGAGCGGAAGAGAAAATATATTAAAAGAATGGTAAAAATACGCAACTCTCCATCGGTTTCGCCTTGCCTGTCACTATCCGCCTTGAATCCAAGAAGGAGTGATTTACATAAGATGGACTCGATAATAAAAGACGCGATGGAGAGAGCTTCGGACAGAAATGCTGCAAGCTGGTGCCCCTTGGTTGTAAAGAAAAACCCAAGTTGTTCAAAAAGTTGTCTAGGATTGCCTGTTCATGGAAATTGCTATTTAGATCTAGCCTAGTGCTAAATTGGATACGATAGAAGATACATATAATCGGCAAGTGCTTCCGCCTATATCTATACTATAAAGGGTCCGTGCGCGATGTATTTTTTAACGGTATTTTATCAGCCCAAATTCGCGTTGTGGACTCGCATAGCGCTTCCCCTCGCTCATAATTTAATGGGCCTTCCCATCGCGTTGGAATATCCACTCCTGCCACTTTGCTGCCACCTATTAGCTAAATGTAACCTATTCGTTCTACCATTTAAAACACTTACAGGTAAGTAATGCGATAGAGCGACCTCTGATTAGTAGGATTCGTAGCTAAGGCTGGTAAAATATCAACGGCCATTCCGTCCCTTCTTTCTACCACCTTTATACACCTACTAACCTACCTACATACTAAGATATTTAGTACAAGCACCTCTAAGAATTATCAGCACAACACAATAAACCTTATCTATCTCTACTTAATAGCATGAAAACACCTAAATTGTCGTGCGATGACGCAAGCTTCCTAACCTCTGAATACCTAGGTATACTCTCGAGAGTGATGGCTTCTACCATGCCTGCTTATACGTAGCGTGCCTTAATTACTTAAGGTAGCATTTACAGCTCGGCCATACTAGTCAGCTTGCAATACATACAACAAAAAACACGTGTACAATTTCTAAGGTATATATCTCTTGCCAGCTCAGTCTTGTAACCCCAAAGAGAAGGGAACCGAGACTGAAATCAAGTCCACTTATATGAGCTCACAGCATATGACCATAGAACCGGATAATAAGCTACAAGGCAACTTTAATGTGTTTACGGAATAGACAACCCTTGGGTTTTTGAGGTATTAGGGCTGGCGCACACCTATCCACGACAGGGGAATCTTAATGCCAATGCCGGGGCATAGACACCAATTCAATTAGGGAATAGTTGGTATCTGAAACTGCCTTGTTGACGTAATATGGATTGCCTACGTTGCAAGAAGCTATTCAGATGTCTTCATCTTTAAGTGCGTTCCAAGTGACGTCAGGTTCGGCAGCCCAAGAGTCAGTATCTATAATTAGATGACCACTCAACGAGCCATCGTCATCCACGCATTCATGTATAATGCCCCAAAATTGTGAAGAGATGCGCGAGTCATAGTCAGGTAGTTAGCAAGATTATCGATATTGAATGGCAGCGTATATTGTCCCCATTCCGTAATTGACCAGTTGGGTTTTATTCGGAACATCATCCCTGACAGCAATCCAGTTGATAATATGAGAGCACTTAAAATATTTAGAGAAGGCTGCCTCCATATTTCTCAATGGCCCAATAGGTCTGGAATAACAGGTCTTTCGAATATTGCTTACCTCGGTTAAATCATAGGATAAGATGCTATAACTAGGTAGTTTTAAAGACAAACAATATAAAGATATATTTTACATATAAGTATGGCCATTGGTCGTATAAGCACCCTTACTAATTGGTAGGATTCGGTATAAGCAGTCAATATTCAAATAGTATAAGTTAGAGAATAGCAGATGGCAGACACGGAGCAGGCATAACTACAATAAAGGAACGTGGTTGTTATATTCATTACACGTATTCAAGCCTTAAATAATATGTAGTCTTTCTTCAACAGTATCAACGACGTAGGGTAAATAGAGACAACTGAAAGGACCAGTAAGATAAAAAGGATATCTAAAAATAGAGGGTATCGCCAAAGCTAAGACAAGACAACTTTAGGGGCCGAAACCTAATCCTTCTAAAGGTTAGCGATGCGCTGAATGTAAAACGGGCCCGGATTCCAGACACGGGGCTGGACGGCCGAGAACCTGTCGGCTAGACGCCACGGCGTAATACTCTGTCTAGATTGGTCCGATCAAGCCACTTCAATTCAACGTTTTCCACAAAGCAAGGCGCGCGACCCCCGCGTTTCGATTGTGCAGGTCCTAGGTAGAGGTTAAGGGGTTCTGTATGTAAAAAGAGTAGGAGGCTAGGAAGGCTGTTGGAATCTCTACGGAATAGGTTCTACCTAACTAAGCAGCTAATTCCACAAATAGCGCGGTGTAGTAAGATTATCTCAATTGAGAATGTCAGAACAGTTAAAATCGCATCCGTCACGCGTAGATTGCGGCGCAATTGGCAATTGGCAATTGGACGTCCGGGGAAGAAACCATTGCCGGGACTGTGTTTCGAAACGGTAACTTGTGTTGCGAATAGAATCCATCGCAAGCGCTTGAGGCTTGTCGTCATAGGGGAAATTCAATAGTTGCAAATTAGTGGATATGGATACCTATTGAGTCGATCGTTAGGTTAAGCTTGATTGTAAGATTCTAATAGCCTATGAAAAGTTCTGTGCGTTATTAGTGTATTGTACCTACCTAGGTTAGGTACCTGTTAGGTAGGTATTCATTATGGACCGACCGGTATTACAGCATGCAACGTTGTCCGATCGACACCCATTGTAACTTGCAGCTTACAGCTTACCTCCGCTTACCTCTTAACTGCTTGAATAAATCAATTGAATGCACTGTAATTCCTGTTCTGCATACCTACCTACCTGTGTGGCTGTGTGGCTGCTGATTTCGGATTCAGGGCAGGTTCAGGGCAAATTCAGGGCAAGTCCTAATCCATTCTAGTTAGACCCTGATGATCACTCCAGTCACTAACAAAATGGCGGTACGAGGTGTTCATGTGCATCATGTGCATGCCTTAGGTACATATGTAGGTATGTACATATGCAAGTACAACAATTAGGTAGGACACCTTCCAAGGACAGAGTAGATTTGGTCAACGAACAATGTTTGTATACACTACATAGAAGTAACAATTATTAATATTCGGAAGGTCGAAATAGCAGATATACATATATCGACGTCAGAGAAGTTAAAGGCAGGCCCTATTTTTAGTTGCCTATCTTCAAAGTTCAATGCAGATATGTAATCCGTAGCCTACCTCAGATTGAAGGTGGCGCGTCAGATACAGTAGGTATCTTCGCAAACACATCCTAAATTCGGCCGATTCGGGGTTGTAAGGGAGAGAAGTCTTATGTACTCATTTATGCAAAGAAAAAAAGATTCAAGAGAGTGACCAACCAACCAACCAAAAAAAAAAAGACAAGGCAACCAGTTCGGATGCAGAGCTTAACTAATAGAAATCAGTAGATGCGCCACAAACATCGAGACTTGAAAGTCAATCTGTCTTATTAGCGCTGTTCAACAGTAAAGTCAATTGACTACCTCCCTAGTGCATGTACATCTACATAGTGGCACCTGGTTACCGTACGCTATGGTCCATAGTATGATTCTGTCACGATACCCTGAAAAGTAGAGCCTACCTGCCTGCAGACAACCCAGTTTGTCCCAGTTGTCTAAGAAACCTATCAGCTCCACCGTCGGATCCACCCGCCCCTTTCCTTTGTCGAGCTGTGATTGGGTCTTTGATTGAAAATTATGCGCGAACCCTCACTTTACGCATCTTTGTGCAAATACGAACTAAATGTAACCATACTTCCTCCAGTTACCCACACCTCACTTTCCTTCCACAGATTCTTCACATCCTTACTCTGGTCCTTACTTTGGTCATTCGTTTCTCCCTCATCACCCTATTATTATATCCATTCCTAATCCATCATTGCGTTTCCCTTATTTTCCCCCGGAGGTGTTCAACTTCTACCTCAACACCTTACGCTCTTTTACTCAATTTCCTATTATCTGCGCAACGTCCCGATAACACAGTACAGCATTTCGCGTTGCGTGAATAACTGACGACGAAACAACTGGGTCTGACCGGCAAACCGTGCTTCAGATTTAAAATTAATATTTCCCATCATCACCCACCCACGTGTCACATAAAACCTCATCTCAATAAAAACCTTAAGAAGGGGAGGGACGGATAATATCCATTAGTTTCTTGCCCTTCTCATTCTCGACCAATTCTAGTATTATTATACTTTACTAGTCGCCATGCATTCGACGCGACTTATCCATCTAATGATGGCGGCACTGTCGGTGACCGCTGTCACTGGAGTAGCTTGGCTCGATAATCAGCACGCTGGCGCAGGTCAACTCGCGGTCAGGGCGGACAAGCCGGAAGATCTCATCTCACTTGGTCCTGCTCTCAACGCCGAGTCTACCACCGATGCACCTGCTGCCGATCCAACCACATCCAGTGGCGATGCAGCAAATGATTCGGTAACATCGGCTCCTCCCGCGGAAACCACGTCTGATACACCAACTACCTCTAATACTCCCACACCAACGCCTACAACAAGTGATGGACCTGCCCCAACGCCTACAACGTCTGACAGCCCAATCCCGACAACTACGGAAGCAACTACGGGAGGAACGACGGTGACGACGCCTCCGGCAACTACGACTCGCGCAAACCCTTCGTCCGCGGCCCCGACTCCCTCGTCGACATCCAGCGGCGGCAGCAGCGGTGATGATACAACCGAAGTTCCTCAGACGACGCCGCCACCTGTGACATCTACGTTCATCACCGTAATTACTTCTACTGACGCGGCGGGACAGACTCATGTCAGCTCATCTTCCAGCGTTATCGTATCGACGCCTTCTCCTGTTGCCGATACCAGCGGCAACAAGGAATCAGGAATGAGCCCACAAGTCAGAAATACGATCATTGGTGTCTGTGTCGGTGTTGGTGGCGCTATCGTCCTGGCAGCTGCAGGCGTGCTATTCTGGAGACTTCGTAACAACAGGCGAAGCCTGGAAGAGAACGAGGAGCTGGTCAGCTACGGCGATGGATTTGGAGGTCCCGGAACCGCAGAGAAGTCGGAACCTAGCGGTAGTACCGCCGGCCGCAGCCCGTTCCAGAGCACCCTCGAGAGCTACCACGCGCCGGCGCAAGCAAACGCTGCTTCTAACTTCTAAGCGGGGGCAATATATATTATCCCAGCATCAATCTCGTCTCCTACTGATTACGCGGGGTTATTTCAGTCCCGCCGGCGTTAGGGTTGAAGGTATTCATTCGCATGGCATCACATCGTTATTACGCTGCCCACATTTTCATAAGCCGATATCCACGAGGAATAGAAAAATATCCCCTGTATTTTCAAGTTACGACGTATACTAGAAGAAGGCGAAGAGGACCGCGTAGTCCCACGAGACCACGCGCAAAGATCGTCGTCTAATTGCAGCAGCTCTGGTTAGAGGCGGCAGATAGGCTCGGCCGAGCATGAAAGGAGGGAGGAAGCTCTACGACGCGAGTCTACGTAGCTGAGAGAAATGAAAGGAGAGTGTGAATGTTTGTATACAGCTTCGTAATACCAGCTTCTTCGATTCTGCAAAACTAAAGTATATATGCATTAATGCAAAAGTTATCCCTATCACTTATACGTGCTGTTGTTGATATGTCGTCACAAACCGGCACAGCGGGAACCGGGTCGAACCCAATTGTTTGATCTAGCGTCCGCTATGTATGTGCGTGCATGCGATTACCTATGTTCCGCGCGGGTTCCCAAGATGTCGGGACGTTGGGTCCGCGTTAGGCGGGCTTTAACTTTACTTTTATTTCGAACGGCGTCGGTGTCCGGTTTTTAGACTTTGACGGGCTGTCCGCAGAAGGTTATAAATTGTATGCAGGGCAGCAGCCAGCCGTCAGGGTTCTAGGGTTATATCAAGGTTTTAAAAAGCGTGATGATGTTTTTTAAGGCTGGCTTCGTTTCTAGATTGTGCCATCGCGAGGTAGCATTTATATATTAACTAACTAACCTAATAACTAATATGTATACATGGTGATAACGGTGCTACTTGATTCGATTTCTAGTGCCGTCTCAGGACGGTTTCAGCAGCGCCATCTGCGCACCTGTCCACCACCTCCTGGTATCCCCTCGCACCAATCAACCGTCTTAGCCGACTCGAGCTTTGCGTGTTTCAACTCGTTAGCCGTGGGGGTTATGTCATATAGGTAGGTAGGTTAGTTATCTACTTGGCGAAGACAGTTGTGGAGAGGTTGAGTTGTTTGATAATATATCCGTGTGGTAAATGAATGAATAAATAAATGAATAAATGGTATGTACGATAGGCATAAGCGGTAACTAACTATTAACTAACTACCTAGTTAAAAGTAATTTTATCAAAGAGATATTTCGCCTCGTTTCTGTGGTGGTAGTTATTATTGATTTATTCATCATCATCATCATCTTCTCCCGCTCGATTACTTCGAACGGCGCAATTTTATTATACGAGATTCGGAAATAAGCGCACCGAGAAGACGGCCAAGTCATGAGGTGCCGAGGCGCCGTTACCCTGTCTCTGCTGGCGGGATTCCTCGTCGGAGTGATGGCCGGCGACTTCATCGAGGAGATGCGACGGGATTTCCAGATGGGTTTGTTCGGGCGGCAAGCAGTATCTGATATACAGGTTCGTATGATAGGCACTATTCAATTCAGCTCGATATGTCCGACTGACTTAATCTATGTAGCAATTTAACCCGAGTAGTCCTCTGGGAGGCCAAACTCCAGCAAAGGTACGTACGTTCCTTTCGTCTCGATATATACAAGAGGAATAGAGAGCGTGCATACGTAGGAGTGAATTAGCTGACACTGAATTTATAGATCGAGTTCGACCAGAGCGATACGCAGAAGCCTTTCAAAATCACCAACAGCCGCATATCAGAAGGCCAGACGTTTGTATGTCACTGCTTTTGTTCTCCTCCTTCTCCTCGCAAGACATGGCCATAAAATTATTAAAAAGTCTTGTTATTCTTCCTCCCTATTCCTCGGCCTATCAGCAACAAGCCAACACCCCCCCTAACCAAACATAACTACAGCTGCTAACCATCCACCAGAACGACTTCAGCACCGCATCAAACCGCGTCTGCGACGACCTGAAGAACGACTGCGCCGACACTGCCAATCAGAATAGCAACAAGATCTTCAGCGTGTCAGACTGCGACAAACAGCGTGGTGAGTTTGCTCCCAGCCCCTGGTCTCCTACTAGCGAGTTGATGGGGGTGATCCTCATGACTTATTTAGTTGGTATTACTAGAAGCTAACGTGAACCAGACGATTGCATAACGGCAAATAAGCCTACCGATGAGGATAGCGACTTTCTTTACTTCTGCAACTAGATGGAGCGCTGCATTAGTTTGGCATGGAACGGCTTGCGGGTTTAGTCGTATAGGGGATCAAGTCTATATCAGCTTGATATTCATAGGCTTCTCAGCACGCAAGGGGCAAGCCCCCAAGCTAGGATTGGGGACACAACATACTTTACCTACCAGCGCGTTCTGATTGTCCGACTATCATATTTCAGGAGAGACCTAGGTTACGGGTTGGGGGCTAGTTGAAGAAAGTATAGGGTCGGCACAAACAAGACCAAAACCAAAAGACACTCCTTTAGTGGCAACACGTAGTACATATTTACTAGACGACGAACACAATAAAACACACTTGAATAAATAATCATAAATCATAACTGGTCCGCCTAATCTCGGGTAACACACCTCCCCTTACTCTAAACGTGTATCCGACAAAGGGACGGCATAAATCCAGTATTGAGGCAGACAATGTTGAATAATAGCGGCGAGCAATAGCATCTCGCAGCTCTGTCTTTAGTTTTGTAGCACTAGTGAGAATTCATAAAAGCATAAAATGACATTTCGCAAACGAGTTATACACAGGTATGCCTGAGGGGTCTGCCGGACCTCAATTCAGCCAAATACGCCGGGGGAAAAAAAGATAAAAACTCATAAACGAAGCTTTCTCCTTTGTATCGAAACGCCTGTTCTGTAACCAGCCATGCCATGCCAATTCTCAACGACGCGATTATGCTTTGTGACACCGAAACGTCATCATTACCTCCGGACACCTTTCCGAATTAGCCACCCTTTAGATATGAACAGAAGAAAGAAAGTAAGGGGTTCGACAAAGCGATGCCGTGTCGAGCCAGGTGGTTGTATATCATCGTGGGACTCGTTTACGTTGGTACATTAACCTGGAGAAAAGGGAGGATGAGGAGAGCGAGTTTTCTTCTTTCGTTACCAGGTAGACTATACCCTGGCCGGCTGCTTCTTCCGAACTAGGAACGGGCTCGGCATCTCGTCCCTCTCTGGATCCCAGACGGCGGGCTCAGCGAATCGGTCTCTAGAGCTACGCTTGGGGCTGACATTCATAGACTCGACTGGTCGACCGCCGGCTCTGGCTTGCTGGAGCTCAACAAGGGTGCGACCCTTGATGTTGTTCTTTGTTACTACCTTGGTAAGTGCTGGTTCTGGTTCCTTCTTTAGCGAGGATTTGCGCTGTCCACCGTTCTCCGCATTTTGCATGCTAAGATTGGCAACCGAGGGGATCTTGCTAAGCCGTCGGTTAGGAGAATCGCCCTTCTCTCTCAAAGCGCCATTACTAGGTTTAGCCCGGATTCGGAACTCGGGAGCAGAGGTAGGTAGAGGCGGCGTTGGCTTGTTAAAAGCCATGGAGGTTTGGTTTCTTAGACGGTTGATGGGGGCCGTCTTCATTGAAGGAAGGATCGGACGTTGGGGCCCGAAGGGGTTTTTGTTCGACCGCGGTGGGCGAGTCGGGGATGGGATTATATGATCGTCGTCATCATCCGAATCAGATGAGAACGGATCTCTCCTGCCTGATCGGATCTCTTCTTCATCATCAAAGTCAAATATGGGCGGCTTGTTTGCGGTTGGGGCCTTAGTAGCGATGTTGCGTCGTGGAGATAGGGACAGGGATGCAATAGCAACCATTGGGGATGGGGATGCCATGTCGATGTCCATCGACATTGGCGTTCCAGGATTGCGCTCGAACATGGTTTGAGCGCGGGCAAATGGCGCACGTGAACTGCGCTTAAGGGGGTGTTCTTCGGGAGAGTTAACAGAAAATTCGGTAATATCTGTAGTGGAAGGAAACTCGCTGTCCGTACTACCAGCCATGGACAGGAAGAAATTCGTCCTGGATACTTGAGATGATGTGAATTCGTGAGTCTCAACCGGCCCAAACGAGACTCTCTTCTTCTGTAGTTCTTCTTGTACCCGCGCTTCCACCTCGGCTTCGAAACGTCGTTGGAGTTGTTCAATCTCTTCATTGACAAGGCGGTCGATTTCTAATCGAGCCTTGACCTCCCACTCTCGTCGCAATTGAGAGTCGATCTCTTGGCGGAAGTTCAACTTATCGGCCTCGATGTTAGCTAGCTTCTCTTCGACTTGCTTTAGCTTGTTGCTAAGCACATTGTTGCGCGATTCCAACTCCATCTTGAATTCTACGGCCTCCCGCTCTTTACGCATTAAGCGTATAACCGGAAGGTTGAGCAAGGTTGCCGTGTCAGGGCGTAGATCTGGATTGACCCTGAGACAGTCTTTGATAACGGCCATAAGCTCCCCTGAGTAAACTCTAGGAAGTGGTGGGACCTTTCCCTCCTTGATCTTCTGAACGAGCTGGAAATGAGTCTTAGCGTTAAATGGAGGCTCACGCGCGCAAAGTTCGTATATTATACATCCTAGTGACCAGATGTCTGATTTAAGAGTATACCTCTCAGCAGCGCATATCTCGGGAGACATGTAGAATGGCGTTCCAACATACGTGGACGCAAAATCGTGCGACTGTATCATCTTGGATAGTCCGAAATCACCAAGCTTGACAGAATTATTCTCTCCGAGGAAGACTGTCACAAGTTAGCACATACCTCCGATAATGCATTATACATCTCCAGCTCACGCACCGTTCTCAGGCTTTAGATCTCGGTGGAGAATGGTGACAGCTCCCTGCGGTGCCTTCGTTTTCCCCATCGTGACTATTTCAAGGACATTCTTGCCTACCGACGGAGGATTTACGCCATAGTGACACCGGTACAAGGCGGTGACCAGCTGCGAGAATATCTCCCATACGAATTGCTCCTCGGCGTACTCCTTGCGACTGGCGAGACCCTTAATCACGCGACCGAGATCGCCATTACCACAATACTCCATATAAAGATATAGATCTTGAGTCTCTTTGAGATGTTCGCGGTGGTAGTAACCAACAATGTTGGGGTGTCGGAGAGTAGAGAGGATCTGGAACTCAGCATGTAGCTGTTCACGTTCCTTTTGGGACATTTTCAAGTAGCTGATCTCCTTTCGGCAGAGGATCTTGCCATCTGACTTCCGTCGGATCTTTCGAATGACGCCGAAGGAGCCATGTCCTACGTTTGCGATGTTAGAGGGCAGTCATGGAAATCAGAGTGAAGGGGATGACAGTTTCGTCAAAGGCAATAGAAACCTACCTATTTTCTCCAAGGTTTCATACTGCGAACTGATAGGTTCTGCCATAGTGAACTGAATTGCGAGTCGCTTTTCGAATTCAATGATTTATGACTATGCCATAGACAACAAAAGCAAGAAAGAAACTAAAGAAGTTGAAGGCAAAGCTATTGGAGGGATTGAAGGGGGGGTAAGCCAGAGCTATTCGATGCTGCTCCAGCTCGGGACTTTGGGGGGGGGGGATTGTCTTTGAGGATTATCTTACTACTTGTTGTTGAATAAAGAATTTGGTTCTGAAAATGGTTATGGAAACTGCAAAGGCAAGGGCAGAAAGTCAGAAAATAGCTGTCCATGTGATGGATCCGATCAATTTGCACAGGACACCCCAGTAGATACTTGAGCCCTGTGCTAATTTCTATGACAGTTTTTGTATCTTATGTAACACTGCGTGTATGCAGTCAACAAATCCACCCGTGGCCACGGCAACAGCTTAGCTCAGGCAGCTCAGAGTGGGGCGACAGGGTATAACGGTCGGACTCTATTGACTGCTAGTTAGAATTAGTCTTAGCATTGATTCAAACTTTTATCGATAAGCTCAGCTGCATATGTACCTAGGTATGTACAGATTATTTTGACCCATCTCCCACGTGATATCCCCGATTCCATATCACCGCTGATGACATACATCTGACTTATCTAGGTTAGGTAGCTTATCCAATTGAATCCAATTGCTACCAGCTCCCAATTCAATTAGCCATGCATGCATCACCACCACTCATTAGTTGTATGGTCGGAGTTATCGGACTTGGCCATTCTTTGAAAATTCACTCGATAGTGTCGTTGTGCTTTGGTCAACCATGGTTCTTCGAAAGCACGAGCTAGAAGCAAAGCTGAAAGATGATATCGAATTAGTTCGTAGTGGCGTACTGCGCGATGAGAATCCCCTAGACCTTAGCCAGGAGTTTGGCGAACTCTTAGAAGCATGTCGAAGAGGCGACCTGAGACGGACTCAAGAACTGATTTCTGCCGGCGTCAATATAAACGGTAAAGACAGGTTCGACTATACTCCTCTCATCGTTGTGAGTAGAGCTTGTCTTGCTGTTTATTGCGCTTAAAAATCCTAGGTAGCTGACTGATGTCTAGGCAAGTCTCTGCGGGCATTATGAGTTAGTTGAGCTGCTTAGTATGTATAGATCTTCATGATTTTATGCCATGTCAAGATATCAAGTGTTGAAATATTCCTGAACATTATACTGACTAAATATTGTAGTCGAGTCTGGTGCCCTAGCAGAGCGAGACACATTCCAAGGTGAACGATGCATCTACAATGCTCTAAATGATAAGATCCGGAATCTTCTGCTGAAATACGACTACTCAAAGTCTACCGACCCCTTACAGCCATGGGCCGCTCATATCAGCGCGTTGCTGACTAGAGATACGCCGAAGACTTCCGATATAACGTTGATAGCAGCATCGGAATCGTTCGAGCTTCATAAGTTCCTTCTTTCTGCAAGGTCACCATACTTCCAAAGGAAACTCGCGGAGGCGCCCGAGATAGAGACGTGGAAGCTGCCTCAGTCAATACCAATTGAGTCTTTTCAGGTCGTCTTGCGATATATATACCTCGGTGACATTCCAAGGGAGTTGGTAGACACCCGAAGTGGTAGCACCGATGAGGAGGTCCTAACTGGTATTGATAAGATCAGTAAACAGTTAGAGATTGATAAGCTATGGGAAGCTATCCTCTCGGGCGGTGATCGGCGATTGGCACGACAAAGACACCAGGATGAGGTTAATCGAGCTCAAGAACAAATCCAAGGCTTCTTTCAGGAGAAGGTCCTCGGACACAAGATGGTTGTTGACACCCGGAAGGTCCACGAAGTCAAATG